GAGATAGTATGTAACCGCCGGATGTCAATAGCTTGTTGCCAACCGGCAAGGTGCCCACTCAACGACGGCGCTCGCCTAATGTGATTTACGATCAATAGGTCAGGAGAGAACACTCCACACACACACACACACACACACATACAAATAGTCCTCTAGTCATCGCTACACAAGGTCCCCCCTCCGGGCACCTACTACAAAGAGTCGTGCACCAAACAACGTTCGGTTCTGAAACGATGCAGGGGATACAGCAAATATTTCCCTCGTTATAACTGCAAACAACCCACAAATTTTAGATGCGCACTCGACGATCCTCGCGACACTCTAATCCTCGGCCCTAATCTATCAAAGCTTCGCCCCAGTAGATTTTCAGTAGGATCCATCAACCATTTCAATACACTTCTATTATTTACAAAAAGCTTTCTGCCCATCCATTAAACCTTCCCGTTTATCTCACACCCATACCCACCAATTTCAACCCACCCTCCAGCACAAGCCAGCTTTCAAAAAAAAGAAGGCACACCCCCTCGCCTAAACCCCGAAATGTAGTGCAGAAACACGTTGCTCCCAAATATCTTTAACCCCAGCCCCTTGGATCTAAGACAGATGTTTCCGGTTTGCCAGAGAATCATTGAGGTTGTTGCGAAAACCCTGTCCCAAGTTCATTTAGTTTTGAGGTAATTGGGGTAATTTTAAGGCTAGAAACGTAGTTGTAAGTTGTAGATGGTGGTCGTCGACCGGTTTGGATGAGGGAATGGAATCACTGATTCACTGACTGATCTCTTCCACAAATAACGTCCTCCCTCAACCCCCCCCCCAAACTAAGGCCGGTGATGGTCCTACAACTTCCTTCCATTATCGTTCTTTTTTAGCAATTTCGCGAAGGAATTGCTTAAATATTATGGAGATTTATTTGGCATGGAATGGTAGGCATATATACAGCGATGATTGACAAAGGGCAGAACCGGTCCCGGGTTGAGGCTAAGCCCCAGCTCGATTACCTCAAATCGGCCCCAAATTGGTGTGCATTGATCTGAACTGGACGGCTCGAATGTCGAATTGATGATGCTGGTACTGAACGAACTAAATTTATTTACGGTTGAAGACGTGGTAATATTTTAGATGTAATTTTTATTTTGGTAAGACTTTACTTTTACCCCCACCCAACCGCAAGTTCAGCGGAGTTTTTCGCTATAACATTTTTATTTTACATTATTTTGAGCTGTAATTAAAACTCTTAGTAGGTTTTTTCATGCTCTATCGAATGCGGTAGCCAAATTCCCGGCAAATAACGGAAACGCGGAAACGTTTTCGGAAAAGTCTGCAGCCTAGCCTTTATGTTTTATATTCTGATTGTATTAGTTTATTATCCGACGCGATTCATTGCCTCGAACAGTTTTCGGATGTTAATGTTTGCTCTTGTCTTTCACCCAATACCTCACGGCGCTTGTTTTGCATCTGGAATATGCCGTCTACATGTTGATCCTATGCTAATTAACTATCAACACACTCCGTTTGTTCGCCTTTCCAAAATGTATAATAGTATACTGAGTATTGTGTCCTTGGAGCTGACCGATGGGGAGGGGGAGAGCATACTTCTGTTTCACTCGCCACCCCACAATCGCTCCCGCTCACCAAAATTCCGGGCAAATGTCCTTCGGTCTCCCTGCATCTCTTCAGCACGGGTTTGCGAGTGTCATTTTGGAAACATTTCTATCGCTCTTTTTTTACCGGGCAGAGACCCCCGGGAACCCTCATTCTCGCCCCGCTCTTCCTCCTCATACACCTCAGTTCGATTTTTAGCCCTTTCCAAATTTAACTATACCTTTTATGGCATTAATAACAACTTCAATAACGAAATTTATATTTTGCTAATATTTTAGTTATACGTACATCGTTTCCCAATTTTGCCAGCACTGCAAGGATAGCTTTATTATCGCGACACAACATCACTTACCAATATCAAATGGTTGATGCAATATGCTAGCTCTATCAAAATCCCTTGACCATATCAAAACGTCATTGTGGGTTCAGGCCTTTTCTCGGGTCCAGAAGGAAAGCTTGCCGCAAAATCCCCCTCCCCTATCTGCAAACATATCACCCTGTCCTCGCCGCCATACGCTTCCGTATCCCATCTGAAATCAGGACACACCGGAGGGTCCTCCCCCCCCCCCTTCAATAGCCAATTCATGAAAGCCCTGGCCCCCGAGGTAGCGCTTTGATTATTCATGTTGAAGGGACAGCAGTCGACCGTGTGCTTACTGGGGCTCCCAGTAGCCGGCTGTCCGGCCATGTTTTTGAATTTTTGAGCCATACCACCACCCAGCTAGGGCTTCTTTGCGGCTCTTGCCAAAGCAAATTCATGGAATTTCTGATTTAATATGGCGGTCTGTGTTCCGATCACTAGCATTGGTGTGGTTGTTGCTCTTCCTTTATGCAACAAAAACTTGACTGGTTTTCCAAGACTCATTGAGGGGCACGCGTTCGGGCAGTTTTGATGATTGGGTGGGACTAGCCAACTTCTTACTCATCCCCCAACCCACCACCTTCCGCATATTCAGTGGCTAGAGGCTAAGGGGGAAAGAGGCGATAACACGTTTTCCGTCCTCAATGGCCCCTCATTCAAACGGGCCGCTTTAGGTCTACGGCCCATGGGGGGAGGACCCTCCTCAACTCCTCCCACCCACCACCCCCAATTTAGCCGATTCTTCTCAACGCGGTAAAGGAGTGGTCGCTTATTCTTTCCCCCAAGCGTCCACTACTTGGTCGACGTCCTACTGTATCTACACAAAACTGATGTTCAGTCATACCAAAAATCATTAACGCACATGCCAACCAATCATTCATTGAATACCCTTTACATACTGGACGCTAATTCGGAGGTCAAGTCGGCATAAGGTTTGTCAAGCTGCCCTTTTCCACATCCGATTCCGCTCCCAGCCTATCGACCCCGACCTCAGAAAAAGCAATACCGTCTAGGTAACAGACCTCCTTGGATCTATCGATGGTGCAGGAGAGTCGGGAAAGGTCGTGCTGGTGCAGCCTCAGGAGATCGGTATCTGGAGGTGTAGACCGCTAGATCGCGTATAGGGAAGGGTTAGAGAAGAGGGTAGACGGCTGCCTGTCCCACTTCCAACCAGCCGAAGGGCAATCTCCCAAATGGCCCATCGTCCCCTTGTTTCACAGCCGACTTCATTCCGGTACTACCCGATTATGCAGACTCCCCCCACATCTAGCCATCAGTTCACTCTTTCTCTCCCTTCCCTCCCATTCCATCTCTTCAATTTCCCTTTAAAACCAAATTCGTAATTCGGGATTCTGGAGTGTGGCCTGGAGGGGCGCGCGCCGTTGAGTCAGTCGGCCGGTGCTGGACCGTGTCCTTTTGCCTGGACCGCCCGAAGCTGAGTCAAAGGGTCCCGCTTCTCCTTCTCTCACCTTCACTATTCCATTCTTTCACCACGCACCCCCGTCGTACCAGTCCTTACTTGTAGGCCTGGTCAGCCGAGTTGAAGACGGTCAGCCATACCATCCATGCATTTATTGGGCCCGCGGAGGCAAAAGTTGCGTTTCACCACTTCGCCGAATTCTTTTACCGGGTGCGCATTGAAAAACATTAGCGCTCTTACGCTTGAAAAACTCGGAAAGGGGCGCTTTGAAGGCTTTGATGATGTGTTGTTGGCTAATGATTTAGAGACGATTGCACACTTATCAGATTTTTTCCACAAAAAGAACTTTTTACGTAGGTTTTTGCAGTCTTGGCCACACTTTTCGTTAGGATTGAAGTAGCATCAGCCGGAAGTGGTGGAAGCTCATATAAGCGGGAAGCGCAGCGGGTTTTTTTGTGACTGTGGTCTTGCATTAAAATGAATCCAAATACTTGATCCAGATTAGGTAATAGATTAAGGGCATAACCATATGGGACTGATTCAACGGCTGCCAACGTGGGGGGCGAGAGGAGGCTGAAGGCCTTGACCCAAATCGTTGCCCCAGAGTACTGAAGCAATGGCCTCGTCCCTCATTTCTATACATGCCCATCTCAATCCTTATTGGTTTCAGATGATCACTGTCATCATGATACCTCGACTTAATTAGAGCCAGTATAGAATAATCCGACAGGACTTGCTTCCGATGGTCGATTCCCAGGTTATTGTCTTGCATTCACGCTTCGTCGGTTTTATATGTTTTAAATTTTACGCTTTTGCATTTATGCTATAATGATTATGGAGATTTTCTCTTATTCTCTATCTTCATCTCTCTCTCCCTCGCTTTTACATTTTGCTCTCTACCTATTTCTTTCATCATCTTCATCGAATCTGACATTTACCCAAATTCCCTAATCCACCATTGAATCTCCACAAATCAAACTCAACTTTCCATTACCTAGCCCCAGTTGCCGACGTAATGAGGAAAATACGGATTGCAACCCCGGGAGGCCAGGTTCTCGGCAATGCCCCCGGCGGATTCCCATTTCCAAACGAATATGTGTGGGGGGAATTGGATTTGCGCGCGGTGATTACCATACTCTAATAGGACTGTAATGTTCTCGGGATATTGGAAGAGGGAGACTTTCTGTGGGGCAACATGGCCCTCCCTACTCAATCAGACCACGCCTCCACAGCCGTCAACCACCCCTTCTACGGTCTGAACCCCCACCAGCATTCGTGTCTTCAACTTGATCCACATTTTTTTTGTCAAGCACTGCGAGGAACCATTTTTTAATAGTTTTAATCTTTAGGGAAGCACAGGTCTAGCGCCGTTTTATAAAAAAATTACGAATTTATTAGGCACATCTTTGTTTTACAGTGCTCCTGTTTACCATCATCTGGTTAATCTTCTTTCTTTATTTCATTTTCATAATTTCGATTTATATCCCTCGCTCGGGGGTTGATTTCTTGAAAATTTGTTCTTATCCTTTGAACTCCGACCCTTACTCCAATGTTTTCAGGGAAAATTTCAACGTCAATCTGTGGAACTTTATTTCTTTCCACCCACCCGATTTGCCGATGATGAACGGCGGTGTCGGGGGAATGATGGTTGGTCTTGCATAATTACTTATTGAATCGCTTACTCTCACATTCGAAACCATATCCTGAACGGATCTGATCTTAAAGCCACTTCTATCTAAACCACCTCGCTCGATGAGTAATTAGGATCCGATTCTTATGCACCTGAGCCACAAATTGGTACCTATCGAGGTTGACAGCCAAGATTAATATTGGGCGCTACTAGGACAAGTCATTTTCCAAGCTTTTCTTATTAACATTATTTAGTTCCAAGTGATGGACGGTTTGCCACATGGACTTCATCCCCAACTGGCCCAACCATCACATCATCATCCGCATATGCCGGCCCCAATAACTTCATCTATGAATCGGAGCCAAAGGTTAGAGCTACCAGGGTTACGGTAGTTTACAAAAGGTTGACGCTTACACGATCGCATTTGGGCATTGGTTTCGAAAAGGTTGGAGATCGCCAGATCTTGGTAGATGTAAAAATCATGTTTCTGTTGCATTCAATTTCCGTAAGTTCCGTAATTAAAGGGATCCGAAACCACTTAGTATTCACGAGAAATATGGCGGCCTGTATGACGCATTTGCATATTCTAGCCATCGAAACCTGGAAATAGTTGGATTATAAATCCTTACTAGTTTAAATTTAAATTTAGATGTGGCGTCTGCCGGGGCTGCCAATGCAAACCATGTGGACAATGTACCTATTGCCAAGATAGCCCTCAATTTGGTGGGCCTGGTGTGAAAAAGCAGTCCTGCATTGAGCGACGATGTTTGCGAGTGCTGGAAAATCGACTTCAGGTGAGCATCATGTGCGCCTTCCTAAAGAAAAAAATTAGCGTGACGCTCCCACCTTCAAAGCGAGGGTCGGTTGCAACAACTGCGAAGACTGCCGTATGCCAGACTGTCAGATCTGTTTGGTTTGCCTGGACAAGAGGTAGCATACCCGGTTGGATATTATACGTTTGCTCAGGTTTTTCGAAAATCGTTATATGACCGGAGCGATGTGCGCGAAGAAACGGTGCAACAATGCCACGTCTATAGAATTACCCGCTACAGCCCCACCACTTATGCCGGATTATCATCAGAGGCATCAAGTAAGATTCTATAGCTGGTAATGACGCTAGGCAGCTGATGTTGAATCTGCCGATAACTGCGTTTCGCAAGAAATTGGGTATAGTTGAGGGGGGTTGGGCATCGGTAGGGTATATCTGAATACATCTGCCTTCACGAGGTCTTCCCTTATATGGTCAATTACCCTTGTTGTTGCAAGTCGACTCAAAGGCGATAATTCCATTATGAATTAGATTGGGTTTGTTCCAAGTCTTTGGCAGGGTTTAGAGGCCGCTTAGATTCCTTCCATTCAAGCGCTTGGAATGTTTCCAGGAGGAGCTAAGTTCAAGGTTATCGTCAAAAAAATTGTTATTATCCTTTGTTAGGCCGGTATTGGATACCAACCACTTTCAATTTATTTGTCGAGCCAATTCTTGTGATCCCGGCGGCCATACTGTATCCACGGGCAACAGTAATCACGTTAGAAACATTTGGGGTACCCAATAGAGGCCAAGTGCCCCATTCAATGTGAATGCCTATTACCTACCCCCACAAGCAAATCGAGTCTAAATGGCATTGGGTGAGGGTGAGTCCTCGGAGAACAGATTGCCCAGCAACGGGATCAGATGTTCCAGGCACAGAAGCGATGTTATGAATCGAGTGGCGGGATGCCGTTCGATATGAAACGACCAGCAGTGATGTATGGAGGCCCAATGCCAATCCATGCCGCCCAACTCATGCAGCAACGCCATCTCATCATGCCCGCACCACAACCGCAATTCGGTTGGTCATTTAATACGAAGGAATTCCTGGTATATAGTTGGGAGATTTTGTCGTCATTTCTAGTCCGTTGCCGCGTAATACTTAAATAAGCTGCAGACATAGGCTAAGCAAAAGTTAGGCTCAGTCCACGCTTAGAGAAAAACAAAAAATAATCACCGAAAATGACCCGAAAAATTTTTGTCATCTTCCCAATTTACGTGGTACGACAATTTCAACTACCTCGGAAAGTACTTTTCGTTGGTAAAACTATCTAGCTGAGAAATTCTATGCTTATTAGAAAATTCCAGATATGTCACTGCGGCTACCACCCAACCCGATGCCTCCTCTCAGTCTTTCGACACAAAGCCCGATTCCCAGTGCACAAAATTTACTTCAAACCTGCGCGCCCATAACCGAAGTGATAAAGTATCCGGCCAGCGGTTCAACTCCAGTAAGCCATTTAACATCCAGAGATTTTCCACAAGCAAACCCTCAAAAGGAAGTATATCCTGGTTGCACGATATCAACTTAGCTTTCAAATGCAGCTATCATTACAGGGACAACAGCTGCCCCCTACTTCCTCTCCAATGCCACCAACCCCGTCACCTCCAACCTCCAATTGCGGCCCACCTGGTGGTGCAAAGTCTGAAGTCTCATGCTCCACCCCTTCCGCCATCCACGACAACTCTCCTACCCCGAATTCGACACAGGTATCAAACCCTTAAATATGAAATATCTAACCATTGACAGGGGACGCATAGCGAGCCGAGCCCGACGCAAGGAGCCATGCTTTTACCACTTGATCCCTACGGAATGCTGCATCCCTATGGACACCCAAATGATTTCTACGCAAAGGTTTGTGATATTTTGCAGAAAGCCGAGAAGCCATTACTTAGTTTGTATAATTCCAGGCATTCCTTAAACCCTTCATTTGCAGTATTACATGGATGAATTGGCACAAAATGGTGATCCGTTTATGCCACCATCCTATGCCCCGGAGATGAAGAATGCCGTCGTGCTACAGCCGCTATAGAAAAACTTTTTCGTATTTCCGAAGATCTGAACCACTTCTTTCCGGGGACTTAACCTTTTTCAATTTTCGATGTTGCTCTGAGTGTTGTGCTGCTTCCTCCCTTTTTATCATTTTCGGGCCATGCCGCTCGAGAAACGACTTGTTTTCTCGAGTTCGAAACCTGGACCTTAGATGTCGTGCAATATTCCGGTAAAGCTTTTACCCAGAGAGCACAGTGTGCAATTGTGAATTAAGGAAAATCGAATTGAATAAAACGTATTCCCTTTCCCCTTCGGACCCGAACAGACCCGCAATCCTAGGAGTCGAATTCGTTGCTGCTGTGATTGCGCATTCCACCGCCCCATTTTGATGCTTTTAAAATACTAATTCCCTGAATAATCCCTGAATCTCTCTCTCGTCAAATATCTCGATCCACGAGCTCCACTTCCTTACGCCCGGAACACCAATCTACGTTCTGTGATCTGTCTCTTGATCGGTCGTCTAGCTATTTCTCTTCTTCTAATAATTCGGCAATGGAAGTTTGGAAGAAATAACCGCTGGCTCACTCAGAAATCAAAAGGCAAACCTTCCAATTTATTCCCATTCCAATAGCATTAAATATTAACTAGAGTTTTTGAAACATCTATACACGTTCATTTTTGATCCCATTCCCCGTGCGGCCGCGCTCAGCGTCTGTGATTATGCATCACCTTGGCCAACCCTCCCCGTTTCAACAATTCTTTTATATTTATTAAGCAGCGATGAAGATCCGCCCCTGTCAAAAACTATCATTAAATGCCATCCAACCCATTTGACCAATCATATGTCTATATATATCCAACACAGAAATGAACAGCGAGCAACCGTATTCACTTCGTTCGCTTCGTTTTACCTTTTTTCCAAACTGTCTCTTCTCATTCTTGATCCTGTTCTTGTTTCCATAGTTTAAAGATCCACCCCAAGATGTTTACCTAGTTCAAATTGTGCACCCATACGCAAAACGCATAAATTATATTTGGTGTTGCTTAAGGTCGCGAATTGTGTGAGATAAAGATTTACTTGTATATAATAAATACTATTGATACTGGGCGGGAATTTGCATTGGAACTTTAAAGCAAAGTGTAGGTTTTTGTGGACAGCTATTTGGGGAAGATTACGATGCGAATTTGTTCGTTGACGAGGGAACTTTGAGATCACTTTACACAACCTGCTGGCTCACTTAAGGCGCTTGTTAAAGGGATAAGGAAGGTCCAGTAGATCAGGGCTTATCAATAATTGGCAACGAGCCAACCGGAATTGCTAATGAAAAAATGGGTATCGAATGGGGTGAGGCAGGAGGGAGCAGAGAATATTTAAGCTAATTTTAGAACTACACCTGATTTTATGCTAGTTTTTCCTGGGCCTTCCTGATCCCTTTAACAACTCGGATCATATTTTATTCATTTCACTCATTTTATTTAATATTGCATGGCTTTGGAGGCTCGTGGCCTAACCATAGAGCTTTAAAATGAGAGGATGACTATCATATTGGCATAAGCCGGGTCGATGGGCCATTGAGAGGGGGAGGGGTATGTGTATGTGAGAGTGAGGGGGAAGGAGGCTGGGCTTGTGTGCAGTGCCTTGGACCCGCAGCAGCCGCCAACACCACTCCCACCTCTTTCTCCTTTAAAAATGAATCACCCATCTACCGATCCCCCCCTCCTCCCAAGCCCGTCCGTACAACTCTCAGACACATTGATTCAATTGTCCTAACCACGCGGTATCCTAAAATTGCTGCCGACATGTAACTTTTAAATCGGTCACTTTAGAAAACTACTGTAGATACTATATGGAAATTCGTCTGTCCTATTAATTCCGCATTTCAGATCCCGCCATTTTCCCTCGCGGAATTGCCGTTACCATTTTGCGGCTGTCATTATAGTCGTTATTCTGATAAGTTACTCATAACGTGCTATGAGCACACTGAATTAATATATCTTGAATTTTTATGATCCAGAAGTCGTTCCCGATGCCTTTCATCTTTTTGGGTTGCATCTCCTCCGTTCGGAGGCTCCAAGTCTTCTTCTCGTTCGGAGAGGATTATCGGCTGGCAGCGGAGGTTCTCGAGAGTCAAAAGAAGAATTTCGAGGTCGGAAGGAATAAACTTCTCCTGGATTCCTCCTGGGCTTTTCCTGGGAAAATGTGGGTGAAAATTAGTATAAATTAGATCTGTTTTGCTTAAGGGTACGGTTGACTTTTACCAATTATAAACCACGGCTCACGGCTCTATCACGGCAAATGCGCCCCTTTGAATTTTTTATCAGATCACGCTGAACTTTAGTCAACAAAATGGCAAAGTAAACTGCTGACATTATCATTGAGTTAGGTGTCGGTGGTTAACTAAAGGGGAGCTGTGTGTGTGGGAGAATGGCCGTGAGGGGTAAGGCAGTAAACAGGCGGATGGGGGAAACGGGCGAGAGTCTGGACTACAGATGAATCCCGTGGACGCGCGATAGCCGTGTGGCTCCCGGGGGCCATGCCCGACCCAACAATCCCGCACCTCCTCTCAGCCCCTCTTTATACCCTCTTGTTCCTTTTAAACCGACCCTCTGAGCCTCATCCCACACGCCGACCCACATCCCCTCCACCACTACGTTATCTTATCATCAAGCCACAGGCTGCCTCTCGATTATTACTGAAAACATCGCCAAGTCCCGCCCATCTCGAATCCTCCAATTCCCCCTCACTTTCTTCCTCTTGGCGCCGGGCCGGTTTATGTAGCGTCATGCCCGTCGGCAGCTGCCAAGAACACAACATGTCCCCTGGCCCGACTTTCGTTTGCGTGTATCATCACCCCGACATTTCTTTGCGTCCTGTACTATTGTTTTTTTTCTTCTTTTTATATCTCCCTGATTCTAAGGGGCAACATCCTTCAATCGCCCGATTCAAAAAGTACTCCCAGGTCCAAAACGGTTTACGCTATCTAACTCCAAATCTTTTCGATCACCCCCTAAAATATACATATTGACCGAAAATTACAGGAATTAGCGATTGCTTTTTAATATGGCCTTCCTCACAACCTACATCTATGTCCCGGAGAAATATTCAATTCACCAAAACGCTTGTCAGTTTTTGGAAACGGTGTTTAAACAATCCATTTTCCCGGAGCCCCCTCTTTACACTTTCAGTGTCTTTTTGCTTTTTGGGAGGCGTGCTAAGCCGCTAAACAGAACGTTTTCCAGGCGAGCCGCTCGTTGTTTGCGCAGAAATGAGCAAGCGGTGCGCTCGTGAGGAATGCGGGAAGTTGGTTTATCCATTGGAAGAGCTGAAATGCCTGGATAAGGTTAGTACATAACGCAGAAAAAATAGAATGCTTACAGCCTGTAAAAATAAGAAAATTTATTTATAACGACTGAAACGCATCTTTTCAGGTCTGGCACAAAACATGCTTTAAATGCACGGTCTGTGGTATGGCGTTAAACATGAAAAACTACAAGGGCTACAACAAAATGCCTTATTGTGAGCCGTAAGTTGCGGGATGCATATCAGTAGGTTTATTTTTGCAGGCACTACCCAAAGACGGTGGCTAGCGTCGTCACGGATACCCCTGAAATGAGGCGACTTGCCGAAAACACAAAGTATCAGAGCCAGGTATGTCTCTTTCTCTCTCTTTCTCTCTCTCACACTATCTCTCTCTGTCTCTCGAACAATCCACTGGTTTGCACCGGAAACGAGTTGATGCCCTCTTCAATCACTGGATTAATGACCGTTACACTAGGACTCGCTTCAAACTCTTGTCTTTTACAACATAAAAATAGCCTTTCCCCGCCCTGTTGTGCCCTCTATTTTCAAGCTAACACTTTTCAGGTCCAATATCATGCTGAATACGAGAAGCAAAAAGGCACAAAAATCCAGATTGCCGATGACCCCGAAATCTCACGACATATGGCAAACACAAAAGTATGCTAAATTCCAGTTTATCTAACAGTTTTCAGGTGCAATCCCAAGTCGCCTATACCGGGGAACTCGCCAAAAAGCAAAACCAGGACCATCTCCGGACCTATGGCTTCGAGCAAGGTTGGCATCTTTCCAAAGTTGGTTGAGCCCCGGGTTCCAGGTAAGCAGAAGCTACGTGAAAAACACGGCAGCGTCTTGGCAAATGCAGCCAATAATCAAAACGAGCCCGAACCTACCCAGCCCCAACCCACCCACGAAACTCCCCCACCACCCGAAACTAGTCCCGAAACACCTACGAAGGGTGCCAAACCAAAAAAGGTTCATCCCGAGCCAAAAGAGGAGGAAATTACGAAATTCCCTGTTGTGCCGAAGCCCCCAGAATCGGCAAAAGTAGAGCTGGCAAAGACTTTATTGACTAAGGACCCGGAAAGGAGACCCTCTCTAACTACGCTAAAGCCAAAGCCCGTACCCATCCCAAAAAAGTTTGAGCCGGCCGCCGAGCAAAAACCTGTTGCCGCCGATAGTGGTGTGCAAAAAGTGGCTCCAAAAAATCTGCGCACTCAGAAAACGACATCTCTCTTTTCCTAGCCATTTCCTTTTGTTCTGTGATTCTGCCTATCCATGTCCGATTTTGTACGCCCGGTTAAGAAGTATGTGCAGAGAATAAAGAACGCGTGAGATTCGTTATTGGCAGCTGCACGACGTTTTCCTTCTTCATAACCGGGTGCCCCTTGGTTCTTTTGCTTTTCACTGCTCCGTTGACCTCTCACAAACCTTCCTTTCCGGCTAGAGTATTTAAAATCTATGAGTGATGTGAAAAAATGTTCTCCCATTTCTTTTAAAAACAGTTTTTTAGAACCACAACAGAATGCGCCTACCCCGACTTTTGGGACAAGTTCAGTCAGCCAACCCGGCAGTACTGTACTGTACAGTTCGGAACAAGGGGGGACAAGTAAGCCAAAAAACGATATTACTCAATGAAACCCTTTTAGTACAACAACAACCGCGCATTGTCGGAAGTATTGTTGATTACGATCCGATGAATGGACAATATGGATCTACCGCTGCACAGAGTCAGTGATACCCAGATTTTCGTATATACTCCGTTTTGCAGATCAACCCACTTCCTATTTGAATGGAGGTGCAGCAAAAACCAGCAATGCCAAACCGGTTAGATTTTTCAACAAATACAGATCAACGCATTGTAGAAACACGAGGAGTTTTTCACTGTTCGCGCCATCTACTCGTACGAATCAAAAGATTCAGATGAGGTACGTTGGCAAAAATAGGATCCCTCATCTTATTGATTATAGGTATCTTTCAATGAAGGTGACGTCATCGTCAATTGCAAAAGTGTTGATGAGGGTTGGATGACTGGACTTGTACAAAATACCAGCCAATGGGGCATGCTCCCAGCAAATTATGTGGAACGAATTTGATTTATTTATTTCGACCGCCGCCATCTGATCCCAGATTTTTATGACCCTGAAGTATGTCGTACCCTTGTATCGAGTTATGGAGAACTATGTATATTAATTTTCCGACCATAACTTACGATATATTAATTACATCAAACCGTTATAAATGGAGCTGGGAGATTATTTTCTAAAAACTAAAAAAACTTGTTCCGAGTTGCAAAATCCCAAGTGACAATTTTTAAACCAGCTCAGCTCGAGCAAAGCAATCTAAACTTGACTAAAAGCCGTAGTTAAAATTCTCGGAGTGGGGTAATGATTTCTTTCAGATATTTATAAATCTTCTCGCCACAAAATTTCGTTTAATTTATTCCGATCTGATTGATAATGGGCTGGAAACGGTTTACGCTAATAACTGGTTCTAAATAAACAACTACCCTACTTATCCCAGCCAATGTTGCCTTATAATACCGTATCCTGTTCCCACCCCGATCTGGTGCATGCAATTCAATTCAGCTATCCCGTTTACTACTACGCTTTACAATCCTTACAGCAGCTATTTTACAAACCGTTTTTTCAGTTATTTCCGCATTTCAGCCAAATCCAGTGCCTTATAGCCGGCCAAATAGAGAATGTTTCAGCGCGCCGCTTGATTGAGAAAAATAATAAAGATTTAATACATTTGGGTCCCAACAATACATCAATGATGCAAAAAATGCAGTGGACCGCGGGTGCAAATCGATTCGGCACAGTTACCGGCGCATTGCAGCTTCACGCACGTAAAGAAATCTTACGAGGCATAAATTATTTTATTGAGAAAAGAATATATTTTCTGTTCCTGGTAAGCAAATCTACCCCGTAACCATTCAGTTCGTATTGTCTTGTAAAAATGTCAAACCGGGAGCCATACCGGAAACCAGTTGCCACCGAGGCCACCTACACGCTTAGGGTTTTCGCTTGCGCCGAAAATATTAATGTGTTTTCCTGCCATCTTCTTGACTTAACGAGGGTCGAGGTTAAGGGCAGCAGATGGTCAATGTGGTTTATTTGAACCGGTGGTACACTAGAGGCCACTAGACGGCGATAATGCGCGCGAATAGAGCCGGGGGATAGGGCCCTATTCCCATAACGATAGTCAAGGCCCAGGAAAAAACAACGGTCTGAGCCTTCTACGCCTAGAATCTCGGCCATTCGAAGCAAAATGAACATGCATGAAGCCCCGTTTGGCCCAGCTGGCTCCAGACTTCAACAATATTTGGGAGGACCCCCGGCCGGCCAAGCGAGAAGTCGGTACCATTCAAATTCATCTTCACGATTAAAATTTCCTATCAAAGTTCTTTTAGCTGAGGGCCCTTTTCAAACAACCAATTATGGACAACATGCCAGCAATTCCGGATTGAATGCCAATGTAAGAATCTCTCAATCACGCAGCAGACATTTAGGTTCCCGCATTCATCCCTCGATTTGCCCAAATGAATTTCCAAGAGCCGAAGGAACAACGACAACCACAATCCAGCTATAACCCAAATCAACCGTTCAATTTGGCGCACGAGCAGCCGACTGTCTATCAGGTACAAAAAAATCCACAGTCTCACCTTATGACGACTTGGCATTGCGCGCCGTCTATGTAAAATCCCCATATTTTTTTTTCAGAATCAGCAACCGTTCTACTATGGCGACCAGGGTTCACAGTCCGATCGATTTGATGGCGACTCGGAGCCGCAAGCTGTCATTGTAAGTCGGAGGCTGATTAAAATAACTGTTTTCTAGCAAACGAGCGGTGCTTTTCAATACAACGGTCCACCACCTCACATCGGAAAATTTCGGCCACGTGGTGCAAGCGGCGGAAATAATGCTACCCAATTTATATCGCCCGAGTTAAAGATGGTTGGAACTAGAGATGTTTTTATTCAGATACGACTAAACCGGAAATTCAACTAAGTCGATTCGGCTCATTCATATTCAAATAAGCATTCTTTAATCGATTAAGGACATCCGAATCTGAATAAGGAATCCGTAATTCGAGTAAACTTAGTCGAATTAGTCGAATCTTAGCCGAATAAGCTCATGTTTAGGCTTAGGCTTAGGCTTAGGCTTAGGCTTAGCTTTCGACTAAGCTAAGCTAAGCCTAAGCATAAGCTTTGCTTTGCCAAAATATGGCCAAGTTAGATTTCCAGCAACAGAATTTCCGGGTATTTCTATTTTTTTTCATAGCAGTTCCTCGTCTAAATCCTCATTAGCATGTTATTCGACTAAACTCGGCTAATTCGACTAAAAGGCGCCTATCTGAATAAGATTTTGCTGATTTGGTTAAGCTAATCGGAATTGAATAAGGAAATTTGGCATTCGGCGAACCTTAGTGACGTTAGTTGGTTGCATATCTTAGTTGAATAATGACATCTCTAATTGGAACTTGATGAACTTTAAAATTGAATCAATGCGTCTGATAAAACATCGCCTAGGAAATAATTTCGCAAATTTAGGAGCTCTTGGACCGACAGCTCGTTATTGAATGCAAAGCCGATCCTGCTATTTACCCGGATTTGCCTCAACAAATAGAACATATGCGGTATGACATTTATGGCTGTAGATAGGTTTTCCCCTTCAGAGATCTTGTTCCCTTGGAAAGTCTGCCACTGGCTCCCTATCCACCAAACCAAGTTTCAACAGTGTACAAAGTCGTATCTGTACGAGATGGCACTCCATATGTTATCCGTCGAATCTACAGTTTGTCAATATTCTTTTCACAAGTAATTTCAAATTAAGACTATCGCCCTGGGCCACAAAACGCAAAGCCACTCTATGCTGCAGATAAATGGAAAAAATTGGTACACGTGAATATTATTCAACTTCGCGAGGTCGTCCAAACGCGTGGATTTGGTGATAATTGTAAGTAGAGCACCCACCATCCCAAAAAAAGCTTTTAGCATTGATCTTCGTGTCCGACTACCATCCTAAAGCTCTCACTCTACGTCAAATGCATTTTTCTGGGGCTGGCGGCTTCCTAGATTCAAATAGTATACAAATTAATATTATACAAATAATTTCGAACAGGTGGTGCGAGGATTGGTCAACACCATCCAACTGGTCCATTTGTTAGCGAACATACGCTATGGAATTATATTGTCCAAATTACTTCGGCTTTGCGGTAGTAGCTTCATAATGGTTTTAACTTGAGCTTTCAGGGTCATTCACGCGGCCGGTCTTGCTGCTCGATGCTTGTCTTTGGAGAAAGTTTTGCTTCACGGAAGCTCTAAGGTTCTATTAAATATTCTCAATTATCCTCTAACGTTCTTTAGATTCTTCTGTCTTCGTGTGGAGTACAAGATGTTTTGAACGGTGAAGTGGCCACGATCCAGCAAGCTCAGGTAATTGAAAAATTAATGCTTACATGCTTGACCAATATTCTAGAACAGTGACTACAACGCCATTGGACGTCTGATCTTATCGTTATGCGTTGGAAAACTGAATTTGAATAATCAGAACATGCAGCATGCCATGAACCACGTGGCCCATCATTATAGCAACGATATGCAAAAATTCCTCGGGTACTTTCCCTAATGGTTATGTATCCCTACCTAGGTTTATGTTTTCAATCGATCAGACCAGCCGGCCATCAGTCATCGATATAATGCCATTTGTAGGAGCTCGCTTTTATGGGCAATTAGACAATGCGCAAATCCGGGTTGATATTCTCGAAAATGAATTGAGCAAGGTAAGAATACCGAGCAAGTCTTTGCGAAGTATCCTGTTTTCGGGCTAAATTAGTTGTTGACTTTCAGGAACTGGAAAATGGCCGACTTTTCCGACTTATTTGTAAGCTAAACACAATTATCGAGCGCCCTGAAGCTGAATGGACGGAAAATGGAGACCGTTTCCTATTACGGCTTTTCCGCGATTACGTTTTCCATCAGGTAGAGTTGGTAGCACATCTAAACCCATCGACACCAAAACATCCAAACACTGGAACACTTTAGGTAACAGACACCGGAAAGCCATGGATGGATCTAGCGCATGTTGTGCATACACTGAATAAGGTGCAGTTTTTTTGAAATTTCCGTAAAAATGATTTTAGTTGGATGCCGGAATCTCTGAGAAGATCTCACTTGTTTCGCGCGACGGCGAAAATGTGCTTATTGTCTCCTATGCAGATCTCAAACAGTAATCTATTTATGTTTACATGATGATAATCACGCTATTTTAGTTGCATGCAGCAAGCATTTAATGAGCTCGCTACGGCGTCTGGAAGAAGTTGAAATCAAAGCCGTGTGTTTTAAGATGTTATCCATAGTTTCTTACTCTATCTTAGTGTACATCGTGATTCGCAGCCTGTTCTTGGTGTCTATCAATTGATCTTATTTTACCAACTGTCTATAACTTTCCACTTGGAGAGTTGTATGGCAGTCTTTGGCTCGAGAAAGAGAATAGAATTCGCTCTCGAATTGACATATCGAATATATTTGGATATATAGGACGTCCTTTTGTTAACCGTTATGCTCCAATCTTTCCGATTAACCCAAAATTCTCGCGTGCTGCGTGTACATTGGCAGCTAGTGAACGTCCTTAGCTTCTTTTGCGTCTCGACCAGGGCAAGTCCCGTCATTCATTCCGACCCAGCACCTTCCCCGTGATTCGATAACTTTGCATATATAAATAAACGACGTTTAGGATATTTTCATTAACTGTTGGAATACCGCGAATAAATCTGAAATGAAAAGCACCTGCGGTCTGCCAGAAACAATCGGCTCCTTCCCTCATTTTTGTTTATATAGAATCGAATATGCTATGCCATATATTGAGCCTTTTCTGGCCATTCCACTTGTACGTTGTCCGCCCATACTCGTTGAGATAATTCGTGGGGGTTTATGCAAGGTTGGCAGAACCCTTTGGCGGGTGTACGAAGGCGTATTGCGGAGCTAGCCCCACTACTGACCACCGGTCCTAGCCGGGGAAGGGGGGGGGCTGACCAATTACCTCTCGTGTTGCTCTGTTCCCTATAACACCATCTATCGCCCGGCAATTTTCATATGGGTCGATGGCGCGCCGGCCCCTCGTCGCTTTTCCAAGCCCTTTGAGCACTAACGCGATCGATGACGCATGACATACGCCGTTGTTCATAGTTTATCCAGCTAATCCCCGCCAAGATATGGCATTTGAACATCAACCATGCACACCTGTACCCCTACGAAACCTCGACAATTTTGTCTTAGCTTTGCCGCAGCCCCTGTCTCATACATTTAGCTCATTAGCATGCGCATTTTTAGAAGGCATGACCATTGTAGAAAATGACCGGAAAAATTTACGTGTATCAGATCCAGATTTTGGCGCTAGGTACACTTGTCAGCCTCTCAATAACCTGTCAAATAACGCGCAATATGCATGCATTTCTATGCAATCTATTGTTTTTATATACCCTAAAATTAAAATAAAATACTTGGGTCGCCCAGGCCGGCATACATAGACACGCCTTGTTTTTGCCCGAAGTAACTGCCGATTATTTTTATAATTATAAGCTGTATCTTAAGGTATCTAATAACAACGGCAATTAAATTACAATTTAACGTGCAGAAAATTTTATCCAGTGAGCTTACTGCCTCTATATAACCCTGTGTGTCTTTTTAAATCTTTCTTTTACTATTTTACCCTTGTATAATACGATCTATCTCAGCATGCGAGGCCCACTTCGCGTGTGCCTTATACTGCTTCTCGTGGGATCGATAAAAACCGAAGAAGATGATTTTGTGCCAATTCCATTCGTGGCTCCCCAACTATCTGGTCGGCCCCACTTTATGTCGTATTTCGACAAGGACGAAAAGGTAAAGGCTTGAAAAGTAAAGTTTTAAACGGTACCTTATTCTTTTTAGATAGGCGATGTCTGGGTAAAAAGTACAGCCAAGAAAGATAGTGGGGATGAAGAAGTGGCAAGATATGATGGTGATACCGATATAATGTATAAGCTTCTGCTTTAGGTGATTGGTCGATTGGCCCCCAGTCGGACCCAGCCATCGACGGTGATTTTGGTCTGATTGTCAAGAATAAGGCAAAGCATCATGCCATCGCCGCTAAACTTGAAAACCCCTTCATTTTTGCGGAGGATGGCAAGCCTCTGATTGTTCAGTAAGATAATCATTCCATTGCTAGATCATGCGGATTTTAGATACGAAGTCCAATTTGAGGAGGGCCAAGACTGTGGGGGAGGTTATATAAAATTGTTAAGCAAGGGAGCTGAGAAATCGTTGCAGGGTTTCCAGGTCCGCTCTTCCAAGTTGGCTTTAAAATCAGCTTACAGGATAAGTCTCCATATTCTATCATGTTCGGCCCAGACAAATGTGGCCCCACAGGAAAGGTCCATTTGATCTTTAAATACAAGAACCCGAAGAATGGATCCATTGATGTAAGTTAGAGTGGTGGGCCTCGAACCTTTTTTAGGAATACCACGCCACCCAACCCCAGAATATCCAGAATTCATTGTGGGACGATCATAAGCCCCATCTTTACAAATTGGTCCTGAAGCCATCCGGCGATTTTGAAGTCAGCGTCGATCAGAAATCCCTGTACTACGGCAACATGCTAAAAGTCAGTTTAGGTGAATGTGGCCTATGGTATTTTTAGGACCTTACCCCGCCACTGACGCCACCGGATATCATTGCCGACCCGGAAGACACGAAACCAACGGATTGGGATGATCGGGCGGAAATTGAAGGTGAGGGTGGACGACGTTTGCAACCGGGATTTTTCAGATGAAACTGCTGCTAAGCCGGATGATTGGGATGAATCACAGCCTAAAGAAGTGGTCGATACGAATGCCCAGAAGCCTGCCGACTGGCTAGATGATGAGGTTGTTCGTATACGAAAATTGCTTCATTTTTTCTAGAACCCATTGATCCCCGATCCGGAGGCTGTCCAACCATCCGATTGGGATCATGAAATGGATGGAGATTGGGAAGCGCCAATGGTTCGATTTTGGAATGTTAAAAATTGGCTTTCATAGATTGACAACCCACAATGTGTTGGAAGAACTGGATGTGGTGAATGGAAGCCGCCCACCATCAAGAACCCTCTTTATAAGGTTCGCAATAATACTCATTACGAATTTGTGTTTAAGGGAAAGTGGCGTAAGCCTAAGGTTGCTAACCCGGCCTACAAAGGTGTTTGGACTGCACGACAAATCCCCAATCCACATCACTTTGAACCGATTCCGTTCGCCGGTCTCGAGCCAGTTACAGCCATTGGCATCGAATTGTGGACCATGAGTAGCAATATTATTTTCGGTAAACTTCTAAACTTGCGAAAACGTCGGAGTTTAGATAACTTCCTCGTTGTCGATGACCTGAAATTGTCTGATGAATTCACTGAACAAACGTACGCCGTGCGTCGAACTGAAGCTGACCGTCTCCTGTATCATCGTGGAGAAGGCGGTGTCGTCTCTTCGATAATGGCCGCCACAAAGGAACGTCCTTGGTTATGGGTTGTCTTCGCTCTCTCCATCATCCTACCCGCTATTGGTAAACGAAATCCAAAATTTCGATAATTTTTTGCTTTAGCCATTGCGGCCTGTTGCTTCGGGAAGAAATCGACGCCTGTTCCGCAATCAGACGCTATAAATAAGAAAACAGACGCCGTCGTGCCGGACGATGAAGTGGTAAGCAATGTTTGAGACTATTTCATTTCATCTTCAGACTGAACAACTAGACGATGGACAGCGTACTGACAGCCCGTCGAAGGGTACAGTGTCAAATATGGAAGACATGGAGGTGCGTCACAGATTATAAAAACCTACGTACCATTTCTTTCGGAAGTAATACTCAAGGTTCTCGAAAAATGTATACGTTATTTCCTATCTGTTGGACCCTTTCCCTATCGGTCACTAAAGTGATTTTCGAGGACATCACTTTCAAAACTTGCTCTTCAAAAATGCAGATCGGCAGTTCAGGCTCACTTCGGCTGGGACCGCAACAAGCTTATTCAAAACATAACTCTTTGCAGGATTCTGGGACTGATGGGGACGAGGAGGAGGACGTCCCACATGCTGAGTCGGACATGGATGTTGGTTACGAGGCTGACGATATGCGGAAAGACGAAGTGAAAAAAACTGTGAAGACCCCGAAGGGAAAGGCTAAGCCGCGCAAGGATGCTTAAGAAATACGGGCTTATTGTTGAAAATGGGTATATGGCTTTGCGCCGGATGCTGTCTTCCTCGTTGTGCTCCCTACTATTTCCTTCTTGTGGTCTCATACTTTTAATGCCAATATATTTCCTATGATTTTGACATTTGTTGTACTAGAATATTTCCTGATTGTTTGAAAAAAGTTTTGATGATTAGCGGTTATACCACAGGGCATGTCTTTTCGTGAGAAAACACGTGCTAATACAAATCAAAAACATTGGCCTAGCCAATCTGCAAACAGTTTGGGATTCTTGTGATGACTAGTGCCTACAGGAACACGTTGATAAGTTTATTCATGATGACTGAGAAATTAATTATGTCCTGGAAAATCGTAATTTTGATGCATATGGTGTGCGTAGTGATCATGATGTTCATTTGCTGGCAAGGTATAAGCATAGCCGTTGTAATCGAGTAAGGTAATACGCGGCGGGCCCCTTGATTGCTCGGTCACTAAATCCCCATCCATGGCTAATTGATGGAAGACGCTGTCGGGGTGAATTTCCAAGCCTAAAAATAATGCGATATCAACGATTGACGGAACAACGATTGGTTTTATTAGGCAAGGTTCTCTAGAGAATAGTTTGCCCTTACCGATATCTGGGCCATGGTGATCGGCTTTCATATGGGTGTGGATACCGATCGTCTGCGGCTTTAACAGGCCCATTTCCAAATCGGAGATTTCGAAATTTGACGACTAAAACACGTCATCAATTCCTTCTTACTCACCTTGAGAGCATTCGTTAAGGTGTTAATGTAATTGATCGTGGCTTTCAAGATTTTAAGCTTAGAAACTCTTTTGCTGTGCGCCCGTAGAGAGGGAAGATGACCCTTCAATAGTTGAAATGCCTGAAATTTCCAATAAGCATTCGAGTTTTGCGGGATATGCACGCTGCTAATTTAATTTGTATATGGGTGGCCTACACTGTTAACATTCACCTACCTGGTTAACGGTATGGACACGAGTCCGCTCACGTGCATTGCGTTTCGCGACAAGCTAAATTTTTGTGTAGCTTGTATTGCGACTCGTTTGGCCAATACGTCGTTGGCGATGTTTCGGTTGACGAGGAAACGTTTCGAAGGTGCTTTTGGATTTTTGAGATTTCGAAGAAGCTTCTTAAAGTTTACGTTATGTCGCTGAGCACAATAATGGGCAAAATCGGTCTTTCAGACAAAATTTTCTCCAAAATCGCAGTCGTCCAGCTTTTCTTTGAAGGAAGGGATTGGTTCAGTATTTCGAGCTTTACCGAATGAGCTGTGATACATGCACAAAATCAAAAGAAAACGACTACTTGCTAGTATACAGAAAGTATTTTGCGAGAAACAGGCATTCCATCAGGCGATTTCCATCGCGCTTGAAAATCACTGATCAGAAAAGTTTGCGGCCTCCTTGAGTTGTGTTTATAAATTAGATTAGCTACTTGTGTTAATCAATAATAGGCTCTATCCACTCTAGCAAAATGATATTAGAAATAATACTTGCGGAGTTTTCTCCCATGCCGCCGCTGGAGTACTGCCGACACAACCTTTCCCACCAGGAGGACACATCTGCATATATTGTGGACCATAGTCACCCATTGCGGTAAAATCGTGGTGAATTGGATCGAAATGGCCTTGTGTGTATGCGGGTCTTTGCCATATCGCTTCATCACCTATGCGCCGTTTCATTTCGCCCCCGTTTACCGTAGCCGTGAAAGCACCTGCCGATGAAGGCGCTGATGCCTTCCATCCCGGTAATTACAAGCTATGATTTTGATTGGATTCCGGCCTAGGTAATGCTAACAAGCCCTGAAAATGTCGGGACCAGCCATAAATGAACCGTCGGGAATAGTGCGACGTTAATAAAGAGAATGATCTATCCTGCTAACAAGGGAACCACAAGTTGGCACGGTGGAATTTCGAAAAACGCTCGCGGCTACCCCTAGGTTTTCGACGACGGCGATTCCAACGCGCTAGTCAGAATTAGCTAAATCGGCCTGTGGACAGAGATACAGCACTTCCGGAAAATGGTCAATTTACATTCGGAGGAATTAGCATTCACCTCAGGGTTTATGAGGGCTTCCCATCTCAGAAGAATCACCAGTTGAATGGCCGGGTGGTAAGCGGCTAGCTTGTTAGGATACTGACCAGGGTTCGAATCCGTTCACGACTTTTTTTTTGCGTTTTGGACGGAACTTTGAGCAAAACTACAAGCTTCTGAAAAGCTACTCGTTCGTTTGAAAGGGGCCGTCGCATGAAAGATGTAATTTCAAAACGTTTTTGCAGGAATCGGCCTGATCACAACGAATAAAAGCTTTACTATGTGAAAAAAGCGAAACTTCCGCCCAAAAAGCAAAACAAAAAAGTCGTGAACGGTTTCGAACCCTGGTCAGTATCCTAACAAGCTAGCCGCTTACCACCCGGCCATTCAACAGGTGATTCTTCTGAGATGGGAAGCCCTCATAAACCCTGAGGTGAATGCTAATTCCTCCGAATGTAAATTGACCATTTTCCGGAAGTGCTGTATCTCTGTCCACAGGCCGATTTAGCTAATTCTGACTAGCGCGTTGGAATCGCCGTCGTCGAAAACCTAGGGGTAGCCGCGAGCGTTTTTCGAAATTCTACCGTGCCAATTTGTGGTTCCCTTGTAAGAAAAAACCTGGGTTCTTTGCTATGTATGTACCGGACCAGCTTGTTCCTGAAAATAAAATTTTGATATAAACCAGCGCTGACCCCCCGCTACGCGGGGGGTTCAGCGCTGGCCCCTCCTACCCCGTAATTTGAATTTGAAATTTCAATGGAAAATTTGGCTGAATTCCCGGTCGGTCGGGCGTACGGACATTAGAAATTTATATATAGTAGGCAGAGGAAGCATTTTTACCGTGTTTTATTTTCCCAAAACTTAAATATTTTGCAAAAATCTGGAAAAATATTAAGGTGCGTGTCTAAATTGTTTTGACAAACTGAAGTATAAGTTGCTATGACGTGATTATGAATGTCGGGACATACAGAAAAATAATTCTTGGGAAATACTAAGGCAAAAACCGGGACTCCATAGTAAAATTTTTTTGCTTCGCTACCTTGACCGATTACGACGTCTTTCATTCGTAAAATTGAGTTGATTTGATCAAGACAATGATGCTTTAGCAAAAATTTTGAGCATTTCAAAGCTTGTGTCTTTTTACCACCGGAAATGTTTTTTTTAACTGGCTTTGATTCTAGACGACATTTAGTAGTCGACGACAGGTGGAAGCATGGCAATGGATCTTGTCAAGCCGAGCTGGGAAGGCCTAGAATGAAGAATGGTCTCCGGAGTGGCTGGGTGTCTTTTTTTGATAGCCCTCCCCTCCAGTTGGATGCTTGCTTGTTGGGGCTGAGCGTAAAGACAGTTGCTGTCGCTCGCATTCGATGACCCCAGCATCAACTCTATAACTTTCTCTGCCACTGACCACTCGGCTTTATTTTCAAATAATTTGATGCCCACTTTGAAATGGCTTTCTGAATCTTCCAATAAAATTCGTTTAGAAATGTATCAAAATGAAAAGGCGTTGCCTGCAACACCCCAGATAGCATCCAAGAAACCCCCTAAGCTCCTGCAAAAAAATATAGGCAAAAATAAAAGTAATTCCATTACATCTACATAAAGGGACTTTTTAGAGTCGCAATATGAGGAAATCATGTTGGTCGCGCCTCCAGAACATGTGGCTTCAGGAACAGGTAAAAATTTCGTTGATTCTGATGCCCAAATCAGTTTCATCTGATCTGGGGGTCAGAATTCGCGATAATTTGTTGGATCGGGTAGAGAAGGGGTTGATGATCCGGAGAGTAATTATATGGCCATCCAGGGCCACCGGATGGCCCCTGGTGGTCATTTCTGGGTATCGAATATGGGCCCGGAAGCTGACCTTTGCTTTTTTCCATTTGGGTTAACATGATTTCCGGCGTAAGGCAACATGTTTTAGGGCATAGATGGCAACTAAACTAGATTTATGTTTTCATGCACTCGAGCATCTTTAAAGTGTAGATGTATTCGTACTTTCCGTATTTTTTTCAATACACCGGAGCCTAAATTTTTCGATCTTGAGATCGAACATGGATTTCAATCGCTGCGGCTTAAAATATTAATACCAGAATAATGCACAAACTGGAGTGGTCTTAATATTTTTACTTAATCTAAGCACAAATTTCAATATATTCTGCCTGAGGATGGGTAATACGGTAATAGTTCCTTTCCTTCGTTAAGTTTGAAATGAGTAGCCACTGTTGAGGAACCATGTCGATTGCTCAATGCGGGCCTGCAATATTTTGTTGGTGGGTGCCCGATTGGCCACATCGTGCCCTGGGTACGACGCACATGTGTCCCCCCTTCGGGTGTCGGAGAGAATGAAGAAGGTGGAATGAGTCACAGCTCAGCCCCCCAACCATCCCATCCACGACCACTATTCCGATCAATCTGCTCACCCATTGCTCGTATTCAATGGTTTCACGTAGCTGCACCTCATCACCGTATCATGCCAAAATCACACCTTTAGCTGGCCAACAATCTCCGCGCGTCGAGAGTTCAACATCACCCGACATTTCGTCACCGGGCTCATCAAAGCGTACCCATAGTACATCATTCAGGTAACTGGGACCTGTCTTGGCAACTATTCCAATTAGTCTATAAGTTCCGCAGCATTTCCTAGGTAGCTCCCTTTGCCCGAGTTGCCAATCAAATGTCTATTCTCCTAGCGTTGCGTGTGAATACATATAGATCGGGCGTTCAGCACCAATACAGATCTCATTCACCATTTACTATGTTCATGTTTTTAGAATGGAAAATGGGGCTCCATTTCCGCGCGTGGCGGCTGGGATTTTCCATCAGAAGCCGCAGCCAATTCTCTACGGCACCCCGCAGCAGCCAGGTAAGGCGGGTTAATCGGACATTTCCCTACCGCTATGTACTCAACAAATTTGTTGGGACGGCGTATCAATGACCATGGGCCTAGAAGACAGTTGGGGGGTGTGCCAATGTCTTATCGTGATCGTATGACCCCAATGGCTCCCCGGGCCTTTCCGACTCTAACAAGGGAAGGTTGTTTGGGTCAGGTGTCAAATCTTTCTGAAAATTTGCCAGTTGATAGAAAATTGAAAACGGAACAAGGTGCGCTAAGCCGTTTTCTGCACAATACCCCTAATTAAAAAGTTATAAGCATTTTAAGTTTGTGGCCTATAAATTGAGTTTTGCGCAGGCTTTTACACCAATACCGCTCCGTTTCCACATTTTCTTCATGGGTGGTTTCTTGACCCACTCTCGTCTCCACTCCCCACGTCGCTTCTAGCGCAATCGGTAGTGCGTTTGACTCACAAACTTTTGAAAAATTTTTGGCGAAAGTTCGAGACTAAAACTTTTCTATCTTTTTGCTTTTTGCTTTTTGCTCTTGCAAATTAGGGTTAGTTAGCGTAAAATCCAAAAAGCAAAAAGTTTGACGCATCAAAAACTTGAACTCGATTATAAAAATCTAAAAAATTTCGTACTCTATGGCACTACCTACTGCGCCAAACAGCTTGCCAGTCGGGCGACGCAAGAGCTTGAAAAGGGGCAGGCCACAATGAGGACTAGGTCAGAATTGTCGGGTCGTTTCGTGCTTTTTTATGTAACTTCAAAGGCCTATAACTTTTTAATTTGGGGTATTGTGCAAAAAGTGAGATTAAGAAACCCCACTTTATTTTTGATTTTCTATCCACTGGCAGAGTTTCAAGTCAATTTGACACCTGACCCAAACAACCTTCCCTTGTAAGCTGCCTCCCCGTCACATTTGCATATGTGGCAGCGGAAACATTCGCTAACAAGGTGTTTTAATGATCTTATGATTTTTATTTTTCTCTCTATTCCTTACCAACTTGTCGTTTTTCTTCTTGAGTTTGAGCCTCCCATATGGTATCCAGCCGTAATGGGGTGCCAAGGCATAGAGAGGGGGCCCTGACCTGTGACCTCTATCCCAATCATCATTTTGGCATTCTGTTACACAAGCTCCCCCCCCCCCCCCCCACCAATTGGCCTTCATAATCGACTTGTGACCCAAGGCCCAAACTTGCTTGCTCGCTCCGTCATGCTTGGACAGAAGTGTTGATTGCAATAATGTGGATAATAGAGTGGTTTTCGAGCCCGAGGCTTTCCATTGTGACACCCGATCCGCGAGGGGCCAAATGAAAAGCGCCGACACGTTTCCCATACAAGCCTCATTCGGCAGCCCACGATGACCCTCACAGCGTGCTTGCTTTACGTTTTTAGCACAGCTTTTCAAAAAATATAGACTTGCCTAAAAAATCGGTGGTTTAATTGTTGGCCATGGCTGAAAAACCACTAGTAACCTTTGAGTGCTAACTCCCAGGACTCGCGGATTCATGACCGTTTTCGCTTTGCATAATTCTTCCCGAAACCTATGAGAAAAATGAAAGGCTTTATCACTTTCCATAAGCTACCCCTCATCCCGGCGAATCCCAATAGTTTCCTAATTAAGAAGAAGGCGGCGAGGTTTACAAATATCTGATTTAATAAGGGAATTAGATTTTGTAAAAACCTTCATTATTGGAAGTCTACTCCGTCCCATTTTACAGATGACGACACTTTGCCCCTATCCAAGGAGCTAAGCTGAGACTCTAGATGCCAAACGCAGTCAGGGCAGGGTTTCTGCAGATGCATGCAAAGACACTTTTTTAAATATTGTATGGTTTATGATTGCTTCGAGCAAAAGCAAGGTATATTTATCTTAGGCAGAAGCACTTCTAAAACGTAACAATCTGAACGATCGGGGATCGATCTTGTCGACAATAGGACCCCCGCAACCCAGTTGTCCGTCGATAAACCGTATCGATAGTGATCTCGTGGCAGGATCCGGGTCGACTTCACAATGGGCAAGGAGTGCCCATCTCCCTCCCATCTCTGACCGTATGTTTGTCTGTCTGTTGTTGGTGTGATGCGGGGCGGAGGGGTTGTGCAGCGCCTGAAATAGGCACTTTGAATGAAGAGGCGTTCATTTCGCGGCCCATTGCACCTCACGCTCATCAGGCGTTCGACGCCGGGTGGGGGAGACGGATACCGTGAAGGGTTGAGGTAGAGGATAGAAAATTTTCTGGAAAGGGTGGCAGAAAAAGGGCGGCGTGACCCCGGGGCGGGGGAAGGAGCCGGCCCATCGCCTATCACTCTCCATTCACTCGCACCATACAAAACAGCCTGCCTTCAGCAATTCTCCGTCGTCCCCGATAGTCTTAACGACAGTCTTCTACCATGTCCCCTCTATCTTGCTCTTTCCCTCTCTAACCCATTATACCTACAAAATTGTGTTGGTGTACAGGGTGTCCCAAAAAAAACGAACCATCTGGCATTTCGCCGTGTTACATTCAATCGGCCCAAATTTTGGACCAGAGGTGTATCAGACCCTAAATAACAACAATCCTGACTTATAACCCCGTAGCTACAGTCGTTCTCGAGTTATAACGAAAATACTGTTTTTCCCGGAATTCTGAACAGTTTTTTCGGCTATCTTTTTGGACTTTGCATCGATTTGCATCGACTTCCGGCTGTGAATCCCTAATTTCGCTTAAGAACTTGGGTAGTTTTGCGTTGTAAAAATCGCTTTAATCGAAGCTTAATTGATTAATTTTACTCTGGAAAAAATTTCTTAGGGTAAAAAAGGCCTACCGGATCATTTTCACTTAATGTTTAGGGGGTCTAATTCCACGAAAACTCGATGAAAAATGGAAAATAAAGTTTGTTTCCGTTATAACTCTAGAACGACTGTAGCTACGGGGTTATAAGTTGTTATTGTTGTTATTTAGGGTCTGATACACCTCTGGTCCAAATTTGGGGCCGATTGGATGTACACGGCGGCCAGTGGTCGTTTTTGGGACACCCTGTATATCCGTCCGCCACTTCGCATATCCAACTTCCAGAAGGTCGTTCCAGTTATATCGAGTTTCATTAACGGGTTTGAAGGTATGCATGCTGTATCTCTGCGAATGAATTATCCCATAAACGCGCGATTTTGTTTCTGAAATTATGTTTTTGTTGAAAATCCGTTAGCCATTTTTGTTAGGAAGTAATTAACATACACCGGAAGTGCTCAATACAAGGACAGAGACGCTTTTCTGCTGTTGTAAGAGCTTTTAAAATGGGTTTACTGTCCTGAGTTTGATTGCCGGGGTCCGTTAATTGATTAGGCTTTGCACGTCGAGCGCGGCAGCCAACTATCGTTTTTTTTTTAGCTTAGAACTGCTTGTGCAAACGGTCATAGGACACAGCCTAATGAAGGGTGGGTTAGTGAGAGAGTGAGTGAGATTGAGATAGCCAATGCGAGTGGATATACATAAAGTATGGCGCAACCGGGTGAGCCATCTCGGCTTGTGACCCGTGCGCCGCAGATGTTTGCCCCTAGGCGACCCTTTCGATGTGTTTGCCTCGTGGTTGTGGGCCAAAGGCGAGAACTCGCCGTTCTCCACGCCTCATATGGTCCGCATCGGCTTTTGCTGTATATGTCTTTTTTTTTTTGAATTTTAGAGCCTTTTTGAGAGGACCTTGTTCGCTCAGCGATTTTGAAAGACGGGGTTTTCTCAATTGGAAAGAACTCCGAATTTTTCAAATGAACTAATAATTCGTATAGCACTACACCGAAATCACCTTAAAGCCGCTCCTTTAATTCATTCCCGGCTTGTATTTTATATGTTACCCTCCCATACCGTAAACTCAGTTTTTCCGAGTCAGCATGCTGAAGAACAAGCATTCACATTGTTCGTCATTGGCCATCTGCGCAATCCCGAATATCGCCATCGAACCGTTTATTTTCAGAGATCGCCTCACCGCAGCTGCCCTCGGCTCGTCCGATGCGCCAGCCGCCCAATCACTTGCCGCCGTTGCCACCCGGCACATCGTCACAACAGCAGGTACGAACAGTTTGCATCTACAAATTGTTATCGAATTCTAGTCGCCTTTGCTGGTTTTCGATGACGAAACTTATGAAGATCCGGAAAACATTAGCCCCGGAAAAGGTTAGTATCGATTTTACGACGAATCGTTTTTTTTTGTAAAATGAAAGTGTAAAACTCTGTTTCCAGGCCCTCCAATGTTGCCAAGCAATATGAATTCTTATGAGATCAGCGCATCGATGCAAAGGCGATCCCAACAAAAGCCTGGTGGTGCTCCCCCTCTCGAAGATTGGTCACCGTTAGAATGCGTGCTGCACAAGAATGCTGATGGCGCCTACTTTATCCCATCCGGTTCAGGTCACTTTCTATTCCATCTTTACGCCTTAGATGCTGTTTTTTGTGGAGAGCCAGAGCCGGTCTCCCTGGTGGTAGGCACCATATTGCGTGTCAAGTGGGCCCTCAAGCTTTGGTTCAAAGGCCTTTGGCAGCCCTTTAGGTGCCCAATCCGCAAATACATATCCGCAAAAGGGACCCCGACACATGTTGCATACTCAACTCTAAACCTTTATGGCTTTAATCCAAAGTTCTCGATTTGTAGTGGTAGAGGAGGTCAGAGCAAAAAGTTTACTTTAGGTCAGAGCTAAAGTTCTGCTTTTCTCATATTTCTTTAATAGGATGTGCTCTAATATAGTCGTTCTATGCCTTGCTATGGCGCCTGAGTAGTTTTAGGCAGCCTAACGGCCTCAGCGGCCTAACGTGCTAAAAGTGCAAAGATTTGTTTGAGTGATCGTTTTGCCCGTAGGATGTTGTCCAACTGCTAGTATTCTCGTGGGTCGACCCCCCCTCTAATCCAACTCTCTTCGTACGAAGATTTAAGACTAGAAACTCCGGGGTTATAATTAAGAGGAATACGGTCATATATAAACTCAGCAATAAGATGGAAGGAGCAAATTCCGATTGTTTCTTCCCTATATTCTTTAATTCCCGATTGTACATTTTTCGATTTATTCAAAACATGCGTCGACTGGTCGATCTAGCCAGCGGGGGTTGTTTCCCACGATTCGGGCCAGGTGGATGCCCCGTTGCCATCTCTATTCGTGTGCATCCATCCACACTCGATACAGGCAGTCATAATATCAATGCCCTCAACCCATCCAACCGCCCTCTCATCGTCTCCCTCAATCAAGCCCTCAGGCCCAAACACAATCCCCCCCCCCGGGCTATAATCTAATAAGTGTGAGAGCGATCTCGTAACCCCGGGCCATTGAAAGAACAAAGGAATCCGAATCAGGACGTCCACCACCGGAAGTGTGAGATATCAATAGAAAATGCTCTGACCAATTGCTCCAACGCAGTGCGTCTTTTAAAAATAGATGGCAGTAGTCGGGGAGGTCTGCACTGTGAATTGTCTTGTTTTTAGTTCTTCCGTACTTTTCTATGGGGCACCCCTATTCCGGGTCCTAATCTCCTAACTGTAAGAATGAGGGCGACGGGGTTGTTAAAAAACCTAATTTTAGTTTTGAAAACAACACATTATAAATTTCTCACTTTTCGGAAGGCTTCTTGATTCCCAAATATCCCTTTCCTGCTTTTTTGGAGAGGAGAACAAGGCTGGCGGGCTGGCACGGGACAAAGAATCCGACGCGGGGGGGGAGGCGGGGCCAGCGGATGAACCTTGCTGAGCGCGATTCTGTAGAAAACCCCTCTTCACCCCATTTCTTCAATCAACATCCAACATTTCATTCTAATGCTAAAGACATACTCTTGCATCTGATGAGTTCTGAAAACAGACCGCCTCTATATTCCCCATTTCTCCCAAGAAAGCCGCCAGCCCATATTTATGAAGAACCGCCGAACGGCCTTCCGAGTCACACAAGATATTGTAGTTTGCCCAGAACTAGTCGGGATGGCCTTTATGTCTATGCTTATCAAGGTGAAGCTTCGGTGGTAGCGTGTATCCAAGGCCCTCACCTGTACTTGATACCTTTACATAAAAAGTAACAAGATTGCTTTTAAAGTCCTGTACAAACAAAACTGACCAGACCATACAGTTCACGATACATAAATAACATCATTCATAGACAAATTTAGTGTGCCCGCCTTCTCCATCCGGCACCTCACCCTCCAGCCTCCCACCACACCTTCGATACGAAAGAGGGCAAGTTTTTTCAGAAAGCGTTTCCTTCATGTTCCATTTTTTCTTTTGACGGCCGAGCGGATGCGGGCAATTATTACTTTGGCGTTTAGTCGGCCTCTTAGAGTAGGGTTTGGCATGGGAAAGGGGAGGATGAATAGTAGCCATGTGCGGGACCCATCAAAAGGCACACCCAGTTCCCATTGTTTTCGAGGGAACCTATTCAGACAGCCTCCTCCTACAGGTGTCCTCCTCTCCTTTTAGGGGACGTCGGGTCACCAATTGTAAAACTGTTTATCCTCATTCGCCCTTTGGGGGTACCCGCATTCCGAGGTGCAACTAGGAGGTTGAGGGGGATGGGAGGGGAACCCTAGAATTTGTTGGGATCGTTGTATAGAGGTGTGAGCCCATTATGCCCGGCGGGGCGGTTGATAGACAAATTGGTAGCCTGACGAAACGAGTTCCCAGCTGCTGGCAACTGGCATTGAAAAAAGATCAAAAAAATATCGGAGAATATATATAACCATATGCATATCCTTAGATTGGCTTCCGGTTTTGGCTTAGGTTCGCTCGGGCTGAGGCATAGGCTGAAGCTTAAAGGCCTACACCGTTACTTCGTGCATTCCAATATCCACCCGCTTCAATGATATTTTCTTCACATTACACGTGTCTTAAAATGGTATGTAATGATTTTATAGTCCAGCCCCGCCCACCCGAAATTTATGATCGCGTTTCGCCGTTGTTCGTAGAGAAGCCATACTCCCGCTAGCGAAATTCCAAATTCACAGCTCTGGGGCTCGACTAATTTTGTGTGTGGCTCGTAGGCATCCTTTCCTAAGCTAGGCCAAACCCTCCTCCCCAAAAATGGCCCTAGGGGGAATGTATACTCAAGGTGCCGTAATTGAAGGCCGGACACGATGGCACACATTTGGCACTCGGCTTCGCAAATTACTAGAGGGGGGCTGCCTTCAGCCACTCGACAACCCATAGCAAAGGGTGTTTGGCGGAGGGGGGGTGAAGAAGCAACTGGATTGAGACATTTGCATAACTCTATCCTGTGACGGGATGTCTGCTGGTAGTGCCGTAGAATCCTGAAGGAAGTAGTGGCCAAGAAGATTAGAGAACATGCTAAAAGTGTGGAGGGATGTCTGTAAATTGGGATGGGTTAGCTAATCGTGCACTATTTATAATTTTATTACGTTACGGTATGGTAGACACCAGGCAATATTATCACCACAAAATGTTTATATGCTTTTAAAGGACCAAACTTTAGCTTTAAAACCTCTCATGAGAGCTAATACCCAGTTTTATTTTTTTATTCCTAGTTCTTTATAATCAGTAATAAAATTATATGGTTTCTCAACCCGTCAGCCATTTTTATAGAATACCTTTTGTACCCCTTCCGTTCCAATAGTTCCCACGCCGAACGTCTCTATCGCAAGCTGTCCACAATCCGGTAGCCCGCTTGATGGAATATTTTGCATATTCCGGAAGCGATCAAGCAATCTCATTAGAATGCGGATGTTTTGGGGTGTGCCCCCCTCGTCGACCCATCGTGGCCATATGTTGCCCTCCAATGCCAGCCTGGGTCTCCACTCGTTTTCCTTGCTATAATTATACACTCATACAGCCACACCGGCAACCCAAGTTGTATCGTGCGACAAATGTCCTTTGGTCCCCTGGGGGATACCTTCTCGTACTACGTACGTTTATCTAGTGGGAATCATGACAGCCGAGGTGAGAAGGGAAATGGCTTTCAGCCAATACGGCTCGCTTGCTTCCACGACTAATCCGCTAATAGTTCCCCTTCGGGAGCAGTTACCCTAAAGCTGTGGCAGCCAGGTGTCATTATGGCACCATTCTTTATCCTTTGATTGATGATGGGGCGAGGGATCATAATTATTTTCGCGCACACTATTCTTCCCAGGTGTTCCACTATTCTATGCTTTTCTGGAACTCTATACCTCTATAAAAAACACAACAAATTATCTCTAGAAAATGTACATTTAATTTGCCCCTTTGCAAGTATGAACCGCTTTGCTCGAATCTAAAACTCTTCTCCTACTCCAAAATTTCAATCCTATTCTACGAAGGCTTGTGCCACAGCCGTTCCCTGAATAGCCTCGGATTTGAGCGCTTCCAAACGGGCCTAATTCGATCATCACCCGGTGCCCTCTAATAGCCGTCGAGCTAGGAGAGAAAATGAGAAGCGAACCCAACCCCGGCCCGGGGCACTGGCCAACCCGCCCTAATTGCGTCAATTTGTGCGCCTTTAGCCACTAGGACCCTAGCTTTTACCGCTCTTCAATGCCCCGTTCGTGTTTGACACCTCTTACATTTTCAATCACAGTTTTATAGATGCACTCTCACATCTAGAAGATTATCTGCTGACCCTCAAGCTACTTCATTACTCAAGCGGCCCGGACTTCCCGATCCAGATAAAATGAAACGGTAGTTTTGAGTAAGATTCAAATACCTGCCACGGTATTTCAGCCTCAAAAGCGAAGCCGGGAAACGGCCGGCATTTCTTATCTTTTGTCTTCTTCTATCACTACTCATCTCATTACTGGCCATATTTTTCTTATTGAGTAAGTGTTCCACTAATTGCGCTAAGATTTTCATAGTACGGGAACCTCGATATATGTATTCTTCTTCTTTGGCGGGCAGCTCATCGTTGCCGCTTGATAGATTATCCGAATTAAGACCTTTGCCTGATTCCATTCAGCTTGGGCAACGGGTCGTTGCGGATCTTTTGCCGCAAAGCCTCGCCTATACGTAAGTTAAAATCGACCCAAAAAATAAGAAAATTCAGTGAGCTCTACATTCCTCGTCCTGCTCGCGTGGTTTTTAACCTAACAATCGGAACTGGAGCGCAACTGGTGCTACTTGGGCGGCACTCTGTAAGTAAATTGTTGCAGCGAAGTACTTAGTATTAGGTGCCACCGTCACTCTCTCTTCACGAGTTCTTCCACCCAATCAGGGCTGAAATGGTATCGACCTCGTCACTTTCACATAGCATTGAAGAAACGATGCGCAAAAAGCGAGATACGGTCGAAATCTTGGTAAGTGTTTTGCATACTAAAAACACAATTTTTGTAGTCGCCACGCACCGCTAGCTTCAAGGACTTTATGCTGGAAGGGCGTTGGCACCTTGCTCTACTTAACGAGCGAAACAGGGTCGAGCCTATCATTTTCTATGTTGCATCAGAAGATGATTTACCAGCGAAGCTCCCGGCAGGGGTTAACACGAATGATTTCCTACGGTAGACTAGCAAACATAAATTATCATTTTGGAGGGTTGTTAGGTGTCGCAACGATTGTTCCGGTAGAGGAGAATGTATGAATGGGGTTTGTAAATGCGCTGCTGGCTATACCGGAAGTGCTTGCGAAGAAGGTGAGTGGCAATGGACTGTATACTAATAATGTTTAGTAATTTGTCCTTTGGTATGCTCGGGCAATGGGGTTTTATCCCTTGGGAGATGCGTGTGTTTTGAGGGGTTCAAAGGCCGCGAGTGTGATGTAAAGGAACATTGGTGTGAGGTGGGTATAATTTGGTCTTAATAACGCCCGACTTTTGGCCGAAGCCTTGAGCCATTGAAAAACCTTAGGTGGCTGATTGTCACGGACGAGGACGCTGTACACCTAAAGGCGTCTGCGATTGTATGGCCGGATGGGGTGGAGATTCCTGCGAAATAGTAAGTACGACTCAACTCATTAATGCGGCTTTTAGAAACTATGCCCGCACCGGACATGCTCCGGAAAGGGGAAATGTCTCGAAGGCATTTGCTATTGTGAGGACGGCTGGACCGGGAAGACATGCACCAGAAATGTTCAGCGCTCAACGGCCAGCGCCTTGTCCACCGAAGTTCAGGACAAGCACGATGAGGTATGAGAATTCTCAAGCGGTCTCTAGCTTCTCCCCGTTTAGCCGACGCATGTCATTGTTGAAGCATCACCTTTATCCCCGCCAATACCTGACCATGACCGACATCATCCGCATCGAGCAAAAGCTAAGCCAGTGGCCAAGCCAATTGACAAAGTCGTCGTGGAATCACTTGCTCCTATTGGTGTGAACGTCACCCAGCCAGGTTTGATTACAAGTTTGATTACAACTGTATCTAAATAGGATTGACAGAAATACCCTGTAATGGCAATGGCCTGCTTGAATCTGATGGCTATTGTATCTGCAGTCCGGGCTACGAAGGGAATGAATGCGAAACAGAGAATAAGCAGGCTGTTGTCCAGACGACTAGTTGCCAACCCGAATGTATCAATGGTGAATGCAATCAGGGGATCTGTACCTGCCAATATGGTTGGAAAGGATCCGACTGTTCTATGGTAACAACAAGGAAGATATTTATATAATGGCACTGTAGGCTGAATGCGCGCTAGGTTGTGAGCAACATGGTCGATGTGAGAAGAATGGAACCTGTCTGTGCGACCGTGGCTGGAATGGCGCTAATTGTTATATTGGTACGGGGAAGCCTGTTGAAACAGAAAATATTTTTTTCAGAGGGATGTCCAAGGGATTGTTCGGGCCATGGACAGTGTCGATTGGAGGGCAATGAATGGCATTGTGAGTGTGATACGGCTCGTCGTGGAGCGGACTGTTCGATACCAATTGAGCATAGTTGCGACGATGGAATAGACAATGATGCCAGTAAGTGAAAGGGACCGGAAGGGTAATGCTCGATTTCTCAAGAGCGTCACTGGCCACCGAGAAGTCTAGGCTAGAAATCGTTTTGCACTATCCAAAAGCCTTTAAAAACGCGAGAACTTAAGTGGATTCTTGAACTAACTAGCATTTCTGGGTTTTAAACACGGTTATTATTCAAAAACAGCAATTAGCATGCCGATCTGTCAATAACTAGCCTTCGAACGATTTTCGACCATCAAAAGTGGGAAAGCTCAAAAACTCTGATTAGAAACCAAAATCGGAAAAATCGTCATTTCGGCGAGCCGCTAGTAGGAGGGTACTTTTCGGAACACCCTGCAACTCCACGAAAATAGAACATAAAATTCAAATTTTCAGATGGACTAATCGACTGTGAAGATCCAGAGTGCTGTTCGAGTGCAACATGCAGTCTCGAACCCACTTGTATGATGGCCCCATCCCCAAATGACGTTCTGCTCAAACTGCCTAGCCCACAAAATGCACCTTTCTATCAACGGGTCATGTTTCTCGTCAAACCCGAATCCGTCCAAAGTTATGCGGATAACACGTACTTTAACGAAAGGTTTTTAAGAACCAACTTTATTTAACCCAATTTCTTTAGCATGGTTTCTGTAATCCGGGGTCGAGTTGTGTGGAATGGTGGGTCTCCAGGCGCATCAGCTGATCTGCCACTACCGGGTGTACGAGTTTCCGACGCCAATCATCCCCTTTACGGCTTCACCCTATCCCGCCTTGAAGGTATCTTCAAGCTCAATTCATTAATAAGATTGATTAGGAGGAGGAGCCTTTGATTTGTTGGTGAATGGAGGCCGCTCTGTGCAACTACAATTTTTGAAGAGCCCCTTTCAGGTTGGTGAGTGATCGAGAAGCAACAAGTTTTTAGAGGAAAAAAGTATCGATCTATGTCCCACCAAATGAAATCGTCTACCTCGAAAATGTGATTTTAACAACGGAAAAGGTATGAAACAATGGGTATTGAGTATGCGATTTTTGGATTAGACCCGAGAAGAGGATACGGCTTCGAGGTTCAGACCTGAATGTTTATTATCGAAAAGACGGATAGAGCCGATTGAACTCCGAACCGATTGGGATGTATGGGGAGCACCAGAAGTAGATGGGAAGCCCCGACTATTGGCCGATGTGGGAGCGATCGTAGATTCGATGCGAATTGCCGGAACCGATGTGAGGAATAGTCATCAAATGAAAATCATGGTTTTAGGTCTATTTGGTGTACGATTCTCGGAAAGCCGAAGCGACCAAGTCTCGTCTGGAAATTCGACTGACTGGCTCTAATCCAGATCCATCTTTGCGCCTCGTGCATCTGCGGATCGATATTGCTGGTAGCAGAAGTCCTTTCAATTTACATTTTTCTTTAGGGCAACGTTTCACAGAAACACTAGCCGCGAGAGCCGATTTGACACATACATTCTCTTGGGATAAACAAAACGTGTACCGACAAATGGAAAAGGGTCTCCTTCCAACGACCGGTAATTTGGTGGGAATTTATTACTAATGAGTTTTTAGTACGAATTGGTTACGAATACGATAAGTGCCACCGAAGTGGCGAAATATTCTGGGTGACTCATAACGTTGAGCTGTCGGCACGTAGTCGGAAAGCGGTGTTTGGTGGTTGGACACCACATATCCATCATCACTACGACGCGATTAATGGTAGCTTATTGGCTTCACGAAAATCTATTGAGCGTAGGTTTACTTGAAAAGGGAGATGGGACAAGGCAGTTCCTCATCAAAGAAAATTTAATTGTGGATTTGGTGGCTGGCGCAGATACGAAACGGGAGCTTGAATGTTCTGAGTGAGTGGTCTTCTGAGTCCTTACTTCCCTAACTTGCCCTTGTTATGTCAGATTTTAGTTGTATTACTGCAAATTCCACATCGCCCCTATACCGTCCAATTGCTGTCGCCGCTGGCTTAGATGGATCAACTATTATTGGAGATCAAGATCTAATTCGACGGCTTACACCCGATGGTCAGATGCGTACTATTCTGAGTCTAAGGTATGTTGATCCAATAGTTTTGATATTGGACTTGTTTCCAGCGCGGCCGACACGAGTTACCAATATTCTCTAGCCGTCTCCCCATTAGATGGAGCTCTCTACATATCAATGCCCCTGAAGAAGCAAATCTGGAAACTTAAGGACTATGCTTCCGAAAGTCTAGAGGATAATTATGAAATATTGGCGGGTGATGGCACTGCCTGCGCCTCGGCCACATCACCATGTGGTGATGGGGGTGCTGCAATTGATGCTCAATTACTATTCCCTAAAGGGATCACGATCGATACGGATGGTCATCTATTTGGTGGGTGTAAAGCACCAAAAAAGATTAAAATTTAATTTAAATAACAACGCTTTACAGTGGCCGACGGCAGAAAGATACGCGTGATTAACTTGGCTACAAAAACGATCAATGCTCTGCCGCATTCACTTTTGGACAAATCTTCATCGGTTGCTTGTAGCTATCAGCATGGCAACTATTTACCCCTCTCAGAAATTCAGGTAAGTATGCAAGGAACTGCCTCTAGATTCAAATATCTTCAGCTGGAATGGCCCACTTCTCTAACAATCGATCAAGCGACGGGAGCATTGTTCGTCTTGGATTCTAATGTTGTATATGAGCTCCGGAGAAATCAACAAATCGGTCGAATTCTGCTAGGTATGTATTTACAATAATTAATCAGAAGATCATCAGGCTCACCATCGGCTTGCCCAACCAATGTAACTTCATTGATGTTGAATCACGCCAGAGCGATTGCCGCAAACCATAAAGGCTCTTTGTTCGTGTTGGAGTCGGATGAGAAGAAGCTGAATCAGGTATCATTACTCTCCATCAGGTAGCATTATCATTTAAACTTTAAGGTGCGGGAATATTCTGCACTCTGCGGGTCGCTGCAGCCGTTGGCCGGAAAAATGTCGCCCTGTTCTTGCCAACAAATTCCTACCCATTCACAATGTCGATGTGATGATGAGGGTCAAAAAGAAGCTATGGAAGCGATATTCAACAACCCACAAGCGCTGATGGTTGATGGTAAAAGCCGGATTCTGGTGGCAGATACTGGCAATGCGAAGGTAAAAGACAAAACGACGCTGCAAAGGCGACCCTGTAATTTCCAGATAAAAATAATTACTTCTGCTGGTGCTCGGCTTGATCTATCAACTAGCCAATACCGCATCCAATGGCCCTCAGCTGATGAAGTGTATTTCTTCAATCGAAATGGCCTACATATGACCACCAGAAGTCTATCAACAGACCGCCTTCTCTATACATTCAGCTATAACGTCAACACACAGTATGATATCGCCCAATTGTCATAATCCACACAATTTAGTCATGGCCGCCTCTCACAAATCACATCCCCAGGGGGACTTCTCCTACGTGTAATGTGGTCGAACTCTGATGAACATATGGTATATAATATTTCAAGACTAATGCGCTTTCTAGGTAGCAATCGAGGCTCCATCGGGCCTCAAGTCCCAACTCACATTTTCGCCTTTTGATGGTTCCCTGGAAACTATCACCCTTCCGACCAGAGGTATCCTCACAATCACCACTGTAAATCCTATATTTATAGAAAGCATAAAATTCACCTACGGCAGTGGGGGCCTATTGAAATCACATGTATCGCGTGAAGATTCGATTATGTTTGGCTATGATTCGAATGGCAGGGCTATATCCATTTCTACCGTAACACCTACAAAGTTTCCAATGCCTGTTTTTAGCTTGTCGGAATCTACAAGACAAGTCCTCCGCGTTTTGTTGGAGATTTTCTGGTTGTGGATGTCCAGAAAAATGGGAAGAAAGTGTTGGAAATGCGGAATCGTCCTGGAGAGTCGTTGATTACTGGAGAGACCACACAAAAACTGCTGGTTTTGGATGAGAACGCATTTGAATGGAGTAGAGAAGATGGGGTCAAGGTGTGTTTGGCCATGGCTTGAAAATCCATTTTTTTTTAAAGTGCATTTACTGACGCCTGTTGTTTTAGACACTGTACGAAAGTGAGGTGCCAGCATTGTTGCCTGGAAGCCGGATTGTTTCGCGAGCAAAACGGATCATTGGCGGACTTGAGAAGCCACCAAGCCGAGCACTTGTCTACCGCTTTGATCGACGACCATTCATCGCCACAAACGGGCAAACCCGTCGCGTGGCTGAGGTCGGCATCAGACCCAGGGTATTTGCGGGTGGCATCCAATTGTTCTTTTGCGATTAGCAATGTCCGATTGGCGGTGCGTGAAGTATTCAATTTTGCAAAAATGACCTCAGAAAAAGACCTCTCGTCGTTCCGCACAAACATTCTTGTTTACCTAACCAACCCTAACCAAGAATAACTAAGGTGTGTTTCCGCTAATACCCCGGATTTTTTGTTACCCTTAATGTTTTATGTAAGATGGCACGATTCGTTTCAAAGGAAGCGAATCTGCCTCAAAGCATTGCTAATGGCAGCTATACGCACTTGATTATAGGTGAACGGAGTGAATGTGTATTCGGTTTACTATGACAAATTATCAAACCGCGATATTTTGCGGAAAAAGGTTGGCCATAGCAATATGCTTTTAATCGATTCACAGGGCGACGAGCCACTCTTGCAAATTAGTTACGGTGAAAGCGGCAAGTGCAAAATGATTGAAGCAGCGAAAGGTCTTGGAATAGCGGCCATGAATATCAGGTAGATATTTTGAATCAGTTGAAGCACATTAAAATTTTCTAGCCATGACGAATTTGGGAGGATCAATGAGATCACATGGGGATCTATTCGGCGTCAATTTGCATATGATCGGCAAAATCGTTTAATTGAAATGAATTGGGGTCCGGGCGAAAACCCGAAAAAATTTACATATACCAAGGATTTCCCGTTGCCCACTACTGTAAGTCATTTGTTGTTAGTGAGAATTATGGTTTTTAGGTTGATGAATCAAACGGAGGACGTTATGCGATAAAATTAAATACCCACGGACTTCTTCAACAAATCATTACCCCGACCGAAGAAATGCATCAATTCTCTACTGCTACCGTGCCCCAGGGAATACTTTTAAAGCGCCGGTATTTTGGAAATAACAAACCTTCACATCAATACTAGAAAACCTGAATGGAAAACAGCCGCCAAGCTCCTATCTGATGATAATGGAAATCTCTTGGAATACCTAGCACCAGATAAGATGCACTATTTGAGGATCCAGCGCGACACTTTTGGCAGACCAGATGCTGTATGAGGTCTTCAATATAATCACAGAATTCTTTAGATCTTCATGGAGGAAAAATTGGAAACAAAAATGAGATATGAGAGGCAGCATCTGGCCTCGGTGATCGGTCGCGGATATTCAAGACATTTTGTCCGACAGGGCGAGCTCGCACTGGAAATTGTGGAGTCCCGTTCATTTCCGTACAAGTAATTTTACAAATTCTCGGCTCTAAATCAAGCTTAGTTCCGGAAATGTCACCTTCACAATGGGCTATGATGATCTTGGCCGGGCGACTTCAATTTATTCAAAGTTTGATGGGAAACAACTCGATGCGATAAACCTGAAATACGATCGATCGACAGGGCTTGTGGATGGAATGGCTGGATTTACAATCCAAAAGATTGGGGAAACGCAAAAAATTTTTGGGCATGAGGTACGGTATTGTATCGTAGCTCAAATTTGTAATAGATCGAAATAAATTCGGCTCACGACCAAAATGGCGCCTTGATATCAAGGAATGTGATTGCTGGTCAGAAGGGATGCCATTTGGCAATTATCCGTGACAGCCATGGACGCCAGGTTTGTCTCGATGAATTTACAGAAAATTAATAGAAATAAAAGCAAAAATAGATAATTTATGTTAGAATTGTAGGATGATCCTAACGACACAAAATTAACGGTTTTACTTAAGATTTCAACGGAATGGAAAAGGGGCGACGAGAAATCAACAGAAGAATTTATATATGATGCGGCCGGTAGTATCTCAGGCTTTGTCGGCGGAAATAATCAGCGGTAGCCATTGATTTCGAAGCTTCTAACCTTATTCAGATGGGAATACAAATATGACAAAGAAGGGCGTGTCGTCAGTATCAACGACGAAACCGTGGAATATGGTGTTGGTGGTGTTCCCCGGAAAGTCGGCTCTCTTGCCTATCAAACAGATTCAAATGGCTGGACTGTAAAACGTGGTAGAAGCCCTATGAATTTGCAATTGGTTCCTTTTTAGGAAAAATTACCTTTAAATATGACGCCCTTGGCCGTCTGGTGAATGCAAATGAAGAGAACGGGAGACGAGTTTCCATCGAATACGATGAAAATAATCGCGTGATCGGCCTGGAAAAAGATGGAGCCCGACAGATGTTCTACTATGCTTGGCCACAACTTTCAAATCATATATCACACACCGCCGATAATAAGGGCAACGTTAAGACCTTCTTGTATACAGGTAATTTTCTTAATTTCTTAAGTAGTAACAAATGCCGTTTCAGAAAGCGGTGTACTGTATGCTATTTTGGATGGGGATGAGTGGATAGCTGTCCTCACCGATGCCACAAATTCACCACGATGCTTTTTGGGTGCAAATCGGCCGATGAAAGTTATAGACCGGGGGCTATTTGGTGCACCATCAGCCATTAACGATCAATTCACGATTCCTGTTGGCCACCTTGGAGGTAAAAGGCAGCAACCCTTCTAAGCATTTTTTAGGAATCGATATTCCCGAAATGGGGGTCGTCATTTTGAACGGCCGCCCCTTGGATACCAAAATTGGAAGATGGATGTCCTTTGGGCCAAATGAACTAAAGTTGCCAAGAACGTTATTAGATGCTCGAACAGTCGTTGATCCATTTACACTATCCGAATCGCAAATGCCGAGTGCCTCGTTGACCCTTCCCACGCGTAAGGATCCTCCCTATCTTTCAATTATTTCGAATATTTAGAAGATTTAATGTCTTGGCTTTCACTCATCGGAGTCTCTCCCATCATGTTTGCTGCACCACCGGCATTCTTGGCACCGGAAATTAGCATCAACACCCCGGTGATATCGGCCGAATTGTCTGGCTTTACCGGACGACTCAAGTCAGCCATTTGACCCACCAATCACTCAATTTGTTTATAGAGCCCTTGGCCAAATCAATAGCGTTGGGCAATCGGCGCTAGTTGAAAAAGTGCCTGAGGCAACTCGCGTGGCGACAACAAGGGATGACCCAGGATTTGGCGATCTTATCTTTATTGTGACGGCTAATCGAAAGGTACCAAACAAATACCCACGAAATTGTATTTAATCGATTTAGGTCCAAATTGAGCCATCGCCAAAATTGACCGCAGAGGAGCAAAAATTCTTATTTGATCTTTTTGCAGATACTGAAGAGGTGAGCGTAAAAACGTAAATAGCAAATAAGAGCATAATTAGGTACAATGGCCATTGGCGGAAGAAGGCTGGGCTCGACACTTCGCGACAAGCGGAAAATTGCCCGGAATTTTTGTTTCCGAATCGCACCGCCATTTCACGGCCGTCGTCGGGGCGGATACGGTAGAGCTGCGAGCCGGCAAGACAAAGATATTTGTCTATTTTGACACGAATAAGGTAATTTGTTTGATTGAAGTCAGTGATTATTCTTGCAGGATGCTGTTCGTTCAAAATTAGCCGACGAGCTTCGACGACAGGAGGCGCACCATGTTTGGAAGCTGGAGAAGAAAATGGTGAGCTTTGAATTTCGTTCAAAAATTATTTTTTCAGTTGGAGCGAGGCTTGAAAACACGCCGGAATTGGTCTGAAGCCGAGAAAAGCGAGCTTTTGCGACACGGCTCCGTTTCCGGCTATTCCGTTGAGCCTCAGCCAACTTCGACTCTAATGTCAGCCCAGCATTGGATTTTCCTCAAGCAGCAAACTTAAGCTTTATTGATCTGTACGGGATTTTATTTTTCTATTTAGAACTATGCTTTAATTGCCATTTCTTTACTGCTCATCAATATTTTCGTAATCTGAAGTGTGATTCTTATTGTCAAAAAATTCTTATGGGATATGCTACATTCTCATTTCTCATCCCTCACGATGGCTATTTACTCACGGGTTTTGTGACCTCTCATACTTGTCAAGGGATCACTTGCAGATTTTATTACATCAGACATTCTACTCATATTCATACGGTGCCTATTCGCTTGTGTGTTCTCCGGCTATAAAATATATTATCTTATTGAAGTTGCCATCGCCAGACATTGTATATTTTGGAATGGTGATGACTGGTGGGGGACGAGGGTGGCAAGTGGTGGAGATAGGGCACGAACTCCTGGGGTGAGCTTATGCAACCAAAAGGAAAGGCCGCAGCACCGACCCTTTGGCGCCATCGTATATCCGAGCTGTTGTAAAAAGATCACTGCCCAATGGACACCAACTTTTATCGCGAATCAGTGCGCGCTATAATGGGAATTGTTTTTTGTAATAAGTAGTGATTTTTCCAATCCATTTCGACATTCACGAAATCAGCACAAAATCATACATTGACTAGTGGTGGAATGCGGTGGAATTCGTTTTACTAACATGCTAATGACACATCCACGTCCCCCACCTGGCCCACAGTCTAAATGGAAATGACAGTGGATTCTAAGCGGATGCCTAAACCTGCACCTAACAGGGCCGGTAAGCCTCAGCCTAAGCCTAAGCCTATACCTAAGCCTAAGCCTAAGCCACGATCTTTAAATTTGACCTTTCATTTCGGCAGTTGACAATCAGAATTGATAATCGCCAATTTTTCACACCCACACGAGCGGCTCAGCACTTTCACATAATCTAATCGAGCCACTTTCGGGTGTTTCGTATCCTAAGGGCCCGGACTGCTGGCATATCCTTAGCCCGTGGGCCTATCACTGTAGCTAGAGATGCCTCTGCTAAAGGGGGAGAGAGGAGCAAAAGGGGCGGGATCTGCCCCTCGCACGGGGGACTACCGTCTTCGCGCGATCAGTCGAGACAATCCTGGAGTCGATTTGTCGATCACCGTTTGCAATTGTCCGTATCCTCATGGAGACACCGGAGGAGATTAAGCCCAACACAAGTCAGGTATGTCTTTGATTTTTTTTTGATGCATTTATTCCCTTTCCACTAATCGTAAAATCCGCATGGGGTACGGTAGCAACCATGTTGTTGAAGTTTGTAGGGACTCTAAACTCATATTTCCTTGGTTCTTGATTCATTGGACTGCGCGTATCTTTGTCATCCTACTATATATAAAAAATAGGGTTTGTGTGTGTGTGTCACTTTGCATCCACTTCCGTCTGTCTGTCCGGAGGATATCTCAAGAAAGGACGGGTATTAGGCTACGTATGATACGTCATTAGGTGCGTAATGGTCTAGGGATGACTGCACACATATCAGATTTTTAAAAATTAGCCATTTTCGCTTTTAAATTTAGGTTTTTTTAAACCTCTTTGTTAGGAATAATTAGCATAGAGCGGAAGAGGGTGGTCGCCTATATAAAGAGGCAGAAACGGTTGTTTCCATTTTTTGTCTTCTGATTGAATGGAAGACAATTATGCAAAAAGGAAGAATGGTATGGGGTCCGAGACGGGGCCAGGGTTGAAAAGTCGCGAAGCGGCTTTTCAACCCTGGTTGTTTATTCAATGCATTTCGTGGATGCACCTTTTGCACTTTAAATGACTTTTATTAAACAATGAATTGTGGATTCCCTTTTCAACCCTCCCTTACCCTCCGTTTATCCCATCCGCGTAGCAAATGTTGCGATTTGGTGGACGGGGAACCCGTAAAGCGGTGCGCGAAATGGCGCCGTGAATAGGGCAATAATAGACCGGGGCTTCGTTGCTCTGATCAGGGCTTGATGAGCGTAAAAAGACTTGCTCGTCGCCTCCCCTCCTCGTAGCTATACTTTTTTGCCCCTCAAGAAAAAAACGATTTAGGCGACGAAAATTCGCGTGCGACTCGCCACTGAAGATCTATGGCAGAAGTTCTCGGCGCAGAACACCGAGATGGTTGTCACGAAAAATGGACGGTAGGGATTAGGTTTAATAATAGGCTGCCTGAGTTACGCCTGAGTTTGGTCAAACTACTGTTTTCTAAAATTTTCATATATGTACAGTGGTTCTAGGCCGTTACGCATTTGATCACATGCTAAAAATACCCTTTAATTTTTTTTATTATTGGGATAGGACTGGAATATAAACTGTGGATGAAAGCTGCATGCAAGATTTACATACAGAGTGAATAAAACCCATTTTAGTTGCTTTTTCAGAAAAATGTTTCCAAAACTCGAGTACCTGATCGACGGAATGGAAGAAGAAACCTTCTATCTGCTCACTATCAAAATGGCACTGGTCGACAATTTTCGGTAAGCTGTCGTTACTTCGCGCTCAGACCCAATTTTGTGAGTTGGCAGCCCGTAAACGGCCGTTGGCACCTCGACATGTGCCTGTAAATATTGCCGAGTATCACTGTCCATATATTTGCCTAGAGGCACAATATCAACGTAGCGCCGCCAAGTCTCGCCCCCCCGACTGGGATTGACGCCTCGGCCCAATCACCCTTTTTTGCCACTATCACTTTATCATCGATTGAGTGCAATAGACAAAACGTTAAAATTATCCTACGCCTGATTAATGGGCTTGGCTCAAAGCAATAGTTAAAGAGAAAAGGGAGTTCCAGGTCATTTAGCATAAAAGGTGCATGAGTTTTAAAATAAGCATAAGTCCCTCCGCTCCCTCTGGGGGACCAATCTCTCGCCCGTTTTTGCATAGTTCCGGTTGGTTTTCCGCAAATTGTATATAAAGCCTGATCGACATGGGTCTTCTCTAGGTCTATGCCATTTACTAAGACCTTTATTTCAGGTATAAATTCCAATCTGGAGAGTGGATACGGTCTGGGAGGGCGGACACTGGATTTGAGGTAAGTAAGGATTTTTGTTTAGCCGAAATTGCGTACAATCGTATGTTGCTAGGCTTCATGCAAAACTATGCAAACGATTACTAAAACTGTTGACTCAGGAGAAAGAGGTGCTCCACAGCGATGGTCCAATGGTCGGCGCATACTGGATGCGGGCTCCAATCAATTTCGAGAATGTCAAAATTACGAATAACCCGGCTGATCGCAATCCGAAACACGTAGGTGGCCACGCTTGATGCCCAATTAGCGCCGAGGCCCACATTGTCTTGGCGGCATTCAAGAGTCTTCGTGGGGGAAGGGCAACAAATTGGCGCGGCCGTGACGGATAAGATCGACGATTTATAGAGGAAAGGATGTGGGGGCTACGGTAGATGATGTCTATCTGTAGATAACGACGTAGGCATAGCACACTCCCGGGCGGCCACGAGCTCATTGTAAAAGGCCCTTTGCGCAATCCGTTCGTTTGGAGAGGGAAGAGTAGAACGGACATAATAAATCCATCCCCGTAGCCCCGGTCCCTCAATCAATCGAGCAATCTGCAATCAACTCTCTATATAGAACAAATTGCCGTGTTAGATTCGATTGGGGACGAGATGTATCTAAAACTAGCTGCAGCAGCTGTAAATATCCAGAAATCTACAAATGAGCCTCTCCTAAGCCTACGCTTATGTATAAGCCTTTGCTTGCTTCCGGAAACGCTATGCAAAAAAGCAGAACTGTCTTATGCTGTTAATGCGCAATTGAAACCCTGTTGCTAACTCAAATGGACGATACGGATCCCATTCAAGAAGTTTTGAAAAGCTTGATCTAAAATTTAAGGACCAACCGTTCCATTCCAGCTCTACCTACTGTCGATGCATAAGTTTGTCCCTGTGCTCACAATTTATAAGATGCCACCAAAAGAAGATGGAATCAAGGTAATTTCTCCAAACCTTAATAAAAATACGGAATTATAGTTTGGACAAGTGGATCAACGCGACCAGTTGGCCATCAGGCTTCCCATTACCGAATTCATTGCGGTCACCGCCTACCAAAATCAAACAATCACCAATTTAAAGGTCGGTAAGTTACCTAACTTTATTTGAATGCTTCTCTAGATCAAGCATAACCCTTTTGCTAAAGGATTCCGCGACGGAACTGCAGGCCCACCAAAAAGGTATGTATTATCGGTGCAACCAGCTACTATATCAGATATCAAATTTTTCAAGAAATTTGCCTATCAAAATCCGTTTTTTTAGATCTACATCTCCAGATTCACAGGATTCACCTCCTCCAAAACGGCACCTCCCTTCACCCTTGGCAAACCCTTTCTACCCGCCACTTCTTTTCTCACCTCTTTTATTTTTCCCAAATGCCTTCCAAAATCCGTTCTTCCCCCCTAGACCACCATTTTAAGCAATTTATTTAATCCATGACCGACATTTGCATATTAGATAACTTTCTGACATTAGGTCAGGAAACGGAAGCTCATCTTTTGCTCAATATCCGTCTTCTCCATTGCCTGAAAATTGCGCATGAACTGGTGCCCCTTGCCATAATATGTTTCGTGCCTTATGAATAAAAGTTGCCACTAATAAATAATTGAAATTAGAAAAAGACAGCACCTCGCAGAATTCAGCAAAAGTGATGCATCCATCATCGTCACGATCGGCTTCACGCATAGTTCGATCGGCAATCGAATTCACTTGTTCCATTGGTACATTGGCGCCAATCATCATCTAAAACGAGCAACCTTAGAGATTTGATAATATTCTATAATCTTTGGTATTTTTTTGATCTTTTTACTGAACAGCAGCCATGATCCTCGTCTGGATTTGCCGAAATAACAACATCCATCGGTTTCTCCACATAAATCAATCTCGGAAGGATTAATTATGAATCGCCAGCATTCGCCTCCCTCCCCCGACCCCTCCTTCTTCCAACTCACCTGAAGAATATCGCGAAATTCGTCTTTCGTAATCATTCCACTCTTATCCAAATCATACATGGTGAAGGCGACTAATATAACAATTATAATACGTAATTAGGAAGAACCATACATCGTAGCTTGGCTTCACGGCTGTTCCATGGGTGCGGCTTGTTCTTATTGATGGGACGGAAGTGGGAAAGCACCTAGCATCGTGGGAATCATTTCAATTGAGACCTCTGTCTTTGCAATCCAATGCTTCTCATTGTCTGTTTTTAATTTCTAATTTTTTTCGTGATTTGGAAAATTCGTACTATCACGATTGCAAAAAGAAATATCTGCCCAAGGGATTAGGAAGCCATCGGAACGCCGAAACCCTGTAATTCTCTATCTTGTTTTGGTGTCATTTTTGCTAATTTGCTCTCTTGTATAGCTCAATCTAAAAATCTATGCTGCTGTTTTAGCATCTCGGCGTCAACCCACTTTCACGAAATCCCTGAAGTAGACGCGGCGTGTCGATTGGACCCTAAATTCTTTTCTGAGTGGCCCATTTTGTAAGGTGACACTGCTCAAATTTGTCGAAGCTTTGGGTGAAGTGAGGGGGAAGCTGGAAGGGGGGAAAAGCAGTGGTCGGACTTTCCCATAGCCTCCTGGCGATCAGAGCGGCCCTCCCTGGCCAACGCAGCTGCGATAAATCCCCTGGTTGTTCTCTCGGGAAGGTCCTCCTTCAAGTCGCCTGTCTACCCTCCCAGTCATAGAACGAGAGAGAGAGAGAGAGAGAGAGAGAGAGATTCCTGGAGGGTAAGAGCGACTGCGGGACTGCCTTTCTCTTCTCATAAGCCCTCGAGGGCACGCTTCTTTCCATAACCCTCCACTTTCCGTATTTCTCTCGCAATTTTACCCCAAAACCCTGACAAATGCCCAATTAGAGCCCCGCAGCCCCCCGCTGCTCCATCCGTTTCTCTGGTTAGCTTGTTGATTTTCTATCGAGGCCCGCCTGGCTATTTCGGGGTACCGTAGTCTCTTCTTGACATGAATTTGGATATTGGACTAAATTCGGAGCTTATGTGGCAAGGACATCATTATCATATGCAACTTATTACCTCGTACATCGCACACGCCCCGGAATTTGCCCAAAATAGCATCTATGACTCAAAAAAAACTCAAAAAAAATGCCTATTTCTAAGCTTAAAATCTTGGTCCTAAACCGAAGCCGAAGCCCACGACGGACGAAAAACCCGACGAACCTAAACCTAAGCGTATTCCTAAGCCTAAGCCTAAGCCTAGTCCGAAGCCTGAGCCGGGGCCTAAGCCTAATCCTTAGTCGAGGCCTAAACCTAAGCTTAAACCTAAGCAGAAGCCGAAGCCTGAAACCTAAAGCTGATCTTAAGCCTATGCGTAACCAATCGATTTTAATAGAATACACGTCATCTTCAAATGTTAAATCCAAGCGAGACTTACTCAGCGTCGGCAAAGAACGCATCGATGATCCGCCTTCCCAGGGGATTTAGCTGCAGCTCCTAGACACTCGCGCATTAATTAGGCAATCCCCCTGGGGAACCTGAATGTCGAGGAAGTCCTGTTCCGTCATGAAGTATTCATTCGTTGTCCGATCGCGGTGCTTGGCCAATGAGGTGAACCGCTTGTACAGGGTAAGGATGCCCGACCGGGACACTGCAATATTTTCATTAATCCCATATTTTAAGTCCCGCCTCCCGTTCAGCTGGGGGCCCGCATAATTGCGTTTTATTTGCGGGCCACTTCCGGCGAGCACCCGCCCAATTCTGAGGATTTCTATTTTTTTGCCAATATTCCGGGGCCCAGATATAATTTTTTTTTCTGGCCGAACCCGAGCTCTAGTCAGGAATTGAATAGATTGGATTCAATTTTATTAAGGTAATCTTTAAGGTTTCTGGTCTGTTGAAATCAAATCCACCCTCAAAACTAGGGATTTGGTTAAGCTTCCGGTTGCTATTCAGAAATTTTGAATGATTTCCAACTTCGAACCTGAATCGGTGTACAACTAAAATCCCGAACTTTTTGATGCAAATCCTCAAGACCTTCGTTTTTTCTTCTTTATCTGCGTTGAAAACCCTGCTTCGGACCAGATTTGCGTCGAAAAATTGTATATCCGAAAAGAAGAATCGGAAGCTTAATCAAATAACTTCGATTGAAGGTAGGCTTGTTTTGAATCAGGCCAACTCTACTTCAAAACCTGTAATGCTAAGGTCAAGCCGTCCGCTCACTGTAAATTTTTGAAAGTCCTTTACCTGTTCACCCCGAAAATTATTTTGTAGCCGGTTGAAAAACTGACTTTTCCCTCTAATTCCATCTGGCGAATCAATACCCGCACATACACACATCTCGGCAAATACTTATACGGACTCATATGGATAATGGCTAGCCCGAGAGCGCAGCGGCACAAAGTGGAAATCAAAAGTGGGCCCGCGATGCGTGGTGGAGGGGAGAAGAAGAAGAGGATGGAGAACGGGCCTCCCCCCTCCTTCCACTTCAGGTCCCATGGGGGGGAGAACGAGAACAAGTGGGCCGATTGGATATTCGGACAAGACGAATAGTGTCCACTAGAGCCTCGAAGGCACCGATTGACTGCCACGACGCGCCATTTGCCCCATCCGCTCATGCGGATGAAGCGAGCCATTTTTGGCTTCTCGGCGCCAGCGCTGCTGGGGATGCAGACGCCCGGCTACATTTTGAATCTAGCGCATTGTTAGAGCACTCGGCCTCACGGTTTTCCCCAACTTTAACAATGTCCGGGAAAGTTGAAAAATTTTCCACAAAGTATCTCACCCCAAAAATGTGCGCTCCCGCTCTCTGTTATGACACGCTACCCAGTGTTTCCGTGCAAAGCCAAAAAGGTTTGCATATTAAGGCGTTAATACCTTCCCCATTAAATCTTGATTAAAACATTTTCAATCCCACTCTCTGACATCAATGGCGGTCCATTGTTTTCCGCGACTTCAAGAAGTTCAGCGCATTGGCCCCCTTCCCCCATATAACTAACTCCAAACATCTGCAATCCCATTCTCTGCATGCATTCTCTCTCATTCTGACATTGTTTCCCCCAACTTCATCGAGTTCCGCAAGATTTGCCCCCTTCCCACACCCGTCCAACCCCAAATATAAAAACTTACAGCCGCTCTCCAACGCCAATTTCTCGATCTCGAATTCGTTCAATGAAGAGGCGGCGCTGCCCATTCTAAATAAATCGGACCGATTTTATCAATTGGTGAGCTATTAAATGGGCACTTATGAGATGATTTCTGTCAAAAATTCCGAGGTACGGTAATCCATTGATAAATGCACATACATAACAATAGTTAAAAATTAGAATTTAAGCCGGTGAAAATCAAAGTATTATAGATTGGCAACAGAAGCTGAGACCGAGACGTGTAAGCCCCGATTCGACCCGCTTGTAGGCGGCGACGTGGTAGGCTTATCAGTGGCTCCGGGAATGCAGGGAAATATTTGAAGAAACATTTAACCGCTTCGCCTCTCTATTAGAGCATAAAACGACGCCGAAAATAGGACCCTTGTGATGCTTTTCTGAACGAAATACCAAGAATGAACGAAATATGAGCAGCAGATTAAGTCTAGCGACGCCTGACGCTGTGAAAAATCTATTTTCTTATAGCTGTGGAAGCTTCAGAACCATACAGTTGCATAATATAATTACATTAAATCATATATGTAATTTAATACATCCCCATTTTAGTAATGAAGCGACCATGTCAGCCCATCGAGATTTACCAAAGCGGGATTTTATGATGGTATGCAAATCGTGTTACTTGAAAAGCATTTCAGGTGAAACCGCCGCGCACGGAAGCGGACTTTCACCGAGAATATGATTCAAATATTGGTCTTGGCACGGCTTTTGTGCTGATTTTGTTTTTCGTAGCAATTACCATCAAGAGTTGTGTCAAGGTAGGCAACATATAAAAAATATAAACCACTATTTTTAATATTTTTCAGTGGATGATCCGCAAGGTGCAGATGCATAATTTCAAAAAAGCCCGTCTCAAAGACGTGAAAACGGAGCTCCTTTAGATGTGTGCATGTACGGAATAAAACCTCAAAGAACTGGCAGCTATGTTTTACCCATAAAATCACCGAGCAAATAATCACAACACTGACTAATGGCAAATAACATGCATTAAAGTAGTGCTTACAATGCCTCAAGATCGACGTGCTGAATGTCTGGGTGTTTTTTGGTAATTTCACCCTCGATACGGTCGATTTCCACCCCAAGGCGGTCAATGATCTTTTCCCCATGGCCCTCCATCCATTCTTGCAGTTCTTGTTCCGATTCCAGCGATTTCACCTCCTCAAAACAGTCAAAATCAGAAGTTTTTGTGAAAACGCACCTGATACATATGCCCGATATTAACTTCATTCTCAATATATCTCCGCGTAATCATGCGACCATCAAAATCGAGCTCTGCTTTGAAGCGCGACTGTTCAACACCCAAAGCCGTGGCCTTCACGTCGTGTACAGATCTGAATACAATGCACAGAAATGGAGATTTGTCGACCTTATAGTCGGATCATTATGCAGGCGGGCTACGATATCTTGCGTTATTCTTTGTGGCAAGGAGCGGCCGACCAAGTGTTGTGCGTTGGTCCGGATAATAAATGAGGCTACGGTGCCTGAAGGCAATTTGCATACAGAGAACCATACATACCTAGGAGACAGCCAATCAATACTGAACCGCACGCATCTGGTATTGGAGAATCGAGGTAGGAGGAGAGAGTCACCGAACTCAACGCAATTAATACCTAATCCCACATCAATTACATAAATTTAATCTACTCCAGAGACAGCAGCGGTATCTTCTAGCAATACCACATTCAATGAAGGGTCAGCAGCGGTGCGAACTGTAAGGCATTCTTTCTTAGTACAATTTGATGATACCGTAATCCCAGATCCCGTTTACACCGGCTTTCTTTGCCTTCTGACGCACTTCCCGATATGCCGTAATGGCCGAGGCGCCTTGGAAACACAATGACATGAAGAGAGCATAATAGGCCTGAAAACGTTATAGGAAGCTTGTTGATCACTTACATAGGTCAATGGCTCGAGTGTCCCGGGGTTCAGAATTCCGGAAATTCCGTGATAAATTGACAATCCACAGCCAAATCCAAGAATTCCGCATCCCGATATCAATGATGTCACATAGCGCATATTTCCTAGAGAAATACTAATAGCCCATCGAAAGACTTGGTTTACCGTATCCATATGGAAACTGGGGATTCGGATTTCTCTTCGAATATCGGATCCCAAGAAGTAGAATTAATTGATTGCATGTATCCATTGTGCTGTGAATCGCCTCCGCGAATAATGATTTCGAGCCAGTCATGTAGGCGGCAGCATACTGTAAATCAGGTAATCAACCTCCACATCCTAACGGCCGTACCTTAAAAATCATATCACAAGTATTTAGGGTAAACGCGATCGCCACAACACGATCAGCTCCTTTCGTTGTCGGCTCGTTCGAAGCGGCTTCAACTCGCATCCTGGCTCGCATTATTTCCGCTTCGGTTGGCTTCTTACTCATCGGCACCAGGGTGCGGCGCTGAGCTTGTACGCTTTCTTTTGAACCATGAATCTAGAAGAAATTGAAAAGTGGATGTTTTCTTGTATTCGATCTATACCTTGACTGCCAATTGATAGACATCGCTTAATGAATAGAGCTTAGTACTTCGCGTACTCATAGCCGTTGGATCATGGATTACCGCTGATGTCGCGACCAATTTCAGAGTATCCAGTTCGGTTTCCCTAAATTGCGATACGTATTTTTATGAAAAAGCTTTCCCCTGGAAATTGTCCAGGGACTTGTCTTGATGAATCTTTCCGGCTCAGTTAATTGGTTAATATTTCATACTTGAGGTTGTATTCTGCCATAGCACTCTCCTGATCGATCAAATCATTTTCATAAGTCATAATTCGTTTCGGGCTGTGGGCTAACTAAATGGCACATTGGCTATGATGTTGGAGCCAAACCTTAAATAATTGTTTCTTGCGCTTTGGCCCAACTATCCCATGGGCGTCGTCAGTACTAACATGACGCACCCATCCGAGATGAGAAGGCCGGAAGTAGCAAGATATGAACGTCGAAGGAGCCTTACTTCCTAAAAAATGAGTGCTACAACACGCGGAGACAGCTGAATTACCTGTCAATAAACTTTTAAATACGAATGCATTCGTATATCTTCCTATCATCTTTGCAGCTCCCAAGGGCCATAAGACGTGAACAGGCCAGACCTCGGGGCAGCTAAAATTTGCGACATTATTTTTGGTTCTATTCTATGTAAATTAAGGAGAATTAAGTCACGCCAAATTGTTCTTGTTAATTAGGTCATCACGTAATTTGATAACAATCCAAAAACGGCCATCATCGCGCACTATTGTCAGATTCGGATTGCTTTTTCTCGCCGTTGGTGCATCATTCGCAATTTCGAATTATTAAAAACATCTGTCTGGTTGTAATCTTGTTTCCAGACCTTTTTTAATTATTTAAGAATTACTCTATCCCTGCTTACACCGTTTCGTTGTATATTCGTCTATAGTCTGATATACCATTAAAAGCCGTTCAATTGGATCAATTTGCTCATGCAGATACAAGAAATATCTTTAAAAAGTAATTGTCTTTCCATGAATTGGAAGAATTATGTGTGGTAAGTTGCTGGTGTGTTTTGACCGCAAACAAGGCAATAAACTACAAGCCGCTCCAATCGCCCTTTCAACAATGGCTCCTTATGCCGTTGTAACTTTGTAAATAAGTACACTGTAAAAAGTTAGCTTTCAGCAAAAATAAATTCAGGACTTTTGGCCAGATTTGCAAAAAATTTTTGCGAAGCTTGTGAATTGTTTTGTGTTGTATTCATTTGCATACGCAATTCCATGCGAATTACAGACCAACTATGGCAAAATAAAAATTTTCAAGAAAAAATATTTGAAATTTCAGATGAACGGGGAGATGTGCCGGGAGCTCCTGGACCTCGTGTGTGAGTTCCAGTCTCCTCATACATCTCATATTCGGGTTATGCAATTGGATCAGCTCTTCTCTGAATATGCAAAAGGTTAAAACGACTATTTATACCTATTAAACCAAACTTCAGATACTCCACCGTCAGAGCAAATACAGGCTTATTCCACTCTGCTTCAGCAGAAAGAACATCCGTCTGCCAAACTTTTCGGTAAATCAAGGATTCGGTTAATAAATGATATAGGTGCCCTCCGTCTACACAAATGTATTGCAAGTCATCACACTCTATTAGTTGAAAATGCATCAGAAATGGTAATAAGCAAAGCATAATTATGAAAAGTTTCTGTAGCTTCGCAGCCTTTACGACTTTGTGGCGGCGGATTTGAAGACTTGTCACGGCAAGCAATCAAAGGCTATTTCTGAGAGCGAAATGTAAGTGGATTTTCTCTTTACAAACCTTTACAAATGTTTTACAAACTTTCAAAATTTAGGAGCATAATCGCTATTATTGGGATGGCGACCTGTCCTGATCTATGGGAGGAATCTATTGATGATATTTTAAAAGCATTTGAAGACGATGAGACGATGCGTATTGGGTTGGAAAAGCTATACTACAACATTACAATAAACTTGAATTTTAGGATGCTCTACCAATTTGTCTCCCAATATTTGGATTATGCCGGGCCAAATCGCGCAGAAGTTAAGAAAAGGCTGCTACATTATCGAGAGGTTCAGAATTGCTTTTTGATTAAAATGACAAACCTAGGATTGTGCACTGCAACTGCTCAACTATCTGCATATGGGGATTTTAACAGAATCTGGCTGCGATCTCTCCAAGCAATGTTTAGAATGCTTTGAAATTTTCGTAAGTGAAAATACCTCAATTTATAAACAGCAATGCTTTAAGTTCAATCTAACTGGTCACCTTTTGCTTGAACTATCACAATTTGTTAGTCGATTGGAGAATGTGGTCGTGAAAGATGAGAACAGCATGTAGGTATTTAATTCGATGCATTAAATTGTTGGCAGGACCATTCTGCTCGGTGTCGCCGAAATTTTGTCGACAGCCGACGATATGGTTTGCTGTCCAAACCTGGTGATGAAGATCATGCGAGTCTTGGAAAATAACGTAATTAAGGTTTGTCGCATAAGAAAAGCTTATTATTTATTTTCATAGGTCCTAGATCCCAGCAAATGCGATGCGGATGTATATAAAAAATGGCTGTCACAGGCCTTAGAATTTTTTGGACAGGCAAGACTAGAGATATAATCAGCCAGTAATTATATTTAGTCCGCACGGGTTATTCTGCTAGCCTCGAATTCGTGTCCCGATGATTTTGTCGCATTTACGTAGGTTTTAAATATTTTGTTGTGGCGGCCTGCTGCATAAATCATTACAAAAACGCTTCTATGCAGGCACTTCATGGAATGGGCATTGAATATCGCAACAACACCCGGTATTTATGCCATCAATGAAGACATAAGCGACATGGCCGACAACTGTCTACTCTTTATTCACGAGGAATACAGTACTCTTTGCGAATCCACCAGCATCGCATCGTTCGATAGCCAAAAGAAGGTTAAATCAAGCAACCTGACATAATTAATTTTATCTTTAGATCAAACACTATCTGGCCGAGATTTATGCACGACTTGCTGTATCTATAAGCGAAAAAACCGCTTACCCTAGCCAAGACTATGAAGCAAAATTTTCGTTAGAGAGCTTCGAGCAGTTCGAAAAGTAAGCCTTGACTAAATTATTTCATTTCTTTCGTTTTTCAGATACCGAGAGCAACGTTCTCTTTTATTGGATGCTTGTTATTGGTTTATGGGAGAGTCATTTGTGTCTTTCCTGAACGATCAATTCATGAAACATGCAAATGAGGGTAATTGGAATAGGTGCGTAATTTTACAACCAAAAGGACTCGTTTTAAGGGCCGAAGCATCATATTATCTGCTCGGCATCCTTTTTCCAAGAATTGACGACGCTCTCTCAAAATCTACGATTGAAGCGATATTTTGTGGCTTTTCACGTAGGTTGTCGTTTTCTAAAATCTACAGGTAGATGACCTTCATCGATTCGCTTTCATATCCCAAAATAAAATAGACGGAGCGCTCGTATTTCAGGAATTGCACAACTCCCCGACGGAAAGACTGGATTGGTCTTCTCAAATACGCTGCTTGCGCTAATGTATGAAATGGTGGATGATATTTGCGAGTATGACGAGGTATTTAACCATAACATGTTCAGATCCATTCTTACAGCAATATAATTCCGTGCGTCTTGCCTTGAATCTTGGTGTGATGACGAGCCGTCATGGGACGGTAAGAAGCGAATTGACACGTTTCTTGGCGAGAATGGTGCCGCGATGCACCCCCAATTCGCTCCAGGTAGGCTTCACCTGCCAACCACACAAAAATTTCAGCAACACGCTGAAGCTCTATTCGGATATTGTTTTGACATCTACAAAAACGATAATTCGACTGAACATGTTCGTCTGCAGGCGTTACAGATTATCGTCAACCTCTTAATTCGAAGCGAGCGTCACACGGAACCCTTCGTACGATCCTTTACTGTAACTCTATTTTTCTTAGGTTACCCTGCTAAATGTCATTCGAGAAGCTACTTCAGCCGATCATGACGCGGAGCGACAATTTGCATTCAAGCTACACTCGTATTGCCGAGTATTTGAAACGCTCGGAAAACAAGGTAAGGTCTCGCCTATTTTGCTAAAAAAATATCTAGAAAATACACGTATTTCCGCGCCAGACCGATTGATCGTGCCCGTGATCTCTGAATATTTTGAAATTATTGCAAGCCTGCTACATGGCCCACGGTCTAAGATGAGTGACGAGGCATTGGAAGGTGTTATAGCTGCCTTTCGTGCTCTCACTGAAAAAGAGCTGACCGGGCACTACGAAAGCTTTTATCAGGTTCGTTCCTATAAAAAAAATTTAGCTAACGTGCTTTAGATCATCGATCTTACAATGAAAAACCATTTTGATCAAGTGTGCCGCCTCATCGAGTTTATTTTCATGGTATGAAAAAATATAATTTCTACAATTCTTACTCGTCGCAGAAATGTGGTAACGAGCATGCGAATCTGGTCCATCGGATGCTGCTCTGGGTCCGAACATGGGCTACATTGCCGAAAGACGAGAATCTCGCTGAGTTATTCTACAAGGTTTTGTTTTGAGAAATTACGAATGTAACGATCTTGTTAAGTCAAAGATTAGCAGCTCTCGATTTTGCAGACAATCCGAAAACATGCTCGACCTATCTTACTTGCGCCGGAGAGTCAACCTGACGGCTCTGAATTGCTTGTGCATTTCTTCGACTACTTCTTACAGGTCGCTTTATAATTCAAAATCCAATTTTGCTGTTTAGACCTTATATCCACCCCATGACAGTAGCCGTAACGTTCGTCTCAACAAGGCTTCCCATCGAGGAATCCTTTCATGTTTCGAACTGATCGAGACTAATGCAGTTCTATATGATAAAATCAGGACGAACCTCCCCACGCTGATCGAGGTTTGCTAGAAAAATGCAGCAAAAAAAGCCTTTTCAGCTTTCACTGAACCCGTTTGATACGCGGTTCTTTCGTGATGTGACCACACAATATTTTCAACTGTTCTTACGCTACTTCAAAGAACCTACTATGTAACTGAAACATTAAATTCTACATTAAGAATCGTTTAGAAACTATGTGGAACAGATCCCTGGAGATTGGATGCTCAAAAGCGTGTGTCGATGCACGCCCGACCCCAAAAAGATCAACACTGCCGTCGTTCAATGGCTTCTAAAAGGACCACATAGACATATGTAATGATATCACTTTTTCTTTTTCTGTCTACCTTCCTACGGGTCAATATTACTGGTCATATGTGATCTTGCATCTTCAATAAAAAGTCTAACCTTTCTAGTTTTTTTTGTGAATTCTCGCATTTACAGACAACTAGAGGCAGCATCAAGGCCGACAATTCCGACAAGGCCCTTTCAAAGAAATGCAAAAATTCTTTTTGTTTCTATTATAGTTATAAGATCTAATTTGAAATAATTAGAAATTTATCAGTGGTTTGGTTATCAAACGGGAAGACGACATAAAATGGTGCCGCCTGCCGACGTAATTAGAAGCGGGGCGTCCACTCATGCGTCGGCCCGGCCGAGAAAAAGATGGTTCCATTACTCACGCCTTTTTCGCCATTCATAACTATTTTTTTGAAACGTAAATTTGGTTTTTCTTGATACTTTCTTGATAATAGAAATCTTTTGACCTAAAACTATCTATTCTAATCGCTCGACCTTACTCTGGATTACCCAATTTTCATCCCCAACCTTGTTTTAGCACTTTGCCACATTTCAGATTGAACTTTTTCTCTAATAACTGTTGCATCAGCTCCATTACCACATTTAGGCAATCGTCGTGTTCGCAGGCGTTCCCCTATATAATGCAGCATGCCAAAACCCATCATCAGTAATGCCGCTCTGCAAAGAGTAAGCTCACCTGACTTGTAAAAATCATCGTTTAGGATCCGCTGATCAGTTCTCTATTCACCCTCAAGGATCCTACTTTAATTTATTGCGATCTACTGAAAGTCGGACATGGCTCAAGTGGGCAAGTATTCTATGTAAGTTTTTGTTGTATGAATGTATAATGTAACCTAGGCGTACGATAATGTTACAAATGAAGCCGTGGCTGTCAAAAAGATGGCGTTTACCGGAAAGGACCAAAAAGACTTCCGCGATGATATCATTAAAGAGGTGATTATTACAATTTGTGTGATTAACTCTTTTCCAGATTCGGTTTCTGAAAGAAGCACAACATCCTAATATTGTTCAGTTTATTAATTGCTATCTACGGGAAGACAAATGCTGGGTACTTTTTTTACCTTTCGATGAAAAGAAGTTCAGTTGGTGCTTGAATATTGCCTTGGATCGGCTGCCGACATTTTGGAAGCACTCGGGACGGGGTTGCGCGAGGTACTGAGTGCTGTTCTATTTATATATTGTTTTAGAGCGAAATCGCTGAGATTTGCGTCAATATTCTGGAGGCCCTGAAGTACATTCATGCACTTGGCCGGATTCATCGTGATATCAAGTCTGGCAATATTCTAATGAGCCGAAACGGTGGCGTGAAACTCGGTCGGTTTAAACACGTTTCATTATAAAACCGCCTTAGGTGATTTCGGCAGTTTGTCTTCATCCAGTCCTGCGCAAACATTTGTCGGAACTGCCTATTTTATGGCTCCTGAGGTGATTTTTAGAGGAGTAGATTTTCGAACAATTTATTTATTAGCTGATAACCGCTATGGAAGACGGCCATTATACAACAAAAGTTGATGTTTGGGCGCTAGGTATCACATGCATTGAGCTGGGTAAGCAATGATGTTTTTTCGATAAAGTTTGCTTTAGCTGAGACTCGTCCGCCTCTCTACTCAATGAATGCGATGGCGGCCTTGTACCAAATTGCCATGAACCCGCCGCCAACACTGGAGAAAATCGATCCGACTTTGGTACCATTTGTCCTCTTTCAAAACTAGCTTTTTGAAGCACTCTTCACGAGAACCATGGAGCGAAGATTTCGTTGATTTTTTGAAACAATGTCTGATCAAGGAACCAACCAATCGAACCAGTGCTGCTGCCGCGTTGAAGGTACATCAATGGCAAAAAAAACGTTTATTCTTTTAGCATTCGTTTTTCCACAAAGCTCGTCCCCCGAATCTGATTTCGGATTTGGTGGCACGTGCTAAAGATTTGGTGGCATCGGCCGACAATGCTCAGTTCAAAAAGTTTATGCACTTCCTAGACGAGAATACTCGCCAACTGGCGGATTCTACAGGCACGTTGAGTTTTACGCCATTGACATCGCAATTTAGAAAACCGGTTGATACGTGCGGTGAACGGAGGCGCTAATGGAACGAATAGGGATAATGCACTCGACGCGATATCCACCTACTCGCATTCGCCGACAAATAGCGTCATTTCCACAGCTTCTATCCGGGCGTACGTCTTTGTAGTATAAATTTATAACTGTCGCGTCCCATTCTATTCATATTGTTTTAGGAATGGTGCGGACGACAAATCGGGAACCCCACGATTAACCCCGTCGAAGCCGGATACGGATATGGAAACCCTTCCAAAAGAGCCGAAGCCTGCTAGCAGCGACACCCACTCGTCATTGGCGGAATCGTATCCTTTACTGGCTTTCGTCAAGCATGTATTTTTCAGGGACGAAGCTCCGTATCAAGTCGCGGAACAGCCTTGGTCTCGCAATGGCTCAACTAAAGAAGTACCACTAAAGGTCTGCTTTTTGTTAGATTTAATTTTAACTTTCGTTTAGCCCCAAACCAGTACCCTGCGACTTTCCAAATTTTCGACGCTTAGGACGACAAAGAGCTTGGCTCGGCAGCAAGACAAATTTGCCAGGTTATTTTGTTTTTGCCTCTCATATTAGCATCACAGGTGTAACTATGTGGCCGACCAGATGGCGCTCTATAAGCATTTGCGGCAAATGCAAGGCAAAGAACTGAAGCAGGTAGAGATGTGATTGCATGTGTACGCTATTTTCATCTTAGTTGGAAGAGAAGTGTCGTAATGAACTGGACGCGCTGCGCGGTGAACAGTATCGGGAACTTGAGAAGCTGTCAGCGGAACAAGAAAAGGTTTGTTTTTACGTTATTTCATCAGCCGTTTATCAGGCTCGTGGCAAAGCCTATCACAGCAAGGCCATTGATGGCGAAAAGTCGAGGAAAGATGCAGAAGCCAAGGAAAAGAAGCTACGCAAGGAAATTCAGGTGCTTAGAACTTGCTTTTTAAAGACAACATATTTTAGGGTAAACAAGCCAGTGAGATGCGCTCTTTCTCCACCATTCAGGACAAGGAATACAACTATATGAAAGATCAGGAGAAAATCGTATGCAATCGTTGTTGCGAATTACTGTTTTTTAGCGCCTCAAAAAGCTGCACACCGACAAAAGGGAATACGAGCGAGTGTACAAAGAAACCAAAGATCGGCTTCTGCATTATCGGTAAGTGGAATTTGTTTTTGTTTGACCTATCATTAGATCCGATATTGAATTGGGCTTCAAGAAGAATCTGGAACATGAGTTGGAAGAGCAGTTACGGTGAGACGATCCATTTTATAAAAACCTTTTGAATTTAGTCGGCATCGTCGTGGCGCGTTAATCCGTCTGCATGGAATGGAAGAGGCGCTCAACAACGTGGTCCGTTGCATTCCCCTCTCAGTAACGATGCATTTAAAGGTTTTCACCGGAGACGAGAAACGATTGGCGCAAAAACACAGCTTGTTGAAAGATCACCATTATCAACTGACAAAATTGGAGGAAAACCAGATCCAGGCTGTCCACGATTTGAAGTTTCGGCACTTGGTACGTATAACTTGACTGTGGATGAATTATTTTTTTAGATTATTCAACATGAGGCTGAGAAACAAAACCAAGCTGAGTACACGAATAAAGTGCAAGAAGAGCTTCGCCGCACGCAGGCGCAGCAGACCAAAAAGAGGCCCCGTGAACTCAAGGTGAGCTTTTTTTTTAGTTATGGATCGGGTTATTCGATACAGCTTTCGTATTTCTGTACGCCAAGGGAACCGATATTTGGTTTTGGCGTGAAATTCCCGTTTCTTTTTCAGCTAAAGGAGAACGAAATCCGGAAGCAATACCGACAAGCTGTGAAGATCCAGGCTCAACAGTTCAAGCTCTATTCGCAAGAGGTCCTCCGCACAGCTCTTCCCCATGAAGCAAAGGTGACTATAACCTTACCCTCATTCAATAAATTTTCACAGGAGTTGACGCAGCAGCTGAAGGAGGATCAGCACCGCAAGCTTGCTCTATTGACTTCCCAATACGATACTCAAGTCGAGAATATGATCTATCATAACACTGTAAGTACGCTTTCGCTTTCAGCAATTTATTTTAGACCTACATTGACGATGAGCAGCAGAAAGAGGCCAAGCTCTTGGCGACCAAATTAGCCGACGAAGAAAAAGAACTGGCCAGCTGTCAGGAGAAGCAAAAAGAACAGTTGACTCTGTTAATCGAAAAGGCAAGTTGTTGGCGTGTTGCTTAATTCGGTAATTTAGGAAAACCTCCAGCTGAAGGAACGGATCGCTCATCGTCTGAAGAAATTGGAACATCGGCTGGCCGATGAGACGAAGAGCTTTCACGAAAAAGTCCAAGCGGAACGGGCTCGGTTGGCACAAAAGTAGGATTTTTTGATTTGTGCAAAACCCTTCCGTCTTAGGCAATCCGAGGAGAAGCAAGACTGTGATAGGAACGCCGAAGGCATTTCGACCAGCCTATAATTCTCACATATTATTGTAGGATTTATCATTTAAAATAATTTAATTGGGATGGTTTCGGGCCCGCAGGGATATTTGTATACGAAATGGGTTTAACGTATTCGAGCCAAACTTTGCTATTCACTCCCTGATTAGATTTGGCAGTTTTGTGTCAAAGATTTAATAATAATTAGTTTTTGCTTTATCCGTTAATTGATGATCACAATCTAGTAACATATTTTTTTATTCGTTGTCTCGACTTAGCGTTTGTCCCCCATCTAGTCTCTGAGGCTTGACTTGCTCACAAACTTCTACGCTATCATATATGACCGTTTTCGAGTATGACCTCATTTTACATCATTCCTTCGTGCCTTCAATATTTTTATAACTAGCAGTAATGATCTTTACTAAAGTTTGTTTGAATTATTGTTTTTGGTATATCCGTGTTGTGAATACGCCCTGGTAAAGTCCTTTCATATCGATTTACTCCATTTGTATTGCTTGCAATGAATGACATAACAGACACAGGGTACAAAGGAGACGGTGGTTGTAAAAAGCAGCTTGGAAAGTTTTGTGAGACCCGTAAGGATTGCAGATCTATGTCGACGAACCGGCTGAAAGCCTCGAAAGGTGTAAAAAACCCGTAATGAAAGTAGCCACGAGGAATTTCGCGTCTTTAGCTAGCTTTATCTTGTCCATCTTCGGGGAGCCCATATTTTTTCAAGATGTTCTTCAATCGGCCGTTTTCGTCTTTCACGCGTTCCAACTCGTCAACGATTTTACGGTTATCCTTCGAAGCGTTGACGAGTTCTCGAGTAAGCTAAAAAAGAAGAGGATGTATCTATACGTTCAGTATAATTCTACCTCGTCTCGATTCATCCCGGTGGCCTTCTCTGCATCCATATCTTGAAGAGCCTGTTCAAAATCCTCTTCGTCACAATCAATGTCATCTTGCCCAGCAGTTGAACAATTTGAACCATCCAGCCCATTTGCGCCCTTCTCTGAGGACTGCGATGTTTCTGATCCATGTCCATTCTAAAATGTTCACTATTTTTTTTCTTTTTTTTCCTGGACGGCCCATCAATTTTTAATAGCCGTTGATAACGTATTTCCTCGAATGTAATCCCAAGGGTTCTATTTTTTTTACAATCACCCCCAAAAAGGGATCGTTAGATCAAATCCATTTTATTGACTGGCATACCTGATCAGTAACGGTCCTCTCGTAGAGATCTTCGATGAGAAAATGATTCGAATTATATGGAGCCATAGCTCCTTGGGCGCTTAGGCTGTAAATAGGATTTGATTTTCACTTCCAATTAGCCTCCTACCGTGTAGATCGTCTCAATTCTGGCACATCGTCCTCTTCCTCATCACACGGCTTTGGGCGCTTCATTGAGCGCCGACGTCGCATCTTTTTCTTCGAAGCGTCGATTCCATTTGTCGTCAGGTCAACGTCATTTGTTTCACTTGGCATATTCGCTTCCGGATCCGCGGTTCTGTAGAGTTGGGTTACGGTAGCTGAAGAGACTGAGGTATCAATCGTGCATATAAGTAATCGAACCCATAAGAAAGCAAATAGGTATAGCACGAAAAGTCAAAGTATGTCAAATAAGTAAATTCAACCTCGCCGCTTTTCGTCTTTAAGAATCTGCGATGCGCTCGGGAGGGCTATTTGGGGGCTAGATACCGCGGGAGCCGAAAGAAGGGGGCGGGGCCAATCGGGGAGAGTGAGTGAGTGGATGCAAACGAGAGAGGCGGGGTAGGCCTGGCTCGACGCCAAGGCACATGTTCTCAATGCAGCGCTTATTTAAGGTATAAACTTGTAAGCAAGACTATAGAAGCTGTAGAAGAATGGTAGTCGTTGTCGACCCGCGAGACCTCTGCACAGGTCCCCTGGATGCACAAAAAATGCAAAACTTTCGACCGAAGATCTCAACCCTCTCGAGTGGGATTTCCATTGGCCGAGGCCGTTTTGTGAATTCGATTTCGGAATTTTGTGCATCCGGGACTTAGCACCGGTCTCTACGGATGGAGCAAAGGCCCGAGGGCCGAGCCCCGAACTGGACGGCCAGCTGCCCGTCGCCCCTTTTATATGAGGGGGAGAGAGGGAGGGGGAGAGAGAGAAAAGAGAGGGAGAGAGAGGAGAGACGAGAGTACGGCAAGCTATGGAGAGGAACCGCGACGCGACGGCCTGAGTCCGCTCTATTCCCTCCTCCCCCATCGCACACACATACACACAGACATACAAACATACACTCACTCACACACATACACACCATTTCCCATTGCGGCTGAATGTTCGCCCATTGATCCACCGGGTGCCCCTATGCTCCCCGTCTGTACCATTGTTTCCAAAAAATGACTTATTGCAGAGGGAGGTTTAGGTAAAGTGGTTCATTGCAATAGACCACCTTCCCGTTTAAAGCAATAGTAAAAAGATCATAAATACCCTGAAAAGTCTCTTTCGTGATACTCCACTTGATACTAACAAATGTATATACAAAAAAATGCGCGACCTCACAGCCGACGAATTTGTTTTAAATACAATTATAACCACACATCCCCAGGTTAGTAAGTAAGTAAAAAGTGTAGTGTATTTTTCAATCCTAAAAAAGACTTTTACCGCGGCCGCTTGATCCCTGAGCATTTGGCAGGGTCTGACCTCTAGTTTCGTATATCCTCATGCCCTGGGGTAGCGGGTGGGTCTAGTGATGTCATGGTCCAATAGACCCTCGCCCCCCCCTTTGGCCCTTTTAGCCCCGAATCCCCTCTAAAAATAAATCCATCAATTTCCATTTGATAGATCCTTTTTATTATTACTTATTATAACAAGTAAAAAGTAGACATCAAAAAAACAACTTTATTCTTCAAAAATTACACGGGGACGGCGAGACAAGGTGAAAGGCAAAAATCAAATGGGATTGTTTCGCCTGACCATAAGCACTCTTTTTGGGAGCGACCGAAATGAGATCTAGCACGGGTAATACTATTTAACTAGGTTAAAGCCATTATTATGCCTGGGACGTCTTTGGATGCTGGGATTCTTTGGTTGTTTTGGGGCCATATCATGTTAATAGGGTACGGTAATTTGGGGGTAGCGAAAATCTGCGAGCGGTGAGCAAATCTGGGATATTTAGAAACGGAGGCGGAGTGCTGACCAGAAAGTGTGTCATATTATAATACAATAAAAAAATATCTAGGGAAGCAGCAAATTGGGTACTCGCGCAAATTTAGCCGGGGGAAAACAGAGAAGAACCACATGAAAATCAATGCACAAAAATGGTGTTTTTTTTGGGAGAGCATGACAATTTTTTGGGCTGGGAAAGAGACACGTATTTGATTAGTAGTTAGGGTCACGGGAAACACGGGTGGATAAGCAATATATCAATTCGAGCCTATACAAAAATGGGGGAGTTGATGGGAAGAATATGTGCAAAACCTCGAACTATTCTTCCAGTTCTTCGGCATTACGGACAACTGATGGGATAGCTTCGGCTCGGCGGCCAACTAGCAAAAATGTTTCCATTCCACCATCGACGCCTTTGACCTGGAAAATCAATAAATAATATGAGTTTTGATGGTTTGGCTTGATTTGTCTGCCTTTTAGCTTAAAACCCACTTCTACATTACCGCGGAATTCGAATTCGTAGCGATCAGCCAGTAGATCCCTGGTGTCTTTTGAAACCTACAAAAAGCATGGCCGACACCCATTTATTGATTACCTGCAATCGATTTTCGACACCGGTACTATACATGCGTGAAGCTATATTTACCGTATCACCCCAGATGTCATAATACAGCTTGGTAGTGCCTAAAGACCATTAATGCTTGGTGACCGTATCTAAAAACCGTACCGATAACACCAGCTGTGACTGGGCCAATGTTTAGACCAAGTTTGCAAACGAAATCAAAGTTCAGCAAATCCTCATTGAATACCGATAGTTGATGTTGAAGGGCGAGTGCAAATTCGATCATCTTAACCATATTATCATTATTATTTATGGCTGGAATTGGTACCTGGTAAAGATGTTCTTTTGGATGCGCGGCATGTCGTCGTCGTTCTGGGTTCAATCCACTTGCCGCCATATATGTCGAGCCAATTGTTTTGATCTTTTCAATGTGACAAAACTCGGGGCGATCGAGCAGTTCGTCAAAGTCACCGATCACCTGCATTCAGGATATTATAGGTGGAAGTAAAATATCAACCTCGTTCAGCACTCTCAAAAATTCGCGACCGCCCTCAAAGTTTTCTTCATACATTTCACTCCAATTCGTGATAGATGCAAATAGGACTGCCGTGGAATCGTGGTTTTCACTAGATCACAATTTCTAAGAAATTGCTTTTTATCTACCTGTATTTCGTATCGGTTTTCAATGTCTCAACGGCATGTGGAGGTATGACGTTATTCAACAGCCAGTCAGCCTGATCGCGCACAATTTGCATCTTTTCGGTATCGCGCCGCGCTTGCACATCTCCAAAGAATGACATCCGGAACGCCGCTTCAAACTGAAAAACCAATGAATGGTTCAATGGTTTCCATAGCCTGACTAACCTGATAGTTCAAGAACGCCACCAGGATAATAGCGATCAACACGTCAAGGATTATTTCCCAGAAGAACAGTGGGGATCCGAATTCGGTGGAAATGGCCCACGGTGAAGTTATGTTATCCGCAGCACATTTCTCGACCTCAAACATGCAAATGACTTGATTTATTTTTGTTAGACTACCATTGGCAAGCGTTGTCGATAATTTTGTTGGCACCAGAATAGGGCACCAACATGGATTAGGCCAACAATGATACATTGCAATGTCTTTGGCCAAGCACCCAATTGAGAAAAGTTGCAATGAGCAAATAGGGCCAATATCATCAGATAGGAGAATGTAATCCTTATCGACAGCAAGTCCATCTAAATTTGCATTACTTTACTGTTCTTTTTGCCTTACCGTAGGACACTTATCAAAAGCACACAATGGCACAATGCAGATGGCCACTCCTACCGGAAGGGCAATCAAAAATAAGCCTGAAATCACGATCAATATTCTACTACGATGATTCCACAAACCGATGATGTGACGGGGTAGCCATAAGTTGACGCAGGGCAACAACGATTTTCGGCTGAGAAGTGGGATACCAATGAGACCAATTGCAGCAAATACCTAGAATCTGATTTTGGTACAATATTTGGAACAGAATTATAACTTTCACGAAACTTACAATTGTCAATGCAAATGCAATGTAGATCAGAAATTGGATGGGGAAAGTATGCAAAGAAAGCAGAACGACGATTGCAGAAACCAGGCATAGTCCACCTAATATTTTTATCTTTATCGTGATCGCTGGCTTACCTGCTGTGATCATGTCAATGAAAACGCCCGAATATCGATAAGGGGATGAGGTTGGTGAATACTCAGATAGGTTCTGAAAGAGAATTTATTGTAAAAACGGTACCTAATATATGCGATTACCTTATGATGAGCAATTGCTGAGTGCGCTCCCCCAAATCGGTCTGTAGATTCGGCAAAATGGGCTCGGTATTCATCCTCAATTTCCTGAATTTCCCCCACATTTTGCACAAGCTATTAATATTCTTTACCTTCTCATTAAACCGCAGCGTCCATGGGTTGAGACTATCCTGATGGACCCAAAATCCTTTCGCAAATTCACCCTCCTCTCCCTAAAAATACAATTACCAAACACCATTCATGCCACAACATACACGAAAGTAGCTCACTTGAATCACTTGAACTAGGTGCTGATCAAAATCACGGTGATCGGTGTCGAATCTGAATGGGTGGGCTATATGTTAAGGGATATCCTGATACCTGGTCAATGAGGCAGCATTGTGGTGATGAGAGATAGCGGTATCTAGCCCTCCAACTGATGCCAAATCCGATCCGGGGTCTTGCAGAGACAGCTATTCAATAGAGTTTCGACTTTTGAAGCCTCAACAAACCTGCAAACCGCTGCTGCGGCTACCTTTGGCACTATTTGAAGTGCTGCCACCAGAATTCTGAAGCGAATCATGAGGTGGGTGGCCAGCCGTTACCTTGGTCGCACTTCTTTCATGCCAGGCACGAGCGTCCGGATTGCTTCCAGAGTTCGGACATGCTACAAACAACATGGCTATTTTTATAAGGCTAAATACCAGGTGGTGTATATGGAGCATTGGGATTTGCAGTGTTGCTGGTCAGCGCTTGCAAAGAGGCCGACTTCTTCTGATCGTCCATGATGCAGATTGAGTTTGGCTGTAAAATACTCAAGCTCTGGGAGCATGAATGGACAGCGTACCTCTTTCGGTAGTAATTGAGTACTGTTACTGGCCCCCTTATTTCGGTCTGCAAGCTTCATTCTCAAAGAACCTCAAATATGCGTTGCTAAATACTGCCAGAGTCAGTGTACCTCCGCCTCCTTGTCCGCCGCGCATTGGCAATGAGGTCGTGTGGATGGTCTTCAGCTTGGCCGCAATTTTCTGAAAATAAGGCGGCTTTAAAAGTGTTAAGCTTGAGTGATCTTCTAAAGGATAGACGCCTAGGCGGGCATTATGAACACATCGACCAAAGAGATAGTTTGGGGAATTGCGGCCGACAGTTGCAAGTCTTGTTGAGATCAGCAAAAAAAGTGCATTGAGTTAGTGGTGGAAGGGGGTAGGGGAGGGCAATGATTTGGTTTCTAGCATGCCCTTTACCAGGCGTCCAGTCACACCAGCTCCCGTCTTGAACCAACGCTCCGGGATCGACGCCTGTACAGATTTTTCAGACGCGAGTTATAGGACATTTGAAAAACCGGGAAACCACCATACATTCTCTACCGTACTAATCGTATTTTTCTATTTTTGGCGTCGACTCTCCTGAGTGCCCCCATCTCTCACCTTCCTGAAGCTCATTCCGACTGCCTTATTGGGCTGGGCCCCATTGAAGGGCCCCTCTCTCGGGCCCGGCTCCAATCCCTCAAAGCAGCTCTGCTCGTTTCGGCCCGCAATAAAATACGTCTTCAGCTTATCGTAAATGGGGCCCTCTTCAAGGGTGTAGCAGCCGTCCAGGAATCCGGCAGTCGCTTCAGAGATGTGTACCTTAAATTTAAAGAGCATTGCTAAAACATGATCATTTGCTAAGAAATTGTGGTAAAAGCTGCTTGACGAGGGGTGGGGGAGAAATAACCGGGGTGGAAACAGCCCGAAAAATCTTCCAACGGTTTTTAATTCATTAAACTTTTTAGTTTACTAAAGTAATAATTTTCAATAATGGGTTTTGATGAAATTAAATCTCTTATTATAATTTTTGACGCCCGATCCGATGACGCTTCCAAAATAGCCGGATAGATTTTATAAATACAAATTTTTCCACCGCGGTTATTTCTCCGCCCCCCTCCGTTCAACAACCTTTTTACCGCAATTGTAATCCTTCTAAAAATAAATGTATACCCGGCCTGCTTGCCCACTCGATTCCATTTCGTTGGCCAGCGTCACGTCATTGGAGAAGACGTCGAATTTGAAGCGCTTCGTGCCCACCATTCCACACATTACCTAGATCGGCAGTCTACAATTTGTTCTTGCCTCCATTTTCTACCTTTCCAGTATGGATTCCGACTCGCATGTTGACATCTTGGCCACGATCCATATCGAATTGCCTGGAATATTTTAGATCTTAATATTTTTGTTAAATTAGCTATCTTTGTTAGAAAGGGGGATGGATTTGCTTGGAAAGTCTTAGTTAATGCATTTCGTAGGTGTCAAGGCGGAAAACGGGGCGATTCTCGACTATACCAAAGCCTCCCTGACCGACGGACGGCCTGAATAAATTCCATAAATATTTACTGACATAATCGTTATAAAAGCTCTTCCAATTTACCTGATTGCAACAATCATTTCCAAGCCCATCTCAACGCAACGTTTCGCGTGGTCAACACATGGCTCCGGACATCCAGCCACACAGTAGTAGCAATCACCTAAATGGGCTTTGCATTTTTTTTTGTTAACCTCACCTAATGTGCTGATTTTTTCGAGGCCACACATGCGACATAAATTGTCAAAACGACCGAAGAGGTCATTCAAAAGATTGACCAGCTCGTCGGCGGATTTATTTGAGGACATCTGAATTTGGACTACAAAATATACCGCGAGATCACCTTGGTGAAACCGCAAATATCGGCGAATAGGATCGAGACGTCGGTCATCAAATTCATTGTGAACGGGCGAAACTTTCTGACATCCGGAACAGATTGAGGAATTGATTGGTCTAAAGAAAAAGCAGCGTTATTGCAAATCAACTATTCCCACTCCGATCATCGTTGTTCAGTGTCTGTGTCGCGTTTGAAGTCCGGCAATTTGAGTCTAGCGAAGCCGAGGGACGTCGAAGTTCCGAGGCGTCCTTCAGAAGTTCATCGGCAACCTAGTCATAGCTTTAACTACACAGATTTAGCAATCAACAACCTTTTTCGGCATCACAGATTGGATCATGTGATCCTTGAACTGCTTCTCGAGCATCAGATCTTTGCGGGCCATCAATGATTGCCCGACCTTTAGGAATGTCTTCCTTTGTCGTACCTAATTTCCGGATACTTTCGCGAAGCAGCTCATTACCTGAGTCAGGATAAAGAGATGCACACCTAGCATATGCACTCCGCCATGCACAAAGAGTTTGACAAAATCTGCCTCGGCGAAGATTACTCTAGAAATTTCAATTTTCTCTCGGTTTTCTGGGAAGTTGCTTACCTATTTCTACAGAGCACCTCGACGAGAGCCGAATAGGTCAGCCCTATGGCCACACAAAGATACAGCGGTAAAGGTATGACAGTGTATATCAAGAGAACCACCTTAACATTTGAAATTATCTTCCTTACCCTTTTTCTCGCTCTCTCTCTCTCTATCCCTCTCTTTCTCTCTCTCTCCCTATCTCTCTCTCTCTCCTCTCTCTCTCTCTCTCTCTCTCTCTCCTCTTTACCTGAATACTGATAGCCAATGTAGCGACAGGGGTCATAAAATTGTCATTTCCCTCCGAGAAGATGATCAGTGTGATGAGACAAATGAGGAACGTGCAGAGAAACGAGGTTGGCATGTAGAACCTAAAAACACACAGGGTCAGCTGCCTTTATCCATCCACCCATCCAGACACACACCCAGGTTGATCAACGGCTCTTACCGTTGATAGTGTGCCGACAGGATCGTAAAGCTGTAGATTGCCAGGCTCACCAACACCATCGCCGCCGCCACAAACTAATAAGGGGCGCTTACTTCTTCCATTGAATGTTTTTTTACCCAGTAATGGAGCTTGGCTTGTCCAAATACAGTAAGGAAGGCTATCCAAGCTATGCAGACAAAACAGATATACAAAAGACCCGATCGAAACCGGTCTCGCAGTTGAGGAAACGAGCACTTCCAATATTGGGCCTCGAGAGCAGCACTCCTGTAAAGATCGAAAGCGTTACGGTACCGCTACAGCGTGCCCCAGAAAACCGATTCTAGTGATATATTGAAGTAGGTGATTTCCATGATTGAGCTATGCATCTAATGCTCTTAAACACGCGAAAAGGCAGCTTTATTGGTTTCTAGATGCTATATTTTAATGCAGATTTATAAGACCAAAAACTATGAAAATACCGGTTTTTGCGACATCCGTTGAAAAACGCCGAAAATGTTTATTTTGAAAGCAATGCAAAATTGAGACCCCTTTGACAGTGACAGTCTGCGCTTCTAGAGGTTCAACGGAAATTGATGAAGACCGACCTGAACTGCGGGTTCCACCATCTTGCCGATGCCCGCTCAAATATCGGCACCCTCCTTGGCGACGCGCTATGGGCCCGATCGCTGGCCTGGAACGATAGATCCATATATAATCTTGGATTGCTCGCGGGGGTTCCCCCCTCGGCGGCCGTCCCCACTCGTTAACGCCACGCCGATTTGGGTGGCTGCAAAAATTCGCTTGGCAACGCCTAATTATGGCGACTGGTGCGCAGTGGCCAGGGCCTCCGGAGGGGAGCACGGCCGTTCTTTTTTTATGTGCCGGGGACCCCTATGGGCCGAAGAAATGGCTGAAAAGTGGTTCTCATAGACCGGTTTCCTATCCTAAATTTCATCCAAATCACCCCTGTGTATGGCCTATTACCTTATTTTTAACTTAATATGCTACCCCCGAAAATAATAACCCTGCTGCTTGGGCTAGGCTTTACTTTACCCCCCCAGCACGGGGTCCCAAAGTTTGTCGACATTTCGGCTATAAAGTCGGGATTTTGGCTGCTTCACTCGATAGAGCATCAAAAAATATATACTAAGTGCTTTAATTGCAGCGCTCGGGGATATCCAATGGGATGAATTTTATGGCAGATAGTAATGGCTCTGGGATGACGCACCCTTATCAGATTTACAAAAAGCTATTTTCGACATTAAATTTCGGCAAGCCTCTTTGTTGAAAATCAGCATAACCGGAAGCGGCCTATAATCAGCTAGGGGGCTTTTTCATTTTTCGCATCGAACGAGACAAATGCAGAGCGAAGAACGTTCGGGGTTGGGCGCGCGGTCAACCCTGGTGTAAAAATAAAAAGTCATAGAGAAAAAGATTTTCTATTCCGCGGAATTAAGCGCTTTTATGCAAATTCGCGATGCAAATTTCGCACCGCGGTTGCGCCGAATCAACTAATAATTCTGGTCTCTGTCCGAAGCCGAATTCAACCGAAGGGGAGCTTAGCCCCTTCGGATAGAGCGCCATCAGAACCCCCAAACTGAAAAATTAGAAAGTTTTATTTTAAATAAAAAACGGGGGGCCCCCTCCCCGAGGCCCCGCCCCCTTCCCCCCCCCCTTCGCCAGGCCCCCGCGCCCAGATTGCTTTCTTGTACTTTAATACTTTAATACTTTTAATTATGTTAATTAATTATTTAAATCAGGAAGGTATTTATGTAGTTTTTGAAGGGGATTTCAGCCATGGGGGGTATCTGAAGCCATCAGGAAGGTATTTAGGTAGTTTTGACGGGGTTTCGGCGGGGGTGGAGGTGGGAAAGGATGTGGTGGGTGGGACATGAGGGCCAGATGGTTGCAGTCGCGAAGCGACTGTAAAGATCACTAAACACCTAAAAATAACAAAATAGTAGCCGACCCGACCAAAAACAATTGGATTCGCAAACTCAGGATTTTCCTTGATTATAAACTTCACTACAGTGTGATTGGCGCAACTTAAGCTTACTGAAGCGCCCAGCGAAAGAATAGAAGTAGCATCATCAAGTGTATCCGACATTGCCCAACTAATATTCGCCTTTCGGAAGGTAAGGGCGGGAGCAAGGGCAAGAGCCGACATATGGTCGGTCAATCATTGTCGCGACTCTTGCAATTTTTTTGTTAGATTAATTTGCCTTTGCTGGCATTAGCCACATATTGCCAATATGGAAGATTACTTCCGGAATTCTCACTTCAATTTCTGGACTTCTGGAGGTGGTCTGGCGGAATGATTTTGCAATTTAGGTTTTTATCGAAAGCTCCCGTAAAAAGCAAGAAAACAAACCTGTAAGTTTCGAACTTGATTTAATTCTAATGCTGGTTTCTATGCTAAGAAACCTAAATAAATGATTTATTAGAACGAAGGCTCTACGCGAGAATTCCATATTAAATTCAAATGTGCTGAAACGACTTTGATTTCCTAGGAAAACTAGAGTAGGTGTAGAAATTGTTGCCACAAGAACAATATTGAAGCGATTGTTAGCAAATTGAATTTAGAAAAAAAATGATTTTCCTTCCACCATAAATTCCCTCGAATTCTCACCTGTGCTGCAAGACTCCTGGAGTGATGGACATGCTGAGCGAGAGCAGGAGTCCTTTCGCCCGGCTCCTCGTCCTCCATTGCTCTACAACGTCATTTGTTGGTATGAGTACTAGGGCACAAGCCAGGGGAGACATTTCGGGTTCCTCATACCCCTCCCCCCTCCTGGCTTCCATTCCCGAATCCCTTGAGAGCCCTTGGCTACACGCCAAATACCAATTACTCGACATCCCCTCCCTGCCCTCCCTTCTTGCGATGCTTTTGCCGTGTTCTCGGAAGCCAGCACCAACCAAGCTTCCCTTCATAGCGACATCCCCCCTTTATACATCAATGAAATTGACGTACTGGCCCCCGAGGTAGTCAGTGCCCTGTAGCTTTTAGAGCTTGTCATCTAGCATCACTCTCAAGGTATCACTGGGCAGTCGCGTGGAGGGATCGCTAGAATTCACAAAAACGTCAAAGCAAATGAGAAGTGTAAGCGGAAGTTGCGCCAGGAAAAAATATAGACTCCTAGGTTTGATCGGAATCTGGGCAATGAATATTGTAATATTAACTGTGGGCCAAGAAGGATCGACATTTCAACTTAAGAATCGCATACTAGATTTCGCGTGTTTTGCCCCGAAAACAATAAAAAAATTAAGACCCGTACGTATTTCCGCAGAGAAGCCCCCCTTCCTCCCCACCGGATTTTAGGCCTCAATTGGTTTATTGGCTGGTTGGTCGAATTGCGGTTTCGAGAATGTCAGTTACAGTAGCTTTGACAATTGCTCTGGGCGCTATTTCGGATGGCAGCTCGCAAAACATTTCATACTTACTATTGTGAATTGATCCGGAACAGCCGCACTTTACGTAGCAATCAATGTCTCCAACGCCTTTCACGGATAAGCGCTTCGCTGCCCCCTCCCTTCAGAAAAAAAGATGGGGCTGTAATCCCTACTCTCATTCTTGGCAATAATCCTGAAGGCGGCGAGAGATTGAATTGAGGGGGGAGACAAAAAAGTGAGCCGCTCAAAAAGGCGCATCATCCTCCCTTCCCCTGCCCTTAAAATCATGGTAAAATTGAATCACACCGGTGAAGGAGGGGGGGAGGTTGGGAGTAAGGGTGGAGAGACAAGTGCTCGGCCTCCGCGACCAGTAAATTGAAAACGGGAGGCCACGCTACAGAAAAAAACATAACCCGGACATTCAATTGAGGAATAGCAACTTCCTAGAAAATCGAAAATTTGGAAGTGAATCAGAGGGGGTTGATGATTATAGCGAATCAAATAGTTTACGGGAGGTGATGGGGAGGATGAGATGCTGTAAAAGGGGAGGCCGATGTTTTTGTTTAGAAAAGCTAGATGAGCCCCCACACGCCGGGTGGAAGTCAGGCAAAAAAAGCTTGTGCTATTTGAGGGAGGGGGAGGCAAAGAGGTGCGAGCACGGGGGGAAGGGGAGGGAAAGGCTGCAAAAGGGCGCTCGCCCCGGGTTATGGGGTATGACAAATCGGGGCAGAAGTGTACAAACACCATCCGTTCGTCGCCCTCGAAAAGGGCCGAACCCTTGACGTTAATGACACCTGGTCGAGGAAATAGCGCCAGGTACACCACACCGACTTCCACAAATGGGCAGCGAATATCCTTTTGCTTATTTTTTAATGTCTATTAATGCATAAAACGGGTACAGCGGCAGATTTCGGGGGATTGTGTAAAGAATAGCGGCCAAAGCTATACTACGACCATTTTTCCGGGGGGTGAAAATGGCCCCATTTTATGTAGGGATGGAATCAACAGCTGGTGTGGGCCCCCAAGACAACACTGGGTGTTTCGATGCAAAGATCCACCTTTTGGTCGAACGAAAAGACGGTTCGGGGCGGCCGGAGGGAACAAGGAAACAAGAGAGATCCGCCGCCTCGAGGGTTCACTATTTTTAGCTGGAGAGAGAGAGAGAGAGAGAGCGAGAGAGAGAGCCAGAGAGAGAGAGAGGGGATGAATACTCTGTCCATAGTCAGGGGCGGCTCCTCTTCGCACAGAATCGGCAGTGGATGCGCATTAGTTCATTTGAGGATCTCGGGCCCCCCCCCACTAATTCGCTGCATTCGTCACCTCCTAACCATTTTTCGATGCGGTAAAACAACGAATTGCCCCAGTTTTCGGTGTCCCTAATCATTTTTAAGGCTCTCAGGCAAAACTTGAGGGTTTGTGAAAAGAACAAACTAGTCTTGCTTATTTTTAAAACATTTTTCGGCCCAGGTCAGCCCATTAGCGACCGGGATGGCAATCAAAGAATTCAAAAATGGCTCTTCGTTTCCAGCGATTGCCCATTACGCAATATAAACCAAAGGTGGTGTCTACGCCACCTATTATCGCAAAAACTAGTCTGTCAGGCTGCAGCTTGAAGCTGGGACCAAGCAAGCCGGAAACCGTACTGAACCGCGGTAAATTGTCGGTCTCGCGCGGTGTGTGGGTGAGGTATGGAAGGGGGATTGGGCCGCGACAACTGCAACACGCTAACATTGCTGGCCAACCTGAGCAGGAGACGGAAGGGGCTGGAGCCGGAGCTCGTCGTTGGGACCCGGGACGCACTCGAGGGCGCGATGGGCAACGAGTCCGGGGCGTCGTCGTCGTCGGAGAGGTCCTGAGCGGGCACCGGGGCCGAGGGGTCGTCGCGGGCAAGCAAACCGGCAGCTGGCCGAGGCTCGCTCTGGCCCCCTCTTCCCCCCCGTTGGGCACCCCAAGCCCTTCCCCCCACCCCGTCCTAGACGTCGATCCCCCCACATATAAGCCACGCCCATCTACCCCCTCCGGGGCCCTCACTCACTCACCCACACTTGGTCACCAAAGCACCCTCACCCCTACAACACACCCCAACCACCGTACCCCGCCCTTGCGCCCGTCACACCGGGCCCCTTCCATCGCGCAGACACACCCACCACTCCGACAGCCCCTACTACAGCTATTCACCGTTTCCTACTACCGTTCACCCTTTATCCATGGCTTTTATTGATCTTTTGCTGCAGTTTCGAAAGTACCGCATAGTCGTTCCTCTACGACCAAGGGCTAAATCTCCTTCGTTTTGGGACCCGGCCCTGTGTTTTTGCCGCATTTTTAGTAGTCAACATATTTAGCTGCTTGCAAATAACTGTAAATTGATTTACGCCCATCCAACTTTCTAGGCATTTTGCCGATTTTCACAAAAGAACTATACAATAGATCGTAAAACTAAAGACATAATATGATAACCAGATGGTTACCCCACGCAACCATCGGCCTTCAGACCCACCCCCAAAACTAACTAAATACCTCCTGATGGCTTCAGATACCCCCATGGCGAAACTCCAAAACTACCTAAATACCTTCCTGTGGCTTTAGATACCCCCATGGCTGAAACCCTTCAAAACTACCTGAATACTTTCCCGATGGTTTAGGTACCTCCCGCCGAAATCCCTTAAAAACAAAAATAACGACCGACCGGATGGAATGAGAGAAAGAAGTCCCCGAAATTTTCATCCACGAAACGCGACCTGGCTCACTATGCCAAAATCACCCCAACCCCTCCCCCCCTTTACTAAGGAAAACTTTCAAAGTTAATTTTAATAATTTAAACTAAAACTTTTCATAATTTTTTTCAGTTTGGGGTTCTGATCGCTCTATCCGAGAGAGAGCTGCCTAGCCCTTTCCCTCGAGTTGAATTCGCTCAGACGGACAGAGGAGACCACAGCAAAATTATTATATGATATAATTATAATGAAACTATACTCTTCGGATACTAAGAGCTTTTCAAAATTGAAAGAGAATGGAGCATTAATTTTCAGAGCGGATTCGGTTTTTAGACTCCCGAGGCGTGGCTGAACTTCGGTAATATCAAAGTTTTAAAAACTTTGCAAAGACGCTTCCTCCCACACATTCATCAGCATCTAGGCACCAATATATCATTTTTCCCAAATAGCGGAACAAAGTTTTAAATCGTACGAAATCGATTTAAAAAATTATTTTGGAAGCCGTATCAGCAATAGCATTAATAGCCTGAATATTTTCACTGATAACTGGCACGATTAGGCACTGGCGCATCTGCCTTCCACCATCTGTCTGCTGCACTGCTGGGAACACATTATCCCAAACATATTTTCTCTCGTCTCTCGACCTCGGCTAAACTTCCATTTTTTTAAAAATTTTCTTTCTTAGAATTAAATTATTTTGCTGACGTGAGAATAAAAGTGCCTCTCGAATATTTTTCCGGACCGAATATCAAGTTTTGAAGACTTCATTATTGATCCTTCTCTTTTCCCTAAAGCATTAGCTAAACCCGAAAACGCAATTCCTTTTGAAAAAGACACCTTTTAGGGAAACCAGAACCATATTTTGCAATTTCTCCTTCTTCAACTTAATTTAGACCTCCAATCGTTTTTATTTTATTATGGTTGAGTACTTGTTCAACCTGGTTCTAGCTTTATTATTCTTCGTTCTACCTAACTCTGTAAAGAGTTATTTAACATTTCTTACCATTTTAATGATAAAGATAGGGACTTTTCGTCCTTTTTTGATAATGCAATAGCTATTTGAAAAGAACTCAAATCCAGCTTCTCAGCGTTGTTCTCTTTGTTAAAACGTGAACTTTGTTCCACGACGGAATCCCTTTTTAACAGTTTTTTTCAGGATGTCCGACTTCATCGACAAGCAGGCAGAAGAATCGGAAAACTCGTATAATTCGGAGGATTCCGATGTCAGTGCCGGAGAAAATCAGGTTTCCAAGAAAAGGAAGGCACAGGAGAGTAAGAAGCGCGACAAAAAGAAGCGGAAGATCGTTTCTAGCAGGTATTTGTTGCCGAGATTGTCACAAATAATTTCTCTAATGAATCTTTGTTGCCTACCTGACATCTTTTTTAGCGATGAAGACGATTCCGACGAAGATGAAGACGAGCAGGCTCGGGAAGAAATGAAAAACTTCATCATCGATGATCCGGAAGAAGAGCAAAACGATGATGACGAAGTGCGTTCAGAGCGGGGCCGACGAGAAAGTGAAGAAGAACTTGATGATGACGACATGGAGTTGCTCGATGAAAATCTTGGTCATGAACGGTAGGATATCTTTTCTGCGTCAGGAACTTTTCTTTTAGACGGAAGAAACGCGTCGTTGATGAAGATGACGACTCCGATGATGATCGTACCAAAATTGGACGCAAACTTTTCGGCGTAAGTTTACTTTATAAATATGACCTACTTTTGAACAATTAATCTAAGCGTTGTTTAGGGTGACGACGACGTGGGTGATGAACTTCCGGAGACTCGCGGCTCCTCAAGGATTGCCCACGATACGCACGACGAGCGGCAAGAATATTCCAGTGAGGATGGTAGGCGTGATGTTTTGAATTATCATAATTATTTTACAGAAGACAACTGGATCGTCGACGAGAATCGCAAACCGCGACGCCGAGTACCCAAAGAACACGGAATCGACGCAGCGTAAATTAACGTACTTTTTTGTAGAAAGAATATTTTAGGGCATATGACGAAGCTCGAGATATTTTCGGAGATTTCCGATTTGACGATGTTTTTGGAGAGGAGGGTCTAGAACAAGACGAAATTTTCGACGAGGAAGAGGGAATTATTGATGAAGAGGAGGCGGAGGAAGGCGGTCGGGTAAGTTTTTATTACTAACGTTTTTTCTCTAAAAACCGCCTTCTAAAATGATAACCAATTCCTAAGAAAACCTTGCCAAAGTGGCTTTTGAAATGAAACATGCGTATAAGGCTTCTTGTTATGCGTTACGACTGCATGCTGCGACGTTTTGATCAGTTTAAGTTGCTAGAATCTGGCCAAACTTATCTACGAAATTAGCCCTTGCGAAAGGAGTGAAGCAAAGGAGCCTCTAAGATCATATCGAAGGAATGGCTTCAAAGCTTAGGCTAATCCTAAGCTAAGCATATTTGGATGATTATAGGGGCCCGCGAATCAGCGTGCAGCTCGTCCTGAAGAGACCCTGCTCGGGAACATTGAGCCTTCAGAACTTGCTAAGGGCTTCTTGACCGCGCAGGACCAAAAGATCATCGAAGAAGACTCCCCAGAAAGGTAGGCCTGATTTGAAAAGTGTCGATTCGTTTTTTATTGACTTGTATGTATTCTACGTAATTTAAAATCTTCTAGGTATCAGACGCGCCGGATACCAGTGACCCCGGCTGATGATTCCGAGATCGAAGACGAGGCGAAGTGGATATGGAAATACACTTTCGATGAAAAGAACGCAAAGACACTTACATGCCAGGTATGCAGATTTTTGTTACAGGAACCAGACAATTAAGGAAACTTGCGTCCTCCAAGCAATCAAAGACATCCGGAATGACCGGAATTTGAGTACGGTACAGCAAAATAGAGCTGTAAGTATTTTTTTATTACACAGTTATTATTTGGATTTTAAGGTGGAGGACCTTCGGAAGCGTGGGACGAAATGCTTGGCAGAACTGCTGAAGCTAATCCGGAATCAATCTTTTGAGATTTCTTTCATCGCTTTTTATCGCAAGGAATTTATCGACAGCATGTTCTTGTTGCAGGTTTGAGCATTTTATCACCCTAAAAACTTTATTTAGGATTTATGGCGGCTTGTTGATATGGATGAGAAATGGTGTCACCTCAACCAGCGCAAGGGAAAATTACGCCAATTGATGGAGCGGATGAAAGCCTACCAAGAGCAAACAGGCACATTTACACGCAGACCCGTCACCGAAGCCGATTTTCACGAGTGAGTCTCACTAAATAATCTCTCTACGCGCGTTTTAGGCTCGATACCGTCGAAACGCCGGAGCAATTGAGTGATTGCCAAGCCCAATTTGACTTGTATTACGGTAATATACATTTTCGTCCATTTTATTGGATTTTTTTCCAGCAAATGACGTGAACAAGCTGGCCGAATGGGAAGCGGCACGTAAACTCGAGGATAAATCGGAAGAGGAAAAGCAGGAAAACGAAGTCAAACTCGACCTTTTTGCCACAAAGTACAAGGCCAGCATTCGTAGCAACAAATATACGGTAAGGACCACACGGCGTATTCCTACTTATTTTTAGGCTTGTCTACAAAATAACATCCACGAATTCTGCAAGCACTTTGGACTTGAACCCCGACAAATCCAAGAAAATATCGAACTGGGAGGGGCGCGCCACGAGCCGGAAAATGAGCGGGTAAGCCCATATAGGTTTGCCTGTAGATATTTTTGTTGCAGGAACCTCCGGAAGTAGTTGCTGAAAGATACGTTACCGCTACATTCCCCACTCCCGATGATGTCATCAGGGCCGCAGTGTATATGCTATCAAAGGAAATTTCTATGTTGCCCAAGGTTTGCACTTCATAATATCAACTTGTATACCGTCTGTAAGGGGCTTCCGTTGCATAAAATGCTTTAACTTAACATAACTTACATTCCGGGGATTCTTGTCAGGATTTTCTTGACACAAATTAAAAAATTGAGATGGAGATCCAAAGTTAAAAGCACGTAGCGCTGGCTCAAAAATTTCTACGAACAATTATTTTTCAGGTCAAAGAAAATCTGCGGGAGCGCTATCGTGCCGATGTTGAATTGACAACCTTCCCGACGGAAAAGGGTCGCAAAATCATCGATGATTCTCACCCTCTATACAAAAAAGCGTAAGCTCTTGCGCCATACTTACATCCTTAGACTTGGACAACAGATCAAATATTATGCCTTTCAGGTATCTGAAGAACAAGCCAATTTCTCTATTCGAAGAAGATCAGTTCCTTTACTACCATGTGGCGCGAAAGGATGGATTGCTCGAGCTACACCTGAACCCGACTCAAGGCCTTGTTTTGATACAAAACTTCATCAACGATAACGTCTTCTACGTGGTAAGTATCATCGTTTCTGTCCGCTTACGACTATTTAGGATCGATACGACACAGTCACAGAACAATGGAACAAATTGCGATACCAGGTTCTATCGGAAGCCGTAGACGAAATCATCAAACCGGCATTGGACAGGGAAATTATCGATAAAATGGTTGACGAGGCCCGTGGAGGAGTCATTCAGGTATAAAATATATTAAAATGCCCAACCTTATTTCCAGCAAATCACCAACTATATGTACTTGAAAATGCAACATGGCCCCTACCTTCCCAAGCCACAGGAACGCGACGAAGATGATGACGACGACGACGATGAGGATCATCTTCGGGTAGATAAAAAAGCGCTTATCGAGAATATATTGTTTAGGTGCTTGGTATTGCGTATTCACATGGGATTGACGAGGCCTCGTATGCAGCGCTTGTCAATCAGGACGGTGTCGTGCTGACATACAAACGGCTCACCCACTTCACGAAACGCGAGTTCCCCGGAAATCCGCAATCTGAAGGGGGACGGCTGAAGGTCGGTCGCCCAAAATTGTGCGCTTAGCTATTATTTTAGGCACAAGACATCGCGGAGCTCAAGGAATTCATCAAACGACGCAAGCCACACTGCATCGTCATCGGTGGTGATGACCTAGAGGCTCGTCGTCACCAATTTGATCTCCAGGTTGGTCTTTCGAAAGTTTCTCAGATTGGAAATGTTTTAGCGGCTCGTAGGCGATATGAGAGACTCAATGGCCATCCCTCAAGCCCCAGATGTGTTTATTGCCGAGAACAGCCACACAAAGGTCTACGGACATTCGCAAATGGGAAAGGTAATTGATTACTTCGCTACAAAAACATAATTTTCTTTTCAGAATGAATTCCCGGAATATCCAGTGATTCTTCGTGAAGCGGTTTCGTTGGCTCGGTATGTGGCGGACCCGATGGTTGAACTTTGTCACCTATGGAACGACGAAGAAGACATTTTATGCATGCAAATGCATCCGTTGCAAGGAGAGGTAGAGATGACTTCACGCGATCCAAGTCAATAATTTTTAGGTTGACAAGGGACTTCTTCGAGAAGCCGTTCGCATCGAGTTCATCAATCGAGTAAATGAAGTTGGCGTTGATGTCAACAAGTAAGTAAAAGAAAATCGGTCTCATTTTGCTTTTTAGATGCATGGAGTTTCCGCATCAGCAAAACTTGCTCCAAATGGTTTGCGGACTGGGCCCCAGGAAAGCAGCGCATCTCTACAAAATGCTTCGATCGATTAACGAAAAATTGGAGGTTCATTGGCATTCACATTGTATTTTTCTTGTTGGTTTTAGTCGCGTTCAAACCTCGTGATGTACTGCCAAATGGGCCCCCGTGTCTTCATGAACTGCGCTGGATTCATCAAAATCAATACTGCTAGGGTTTGGTTATATTTACCTCCATTTAATATCAAATTACAGATTTCCGAAAACACTGACAAGTACGTTGAAATCTTGGATGGATCACGCGTTCATCCGGAAACCTACGAATGGGCTCGGAAAATGGCCGTTGACGCCTTGGAGTACGATGATATTGGTGATCCAACGGCCGCGATTGAGGGCATCATTCAAGTAAGTAGTTTTGCTTTTTTGAATCGGTTTTGTGGTTTTTTATTAACAAAACTTTGATTTGGATGCAGAAATGAACAATTTGAATTCAGGCTCCGGAGAAGCTGAAGGATCTCGACCTGGAGGCGTTTGCCGAGGAGCTGAAGCGCCAAAATTTCGGGAATAAGGAAACGACCCTCTACGACATTCGCCGAGAATTGAGTCTCCGCTATGCAGATTGCCGGCCTCCGATGACTCCTCCTGAAGACAAGGTAATGATACACTCTATGCAATAAAACAAAGAAAATAAACATCTAGCTAACCATTTAAAATATTATTGATACTTAGGTTCTCTTCAAAATCCTCACGAAAGAGTCGAAAAACACCCTCTTCCGCGGCAAGTTACTGATGGTCAAGGTCATTGGTGTCGTCTACCGGAAACCTGACATGAATGATCAAACGAAAGATCCGGTAACTACCTATTTGCTAATGCATTTAATATATATTCGTAGATCCGCCTCGACCGGACAAATCGATGGCTGTGTCAATGGTGCTACACTAAGCAATTTGACGACGTTGCCGATCTCTACACACATCTTGATGAAGGCGAGTGTCCCGGAAGTCCTAAGGGCATTCGAGTAAGTTGCTTACAAAAAATTCTAATTTCAAAATGTCTGCCTACATACAAACTTCAATCTAGGTCAAACTCGACAATGGGATTGTCGGCTACATTGCGAACAAGTTCTTGGCAACGAACCCAGACTCGTTCAGAAACCCTCTTGAACGCGTCAAGGTATTTTTTTCTGTTCGTTGTCAAGCCATTTCCCTTTCCAGATCGGACAAAACATTCAATGCCGTATTTTGACGGTCGACCCTGACAAATTCTCCGTAACTCTCACTTGCCGGTAAGAAACTTGGATTTTTAGTTAAATTATTTTAGTTCGGCTGACCTCCAAAATGAAGAGCTGCTTGATAAGGATGAATATTACGATACTAATGCTGAAGCCGAAGCTCAGAGGATGGATGCTGAGAAGACCCGGCCGAAGGAAAAGGTAACTTTAACATAAAATGTGTTTTATTGTTTAAAGGTGGACGTGTTCACAAGAAACGTGGCCCATGCTGCGTTCCGCAACGTTGGTTATCGCGATGCTGAGCGAGAATTGTCCATGGCAAATCCAGTGAGTAACTTTCTATTTTCTAATTAATCTTTTTCTTTGTCAGGGAGAAGCCATTATTCGTCCCTCGTCCAAAGCCCCAAATCATCTGACATTAACTTGGAAAGTCGCTGACCAAGTTTACGCACATGTTGACATTATTGAGGAGAACAAAAAGAAACACTACGAATTGGGAAAGACGCTGAAGATTGGGTAAGCCTTCATTGTGTAGCTTTTTATGACGCTCTGCAGAAAAGAGACGTACGAAGATCTGGATGAAATCCTCCATCGTTATCTCCGGCCGATGGCAGCCTACGCTAGTGACATTATGACGCACAAGAATTATTTAGCGACTCCAACGGTTCGTTTTAAACACGTAGATCTGTTTTCCTCTCCGTCGGTGAAGCGCATTATTCAATACTTTGTAGGGTGCCGACCGGTCGTTCGTCGAGGGGAAGCTCTTTGAATCACGGACAAAAAATTCGACGATCCCCTACATCTTCACTCCTTCAATTGAATTCCTCGGGAAATTTCTGATTTCCTATCTACCACAAGTGAAGCCGCGTCACGAATTCATCACGGTCACCCCTGATGGAATTAAGTAAGTCTGATGCAAAGCAAAAGAAATTAAAAGTAATTTTGCGCGAGGCATCCTTATGGCTCGGGCCCGCCTTCTAACGAATACACAAAAGCATAGTGCTAGTAGTATTAAAAAAATAAATGGGAAGAAAATATAGAATAATTATTCCAATTTCGAGGTATTTGGATAAAATAGGAAGCTTGTAGATCAAAATAAAAACATACGAATCGAACACTTCCAGATTCCGCAATATTTTCTTCAACAATCTTGGTGACCTACTCGTCTGGTTCAAGCTGCACTACAAGGACCCACCAGCGAATGCCCGTTATCCCAATGGCGGTCGACATTGAATCTCAAAACACAACTTGTATCTCACCAAACTGCTGTTTTTTACTGAAATTGTTATAAGCTACATTCCGGTGGCTCCTTTTGTTTTGGTTGTTTGTTATTTCCTTTTGTGTTATTCATGCTAGCCTGTTTGTTGTCCAGCATAGCCGAAGCTGCAGCTTTAGCCTTGTTGCATAGTCCTGACCCCCGTCTTTTCTGGTGAGCAATACGAGTCGATTACGTTGTATAGATTGTTTGATAAATTGTGACATGCACTACTGGCTAGAAGTCGTACCAATGTTGTGTCGTTGTCCTATCTAAACGTATTATTAAGGTTACCAATGCAAAAAGGAAGGGGATTCTCATCGAGATAATTGATTTTGAAACGAACCCAGAATGGCCACACAAGCCTTTTTGTTCGCCACCTACATCGCCGCTTTCGCCGTCACCTGGGCCCTCGCCATCGCTTATTATCAAGTGAGCAAACACCACGATTTGAAAAATACAAATATTAAACAAAGAGTTTATTGCACAATATATTTACAGCAAGGCGCCAGCACACCGCCGCATTTAATCCTATTTGCGCCAATTTACTTGGTGATAGCCTGCGGCATCAACGGGGTTTTGCAAATTGCCCAGAAAGTCTACAATTTTGATGACTGCATTGCGGTAAGGAAAAAAAACTATCAAAAATCACCAATCTTGTAGGCAAAACAAGAACTTGTTGGCGAAATCGACGAAGCCAGAAAAACACTGAAGTTTCTCAATGAGTAATTGAACTAGATGCGTTTTCCAACTTCGTCCACAATCCCAGCTTTACCGTTGACGTTTTTATGTGATATTTTCGCGGGTATGCTATGCTTGCTAACGAGTTTAATAAATTGTGATATAAACGATGTTGCCTGTTTGTTTTTCGGATTGCCGTGGAATATCTCAATCATCCTAGCGAAAAATGGGCTAGTTACGCCTTCGTTTTCAGGGAAACTTGGGGAAATGTTTGCCAGAAAGCAGAAAAGTTCGGATATGATCCAGTCGGTCAGCCGATTTGCTGATGTACATAGAGATCCAGTGAGTCGCGTCAAACATCTGAAGCTTCTGCTGGACAGCTTGAGCATTCATGTGAGTCAAGCCAGACTACCAGATTTAATGGAAGCGATTAAGGAGAAAAGACAACTAATCGATGACTATTCATTCGAAACATTTCATTTGGTCGACGAATTACTCTTACAGACGGAAATTTCGGGAAATCCACAGGTACACTCCTAAAGAGGGTAACTTTAACGCAAAACTTGTAGGCAGCCATTGAAGCGGAAAGTGGGCTATGGACGTTAGAACAATTGCTATGTTTGGCCCCTGAATTGGTTGGCAATGGTATAGAATTTTCATACGAATATGTAAAACAACCCTGATCAGGCTGGCAAATTCACGCCATTGAGTCATTGCTGAAAAAGGCAATTTACCCTCATAATTTGCTGGCCGTCAGAAAAATTGCAATCCGTCTCTTCCTTATATGGTATCAGGAATTGTCGGTGTTTGGCAAAGCAACCCCGGATCTGGATCGTGTTTTCCAGGTAATAAAAAGGATTTGAGAAGTAGTATTAGTAAAAATACAAAACAAAAGGATTTTAGTGTCTACTGCCATTTTTTCCATTACGAAATGGGGGCAGCACCGAATTGATCCTCCAAGAATATTGCCAATCTGCCGGTAAGGCGAAATCTACCGTTAACATGATAAAATATAATAGATTATTATAAACCTACTTTCAAACAATAAAAACGTATATTATAAACATATGATTTAGGTAATGTACAATGGTCATCACAGCTTAGCCAACAGCCCGCATCACCTGGAGGAAACAAACTATCTGCCAAAGAAAGGGCACAAATGCTGCAGGTATCCCCCGAATCCTAATTCAAATTTCAAACGATATAGGTCTATTTGGATAAATTCCTGGAATACTGCACGCGCGAAACGACAAGAATCGAATGGAACGACGAGAGCCATCGGCTAGAATGCGCAAAATTTATATTAGATAAAGTCATCTGTAAGTTAATTTGCATTGAAGAGGACGCTTTTGCAGCCCTCTACATCCAGGAGACGTTCCCGGATCTGGAGACGAACGGCGTTGATGTTTTTGGAGGCTGGGAAGGGGCTGGAGATACGGGAGAAACGTTGGATACAGCCGATCCGATTATTATCGCCAGGTAGGATTTAAATTGAAACGAATATAATCTGTAATTTTAGGTATTGGCTGATTCGATGGATAAATAATGTTGGAGGTGTTACCCTGGCCGCAAACACGGGACCGGTCCATCCAGGTTAAAAAACTCTACAGCCGCTTAACTGGCTTTTAAATTAGGACTTATCCTCTTCAACGAAGCCCTTTTTTCCTGCACCAAGGCCACGAATACATTACTATCGTTGCAGCGTGAAGCTATGCAATTGCCATTACCTTGCAATAACGTCATACACAAGGTACCTCAAATTTACAGGATATTAATTTGTTAATAATAATGATAAATTAAATTCAGGTAGTCACTGTATTGTCCGCATGGCTGACACAACAAGAATTACCAAAGTTTGTGCTATCAAAACAAGTGTCTGCCGACTCGTGCTCATTACTCGTTCTACATGTGCTGCTTTCATTCTTCCATTCCCCATACCTTAAACAACCTGGGGATCGAGCCCAAGCCGCCACTTCTATAGCCTTCTCCATTTTGAGGTCTGATCTATCCATCCCGAATATATTTCAGTTTAGAGCGTGTCGGGATTTGGTCTCCAATAAGCAACTCTCGCATCCACTTTCCACCAGATTCTGGCGAGACATTTCAGTTTATACAATATGGATCAATTAAAGGAACGAGCTGATTGCTCGGCTTTGCGATGCGGGGCTAGAGGTCTGCTCAAGCGCAGATCGTTTTGCCCAAGATACCGCAGCTGCCTTTGCATCTACGATACTTACAACTATGGTCATGGTTAAGGTAGTCAAATGCAAATATCAGAGCCAAGGTCATCACTATAGACCGTGCGCCAGATCGACGTTGAGGATCGTTTATGGGACAACGCACACGATGTATTTGCGCATGGAATTTGGATGCCAATTGCCACTCAATGGTCAAAGGTATAAATCTGAGGAGTTGACATAGCGTTTTCAAGATCTCCAACTCGGTAACCCGAGCGATGGTTTTACATACCGCGCACGTCGATATGTTTACAAAGGAAGATGTGGAACGTGTTCAGGTAGGAATCCTAGATAGAGGCGTACAACTCGAAATCATAGACTCAATCCATTTCGTCGCGGCGTGGCCCGAGATCGGAAGCCTCTACAAGGACAGCAATCGATAGTACAGGTTTGGTATTGCCAAATGACACAATTAATGTACAAAACCGTGGTGTAAAAAACAGCCAGGCAGATTTTTAACCGGGATAGTGGTTCCAGAAAGCGAAAGGAAATTTTTCGAGGCATATGTGAATACCCCACGGATACGTGTATGCAATTCCACATACAAAACAATTTTTTTATATCTACTGCTATTCAGGCGAACCATCACCAACCCCTGGGGATGAGGTGAACTCGATCGCCACTGACGAATCTGCTGACGAAGTTGTATTTATTGAAACAGATGAAATCACGAAGCACGTGCAGGTAAGCCTAGAGTAAGCAATAAATAAATTAATCCCGCTCTCTGTAGGGTGCGGATGGCGACATGACCAAGTGGCTATTAACCTGGAAACATGTGATGTGTATGCTGGGCCCTCAATCCAAAGGCGCTGCTGTAATAGCTGTCGACACAATCGGACAGACCATCCAGGTATGCTAATTTATGCAAATGAACCAGGCTTCATTAATTCCAGCAACTCCTAGCCATCGGATTAAATTCGTTGGCTAATTGGCTGTGTGATCGTCTCCTTGCTGTTCCTCTAGCCGTTCAGCCCCAATGTGTTGCTCCCCTAGCGCAGGTTTTGTCGACGGCCCGGTGCCCTCCTCAATTGCAGGTACTGAAATCTAAAATAATATCCATGATTTCCAGGCTCATATTCTATATTCACTGATTAATCTCCTTACGACAGCTGATCAAAATGTTGTCTCTCATATGGCATCGATGAGACCAAAACACTTGTCAATACTTGCGCCTCACCTTCTGCAAGCACTGCCTAGACTTGGTCATGCTCCGAGTAACGATCTGCTGAAGGTATTTTGCAACTCCCTTCGAAACCTCTTTGCATTTAGTCCCTGGCATTATTGTGTGGGGAGCACAGTTCTGTGGAAGCTCTTCTGTTGCGAAATCTTTCTCAAGCCGACCTGACGCTGAACTTGGCGTTGCTGTGCGTCAATGCTCTGGCTCTGCTCATCGTCCAGCGGGCTGATATAGAGTTGATGCAACGCGGTGAGTGTGGAAGCGATTGTTTTAAAAGTATCTGAAAATCTAGTTGTTGATTGCCTACGTGCGCATCGACTCTGCCCGAAATTGATGCCAGTCTTCTGTTCGACGGTGCTACCGCTGTCCAAATTCGGCATTGGCAGTGCCGTGCTCGAGGTAGAGCGGATTCTTGCGTTGCCAAAGCGACGTTTCTAGACCCTACGCACTTGCGCCGGGTTATTACGTGAAGAACGGCTGAGGACGGAAGTGGAATGGCAGTTGGTGACACTTTGCGTGGAGGGTCGCAGACGGGAGGCACCAAATGTTTTATCTGGAATTCTCGCTGATCGACAACAGATTTTGGGTATGGAGATGCAGTCACTTGGGTTATGATTAATTTAGAGGGTGAAATGTTCTGTTACGCGGGTCAATGGCCACTGCCCGGTTTTTCGGCGGCCAAATGGAACTCGAGCGATTTACCGTTACCGCAGAACAACACCCTAAATCGCCAAGATATTTCATTTATTGACCGGAAGCGTTCGATCATCAGGTATGACCAGGGATCATTGGTATTTAGATTTTATGGGTTTCTTTCCAAATGCCGAAATATGAGCTAATTTTGCGGGACCCCCCCCGAATCCTACGCAAAAGAATGTCGAAATGCTGAAACTTCGGCATTCTGAATTTCGGCATTATTTTAGCAAATCATGATTTATATATATTTTAGCGTTGCCAAAACTGGCTCATGCGAAATGACCTGCCGGACGCCTGTTGGAAAACATCTTTGGGTCGTCAATCAGCATAGCCTGCAACAAACACCAAACAATCTGGTGTCGGATTGGCTAAAGAAGGAGGCTGGCAAGGGGAGACGGTAGAAAACGATCGGAAAAACAATAGTTACTCTTTACAGTGGCACTCGCGATGGGGGAGGGATACTTGGTGCGATGGAAGATCCGTTGGATGCGTTATTGACACGTCCTCTAGAATCTCCCACACATAAGACACCTCTGGACATTGATTCTTGGTCCCAACTGATCCAGGGTTCCCGTCGGTATGCCCAATTCACAACCTTAAGAATTAAGCAATTCCCATATGGCAGCAAATCTCCTATTTAAATTTCTAGCATTCCACAAACTCTTGGGACGGCTCCTCCATCAACCAGCCAAATGCCAACGACACAATTGTTGGAATGGCGTGCTTTTGCCGCTAGTATGGGTTTTGTACCTGCAGCTAGCGAAGTGGGTTCGAGAGTCATCCGAAACAATCTTATTTAGGTCCCAAGCAACTTTGCCCGTGATCTCAAACATCTTGATAACACCAGTGCCAGGGAGGTGCACAAATTCGCACTCATCTACGTCCCACCAGGCCCAATGGTATCCTCCAAAAATAATTTTCATACTAGCTGCCTTAGGACAAACAAACAATCCTTGCCGCCACTACCCATTCCAACGAGTTTGGCAAGTTTACAAATGAGATGGGTTGGGAGGTAAGTGAATATCAGCTATTCATGCCTTATTTCAGGTACGTATTGGCAAAGATCATGACGGATATTCTGGAGGGCTGACGGCGGATACCGTCGCTAATTATTGGGCAACCTCGGAATGCGAGGTGAGCAAGAATTTGGAAAAATAATATTCGGTCCTTAGGCGGTATTCCACGTTAGCACCAAGCTTGAAGGCGATTTTACCCACAAGGTGCGCCATCTCGGAAATGACGAGGTGCACATCGTTTGGAACGAAAACTTGCAGCGCTACCGCCGAGATATCATCGCGACAAAGGTGAGTATACGAGCAGACAGGGGGTGTATTCGATCTAGTTTTGCGATGTGCTGATGATCGTGGAAATTGCGGATGCGCACAACTACCGAGTTCGCATCGAGACGCAAACCCCGCTGGAATTTGGCCCCTTATTTGATGGTTTGTCTGAATTTTTTAAGCGAAACCTGGTGCTGGTTCGTTAGCGGGGGGATGGAGACCGTGTCCACTACTCCCTTCCCCCCGGCAATTGGAAACAACAATTTTCAGGCGCGTTAGTTCATAGAAGTGAATTGGCAACCCTTGTAAGAACGACAGCTCTAAATGCTTCTCGTGCATATCGACTCGCCAGGGATGAGCATGCTCGGCCGTTACGGTATTGTTTCAGATGCATCCAAGCAAACCACCTTTTAGCCATCGTGAAACTGTATTCACCAATGACACAAAGCGCCAAATCAACCCGACACATCTCTGCGATGCCATCAACTCGTTGTACATCCCAACGATGGTCGTGTAAAACCACTGCGCAAAATTTCGGAACACTGCTTTAATATTTATTTATTTATTCATTTATTCATATTTTTACACATAGGCAATCCGCTCCTGAAGGCTGTGATTAAAAAGTGCACTTAATTTAGACCAATTTCTCTGTGATTATAATTTGGGTGTATTGGCATAATAAACGGATTGTATGGTATTCCAGCTATGCACAGAATAGGACAACTTTGATGAAACTACTACGATAAAAACAATTTGCATATGAAATTAGTGTCCTTTCTGGTCAAGCAGCTTTTGCGCAATCTCGGTGATCACTTCGTAGGCATACCGAACATGGTCTTCGCTCTTTTGCTGAGCACCAATAGCCAATCGCAGGAAATATGAATCCCCCACCTACTTTTACGATTACTTTTTGTTGGTTTCTCACCTTTGAAGGAACCAGATGTATGCGACGATCGCTGTTAATGGCTTCGCAAAATTCTTCGTTTACCTCATTTGTTTCCTGATATCAAATTATAGGCTAACCTTCGTTACCATACCTTCTTCAACCTGAAACAAACAAGCCCTAGGTAATTTGGTACAAACAATTCGAAGAGCATTGAGTCCTTGATGAGCTGAGCAAAAACGTCCGCAAAATGGCAGGACTGAAAAGATCGTTTGATCTCATTCGGTCAGGACAAGGCCTACATCCCGCAGCATCTTTTGAATATTTTCGATACCCAGTGTCCTCATAACAAACCAAATTTTCAATGAACGAAACCTTCTCCCAAGAGCCACTTGTAGATGCTAAAAATAGGTCAATAAATTTGTATTTTTGATAACTACCTACGCGATAGTCGGCAGTAGTTGCTTGATGCTCATGCTTCAAATATACTGGATCCACATTGAAATATTTCACAGCCGACTTTCCGTCCTTTAACCTAATTAAATAACTCGCTACACATTCTGCTGTGTATTACCATAAAGGTGAACAATCAAAGTTGATCATCATTTGCTTATGAGCATTATAATTAAAGCTGTCGACCAATTCCATTCCAGCAGCCATTGAACGGAACTCGGGGCAAAGCAAAAAGCTGCCTGGGTTCGACTTTCAGCGACTTGAACTCAAAGCTAACCAGCATATGCTGCATCAACGTGTACCCAAATTTTTTCGCGATTGCAGATTGGGGCCAATTTCTAATTTTTTACATCAATATAGTAATTTTAGGAACACGCACAGCAATTGGGTCCACAGCACAAGTGTTTGTCGTCCCGATCGTTGCAATAAAAATAAAAGGAGTCAATCCACGGTCACGATCTTCCTAAACGGACAGGTTGGGTATTTTATAATTTGCTTGTTTTTAATAATAGAATCCATGCTAACTACCTTAATAGCCGCTTCCAAAGTGGCTGCCGTGACCGAGTAATTACCATAGGCTACGTCTATACCACTACGTAATTTTCGTAGCCGGACCCCGGCAAGCATTGCAGCTTTTTCGACAGACGAATGGGCCTAGAGTATATCTAATTTAAAATACCCAAGCTTTTCGTGGCGTACTATACACCAAAAATTATAGGAGGAAGGCCTGACCTGATCCGAACAATATGCAACGAGTTGGTTGAAAACTGCCGGATCATGAAAAGGATGGAGATAAACATCGGATTCGGGTGCTTCTTCAAAGTCTTCTTTGCGCTCCTGATCAATGTCGACTCTGACGATCTTTAGGAACCCTACAGAACTGGATAAATTTGTCTTGATCCCTTCAACAGCTTTGGCCCGCGCTGCGTAGAAGGCAATCAATGTAGCATCGGAAGCAGAGCTCTGAAATGTTACTCCAAAAGCTATAATTTTTACCTGGATAATTCCGCAGCCTGGCCCCGGATGAGCATTCCGGAAATGATCCGGTAGCCCGAGTGCAATTACTAGCCAATCCAAAACTGCCAATTCCAACTCAGTCATTGATGGACATGATTTCTGAAATTCCGTTTGACAACACTTTACAAACTAACCCAAGTGAATCCGATAGCCGATATTCCACCAGATAAAATATCAGCAACAATTGCATGATGAGATAATGCGGTGGGAAAATAGGCATAGAAATTGGGATGATGCCACCATGTCACACCATCGAGAACAACCTTTTCAAGGTCATCAAATACTGCTTGCCATTTTTCTGGATAAGTTGGAGGATTTGGTGGAACCTGAGGAATCATTCAAATCTCAGAAAAGGAATATTACTAGGCTTTGTATATATCCTGGTTTTACATCGGGAAGTGGGGTACGCTGAGGGATTCCATCTAAAACAGGGTAGTGGATAGAAATTATAAAAGGAATTATACCCCACATGTCCGCAACAAAATCCACCATTTTCTTGCCCCATTCACGGAACTCTTCAGAATCCATGGCTTAATTACAGGGAGCTTTAGAAATTAAGACAAAATAGAAGAGAAAATTGGGATAGTGGTACCCCGCAGGCATGCAGAGCTACATAAAAAAGCCGACTTATCAGGGAAATCGTGCTCCCGCCAAATTGCCCCCCTGCCAAGATCTCTCATTCCAATATGACATGCACTTGCTGGCTGACCAATCTATCGGGATCGAGCAAATCAGGGCAGACAGCTTGAAATATGGTAGCGTTTCAATGTTTATTTCTGAGAGAGAAATCCTGATGCTAGAGACTAAGCCCCGCATCTTTTTGACTTCCGCATTGTGTCATGTCTGGCTGGCTAGCATTTTCTAAAGGTGCGCGTACGCCGCGAGCGCTGATAAATCTTCGAGTCTATCAATTATTTATCAACGATCTATGCTAGGTGCATCATTTTAAGCACATTAATGAAGACGTAATACGTGTCATTCTTTGATGATCGATTCAAGAATTGGGTCTAGTAAAACAACACATTATGCGGCAAGGAAAAGCATGAAGATGTCGAAGCCTAGGCTTTTGTTGCTTCAAGTCCGACGAGGCTGATCTTGTCCAGAATTCGTTGCGCCATTTCGGTGATCACTTCAAAGGCAAAGCGAACGTTTTCCTCGGCTGTCAATTGCGAGCAGACAGCCAAACGAAGAAAATAGACATCGCCGACCTGGTCAAACCAAGAGTTAATCTTATATTCATCTACTATATCTACCTTTGAGGGAACCAGATGAATTCTTCTATCATTATTAATAGCATTGCATAACTCTTCGTTCACATCGTTCGATTCCTGAAGTTAAATTTTAAATGGAATCCTTGGAAGCAAACATTTTTTAACCGGAAGCACACAAGTCCAAGGTTTCGAGGCACAAACAATTCGAAAAGATTGGATGCTGTGATGAGACGTGAAAATACTTCCGCATGGGCGCAAGCCTTAAATAATATAGCATTAGTTTATTTGTCCGAACTTACGTCTCGCAATGTTTTTTGGATACGCTCAATACCCAGTGTCCTCATAACAAACCAAATCTTCAATGAACGGAATCTTCTCCCAAGAGCCACTTGAAGATGCTGTAAAAGGTATTAATAAATATTTTATTTTTATCTGCATGCCCTATAATCAGCGGTGGTCGCTTGATGCTCATGCTTTAAATATACTGGATCTACGTTGAAATATTTCACAGCCGACTTTCCGTCCTTGATCCTAAACGATTCTCTATTGAAAAATTCATAGATACCCACCATAATGGAGAACAATCAAAGTTGACCATCATCGTCTTGTGCGCATTATAATTAAAAGAGTCCACCAATTCCATGCCGGCACCCATTGAGCGGAACTCAGGACAAAGCAAGAAACCTCCTAATCAATTTGCTTTAAGGCATTCAAGCCTTGGCTGACCTGCATATGCCGCATCGACGTGTACCCAGATTTTCTCGCGATTGCAGATTGGGGCCAATTCCTATTTTTACATTAATATAATAATTTAAAAAAACTCACAGCAATTGGGTCAACAGCACAAGTATTTGTTGTTCCCATTGTTGCGATCAAGATAAAGGGTGTCAAGCCGCGGCTCCGATCTTCCTAAAGAAAGGTCGTTGCCTTACTTTCTTTGAACCTTAATAGCCGCTTCCAAAGTGGCTGCCGTGACCGAGTAATTACCATACGCCGCATCTATCTCGCTGCGCAGTTTCCTTAACCGGACCCCGGCTAGCATTGCAGCTTTTTCGACAGACGAATGGGCCTGTAAAATAGCAAGCTATATTCAAGTCTAACAACAATGTAGCACCTGATCCGAACAATATGCAACGAGTTGATTGAAAACTGCCGGATCATGGAATGGATGTAGGTAGACATCAGATTGCGGCTCTTGCTCCACGTCTCCTTTCTTCCCCTAAGAATTTTTAATCTTGAGGAGATTAAAACACACCGAAAACGGGGTCTTGCCAAGGAAATCCTTGAATTTCTGGCCCACATCCGCCTGCAACGATTGCAGCCGACCGGTAGAATTTTTCTTAATTTCTTCGACCGCCTTGGCTCGGGCAGCATAGAAAGCGATCAAGGTTGCATCAGATGCAGTGCTCTGGAAAGGTTTGGTATTCATATACCCCGAAAGATAAAAAAAATTTCGGATAAAAAGTACCTGGATAATTCCGCAGCCTGGCCCCGGATGAGCATTCCGGAAATGATCCGGTAGCCCGAGAGCAATTACTAGCCAATCCAAAACTGCCAATTCCAACTCAGTCATTGATGGACATGATTTCTGAAATTCCGTTTGACAACACTTTACAAACTAACCCAAGTGAATCCGATAGCCGATATTCCACCAGATAAAATATCAGCAACAATTGCATGATGAGATAATGCGGTGGGAAAATAGGCATAGAAATTGGGATGATGCCACCATGTCACTCCATCGAGAACAACCTTTTCAAGGTCATCAAATACTGCTTGCCATTTTTCTGGATAAGTTGGAGGATTTGGTGGAACCTGAGGAATCATTCAAATCTCAGAAAAGGAATATTACTAGGCTTTGTATATATCCTGGTTTTACATCGGGAAGTGGGGTACGCTGAGGGATTCCATCTAAAACAGGGTAGTGGATAGAAATTATAAAAGGAATTATACCCCACATGTCCGCAACAAAATCCACCATTTTCTTGCCCCATTCACGGAACTCCTCAGAATCCATGGCTTCACTGAAATTGAGGAATAACTCGTGAAGTAACCGGGGCATTTTGGGAGGAATGTAAGGGTGGAAAGGGAGCAAACGATTCTGAATGACAAGCGTCGGGGGAGACCCCAAGAAGCAATAGACCTTCATAAAAAGCGTAGTTATCAGAGGGTGCGGGGAGCTGCCGTGAATTGGTCGTGATGGCAGCACACAATGGACTCTCGGGGTAAGCCAGTCGTTTGGGATGGCAGACAGCAGTCGTTTTGATATGCGGCAGAAGATAAGAAAATTTGATTGATGTTGTTCCACTGGTTTCGTTTTTCTATCGTGTAGGTCGAGATATTGGGTTTTTGATTGATTTATGATAATATGCGAATCCCTTGCGATTTCGTGGAAATCGAGCGGGAATTGAAGCATGTCACATTCAGTGGTGTTCAGTGTAGCTTTTCAAGAAACTTGCCAGACAAAGTTTGTTCGATCAAGCTTGGAATGTTTAGCAAATCCGGTCTTTCAACAGCTGCACGATAACGGTCTTCTAGAAAAGGTTAGCAAACTTTGGATTTAGTTGAGCAGGGGTCAAAAATGGGTAAGATCGGCTCTTCAAGGGACATTTTCGCCGAAACCATAATCGTTCAGCAGTTTTGGAAAGATGGGATTGGCGGAGAGTTTCAAGCTCTGTTGAATGACACCTTTAGGTTAGCGACTAAGGCAGCTAAAGACCACGCTTTGTAAACCCTCGGACTGTAAAGCTGACGCCTAATGGTACAACAAAAGGGTAATTCATGCTTTCGCTCTGTTCCTGGCTACGGTACCCCTAGCGGCGCGAAAATTAAAGGAGCTGGTCCGGGCGAGCCCTAAATCCCAGAGCCTCCGCCAGCAATCGACGCGTAAATCTGGAGGTCTTTGAAGACGTCTTTGTCGGCATCTAGCAACGACCCGGGGACACATAGGCTATGCGGACGAATGGGGCGGCCGTATCCGCTGAGAGGCCCATGTAATTGGACGGTGAGATGTATGGGGCCGGAAATGGATACGTGGGCACCCTCTTCTCCAATACACCGCCCACCAGAAACTATCCTAGATTGCCCTGCCCCTGAAAAGAGAGCAATGGGCCCCCTCTTCAGCTCTTTTCTACTCTACCCCCGTAGCTCACGTAACATTAGAAGGTTGGGAAACCGAAGGTTTTACTGCACGCGACGGCAAGGTTTATTTCTGAGGAAAATTCGATCAAACGCCATGTTAACAACATGACATCCTATCCTAGGCGATGACGCAGACAAATCACATGGAATTTATGTTGACCAGCGGTCGTGGATCCCACCATGCCGCCTAAGTCCAGGCCTGAGCCTAAAATAAACCTAAGCCTAAGCCTAATCCTAAGCCTAGGCCTAAGCCTAAGCCTAAACTTGCTTTTTTTGAGCAACTAGTTTTTTCACGACTCTTCATTAAAACATAACTCCGTCACCGTAGGCCGGAAAGCCAAGAGGTTTCCGGTCCGTCAACGTCGTAACAAATGCAACGATTGGAATAAATCAACTTATAGTTTCAGAGCGTTTTACCCATTTTGCTGGCAATTCCTTGGCCGCCGGCACTGGATTGCCGTTTCAGGGAGGGGCTATGTTGTGGGCGATCTGATGGATGCGGAATGACGGCACGCGTTTTCACGCACCATCGCGTTCAGCGCCCATCGGCCGTGTAACAGTCGTGCCTGTTTGAGCAGAGACTATCACCGATTATTCCTCATGCACAATCAGCAGCCGCTCCAGTCCCGTCCAGATCCAAGAGCTCGTTTCCTTTCTCGTAGCCACCCTTCTTCAATTGGTCAGCTGCTCTAGTGTGATAAGCACTGCTTGCATAAATTCCAGGGATATGCGAGGCTCGTCAAAGATCTAGTTTTTAAAAATTAAGCGAGGAATAAAAACCGGTTCGTGACTTGCTTAACTGAACTTCGCTTGGATTGATTTTAATTATATTACCTTTAAGTCACGTTTCGCTACGCGAATTTTCAGCCCTAGCCTTTGCTCCGAGTTTTTAGAAGTTGGGTACTTTACATAATTCGAGCGAATTAGCATCACCGCATCGTTACCCTCTCGACTACCCCATAGATTGCTTCCGACAAGGCCCGAAAATTCTCCCCCGTCCTGATATCTTGTTCACCCCATTTTTTTGAACCATTTATGCACATACAAACACTATTTTTTATATATAGTGGGATTATTGGCATGATATATGACCAAGTACCAGCTTCCGGCATAATTGAAAAACGGAGTTGGCTCTGTTTTAGCCTATTTAATTCGCCCATTTCCGCAGCACCTGCATCGATCAGCAGCAGCCCTCGTGGGCCTAATTAGTGTTCTGCCCCTCCCAACGGGATCCACTGTATCTAATTCCAAATTGAGCGTCAGGGGCCCCCCAACAAGCGACAATGTGAACTGAAGAAAAACAAGGTGCGGTTAGGTCACGCCTTCTCCTCGTGCCAAGTTCTTGTTTTTCACTTTTGCAACCGGCGCTAATACCTGAAACGGAAAGCCCATGTTTTCCGGGCTTGCCTCCCCCACTGCAATCAACAAACCATATCTATAATAATTGATAACGAGTTCATGCCTTCTTCCCGGTTCTATTTTTATTCTCTGCTATCGTTTCAGACTTGGCTGTTGCTAAGTAAAGGAATTACGGTAGTGGCTTTGGTATCTTTGAATTAACAAGATTAGCAAGGCATGTCCCACAGAGACCTCGCTACTTGTTGTAGGGCAGCATCATTGGCTTCCGAAAGCTGGAAATTTCGCCACTCTCTCTCTCTCTCTCTCGCTCCCTTTCTTTCCAACAATTTTTAAAAGTTTTAGCCTGCTCCCTAGCCGGCTCTGCCGCCCCATAACATCATTAACCATTGAAGTCAGCTTGATCTCTCAACTAACAAGGAAACCTCCCCAGCTCGAAGTTGGACTCCGATTAGCCATATAGCCTATCGATGCAGTTTTTCACGCTGATAACAATACCGATATTTATTTTTGCCGAGCGCCACAGGAACATTGTTAAAAATCGATTTAAAGTTTTGTCATGTTTGGCAGCCCCGCCTCAAAGCCCCTCCCCACGGGGAAGGATCCATCGGCGGGTGGTGTAGTCGGCAATACTGGCCTACCAATCTAGAGGTCGCTAGTTCGAGTCTTGCCGTGACGAATTTTTGCTTTTTGCTTCAAGTGCTGTGACGGTCCTACAAGTCATCAAGAAAGATATTTTTAAGTTTTTTGCAATTTGGTACTAATTCAGGTGGTTATGGCTACCGAACCACGGCCTCGATACGATCCTCATGAATTCTATGACCTCAAACGCTTCCTTGATGCAGATGAAGCTTGACATAAGATGTAAAAAACTTAAAGACAGAACCTAGTATTTCCTTCTCCTTTTTTTCAAAAAGTTTTCAAAAGAGTGGCTGGTGATTAATAGTTGGTGATCCACCGATAATTCCAAATGTCTTCGGCTAAAAACAGTCTTTCCGAGAAATCGATCGAGCAACTTGAATTGGTGACCAAAAGTTCAAAAAACTTAAAACCATATTTCTTGTGATTGATAGGACCTTCACGCCTTTTGAAGCAAAAGCAAAAAGTCGTCAGCGCAAGACTCGAACTGCGAACTTTAGATTGGTAGGCCAAGTACTTGCCGACTCCCACGCCGCCGTGGTCCTCCCCGTGGGGAGGGGCTTTGAGGCGGGGCCCAAACTGACCTTTAAATCGATTTTTACATGTTCCTGTGGCGCTCGGCAAAAATATTCGGTTCGTTATCAGCGTGAACTGCTCAGGTGGCTATTGGCTAATCGAAGTCTAACTTCGAGCTGGGGAGGTTTCCTTGTAGAGGTTGTAATGTGGAGTCTTCGACAGTCACGATGGACTCGATGTTCCGCATCTAGATTTTACAAACATTTAAATAATCGCTTTACATAAAAAAGCTGAAGCGAAGAAAAGTCAAAGCCTAAGGGGGGCGGCTCTGAAAGTACTTTTTAATAATAAATTCCCTCGACCTCCCAATAATGCCGATCAGGTGCTTGGTAACGCTTGGAACTGTAGGATTTGCGATTATTAATCCCCTCCTGCAAGTGAGCGTCTATATTCCCAGGCGTCTCGAAGAACTGCCGTTCTCGTGGCGCCACGATTTCATGGCCATTTCCCACCGTAAAATTAACATAAATCGAATTTTCGAACAGGGCAATGGGATAGGGGGGTGTACAGTGTATGAGTGCATGCTGTGGCGGATCGGTCTGTCACGAGGGCCCTATGCGGCTCTTTTATAAATCCAGTGGCTCGTGCTCTCCCGTTCCCTTCTACCACTCACACTCCCCCCAACCGAATCTACTGGTAAACAACCATCCTTTTCGAGTCCTCCCCATCTCTCGCTGGTCGCTTGCCCGTTATTATGAGGGGGAAAAAACCCCCGCAGAGCCGCTTTTAGTTGGGCCAATTTTGGCTCATACACCTTTTTTGTCGATCGAGCAGTTCCAGCTTGGTTTCCTGCCATCCAACCCAACATAAACAACGATCTGCACTTGGAAGGCTCGGGTTGGAGACCCAGCTGTTTTTGCCAGTGTAAATTTGACCAGCCACCGATCAGCCCCCCCATTTTTCAACTGCCGCTTTTCTTTCGACCAGTTTATTCGCAACCCGAGGAGTGACCGCCATAGTTTTTTTTCGCATATCTCGGGCTGGTTCGGACATTTCAAGTCTCTAGAAGCGCTCAAACTCCTACTAATACTACATACAAAAGCATCTCTATCTGTTAGTTTGCATACCACTTCTGTTCGGAATTTCGCACTTTACCCCCCCCCCCCCTTAGCCGAAAGGTTTCGGCTACAATTTTCTATTTTACATTATTGAAGCTACGGTTAAAACTCTGAGTATATTAGTCGACGCTCTATCGAATCGCGTTGAGAAAATCCCAAAAAAAGCAAAAATATCGGAAACCTTGAGACCTTTCGGCTCTGGGGTGGGGGGGGGGGGGTAAAGAAACTTTTACCGGCAGCACTCAAAAGGCCGCGAAGCGGGTCCTGAACCTTAATGATCGAATAATAAATTTCTTGTATCTTCAAGCTCAGACTAATTGCTGATCACGACAATGCGGCCCGGGGGTTTTGACCTTGGATGCCCGGGCTCGCGCATTCCCCTCCCGATCTCCTCTCCTTACTCGCAAACTTTTCCAAAATCGGGTTCTTCGATCGGCACCACACGGACCTTTGGATCTTGATTTTCCCCCCGCATCCACAGCCTCGGCCTCCAAAACATTTTGTTGGGACTGTGGCACTCGGTTGCACCCCCCCCGCGCCCCCCACCCCCGCCCCTGAAAACATTTGTATTGACCCTTTCGCAACTTGTTTTTTCTCTGGCCAATTATTGACTGAGCAACCTATTTACATAGCAATGCCCGAGGTCTACAACGTCACCACGCAAAAGTCGCTTGACGCCGAAAATCCGCCTTTGATTGAGGAGCCGACCTCGCCTAATCGTAGGTTTACGAAATATTGATAACCCAAGGAATACACAAAATCCGGTAGTAGGTCGTTATTTTTCAGCTGCATCAAAACAATTATAACGTCCGGGGATAACTTAGCAGTTTTTAGCAAATCGAAGCCGATTTCTAAGGCGACCTAGCGTGCTTATCAGGTTTTTTTTGGGTATGACTACCAAAACTATTTAAAATCCAATTTCATAGTTAAATATTACGCAATAAACATGCCATTTTCAGGCAAGAAGTCCTCATTCCGTCACGGACGTCACGGAGCTCCGTGTGAGAAGTGTGGGCACGTCAACACACCCACATTCGTCTACCCAGGTAGCATAAAGCATATCCTATTTAAAAAATTAAGTATATCATGATTTCCCCCCTACATTCAAACTCATTTTTAGTCGAGATCTACCCGCCACCCCGTCCAGCTGACCGTATCCGTCCCGACAACCGCAATTTCGTGAGCTTCGTTCTCCTTCTCTGCGTCCTCATCTTCCTCTTCTACGTTGCCGTCAAGTATTTGTAAATACCGTACCCACCCATTCAGCCTCGACAACCCACAAATTTCCATTTCCAAACAATCTCCTTTTACCCTTTTCGATTTTTGAAAGGCATTTCACTTCTTGCGTGCGTTTTGTTTTCCGTCATGTTGCGAACTGTCTTAAACGAATGAATATTTATCAACCGTTTTTGATAATTAATGCACTTAATTCCGTTTTCTAAGTAAATTGGTCTTTCGCTAGGCAGAAAACTTCTATTCCAGAGCTAGAATTGCACTTTGAAACGATTTGCGGTTCAAATGCCAAAGCACATGATGTTAAAATTCATAATGGCGAAATTTGCATACACAAATTCTAGCCCAAATACATTCAGAAATTTGAATTATTGAAATTTCGGCGTTAACGACTATTTCAACATTTTTCAGTTGACCTACAAGCGGCGCTTATGTTTTTAAATTGCAATTTACCCATCACGAAACATTTTTATTGCATTCCATATGTATACACGGCCATGGCAGGCGGCATAATTTAAAGCTAAATGACAAAGTGAAAGCTGGCTAAAGGTAATATGAGTGGAGCAAATTAGCACACGTGTAGGCAAATAAATATTACGCATTAAAAGCACAGCCCTGATTTTTAGCTCAATCGTCATAGTGCTCGGTCATGGATGGGTGCATTGGCGGGACAAATTCTCGGACAGACTCAATCTTTTGCTCGTCCCAATCTGACGCATAAACGCCTAAATAAATAATTCACAAAAATCACAGCACCCCCTTACCAATCGTCGCGAAAATTTGGTTATTCAGCATCTGAATCCGGCGCATACGTTCAGCCGATTGGCTCAGGTCCTAGAAAATAACCCATGTTACGCATTCCTGACATAGACCTACATAGTGTTCAATCGTAATCTTTTCGCCATCGACCTTATTGATGCGTTGAAGATGATACGCAAAGTCGAGCACCTAAAAATTCACTCAAAAATTCGAAAAATTATTGAGATACCTCAAATCGACGATGTTGGCCGAGCAGTCGAATCATTGTCATAGCACCCCAATGATCCGAATCACCAAACATTTCTCTAAAATTGTCACATTTTATATATTCCAATAAATGAAGTTATTATTGTGTTGAAATAAACCTACTCCCACTGCATTTCCTTTTTTCTCGGGTTGGTTGAGGGACTGGCAAAATTGAAGGGCAGAAAATACGCGGTGCCATTCAACGCATTCATCAATATCCATGACACGATGTCCACTTCGAACCGCATTCCATTGCTATATACTTTATTTTAATTGCTTTTTTTTAAAATTTTACCGGACTCGCGCGGAGCATATTTCGCAATTCTTTTAAGAATGTTGTAAAGAAGCTGAGGCCACAACAAAGCTTTTCCCGTGACAATGTCTCACACTCCGTCGCCATTGCGATATTTTTCTCAACATTTGTGCCATGCTAAATCAGTATTTTATATTACTTATTTTTAACTAAAAAGTTTACCAACGAACTGGCGAAGCGCTCCCCATTTCTGGTCAAACGGAGACGCTCATATTTCTGCTCTAACCGATTGATCATGGCGTTTTGTTCAGCAACACCTAAATAAATCATGAAATGCTAATTTTTCAAAGAATTACTTTTTGCCGGTGGCTTTGGGATATCCATTGTAAATGCAGCCGCTGCGATTAGCTCCATGGTCTCCGCATGATTATTTGCCAATTCAATTTGAAGTGCAAAAGCTACCATATTCCCAAGGCGAGCGAGTTCCTAAATAATCATTTTTCATTTTCCACAAATTTTATACGCATACATGGTATATGCTTTTCTGCAGCTTCGCTTGCTTCTGAACGGGCATTAAATGATGAAGATAATATTGGAAGATTGCTGAAAACTTTACGCAATTACCATCAGTTTGTTATAAGCCACCTTTACTACCATAATCCTTTCTTGGCAGTTTGCATACTTTTGGTACAAAGCTTCGCATCCGCTCGAGCAGGCCGACCAATGTATCGTTCAGGATCTCATTCGAGAGTTTCAAGAAACTCATCCATGAATATCAACATGCCTATTTGTTAATAATGACTAATTAGAATAAGGAAGATTCCCATACCTCGATACCTTACGAGTCTAGAGATTGCCCTCAAATGGGGAGCTCCAATAAAGTCGGAAAACGAGTGGAAAATGTTGTTGAAGGAAGCGGCCAGACTTTTGCTACCTACGAGGAGTTTGTTGAAAGCTTACGGATTCTATACCCCAATGCAAATGGCCCGGAACACCCGGCCCTTTGTCACGGATTGGCGCTGGGGTCGGCAAGTCGGTTTTGACAAATCTGAATTATGCATATCAATAAATAAATATACTTGATAAATTACCGATGGGTCGTCGAATTATAGTAGTAGTTGGACAGCAAATCATTCTTGATTTCCTGCAGACAATGTAGGGAAATTCGGCCTGAAAGAATGCGTAACCGTTTCCAATTTGGGACCCACCAAACGGAGTTGATGACAAGACATTATCGTTTGCTTCTAAAAATAGATCATCAAATGGGGCGAGTGAGTGCAGGCTTTGGCTTAACATTCGATGGCACATCCGGTTCACTTGAATCAAGGTATCCAGCTCCTAAATTTTGACGGATTACGGAAAAAGCTGGACTACGTACGATGACACTAGACAGCGGTTCACTCTCGAACTTGCAAATGGCAGTATCCAGCGATTTGAGGAAGGCGATGTTGATCCTCTGTGATATCAAGCGGTTCAGGTCGACAGTCCTCCCAAGGAGCTGAAATATATAAATAACTACAAAGTTTAGCAGATATTCAAGTTCTTCCGTATCGCTCTCAAGATAATGCGAACCTGTACATGACGTTGCTTCAAAATTGTATCAAACCGGCAGGCAGGTGGAGTGCGAATTGTTACACCAGCCCGTTGGCATTCCGCTTTGAAGCATTTATCCAAGATCATACTAAAATCAGGTATGCAAATTAGCCTAATCCCCTTACCAAGCTGCCAATTGTTTATGGTGCACATAAATTGCGTCTGAGAGCTTGAAGATGAATTGGTCAAAGCAAAGATTGAATTCCGCCTCAACCTAAAATAGGAGAATTTCCATGCATGAACAGAAACGGTACCTCATCATATAAGAATTGCTTTCCATGTGTAAAGAGGCAGCATTGAGCGGAATCGTTGTAGAGACCAAGCTAAAGGAAAGGTAAACTTTTGTTGCACAAAAGCTAATCACCTGGAATAGCGCACAGTCCAAAAGTGAAGCATTTCCTGATGTTAGAATATAGTCAGTCAAAATCCAAGGCATTGACATTTCGATTGGAAACTGAATAATTAATTTTTTTTGCGACATTGCCGGTTGCTTACCTGAACACGTGCTCCATTGGCCATTTCCAAGTAAAATTCTCGAAACCATAGCGACGAAAAATCGCAGGTTTTCAGGAGCGAGTCTTCGAATGAAAGAAGAGCGCTCCAATTGGCAGATTTCCGCAGAAGATGTTCAATCCTGAAATACACTATTGTTTGATGTTATGCCTTACTTGTCGATGGTCGCTTGATCTAAATCTTTTCGCAGACTTTTCTTGCCGCCAGCGCTTCGATCAGAGATCAGCGCCTCCAATAGAGTGCGGAGTAGATAAATCTTAATCGGATCCTTGTAAGTTATAGCTGATGAACGAACCTGTGTAGTTCCGGGTTCAGGTACAACGGCCCGATTTGTATCATAGGCTTCACTGCTTGGGCAGCTCAAGTTTGTCTTCGATTTGCTTTTCTTTTTATCCTTTGACAAATTGAAGGAGTTTTCACGAAGCGAGATCGTATCCAGGCAACAATCACGAATCGATTGAATTACGCTGAAAAGCGGAGGTTAAATCCCACATAGTTATGTGGCTTTCCCCCTAAAAAACCGGCTATTAAGGTCTAGGCTAGACGAAGGTTTCGCTCATAGTGTTGTCTATACAAATAAAATTCCCACTTGGCCAACAGGTCCTTTTTGTTTTTCAAAGCTTTCTGCAGCGGCTCCGTCAGTGTGGCTTGAATTAATTCCTACAAAATAATATTGTCATAGCTCATTAGCAAACCTGTATTTGGTTGTAGACACAGCTCCGCACAGCCTCCGAGAAGATGGGCTCCTGGCGCGCCAATAACCCTTGCATCTCTTTAATCAGTGCAATAATCTGGAATTAAAAAAATTTGACAATTAAACGATTATAAAACCTTAATAAGAGCTTCCTTTTCAGCATTCGTATAGTTGTAACGTGTCGCCCTTTCGTATGTTTCCGCCGTTTCTGGGCATTCCGGGTTATCGACGGCTTTGATGGGATACCAAAGCTTCCAACTAAAAAGAGGACTAGGTTAATTACCTTTTTGTTTTTTTAACATACGAAATAAATTCTTGGACGGCAGAGGTCCAGCTGCATAATAATTGAAGGCCTCTGGTGGCGGTCGCAGTCAATTTATGCTTCTCAGCGTGTGTTGGTTCTCGGCATCCGAGAGCAAACTGAAAAAATCGTCATAAACTTAACAGTTTTTCTAAATTTTGAATTTATAAATTTCTTACCGCGTTTCTCAAAATAGCGAAGCGGCGGAAGAAGATGGTGCTCTCGGCCTTAAATGTTCTGTAGCGTCGCGAAATGTGATTCCGTGATTTTAGAGCTGAAATCAGGGCATAATTTGCATTTCAACAAACAGTGACTAACCTTTCTTGCTGGATCTGGGCCACTTGCCCGCATCATAACTCGGCAATTTTTCTATGATTCCGAATGGCTCCACTTGACAATCACCATAAAGCACAATCACGGGGCTTGCCTAAATTCAGGTTTAGATCAAGGGTTTACAACCTTACCCGGAACACTTTGTCAAGCTTTGCAATCGAGATCCGCTTTTTGTGATCCAGCTTTGCCAAATCTTGTGCTAATGGACGGCTCGGATCTCGCCCGGCTTCGATCACATAAACAGCTAGTAGGATAGCCTGAACGACAATTGTTTTTTGTTGTTTTCGAAGACTCACTCGAATGTAAATATACTTTTCCGACGGGCTCACATATTGCCTGGTCTCTAGTTTCTTGATGCAAATATTGCAGATATCACACATTAAATCCTCATATGATTCGACCTATAAAAAGTTTCTCGTTATTTTTAATTTTTACCTTGATGATCTCTTCAATCAAAATGTCCTTGATTTTATTGAAGTCAGCCAAAAACATGATCAGATCATGCAGCTCGCGAAAAGTTTCTTGAACGCATTGTGTGGCCCTTAAAATATCCTTGTATTTGCTGCACATATCACCAAAAATACCGTTTAAATGTAGAGACATCGTTTTTAATAGATGCCTTCATCTTTTTCAGCTCATCAAGCACAAACAGCATATCCATAAAGCGAGCCAACGTCAAAAGATAGGTTTCAGAAACGAAATCCTGGAATTTGAGGCGTAATTTGGCCGAGTTTGTTAATATTAAATACCTTCTTCTTTTCGCTATGGCAAAGATGTTTTACTTCTTCGGCAAGCCTTGCAGCAGCTTCTAACTAAAAGAAATTTTTGCAAGATAGCTTTGAGTTCATTACCGCAAATGCCCGAAATGTGTAGAGCTTATGAATTTCCGGTGACATCACTTCGATAATAGTTGTATTCATTTCTACCCGGTTTGGCTGGTCATTTGATTGAGCCTAAATTTCAAGCAAATTCACTAAAAATTTTAATCTACCGTTGGAGCTGTGCGGGTCATACATCTCCATGTGTATAACAAAGAAGCATATGCCATTCCTTCTTCGATATACCGATTCTAAAGGTATTTCGGATATTTTACATAATATGCTTGTTAAGGCTTCAATAGCTCGAATACCTACCAACTGAGAATGACGTGTGGCCTCTTCGTGGTATTTCGAGATTCCAAAAATAAAAGCTTCTCGATCTTCAAAGAAGGTGTCAAAAGGATGTTCTAAAATTGACAAACAACACCTTAATTAAAAATACCGGCATTGTAATAGTAGGGGATGTGCTTCGATTTGTGGTGTATCATCTTGTAGAAAAGCTCCATCAAGCCCCTAGAATTTTCGGTCGTAAATATTGACATTAAAAAACTTACATCTTCGAGAAGTGTGTCGTGCTGAAATGAAGTGGCGCTTCGCACCGACATATCTAAACTTCAGCTTGTTTTCAATAAAATATAGGATAAATTATGTAAAAGAAGTTAGGTGTACCACAAATTTAAGCAAAAAGTCACTTGTTGGTGCTTTTCCTTCATAAGATATTTTGGTTTGAATCACCGCATCTGGCGATGAGTATCGACTACGACACTCCAAGCTACGCACCGGCCATCTGCCCAGTGGGCGACAGCTTATTTGATAGCACAATGGTTCCAGACAGCAGATGTGATTATTGTTGTCTTTCTCTCGAATCGACTGCCCGTGATCGACGTCAAAAGTATGCATTAATAGTATGTAAAAACCGATTCGATAAGTGCAACGCCAACAAGCCCTATCGCCTGTTCTAGGTCTGATTAAAATAGAATAACATCAATTATAATACTTAGGCATCTAGCTACCTAGTTGTAAGAAATAAGCCCTAAAAAGGGAAGGTATGCAATGCTGTTATTTATGTAAAATTGCTGCGAGAACATGAAAGTATATTTATTAGATCACACATTCAAAACAATGTCCCATGACTTCCTTTGGGTTCTTCAGAACGACTTCTATGTCTTTCTTCCAGCCGGAATGGCCGCACAAATCGATTCTAAATTTAATTTAACAAAATGAGCGCGGAACAACCTTTTTCTTGGTCGTTGTTTCCTTTCTTTGCCGAAACAATATTTCACAAGCTGCAGTGCATAACGCCAAAGCCATCCCCGCGCTTAGAATGTAGAAAATTCCGGCGACCTTGGATAAATTCAATGAACGCGAATCGCCGCTGTCCTAAAAATAAATTTAAAAGCAAGAGCCAAAATTTCTACCGATCCTCCCAGATCACATTGCCCGCGATCGTACCACCATTTGTTTTCCAGCCCCTTTAATTCGCCCTTCTCTTGCAGATAAAGAATTGCCAAATTGATAGAACCTCTGAAACCATATTAAACCACTTCTATCAATGCTCACCTCAGTGGACTTCCAATTTTAGTAGCTATACCATATCCCAGTGTGTTTAGATTATGACCAACTTTCATCGTATTGCAGGGTTTCCTTGTATTTTCGTATTCATTCGTAGTCTCTTCTAGCAAGAAGGCGTATTTGCCCTGTAAACTCGTGTAAGATTTAGAGGAACGATGAATACCTTGCTTTTCCTAACCTTTTCGATGCCTTCGGCGTAGGTGTTGACAAAAACGGTGTCCACCGATGCATTTCCGGCCGCCTGAAGTTTTGTTAGAGACTAACAAAAATCGGTATATACCCTCAGCTGCCGCGCATTAGCACTTTGCATAAAATTCCACATTCGTTTGTACAGAGCAACGCTTGAGTCTTCGAAAAAGGCTTGCGTTGAACCGCCCTTCACAACACCGTACAGAATTTTCTCTTGGTTCGCCAAATCCTCGACACTTTCGATAGGTGGTGTCATTTTCTCGAGGGTTAAAAAAGCTGCGAGGTTGGCCGTGTATCTATTAACGTATTTTCCTTTAAAAATCGGAAATTACGAAGAAACGATGATGAGGGTGTAGAACCACCAGCAGGCTGAAGCTATCCTTCCGGAAAGTGCTCTAAATATGCAAATTTAATCGATCTGCTCTGAGGTCTTCACCTAGGTAATATATCAGTCCCTTGTTGCATAAACGCGGCTAATGTAAACCATAATGAATTGTACATCGAGAACTCATTCGAGACACTGAAAAGGTAAGTACCCAAAATCAAAACTAACGTAAATTCGCCACGATTAAATTGTATCCGCTGTTCGTAAGGACTAAATGAAGAAACCAAGAAAATCGTGAGGGACACCGAGAAAATGGGTATAGAATTAAAGTGGAAATGCTTACTCCAATATACGAACAGACGGTAAAGATCCAAATCGTCATTCCAAGCGGTTGCATGAAAGAGAAAATGCTAAATTCCTGCTTCTCGGGTTTGCTGATCATAATGGATATTCCTAAAAAAGGTAGCTGAATAAGATTAACTGGCTAGCTTGGACTTAGGGTTCAGCTTTGCTAGGCATACCTGTGGTCATGAACGGCTTCGAAAAATCCACAACACGCTCGCGTTCCTGATTGATAGTCAAAGGGGCTACAGCAATATCAGCTGTCTGAGAAAGATACCGTAGCTATTTGTTGAAATGACCTACCTCGTTTAGTAGGTAACCTATAGAACCATCCCAACTACCATCTGGTTGCTTTGCTCCGTATTTATTGCCTTCCGAAATAAAAGATATCGTACTCAAATCCGGAAATATTCTGGGCTAGCAATCGAAGAAGATCGACACAATAGCCTTCGAAACGGTCGTTGCCCTAGAGAAACAAATATTAATTACTACTAGGCAAACTGTTAGCTCCGGCTCCCCTGGATTTTGTCTCTTCAACATCACGAATGGTTTTACCTGAAAAGTATTCAAATTAACATATTGTATCTTACCAGCAGGGTAACAACGTTAAACCGTAGCTTCCAAGGTTTATCCGCCAATATTCCTTTTCTAATCGGAGTCCGATCTGGTTGTTGTTCTATTTTTTTCGATTATGTTGGCTAGTTTCTCCCTACCGTAAAAAGTTCTAGTTTTTCCAAACAAAAATCCTTGACCATGTGCCCATTGGAACCTCTAAAGATTAAAAAAAACCAATTAAATTGGTTCTAGGGTCATCTAACCTCTTTGATACTTGTCAAACTATTCACTCCAGGCCTGATTTCAATTACGGTAGCGGAGAAGTTTTTCCGAAGCCCAGTCTAAAAACCATTTCTCAAAGCTTTGTACTTAAAAACCTCTGGGTCGAATTCAATTCTGCCAGTTAATGTTCCGTTTCGCTCGTCTAGTACTACCTAGAACGAATATAATAAGTTTATAACCATGCTCAGTCCATCCTGACCTTCTTTATAGCCTCGGCCAGAAGATGCCCATGCTCAAATTGTTCAAATCGTCTAGATTGATGTAAAATGTCTTCATGGGGACGACAATACAACCCTGGTAGCCCCCGATTGAATAGTTGGTGGTTTGAGAATGAACTAAATATGCAAATGATCGGCCTCCATTTTTAAATGACTGTTTGAAGACATCTCTGCCTCGTTCTTCTTCAACAAGAGCTGCGGCAGTCCCTCCCACAAGAAGAGCATCATGAGCAAATGCGCTGCTAGCCTAGAAATCACAAATCTGGGCTATTTTCTTTAGATTGGATAAAAGCGGATTGAAAAGAAAAATACAAAATTAAGCTATGTCACCCTACTCACCCGCAACTCGCTAGCGTGCTGAAATTTTTTGATTTTTATTTGTAGCCTGGCACCTACCGTCAACCAATCACTTGAAGGCATCTTTTCACGATAGTGATCTTCGAAAGATTTTCTTTCTTTTCTAAAAATATTCTCAAATATATTTACAATGGACCTTACATAAACTCCTTTGAGTAGCGATCAAAGAGCTGAAAACCAGTGATGTTGATAAGCGAATAATGAAATCCTGATAGATCCGCATCTTCCATTTCCTGAGAAAATGTTAGCCGTTAATAATGACTTACCAGATTCGCAAAAACATAATGATATTCACGCTTAACCAACACCGTTTCTTCAAGAGCACGCAGAAAAGCACGCATTCTATAGCCTCCTTCGAGATCCACTACCACGTTTATCGGACTATTTCGGAAATAAAAAAATGCAAGGCATTAAAACCCTTGGTTAGCAAGCGCCTCATCTGCCGTTTCATTTCGTCGTCGTCGCTCCTCGGCGCTATTTTGCCTATGGAATTTATTCAAAAACTCTCGAAAGAATTCTTCATCTGCCGGCGCTTCGTAATTATCAACCTGGATACTGTTTTATCAACGCATCATGCATACCTCTAATAACCAATCCGGTCTGCTTTTTTGCGCATAGGAAAAGACGGAAAATAAAGTGCGCATTGCTGAAGGTATAGTTTAATTTTAAGATGCGCCGATTACCATTTTTTCCATCATGAATATACACGAAACGATGCCATCCTTTGTAAATCATATAATCGACAAGTAAATCGTCAATTGGTGGACGGACTGGAAACTTATTAATCTTTTTGATGTTTTTTTGGTGCTTTGTATTGACCTGAAAATGCCATAGAAGAATGCTCATCGGCTAATCGCCGGTTTGATACCTCCCAATCAATTAATGGAACCTGGATGGTACTCTAGTTTTCGTTGCATACTCAAAGTACCTGCATAGCCGAGGCCACGGATCGATAGGTGGCATAACTTGTCGTACTTGACCCGGCCAACATCATCATAAACCCGATTTTAAGTTCATCGCAAACTAGAGAAGCCTTATTCAATATGATTTCCTACCAATTCTATTTAAATTCCAGTCCAATGCCCGTTTCTCAAATGGCGGCAATTCACGCGTACCCAGAAGCACATCGAATTCCGCGTTGAAACTTAATTAGCTATCTATCGAACATTTTCAGACATACCGGCCATTAAATGTATATTCAGCTAGCCTCAGCATTTCAATAGTTGCCAATGCTGTTTGATTGTCGGTTTCAGAGACTTCAACGAAAGCACCTAATCGCTTGAATCTAGTGATGATGGTTTGAGAACTCACGCAGAGGTATTTTATGCAAACCCGCAAAGACATAGCCGAATAACGTTGAAAAACAAAGAATCGGCAACATGGTCAGATGGAAGATGTAGTGGATGGAGCTGGGCAATCAACGTGTGGGCCAGCTGGAAGAGTTGGGGGGTGTCCCCTCCAATTTCTCCGCATTAGACCCAGGAGGTCGTCGAAGGGCCCTAGTATTTCCCCAGGGGCTTTTACTTTCCCTTTTGGAGGCTCCCTAATTTGTGGGTTTCAAGTAGCTTATTTTCAAATTAAATTTTTTTTCGAGAGTAGTGGCTTTCCATATGGCGTACAAATTTAAATTGATTTGTCATGCCAAACGATTTTGAAGTCAAGTTTAGCTTAAGCCCCGCGGGGGGGGCCCCCGCGCCCCCCCCGGGGGGGGGGGGGGGCCCCCCCCCCCCCCCCCCCCCGGGGGGGGGGGGGGGGGCCGCCCCCCCCGGGGGGGGGGGGGGGCCCCCCCCCCCGGCGGGGGGCGCCCCCCCCCCCCCCCCCCCCCGGGTTGCCGGCCCTCTCGGCTCGGTTCTGCACCCTCTTTACTCCGTTTTCTGCATAGCATGTCTGCTTGGATTTTCGCAAATGGTAGTCGCGCCCTGATCTATTATACTTTACTATATTTCCGCAAACGGAACTAAATTTTAGAACTATCCGTTCCACCCTGTAGGTTTCTAATCGTTTTCTGGCACCCGGTTCGGGACAGTGTTTCAAATATTTTGGGGCCCTGGGCGGCAATGCAGGCGGAACTTCGGCGCCGCGCCGGCCCTTTCCCCTTTCCACCTTTTTTCTCCTATTTTTCTTTGGCGTCCCTTTTAGGATCTCGTATCCCTGGGGTCGGGGGGCATCATATAAATAGGGAGATGGTCGTGTGGATCTTCAGCAGATTGCTCCACCACCCAAGGTTTGCTCATTACTTCCCGAACTGGTTACGGTACTTAGATGGAGGACTCAAGCCGCGAGCGCGCCTTCGTCTATGTCTCCCGAGTTGCCTCGGTCTTCACCGTTGGTAGGAATTACCCCACAATTAAGAAAAATCCAATCAGCAATAATCATTATTGTGGTTTAGTGGCCCTTGTCTCCCTCGGCATCTCCCTGCCGATGGTTGCCAACTACGTCTCTGATGTCCAGAGCCGCGCCCAGAAGGCCATGATCGACTGCGAGGTCAGCGCATCTCCATTATCCTTATATTCTTTTGTTCAGCTCTCCGCCGATCAGGTGCTCGGCGAGGTGTACAACTTCCGCGCCCAGCCCGTCAACGGAACTCGTGGAAAGAGGAGCGCTGGTGGTTGCGATGGTATGTCTCTCCTGGCCATTAGTAATTTTAAGCTCACCCTTTCTAGGTTGCTGCCTGCCTGGTGCTGCTGGAGCCCCTGGAGCCCCTGGCCGTCACGGAAAGCCCGGAACCCCTGGAGCTCAGGGAGCTCCTGGTGCCCCTGGACGTCCCCCGAAGATCTGCACGACTCCCCCAGTCACTCCTTGCAACCCTTGCCCTCAAGGACCCCCTGGACCTCCTGGAGCCCCCGGAAACAAGGGTTGGTGTTTAAGGACTGCACTTAAAACGCCTATCCGAGATTGTTACGTATACACCCTATTGCGCAGAAAGACTATTGAGAGTAGCAGTTCAGAGGTGTATGCATCCAACGCCCCGAACGTCCGCTTTAATTGCTTTTCACGTTACAAGCTAACTATCTATTGTTCTACAACCAAATGATCCCACACCCTTACCCCAAATTGATATTCTCTTCTGATCCTTCTCGTTGCCGGGGGGTCATAGAAAAAGCGGAGAGCGCGGAGGCGCGTGCGTGTGTGGGGGCATCGGCAACGGGAAAGACGACTTTTTGCAAATCCTTAGCCTTCGTAGTGGGGAGAAGGAGAGGGAGGCACAAAGAAGGGCAGACCGTCGCGGTCGCCCCACCGGAACGGAATGACAGCCGCCAGGGAACCGTGTGGCCGCCCAACCCCATCCCTTACCCCCCACACCCAACCCAACCCAACCACATACCACAAACCATTGAAAGTGAAGAGTGAAAATTAAAATTACAGGTTCCCCCGGATTCCCTGGAGAGCCTGGCAGGCCCGCTGGAGCCTCGTTCCCTGGACCCCCTGGTGCTCCTGGCCGATCTGGATCACCCGGAAACCGTGGAGCCCCCGGAGAGCCTGGACGCCCCGGAGCCCCTGCCGCCAGCGAGCCGGCCCTCCCCGGACCCCCTGGAGCCCCTGGACAGCCTGGAGCCAATGGAGAGCCTGGACCCGCCGGTGGAAAGGGATTCCCTGGTGCCCCTGGACAGCCTGGAGGCCGTGGATTCCCCGGACAGCCTGGAGAGCCCGGACATCCTGGAGAGAACGGGTAAGGGATCTAAGGATTAAGCAAAGCCAAATTTGCATCTTACCTCCACAGATTCCAATCAATATCGTCCTTTCAGAGGCCCCGGAGCCCCTGGAGAGGATGGACATTCCGGAGAACGCGGTATCTGCCCCAAATACTGCTCCCTGGACGGCGGCATCTTCTTCGAAGATGGCACTCGGCGCTAAGCGGTGGGTGTCTATGTCACCACCATCCGTCCCGTATAACCGGTAGAAACTCGGCGCACACCATACCCCCTTTTCGGCTCCCTTCAATGCACTCGCTCGCTCACTCGCGCGCATCGTGCGAGAACCATAAAAAGCCCGAAAGGCACTTCAGCTTTTGCCGATTGTGAAGCACTTTCCAGGTCGACAAGGCCTGGTCATTTTGTTCGCGAGACAGACGGGATGGGATGCCCTTTCAGAATGAGATTCAGATCATCACCATCTTTTTTTTCAGGGGGATGCTTCTTCTGCTCGTCCCATTTTACAGCGTCCTTCAACAATCACAATCAACATCAGGGTTCTCAAATAAAGACGCTAAGCATAGAAAACTATCGTGTTCACGTGTACATATATTACATCCAGAGAGCTACGCGATATTGGAAAAGTTCATTCCAGGATCAGAATACAAGTTTGGGTAATTTGCGTTTTGGTGAGGTCTTTGAGCTACTCGGCAAGTAGTATCACTAGCCTAAGGGCATCGAAGCCGGGATGACAAACTTTCACTGGGAGCACTTGAGGGGTGTCGAGTAGAGGAGTGCGCCCTCGAGTCAAGTTCATCCAGAAATCCTCTTCTACACTCTTCCACAAGGCCGTTGCACGCCGTGGTTAATCTGTCCCAGTTGCCTCGGGAATATAGAAAAAACGATTTGAACAAAAATACCTTTTATTCGGAAAAGTTAAGAAGACAGTATAGGTACGAGAATCAAGAGTAAATTTTAACAGCCACAAGACTTACAGAATTGTTGAGAAGTCCTTGCGAAAAATGTCGATAATCCTTCTAACCAGTGTGGATAAAGGAAAGTGCTTTAAATTCGCGATCTGTTGGGGAAAGTATCGGGAAATTAAGTCAGACCTAATGCATCGCTATTGTGGAATGTGCAAATTGGATTATATCACAACTTCGTTCTGCCATACCACAAACACGATTTACTAAGTCAAAAGGTTTCAACCCCATGCCCCCTAAGATTTGATTCATACATCAGCCCAAAGAAAAAACATCCATCAACAGTTAGTATTCGATTCCTTTACGAGTCCACGTTCCGATGTGCCGTTCCCCTATTCACAAAGGTAAGCCTTTGTCCTCACCCCCTCCTTCTACAGAACGGTATGACAGTTTCTTTTCAGACCAAACGGTTTTGTATACCTACCACAGGGTAAGGGCGAGTTTGGCAAGAGGGCGGGAACACGGCGGGGATGGTTGTCTCGGCATCGTCATGTTGAGCAGCAGCCCCCCCGGGCGGTACGAAGGGAAACGCCCCTTCTCATATAAGGGCTGTCCGCGGGGAAGCTTTTCAAAGCGTCTAAAGACAGTCTCCGGCTCCTCTCTACACCATCAACGTATCAATTCTTCCGTTCCAAGATCCATTTACTCGTATGCTCCTTATCCTTTGCTACCGTATTCAGGCAAAGCCAGTATCGCCTTCCTTTTAAATTTTCTCCGAAGGTTCCTGATACGTTTAGTTTCTTCTGCTACTCAAAATTGTAGGACCAGCTTTTAAAATATTTTAATACAGTTGCAACAGTTCAAACCCGGGTAATATCTTTTCAAATAGAGAAACTTACATTAGAATACCCCTCCCCCAAAAGCAGATAAAATATTCTGGAAAGCAAAAGCATTCCCTTTGTTCTCATAGAAGAGCTCGAGTCTCGGTCACACCCTACCAGTTGCCAGCCCACTCTCCCTTCTATTGTGAACGCCCTCAAGACAGGCCGGAATTCACCCTTTACAGCCCTTCCACTCCCTTCAACAACATGGGAGTCTTCCTTGAAAGGGAGCGGGCCTATAGGTAAGCAAAAACTTGAAGTGCTGTTGGTCTAAAACGCATTGACATTGCATTAACGCCTCATTATAAAATCTCTAGGTTCGTTGCGTACTCAGCCGTTGCCTTCTCTTTCATTTCGATCATCGCTGTCTGTGTGACGCTGCCAATCGTCAACAATTACATCCATTCTGTTCATCTCCGTGTTCAGAATGAGATGGATTTCTGCAAGGTAAAACTCACAAAAATTTGCTATCGTTAATACGCCTATTTTTACAAATTTAATTTTTAGTTATCCGCGCGTGATGTTCTCCTTGAAATGACGGAGTTCCGATCCGGCAGAAGGCTTACCGCATCTCCATTTTCATCATTGCCTCCTCTCCTCAATAGACCCCCGAATGCCACTAGGGAAAAGAGGCAGGCTGCTGCGTGTACTGGTAAGCATCTCTCCAGCAACAATTTATCTTCTCTACAGGATGCTGCCTGCCTGGTATCGCCGGTCCTGATGGAGCACCTGGCAAGAACGGTATGCCCGGACGCCCCGGTGCCCCTGGCGCTCCTGGATTCCCTGGTCGACCACCAGCCGTCTGCGAGGAGGTCACTGAGCCTCCATGCATGCCGTGCCCACCTGGAGAACCCGGTCCTCCTGGATCTCCCGGAGAACCTGGACAGCCTGGCCAAACTGGTCATCCTGGACGCAACGGCAACGATGGACCCCCAGGACCACAAGGACCACCTGGACCACCCGGAAAGGCTGGAGAGCCCGGACGTGATGGGCCTCGGGGTGATCAGGGACGTCCCGCTTTCTCGACCCCCGCTCTGCCTGGAGATCCCGGACAGCCTGGAGAGAACGGACCACCTGGAATCCCCGGAGAACCCGGACAACCTGGACGCGCTGGCATCGATGGACCACCAGGAGCCCAAGGACCCCCTGGACCCCCTGGATCGGCCGGAAAGTCTGGCGACAAAGGACCGTCTGGGCCTGCTGGACAGCCTGGACCTCAAGGAGAGCGCGGTATTTGTCCCAAGTAAGCCATTTATCGCTGGTATGCTAATTAATACCCTAGGTATTGCTCATTGGACGGCGGGGTTTTCTTCGAGGATGGTACTCGACGATAAAGAACAGTGCGTTTTTTATTTTAGCATGTGTTTGATTTACTAACCTTAATAGCTAGTATTTTTCAGCAACATCTTCTCGTCGTGTCAACGTCACGCCTGCCTGTACAATAATGAGCTATATAATAAAGCATCACAAAAAACGCGCCAAGTTGCACCGAGAACATTGCTGAATCACAGAAAATGCACCACAATGATTCAGCACGTTTCGCAAAAGGCGAGTCGAAGCAGAGTGCGCTCTCTTTGGTCCCCCGTGACAAGCCCTTATCGTATCGCTTTCTGATGGCCGAGGCACAGTTGTGCGTTCGATCAGCAGCGAGCCGCTATTTGCCTTCCAGAACATCTTCTGCCTTTTTTCCGAATTCTATTGGCGATGCAAGCGAACAGCAGTCAGAATACTGGCAATATCCAGCGGTTCCCGCATCCGGTAATTTTTATATCACTTCCTGTAATGGAACTCTAGAGTCTACCCTTTCTAAGAGAGATCTCACATCCCGGGGTTGGATCGGAAATTCATATTCAAGGCATACCATTTGTGGATAAGGACAAGTCTGTTTTTTTGGTGCTTCTCAATGCTTTTCCGCCACATTTGATGGAATAATTCGTAGTTTAGCAAATCCTTCACTGTTGCAATTCTTACTGAATATTCGACGGCGTTGCTGCTTGATTGCCGGCTAGGTACACCATCTGAGGTCTCGGCAGTGGCTAGCGTTGATGGGAAATTTACGTAAGATCGGCTAGCAACACGAACACATTCAAAATATTTTCTTCCAGAAGCGAAATCAAGAAAAATTGTGCGCTCCAAGCACAGCGGCCTTTTCGTTTGCTAATTTATGCCAAGGAGCATAATTTCGAGGTAAAATATCAAATTTCTCGCGGCCCGTAAATGTGGATTTGATTTTCAAAACTTTTTAGATTTTCCTGAATGACGTGTTCCTTTTGGAATTTGTGCACCGGGTCAACCCGCTCGATTTCAAAAGACTACGCGTCGAAGGGGGTCTGATTGCAGAAGAAATTACAATGCGACCTGGACATAGTCTGTTTTCCTATTTCTTTTAAGGTGTCCATTTAGTTCCGGCATCTATGAATGATGCCCTCCCACCACCACCAACATATGCAAATGTTCTGCAAAAGGGTACCCAGGCCCCACCAACGAATTTGGAAGCCGTTACCTCAAACCTACAGCGATTCAACATTAACAGTAGGAGAATTATGTAGTTGAAGTACATTCTTCAGATAATCAATTTGGGCAACGTAATCAACAAGGGTTGCAGCAAAATCAACAAGGTATATAAGCAAATTAATTAAAGCAAGTATATTAAAGCAAGTATTTTAATAAGCAAATCCGATTAGAGCTTGATCCTTGGCCGCCTCTTCCCCCGCAGATTGCACAGGGTGCACAACCGAAATCTGGTAACCAAAAAACCTATTTTGATGTGGTTTAGTTCAAATTGATGCAAGCTCATCGGCGCAAACATTTGAACAAAAGAAGAAGCTCGTTGAGGAGGCGATGCGACTTCGGGATTCGGTTGTTCAACCGCCGATCCAGAATCAAGCAGTTACGATTCCGAGCGCCCCATACCCCCGGGAAATCAATTATCAAGTTGGATCAGGGACGCAGCCAGTTGTACAACCAACACATATTCAGCAACAAGTGAGCAAGAGCTAGACCGGGAATTTCTTTAGGCTTTTCAATCATCAGTTCAACGTGCGCCGGTCCCTTATCCACAAGGTCCGACTATGCCGATGCCTCAACCGATGATTCCAATCCAAAACAGTCAACACCAGATGCCGCCTTATCCAAGTAAGAGTCCTTCAAGCCAGTTTTCATCGCCTGTAATAACTTTCAGTAATGCCAATCCAAAATCCATATCTGATGCAAACAGCCCCTCCCCCCGGAATGCCGCTCTATCCTACCGTACAACAAGCCTCTCCACATCCCTACTTCGTAAGCTACCAACCCCCCAACACTGACTACAATTCATAGTCTCTTAGGCAACGCAGACATCCCACCCTTACCCGGTCAACCTCGCCTATGGCAGTGGGTTCACCGGATATTTGCCCGTGACTCCAGTTCTAGCTTATGATACTCCCCATGTCGTCACCTACACATCGCCTTCCCACATCTACTACGGACATCAACACGTTCGTCTATTCTTATATTTTATTGTTTTTCCTTATTCAGGGCCACTGCCACGACCCATGCTGAGCGAGTTCTAAGCAGAATTATGCCATTTCTCAATGATAAATCCTATACCTCGGCATGTTACATTTGAAGACCTGGGATGCTTGGGATAGTCCAAGGGAGAAGTGTGCCCATGCCAAAATTCGCAGTTCATCTCTTTCCTATACTTCTCGTGAGCCCGAGTTTCCCGAACTCTCCACCCCATCGCAACACTTCTTGGACGACCACCCAGCTCGTGAATTCGGCGTGTGTGGGCCTCTTCCCCGCCCGTCCTCCTAGGGGGCAAACCACTACTAAATGAGTAGCCCGGGGTGTGCTGTGTGTATGTCTGTCTGTCTATGTATGTGGGTGTGTATGTATGTGGGTGAGGGGGGCTTGCAAGAGATTCGCAAGTTGAGCCGGGAAGGGGGTGCCCGAAGGGACGAGGGAGTGGGCCCGCCAGGGCGATCGATGGGGCCTTGGGGGGGGGCTAGGACCCTGAGGGCCCCAAAAAGAGGGGGGAGGAGGGCGTGTAGTGATAGCAGCAGCAGCAGAGAGGAGGAAGGGCCACGGCCTTCAGCCCTACCACCACCACCACCACAGCACCACTGCCGCCCGCACGGGGAGCACGGGGGTGTCCTCCTTCGAGTCGTCGGCGTGCGCGCACCGTGAAGTGGACCGGTGGCCGGAGCGCTGCCGGCGGCTACGGGCGACGACGACCGCCGAGGCGCATGCGGACAATCCGCAGCCGCCGATGCAGCCAGCCGGCGCCTGCCGGCCCCCCTCAGCCCCACTCTCCGATTCGCTACTGCTCACATTACGCCGGCAGCGCCATGCACGTCTCTTCCGGGCCCTTTTTCAGGTGGGTGCGCTGCTACTTAGCTTTAATCTGCCATTATAATATTTACTCATTTTATCATCGATTCATTTGAGATTTACCCATCTTCCTTCCAAAGCCCCCAACCCTTACCCTATAGTTTTTTTATTCATATTGCTCATCCTTTCTGAAGCCATGTGCAATTTAAGTTGAATTACGCACGTATATTTGCATCGAGCCGATCTTTCTAATTTCTAGTCCATTCAAATCTAACCAGGTATTTATGATACAATTTAATTTATTTGTCTACGCAAACCATTCCTTTCCTAGAAGCTTTTCAACTTCCAATACCAGATATGCTGCATACTTGTCTTTATCGTTGATCCCACTCATCTTAGACAAATTACGAGTCAGAGCGTCACATAAAAGCATGCTCTAATATTGTCGGTATTTCCCTTAATAATTCTAATAACTCGATAACTTTTCCTTGATTCATCTACTAAAACCTGTACATATATATTATTGTTGCTCAATTAAATCCGGGACAACAAAACAGTATGCAAAAACCTGACTACATTTTAGAAAGTCCCCAATCGGCCTACGTAATTTTTTTTAATTTATTGAATTTGAATTCCCATAGTTCCCCCAAAATAGAGACGAAAACTTCCCTCCCCCGCGTTAGCTAGCAAAATATCAATAGCATTCCGCCGGGCGCCGCTAATTTTTTATGCATCGCTTTCACACGGTGCCCCCCCCCCCGTGGGCTCCGCTTAGGTAACTTGCTTCCCCCGATCCGTTCGTAATCGGCATTCAATTGTCTAGAAATCCCATCTCAGGCGTTTTCCGTTGTCTTTTTCTCCTAGGCCACACACGCACGGGGCTTCTGCCGTTCCCCGGGGATTGAGAAGCTTGTATATATGCGTTCTTATGCAGTTGAGATGGCTTTTCCCTTTTCGCCCAGCGCGCCGGGATTCCATTTGGCTTTTTGAGGAATGTTTTTCGATGATTGACCCTATTGTCTGGGGCCGAGGTGGGGAAAGGGTGGAGGCGATATTGGCCGTTGGGGGCACTTCTGGGACACACGGCTGCTCCCTGGGCCTTCAAGAAGAAGGCCCTCCGCCCTCCATGACGGCCGAGCTGGAATATAATTGTGCTTTTGGATGTGTGCACCCATAGAAGCAGAAGACGAAGAAAAAGAAGAAAAAGAAAGAAAGAGGGCAAGAAAGGGCCTCTGGGGGTGACTCGGTAATCTTTTGATCCTCCTCGGCTTCATTCCGATAAAAGAAGACCCGTCTCTTTCGCCAACCGCCATCTCTTCTACAAACGACTCCCCCCCAACAACCAACCACTCCCACGGCTTTTCCTCTTTTCTTCCCTTCCGAAAGAGGGGGGAGGTCCAGTTCAATTACTCAATGGATAATGAAGTTTGACTGCCCCCCTCTTCCATCATCGCCCAGTATATTTTGCGCACATAAAATGAAGATCCCTCAACTTCATTATGTGAGCCCCGGCCTGGAAATTTTCGTTTAACCGTCCCGACGATGATGGGGTGGGACTTTACGACCAAAATGATTGGTTTTTCGTGGAGGCGTGAAGAACGGCGATGAGGGGAGGACAATATAAAGTTCACGGCATGCCATTTCCGAGCCGGCGCTGCCAATCTCCGCCGCCAATCTTTTGCGCTTTTTTAGAAGGGGTGAGGGTTTTGTGCTTTCGTTTGCAACTAAATAGAAATCGGGCATCGACTGTATATGTTTGTCTCGATGCCAAATAGCCAACGAGGCAACAGGGCGCTGAGCTCTTTCGTTCCCGCGCGTAACCGATTGTCTAATGCCGTGGGCATACTTTTGAGGCTTTACTTCACGGAGCTTTCTGGCGTTTTAATGATATGGAAATCGGAGATCTAAAGCACACCAGCATTTAATTCCAGTTCTTTCTGCGCAAGGCACAACACCAAGCTTTTAACAATAATATAACCCGTGTGAACCTTTCCCCAACCTTCACTGCCCCTTTAGAAGCCATTGGCGCCCATTAGACGCGCGCTACGAAAGCCACATGCAGACGCAAGGGCTAATTTTGGGGAGGGAATGCTAAGGGGAGCGAGGAAGAGGAGAGGGTGGGGCAGGAAGAAGCCCCCCCCGTACTTCTCGCCAATGCTCCGGGGGCAACTGCCAAATTAGGCGCTTTCCCGACGCGTGCCTGGGCTCTAGCGCTACACACAGCCCTCCACCCCTCTTTTTTCGCTCGGCCCCAAACATTAGCCACCCTTACAGTGAAATTGGGAATTTGGGGTCCGCCTCGGGCTAAATTTCCATCTGAATTAGAGATGACTGACGAAGCGAGATGGTGGTGGTGGTCCCTCATTTTTCAGTGGTGGGGGTGGTTCGAGGCGGGGGTGAGCGGGGCCGTTAGCTCTTCGCTGTGGCCAAGGGCCCAGGGCCCATTTCTTATGCCCTGTCCACCCACTCCATCGTGGATTCTTTGCGCTTTTCTATCTTCCCCCCACTCGCCAACGGCGCCTTTGCTATGCAGAGCTAATTATGCGGGGTGCCCGCCAAGGGGGGGGGGAGCAAGAGGTCACTCTGAGGAGAGGGCGGGAAACGCAGCGGGGGAGACCCGATGCTCGCTTGCTTTTGGCCGGTTGGCTAGGCCAGGAAGGCGGCTAGGGGAGGCCGCGAGTCCGAGGAGTCCGCGACAAATATAATGCATGCCCTCGACGGGCAAAAGGGAGAAGCGGGGGATGGCGCAGGTGAAATCGGAGGCGTTTTGCCACGGCCCTCCACCCCGGCCCCGAGGCTGGCGCGCGATCAAGTAAGTGGCGCCCAGAATTTGGCCACCGCCCCTCTTTTGTGAGGGCTTCTATTGCAGTTGTGGTAGGGGGCGTGAAGAGCCTGAATATCGTGAATATTTTTGGGGGTTTGATGGAACCAATAAAGACAGTAGGTGACAATTCAAAAATCGCGTTTTGCCCTTCGATTTAAGTTTAAACAGCTCCCATATCAACTCGCGTTGCAAAGCTTCGAAGCTTAAAATTAGCATCAATCGACCTGGACACATTCTTTACTCCTTATTTCCATAACATCACCGCTTCGCCAATTTTAGATGTCAATTGCCCATAAGCTCTCTAGCAATATGTTTTATGCAATATGTTTGTAGTAGCGTCTCCTGTATCTTAATTATGGCTACAGACAGAGACTTAAACAGCACACCCGTGCAAATTTTTACACCATTCTATCACGGGCCTGGTCGAAGCCGCTTAAAAGCCGGAAGCCTCCGTGTAGGTGTATAGAAAATACGAGCGTACCCAGTATCAAATTCTCTTGCAGTATCTGCCGCTACGCGACTCGCCCAATGAGAACCCGAGTCTTGAATTGGCCCTCAACCCGGGTGATATGATCTTGGTAAAAGGCGAGATGGATGACGATGGTTTTTACAGGTACGAGAGTTAACTAACGCGAACCTGAGATATTGGTGAAAAAAACGGTATAGATTCACCTAACCCGAAACACTTTTTGGGGAGGGAATTTCTCGACTAGCCGACGTAGCAGGGCCACCGGGGCAGCTCTTCCCAATCGAAGCTTCTTTCCCAAGGGGGAGGGTGTTCGAGTCTATTCGTAGCTTTTGCATGGGTCTCTTGCTCTTCGTGACCCCTCGACTTCGGGATACTATGGCGTCGGAATGCCTAAAAAGTAGGAGGCCATCCCGGACGATGGTCAGCTCTTAGTGAGGCTCATGAACTAAAAATGTAAATTTCTTCGGAGCTGCTAGAAAATGGGGGTATAGAGTAAGTTTACACCTAATCGAGCGACATAACTATCGAGAGCAACATATTAAAACCAACATGTTAATACAAACTTTACAGGGGTGAAACGATGGATGGCCGGACCGGCCTGGTACCCTCAAACTATGTTGAACGGGTAAGTATCACATTTTCACTGAAATAAGGAGCCTTGTTTTCGTATTGTCGAATTCGCAATGTCAAGTCGGATTTTTTCATCAACAAAGCTCCCGGAAAATCCCAAATATTACGCCAGAAATGCCGAAAACTTGAAATTTCGAAATTTTGATTGGTCATTCAGAATTTCGACATCCCTAGGGCAAATAGATTTATTGATGACCTCATGACATTTAGGTACCAGACTACTGGCTACTCCAGAATTCCACGCGTGGACCATCCCCATCGTTTCCCCTTGCCATCCCCACCCATCATTCCACCATCATCCACGATTTCTCGTTAGTTAAACAAATCGGTATTTCATACTTTTTATCCAGAGACCAAGAAGCTCCCACATCATGTGCCACAGATCCGTTATTAGCAGATTTTCGATCACACGAGCCCTATGGACCAGGTGAGGCGATTTCTTCGTTCCGTGTCATATCTCTCGGCATATTTATCAAATTCATACCATTAGACATTTTCAATAAATATTTAATCACATTAAAACCGTTATCTTTCAGGTGGTGGTGTGCCCGACTCGGTTTGTCCCTATCCCTCCATTGACGTATCAGCTGTCACAGTACAAGAAATTAAAAATGATACACCAAGAGGTACCTTCAATTAACATTCTAATCAGCTTTGTGCTTCTCAATTCATAAAACAAAATCTTTCAGTGCCCTGCCCCCGAGAAATCACGATAGAGAAGAAGTTGTCAAGATCGCTCGTGATAGCGTAGGTCTAAGATTTCCAGATGAAATGGTTTTTCAGATGGTCTCCACCTGAAGAATCGTTTGTTGTTGTTTCCCAGTATCACGTATGCGTCGACAGCCAAGTGAGAGCGGTGGTGCCAGGTAGCTCGAATTCGATTCACTCACTTAGGCATCCCGTAGGCTCCTACAAATGCCGGGCATTAATCGAAGATGTTTGTCTAAACGGTTCGGTGAATGTTTCGGTGAGGGCTGTCACTGAACAGGGCCATTCTCCGGATGCAGCTTGCTCGATAGCTGTCGGAACAGGTAAATCTTAGACGAAGGCAAGCCTCGGACATTATTAGCTTAATGCTAGCCCTATCCGTTCTCCTATTTCCCTCCTTGGGGCAAACCCTCAGGCCCCGACGAGAAGGAATAAGCATTGTTAGGGTGTGGCCGATGAGACTTCCTAATGAGGCTAGTCACGGGTGGAAACCTGCCCCCAACAAACACGGTTACCCCCGCTCAAAGAAGTCGCCCTTTTACCGAATTGCATTTGCCCTTCGGACCCCAGTACCAACACCTCAAATCTTAGAAGCCGCCGTCGCGCCTCAACATCTTCGCGTGTGGGCCGTCACGCCGGTTTCTGCCTGCGTCCGATGGTTCGTTTCTTAGCCAAAAGGCCCATATTTTACCCCTGCCCTCCCTTCAACATAACCAAGCCACCAAAAAAAAACACAGAATTGCGCCCAAACCGAGCCTTCAGGTCTCTCTCTCTCCCCCTCCCCCCTCTCTCGCTCTTTTAAGCCCTTTAACCCATCGTAGCCAATGCCCCTCCATATTCGTCAAAAATGCCTTTAGGTATCCCAGCAATTCCAACGCCGAGCACGTGGTCTCCCTAAACGCAATTAAGGTATGATTGCTTTTTCTCCCGCTCACAACCATTTCATTTTAGGTCGGCGTCTGCCCGCCCAGTGTGTATCAGGTGAGATTGACCTTTTGCATTTAATTAAACTCATTTGGGGTAGCATGCAAAGAAAGTTCTGACTAGAGCAACGCGATGTTGAATAATAAGACCCGGGGAGGAGAGGGATTTGGGGCGACGATGTGTTATTTGAAGATGGGGAGATCGTCGGGGTGGAGACAGACAAACACACACCTCTCCACTTCTCATTACTCATTCCAATTTCGAGGGACCCGCGAGCCTTGGAGAGGAGACCCAGCCATACTTTGGCCACACAGGAGGGACAATCCCCATCCTAATCCTGGGCAGCCCCTTCCCCCTTTGGCTCTCCTCCATTTGCCCATACCGCTTCTGCTTCTTCTTCTAACCAACCTTGCCCTTTTTTACCGTTTTTCCTTTTACCTTTGTCTTCTGTTAGTGCCGATCTTAAAAGTTTTCCGTTACCACCTCTTACCATTTCAATTACCCTCGTTTTCTGAGCCGTCATTAATTCATTTCCGATTTTTTTATTTACTGTTGACACCTATTTGAAGGCCATGTCACCTCCGAATTTCACCTATATCTCCCACATTAAAACCCGAGGAAAAACATTACCTAAAAGCCTGTCGGAATCACTAAAGCAACTTGTGAATGATTGATGGGAATCGGAACCCGAGGGCCGCCAGACCAAACCCTCCACCCTAGCGCCATGGCTATATCCGTTTCCAGGTGCAACTGTGTGGCCTTCAACCTTCAACCATCTATCGAGTCTCCGTCCGGACAAAGCATCCTAAAGCCGTGCTCGAACAGCGTCCCGTCGAACGTTGCTTGGATTTCAAGACCCTTCCAAAAAGTGAGTACATGGGATCCACAAAAACCATTTGGCGGAGACGTTTGGTGTTTCTGGATTTAGGTATCTTTCGGTGGCTCTTAAAGTCTAGATTTATGAACAGTTTTAACTACCAAAAACCGCGAAAATGTCAAATCTAGCGACATGCGCGTTTGAATCGCTGTGCAAGGTTTTTCACAAGGCTGAATATGGAGAAAATGAACTTTTCGAAGACTAGCATCGCTTGTTTTCTGCCTTTGCGAGCGTTTTTGAACCGTTCAAAGAAATTATATTCTAAGCTTCGAGTTTCTTCCGGATTTCTAGAAGACTTTCCCATCGTACAACCTTTGACACTTCCCCGGGTGTAGGCTCTAAAATTCCAGGTCACCATTTATGTTTAACGATACCCTGACCCTGAGCAGACAGCGCAAGAGCAGCGAAACTTCCTGATGAAGGGCCCCACGAAAAATTGCGTGCATCGGGCCCTCTCCCGAATTGAATTAGCAGCTAGGGGGGACCGGGGGGTCCTGCGACGATAATACGGCTGTTGGCCCCAGGAAGGCCAAAACTTTCGTCTTAGTCAGACCCCCATCAAATGACATTCATCTTTTATAAAACGGCCTAAATGCTCCAAACACTTCCGGGCTCCACTGGGCAGCTGTTGTTGTTCTTTGTTGATGGTTTTGGTTGCTAGGAGGAGACGAGAAGCTTGGTTGAAGCCTCCAAGGCCCTTCCAATAGAACATCCCTCCTCCAGACCCGCTCATTATCCCCTTTCTCTTCATTCCACAGTTTATGCACCACACCCGTTTCCCTTCCAGCATAATAGAATACGTTTAGTTGGTCTACCTGATCCTCCAGTGAACGTCTGCTGTGAGCCAGGGCCTCAACCTGGTACATTGCTCGTCTCCTGGTCGCCCGTTCACTCCCAGCCCAAGCCACCATCTCGTGCCGCTGTCCAAGCCTACCTCATCTACGCCGACGGCAAAAACATTGCCCAAGTTCCCTCAGCCACCGGTATTCATTACTTCTTACATCGCCCCTTTCATCGTCTTTTCTCCCCTTCATTCGTTCCTTCGCCCCCTCCAACAATAATGGGATTAGCGGATCTACTCATTAATCCCACGCATCTCATTCGCGGGGCTTCCTTTTTTTTGAGCACGAGGGGCAAAAAATTGATCCCAACCCCATTAGTCAGTGGCAGTGTGTGTCTGGGTATCTAGTAGAACTCTTCTTGGTTGCAGCCGATCACGTCCTACTCCGATTGGCCGATCTATCCGACGACCCGCCAATTTTTATCACCGTGCGAACAAAAACGCGAGAGGGAGCGGTCAGCGGTGATTCAAACGTAGCTCGAGTGCCCAGAGTCAGCCAAATACAGGTTGGAGTTTTCTGCCACCTTATTATTATAATCCGTAGGGCATCGCACCTCCATTCTCGGATCCGCTTCGTGGAACGGCACCTCAAAACGATCTTCTCAAGGTAAAATCTTTTCGGTTATCTAGCGGGCTTCTTCGAAACTGATTATCATGACCTGTTATAGCTCCAAGACCCCTTGGAGTCTGTCCAAATGGCTCAATCGTACCCGTCTTCTTCATTTCCTGTGATTCAGCATCAGGTAGTTGGAATGTCACCTAAAAGCTTATGCTACTCCTCTTTCTAGTCTTCACTTCCCAATCAAATGTCTGGATATGCCCATATGGGAACATTGACGCGACAACCGGCGATGGCGCCATGCTCAGCACCAGTCTCATTACAAGTATGGTCAAATAACGAAACAAAGGAATTCACAACCACCCCAGGCATCCCTAGTCGCATCGCAGCCTGTTTTGTCATCGATGGCCCCAGCCCTTTCATTTGCTCAGTCGCAGATTCCGCACTTTCACTCCGTCAATCCCTATCAACAGACACCATATGTACAGGTAATTTTACTACCGCACTCTTCAGACTGTCGTTTTTTTGGATAGATGTTTTGCAAAAAAATGAAATTTGGATTTTTGGGAGAGGCTTCTTTTGCTACACTCTAGCAATCTTGTGCACGAAATTCTTAGGCCTGCATCCGTAAGTAGTTTTGCATCGCCAGGAATTCCCCGGGCGTGTGTCCATAGCGATTCTGCCTAACTAACTAACAAAGCGAATGCTTTTCAAGGACCTTTTCTTTTCCTTTTTAAATTTATCATAAATTTAAAAGCAGAACTTTTATTTTGTCAATCCGTAAACTTATTTTATTAGGGCTACGCGCCGCCGATGGCTGTGGGTCGTGTACTACCACCAGCCACTTCCGAAGGCATCTCCCCACATCAGGTTCGTCACTTTCTAGACCTCCTTAGTTTTTATTACATATATTCCTAATAGAGTATCAAAAATAGGACTTTTCTCCCCAAAATAGCCTTTCAGAGTATGAAGCTGGCCGCTATGGCACAGGTACAGACAGCCCGGGACAGCACATCTTTTTCTCATATTTCCCGCCCTATACACCTCTTTTTTTCCGGTTTCAAATGCAAATGCTAAGCATGTTTTCCTGAATAACTTGTATTTCCAGTCTACCTCTTTGGCTTTGATTATCGCTTTACTTGGGCTCTCCGGGTTTTCTTTATTTTACTCCTTAGCATGTGGGCAGGGAGGGTTACTGTTGTTTCGGTCCACTTCGGAGCCCTTCGGCAAAAGCTTGGCACCGGGGATGGGGACGTAATAATTGATGGTCGGACTTTTCAGTGGAAAGCAGCAGCGATGAGCCAGTACTACACATTTCATCCGCGCTTGATGAGAGGAGATGGAGCGCAGGTGCCTCTGGGAAGGGTTTTATTGAAGGAAAAATCTGTGCAGGAAGATGCGCGGCCGAGTGTTATGGAAATGGAATCGAATTATTTGTTGCGACATCGACAGGTAGATTTTAAGAGTAGGGTATGCTGAACTAATCGATACCTGATAATTTTTCGAATTAGCTGGAGCACTAAGCGAGATTCTAAGCTTTAGTATATGCGCAAAAAGAGCAAGATCAAATTCTAGCACCGTTTTCAGGGCGACTACACACCTCGCTCGGCAGTATATCCCAGCAGACAGATGAGCGCCGATGGGCGAACACACAGGTCCATCAATTGCCCCTTGCAAAAGCAATGTTCATCTCCAGATTGATCCCTCCACGGCTGGCCCGGGTAAAAAGCGAAAGCGGTTTTGGCACAAGAAGCGAGCCAGACCTCCGACCGATGCTTGATGAAGATTGCAGATGGTGTGTGGGGGGATGAGTGACGAATTGCCTTGCAATGCTGGAATTGGGTTCAGATAATATACGGGATTTTCGTGGGAGGGCGTGTATTTTTTCCGGCTTAATTATGATGGGGGTTAGGGAGGACGGGACCTGCTCTTGAAAAAATACACGGGAGGGATCAGAACCCCGATTCTGCATTTTGAAGGGTAGCGAAGTACAAAGACAAACCCTGAGGTACAAATTATCATAGGTTTGTCGCCCTCTTCGACTACGATCACCATATGTCGCCCAATCCAAATGCAGAGAATGAAGAGCTCTCCTTCCGGAAACACCAGCTAATAAAAGTATGAAAGCATAAATTTATTATGATTATTTTAGGTCTATGGTGAGGTAGATCCGGATGGCTTCTACACGGGCCAAATCGGCGGAAGAACAGGGCTAATTCCTTCAAATATGGTCATCGAGATTGCCAAAGATGAACTATTGCCAAGGAGAATGAGGTATGGTTTTCAGGCCAACAGTATTTACTTTTTTACAGTCCTGCCAGAGATCCAATTCCCTCCGGTGCTGAGCCTGCGTTAAGAAGGATGCGTTGGGGATCATTGAAGGTGGGTTGGATATTTTTCATTCAGCGAAATCTTTTAGAGCCGAAGCTATGATCATGCTGGCGATCGACGTGTTCCATTGGGGTACAGCAGAGCTGAAGCTTCGCAACAGTATTCCAGCTTGGACCGAAGGTATTGTGTATAAAAAAGTTCTTATAGTGATTTTAGGGATCATTCGTTGCCACCTCGAGACAGATACCGACGAGCATCCGGGAGAACAGATTATGGGGGTCGGTATGAGGGACGTTATCGAGATCGCGAGCGAGAAGACTGGAAGGACCGAGAATTCCGGTAAGTTTTGAAAATACATCCTAAAATGGTGTGTATTCTAGGGACTCGCGAGACACAGAACGATATCGAGCTGATCTGGAAAGGGATGAACATCGTGACAAGTATAGGTGGGTATTAAATGGGTTGTCTGAATCCATGCCTAATCTTTCAGGAGTCGAGATTACTATGAACGCAGAGATGAGCGATACCCAGAAGATAGAGAGCGAAGACGTTACCCCCACGATCATCATTCTCACCATAACGGCTATCAAGATGACTATCCAAGACGGAGGTAAAGAATAAAACTAAAACTGACGATTGAATTAAAACATAAACAAGATATCTCAATTTTGGATCTGATAATTTTTTTCAGCGACGATCTGCACCACATGGCCTCAGAAGATCGTGGATATTATGGCAACGAGCCAGGCCCAAGCACCGGATATCCAATGCCGGCTTCTCATCCGCAGCAGCTCCCACAGCAACAACAAATGGGACAGCAACAACAACAACAACAACAACAACAGCAGCAGCTGGGCGGACGACCGTTGGCCGAGATAGCGTAAGTTAGGATGATAGCTTGCTCATTTTTGCGTGTTTAGCTCTGCTCCTCAAATGGGTCCCCAGGCAGGGATGATCGGTCAAATGAGCGGCAACATACAACCTGGATCAGCAATGACTTCCCAAATGGCACCCACACATCCACCACCTTTGATGAATCAGGGGTCCGCTGCGCAACTTGTCCAACCGGTACGCTAAAGATAAAATATTAAAATATAGGCATACACAAATTCGGTCTTCTAAAATAATACTCAAAACTAGTGATGGGGATATTTAGGTGCAAGCCGCCTAAATTAGAGGATTTGATTTGGCCTCTGGATTCTTGAAATCGATAAATTTTCGGATGCAAAACAGAGACACATATCGGGGTTTTTAGAAGCATAGAAAAGTGCACCTTGTTTGCAACTTGAATAAAATTTTGAAATTTGCCTAACAACCAGACCATTAATCAGATGTCCAGATTTGGGCACGGTTCTGACTTTAACAACACGCTCACTACTTAAAACATTGACCTTTGTAGATGCAACAAATGAACCTTGGTGGGCAACCGTCGGGTATTGACTCGTTACCACAACAAGCTCCCTTCGACCCGACCCGTCTAAACGGAATGCCCACCCGAAAAATGGTCGCCAAATTCGATTATGATTCAAGGCAATTGAGCCCAAATGTCGACGCTGAACAGGTATTTACAAGAACATGCCCATTATTTGATGTGATAGGTTGAGCTGTCGTTCCGGCAAGGTGATATCATTGTCGTCTATGGCGATATGGACGAGGATGGGTTTTATATGGGAGAGCTGAATGGTATGATATATATCGCTTATCTAGAAGAATCTAAATTTTTAGGCCAGCGTGGTCTTGTGCCCAGTAACTTCTTACAAGGCAGCCCGCTGAACTCGTTGGCCCCGTCGCAGCCCACCGATCCGATGGTGATGAAGAAAGGTGTAGCTTTCTCTGATGCCGCGTCGGTTGTTGCGATGGCCAAAAAATCACTGCCAAATCGGCCGCTGAATCAACAGGGCAGCGGCGGAGCCACAGCTACGGTATCCGCGGGGAAACCAGTGCAGAAGAAGAGCACAGCTTCGGTAAGTCATGAAAAAAGTTTCACCACTATTTTCTACATGAATATTTAACTTGTATTGGTTGTTTTAGGCCCCTGGTGGTACAAAGCCGCTTGCCAAAAAGTCTTCCGACGTTTCCGGCGGGAAATCAGCCGCACCCGCCCGGAAAACGAGTACGGCCGTCAAAAAAGATGCGCCAAAGGTATAATAAAAACAGGAAACGCTTAAATTAAACGCTTTTAGAAAAAATAACTGCCCCCCACCAACCGTCCGGTCGGAAGTGAGCTTGATCTAAAAGTGCCTCCCATTGCATTCATTTGCTAGGTTTAATACCTGCCCCTCTCACCCCAAAACTCGCTTCATCGTTTGCGAATCACTCTTTTTCTCAGGTTCATTTCTAGGTTATAAATTCAGCCCCTATAACTTTCTCTCTGCAAACAAATACCCGGTGGTCATTCTTCATTCCCTTCCGAAACAGTGCTCCCCTCTGCCTCCATTTTAGGGTCATTAAATTCCTTCGACGCAAATATTTAATAATATACCACAAAAAAAGACCAAATTCCATAGTATTTCCTAGTCAATAGTGGCTTATGAACGTATTGTATTCCAATGACCCTGCCCAAGCCCGAGAACCAAATCTCCAACCACACCGCATCTTCACTTGAATTTAACCGTTTATGTTTTTAATAGAGAATGTTATTTATTAATTTATTATTTATTTCTTTGCGCACCCTACCCTGCCGTGGCCAAAAACGTGATTGCAATGGCCGTGACGGCGAGAGATGTGACATATTCTTAAAAGAGTTTTTATCCCCCTTATTTATTATTTATTGCAAATTGGCCGTGTATCTCTACAAGCTGAGACGGCTACAATTGCTCTTTTGGTTTTTCTATTTATTTACTTTTATTGCTGAAAGTATGCATTGAGAGTCATATTTGGGAGTAATAATAAAATATATGATTCCGTCGGATTGGTGGCATGGAAATATGCAAAAACTACATGGATGTATGCAATGCAAGACAAACACAACTCGAAAAATTGTTGCTATCAGTAGTTCATTTCTTTGTTATAATATTTTTAATTATAAATGGCGCTATCTGAAACTTTACGCATTTCGATAAACTTTCACGTTTGTACTTTTTATACATCAAGATCCGCAAATTTTTATTGACGTATTGTATTTTTTTAAATTTACTGTAAATCGGATTTCTCCAAAAAAATCTTTTCAACCATATTTCTTCAAACAATTACGACATGTAATTCTTTATGAATTATATAATCGTTAATTTAGGAAAGCATAGCCTCTTCCCAGTTTGCGTCTGCTTACACGTTGAATACTTGCGATAAATTCTACTTTTTTTGATTTCCCGCCTAGCATTAGTGTGTCAATTTTTGGTGACATATCTGCCAGTGCAGTCCGATAGAGTGGGCTAGTGGGGGGCTAAGAGAGACCGGGACACGCACGCGCACCTCGCCGCATTCCCTCCGATGCGTCGCGCGTATTTGTGTATGCGCTACATTCAATTTGCCTACAACATTAAAATCCCCCAAAGGTCCTCGAAATTAACCAGAAAATCATTCAAATTTCGCACATCGATGGCCCGCGTCATTTAGTCGCATTTCCGCGCCACTCCGCCTCCTTCCACCTCGATTCTCATTGATTTTCCGCCGTTCCCTCCCCAAAAACCAATTTCAATTTTGCAGCTCGGGCCATCCCCCGACTGCCTCTGAATGTTAAGGTGTAAAGGCCGAAGCAAAACAACATAACAACATCATGGCTGAAAAGCGTAGATTATTTGGCGAAATCGAAAAGACCTTTAAGAAGGTAAGTCCCTCGTACGTGATTTTATTACTAAAAACCCAATGTTCAGATCGATGAAGGCGTGGAAGAATTTGAGACGATTATGTCAAAGATGCAGGACGCAAATTCTGACAACCAACGGGACAAGTATCAGGATGATCTCAAAAAAGAAATTAAAAAATTGCAAAGGTGGGTCCAAACCTAGAAATTAATAGGTATCTTTGCAGGTTGCGGGACAACGTTAAAAATTGGCAAAATAATCCGGATATTAAAGACAAAGATAAGTTGATACAATACCGGAAAACGATTGAGCAACGGATGGAACAATTCAAGGTCGGTGGAAAATGTATTTGACAAATTAGATATTTAGGACATTGAACGAGAAAATAAAACGAAACCACATTCCAAAGTTGGTCTCTGTGCGGAGGAGAAGATGGATCCGAAAGAGAAGGAAAAGATGGAAACAACGGAATGGGTACAAGTAAGTCCTACTTTACTGGATTTTGCAACTGTTAGGCGCGGCAAGACCCTAAAATCATCACAACCATTTACAGAGCATGATCTCCGACCTCAACATGGAAGTGGATCGAACGGAAACTGCGCTAGAATCTTTAAATCAAACTGATACTGCAACGAAAAAGGGCCGGAAAGGAAAAGAGGACAAAAAGGGAGGAGATACAGTGGTATGCTATTAATAATAAACTCAGTATAGCCTGCCAATTTCCAGAAGAAGGCCGAAGATTTGCGGAAGCACCACGAGCGAATGCAATTTCATATCCAACGGTTAGAGGTAGAGCAGCTTCCTTGACACAAAAATCAACGCTAATTTTTAGTTGTGTATGAGGCTTGTTAACAATGAGACCCTAGAATCGAGGCAAGTAGCCGAGACGTTAAAGGTGGGATAGTGATTAATTTTTTATTGCAACCACTCCTTCCAGGACCAAGTCGAAATGTATGTGGCTAGTTTGGATCCTGACTACGATGGTGAAAACGGGCCCTCGGATACGTTGGACCCTGAATGTAAGGAATTTCTCAGCAGGTGTGGAGAAAGGAATTTCAGCGGCGTATGAGGAGCTGGATCTCGGCTCGTATGCGACGACGTTGGGCGGTGTTGTGCACGTCTCTTCGATTGATCACGATCCACACAGCGAGCATGACAATGGTATGCAAATTAGGATTCATATTAATTTGTTTCAAAGTTGAATTGAATCAACCTAAGATTATAAGAGGTCTAAAAAACTTCATCAGTATCTGTAAAAAAAAACAAAATTGTTGTGGGAAAAGTCTCGAAGCTCGAAATCTTTGCTTACTTTACTTCTCAGGTATTCTCCCCCACCACGTTTTTGCCGCATTTATTAGATACCTTCGAATACTGTATATAAAACATGGCTCACGCTTACGCTTTTCTGAATATGCTCAACTTTGAAATGTACAGGCGGCTACCACGAGAATGGCTCAGTACACGAGGAGGATCACGTGAAGTCACGGCACGGTAGCGCCGAGGCAGCTCCCCTCAGCCCCGTTATCAAAAAGACGACTGTTGCACAAAAGGTGTCAAGGTATGCCACAGCACCTCCAATGACAGCCAATCAATTCCGTTTTCTAGACAACTCTCCACCGATACAAGCTCGGTGGGCCCACCACGCGACCAGGAGAAGAACGTTTCCCCCGCCCCCGCAATAGCACCACCAACCCCAGTGTTGCCATATAATTCGGTTGCCGCCTCTGGACTACGATCAACGCCACCCGTTTCTAGTGAGTCATTTTTTGACGTAGACTCTTCGGCCGCTTAGAGAAACCCTTTCCCCTCTTTGCCCTAATCTGGGCGTTGTTCGCAGCCCTTAGTTCCTACATCCCCCCCCCCCCGCTTTCCCGCGATTCGGATTAACGAGCCAGCTTGTCTGTAATGGGCAGCTTTCAACCTTCAAGCGTCTTGACAAATATTTTTTCCCTCCCCATTACGACATATTAATCTCGTTCCGGACGACAACGGTTTCCGGTGATGATGCAATCGAATAGACTATGAACTCGGGACTTACTTAAAATAGCGCCAATCGGAACACCAGCTTGTTTCAGGCCTGCGATATGAATTGTCCGTGCCGGGAAGCAATTAGGAATTATTGAATATCAACTCTCAAGATTATATGACCAAATGCAAGCGTATTCTGCTCTAATAATTGTTTGGCCTACTCGCACAATTTAGAAATGCTTGATTGACTTACGCTAAAAGGCCTGGCTTACTTCTAAAATTTCTCACAAAAAAACCATTTCCTTCCCCTTCCGACCAGACCGAACATTATGGTTCTATTCTTGGGGAAACCTTTCATTCTAGCGTGGGACTGGTTTCCATGGATTTTCGCGCCGCTTCCTAGTACCCCAAATGCCAGGTTTTCTTTTAGATACTGCCGGAATATCACCAAAATCGCAAAGCAGTAAGCCGCCCGCGTTGAGCACCGTTGCCCCACCGGCCAATTTGGAGCCTCCCGTCCCATCACCCGGTACTCAATTTTTATCACTATGCTAATTAATGTCTTTTTTAGTTTTAACAGCACCACGGGAACAGCTGCCAAAACCTGCAGAAACGTCTCCGCAAAAAGTTCAGGTATTCGATAATACCTTAGCAAATACAAATTCAGCAGCCGGAAGACACAGCGCCAGCACCCGACTTGAAGCTCAGCCAGGCTGAGTTGACGATGAAAACGTTGACACAACCATTTGCCAATATCGAAATAACTTCTAGTAATAACACTGCTGGACATGTTGATGTAAGTAGAAAAACAGCAAATAATAGGTATTTTTTCAGGCACTTTTATCGAATACGGAACTGCAACCAACCCCACCGCATTTGACATCCGCGGATTTGGCCATGCATAATAATGGTAAGTAATATATCAAATTTTTGCTATAGCATTTGTCAAGCCAGATTCCAAACAATAATGTTGAATATTTTTAGTCATGCATCATACTGGGCTGCACCATAACGAGACGTTACGGCATATGCTTCAAAAATCGCAGAACAACTTGAAGCCTCGGAGTGGCGAGCCGCAAACGGTAAAATATCCCATAACTTTTCTTTGAAAAATGGTTTTTAGGCTTTAATACCGCCGTGGCTTGGTGCTTCTCCTCTCGGTCGAGCACCACATTCAATCGATCTCGACGCACAACAACATGCTGTAGATATGGTCATGGTTCGCTGTCCACCACCGTTCGACTCTGAAAAACCGAGGTAATTACAATGATCAAACGAATATGGTCCTACCCTACAACTTTAGATCCTACCTGCCTAAAATGCCAATGACAACCAGTGCTTGTTATCCACAATCATCACCACCAGCTTCCGACACCGTTGAATACTATCTACGACTCACACCGGAATCGCTGTTCTTTACTTTTTATTATATGGAGGTCAGTCAAATCGGTTCAACTTCGAATTACCTTTCTCAGGGCTCTCGAGCGCAATTGCTGGCTGCGAAAGCATTGAAGCGCCTTTCCTGGCGTTTCCACACAAAATATCTGATGTGGTTCCAAAGGCATGACGAGCCGAAAGCTATCACCGATGATTATGAACAGGTCAGTCGTTGAAAACAACAAAAATCATACCTCAATATTTTTATAAGAGTTCATTTGATTTTTTGGAAAACTAAGAAGCCAGAGTTCATTTTGTCGAGTTTTCAATAAGCTGAAATTCAAATTTTCTACATGTTTGGATTAAATTTCGACCAGATTAAGTCTTGACAAGGTTAAAACCGCGACAAAATCATTATCGACAAAATGAATTGTAGACCTACTAATAGCAACTCATTCTAGGGTACCTACCTCTATTTCGATTACGAGAAATGGGCCCAACGGAAGAAAGAATCTTTCATGTTCGAGTACAAGTACTTGGAAGACAAGGATTTCGACTAGAACCCTCCCGCGAATCTCTTTCAACCAAAGCTGTCTCTTTCAACAACAAATTCCTTACACTATACTCCTCAATCTATAGCCTCCCCCCTCCCCAAATCTCACCTAGAAATGCCTTTTTTTTTGATTCCGGGGAATTGCACGCAAAACTTACTGCAAAATCCTGGCTTATCTACCTCAACAAACCAAAAGTGTTTTGCATTTTGTTTTGCCGAGGCAATTCAACCCTTTTTTTCCAAACTTTTTTGTTGTCCTACATTATAATATCGTGTCCCTCCACTGAGCTGGTCCCATTTTCCGCGTTGTTTTAACTGTTTATATTCTTTGTTTCTGTGCAGTATTCCTCTTTCTTTTTGAATATATATAGGACGGTAGCGCGTCTAGTGTGATGACGGGTGTCCGCGTCTATTTTGCTGGACGCCCAACCAATCTTACCCCCCAGTCCTTTAAAATACCGGTAGAGTGGATGGGGTAGGATGCACAGATACAAAAAGGTGGTATTTTCATTTGATTAACGTTTACAAAGGCGGCATTCTATCCCAACACTTTGGCCATAAATAACATCAAAATGGTCGCTTCGCCTTTCCTCCCCGGAAAAGCCAGTACCCTCAATCCCTTCCTCCTCACCGTTCTTCCGGCCAATTCGTGCCTTTGGGTCTCGAGCATTGTTTTGATGTTTTTCTTCGTTACCGAAACTTCCAGGGGGATATCGCCTTCCACATCAACCCCCCGCTTCTCCCGGTTGCAAGGTTATGGTTACGTGGCACAGATCGTTTTTGTACATATTCGAAATTCATGAAAAAGCCTGTACTGTACTATTTTCTGCGTCTAGTCGGCACTTACTGCTGGTGTTTGCCTAGCTTCAATCCATCCGATCCATGTATCCATCAGCCTTGTACCCTGGAACCAGGCGTTTCAGCCCATCTCACTTTGGTACGTGTTCGCTTCTTTTAATGCCACCGCCGTTCACATGTTCTTCCCCACTCCTCATTCTCCACCCTGTTCTCGTCTGCGTGCTCTCGGTGGTATTCCGGCAAAAATTCCAATACTTTTTGGGTACTTTGAATTTTGGTACCGCACAATTTCACCGCTCATAATGTTTTGCCTGGCGGTATCGAAATTGCGAGGTGTATTCCGTTCATATAATTTTGTCATTGGGTCCCCGAAGCCCGCAGGCTGGCTAGGGCGGCGCTCCAAGTGTTTTGCGGGTGCACAAGGTAACGCTAGAGACTCGAAGCTTGGCACCGTAGTCATCAACCCAGTTTTGGCTCAGGGATTGTTTGCATTGGTCCGGGCGCACTTCCTTTTTTTGTCAATGTCAGCTTTAGCGAACAAGTTGTTGGGCTAGCCATTTTTTGGAAAAATTCTGCGGTCGGCGGGGCTCGAAAGAGCCCCCAGATCTAGCGCCAAATTTCACAAAAACAAATCAAAAAAACAGAGGGTTCGAAAGAACCAGGGCATCAGCTGATCTTCTTTCCTCCCATTCTTCCATCTCCGAGCTAGGACCTGTGAAGATTCTAACATTAGACTTTTCACATCGTGTATTGTTTAGAGTTTTCACGGGTATATAACAAAATGATTGTGGTATACCAATAAAGGAATATTTCAAAACAAAAACAACAACAGAGTACTGAAGGGGAAAAGACAACATTTGGATCATATTGAAGGTGTTTATTGGTGGGCGGGGGTGGGAGAGGGATGTAAATTGGAGCACCACGTTAGCCGTTATACGGTGTATAATGGAATGTATGTTTGGTGGCGGTAAAGAGGGAGAAGCTGGAAAGGATCACCGGCCTGGACCCGAGTGGGTGATTCGAAATTGCTGAAGATAATTCTGGCTTTTGCTGAGATTCGTGATGTTGCTGAGTTTTTGCATGATTTCAGCTGCAAGTACCAGTCTTATCTACAGCCTGAGAAATATAAAGGGAAGACTAGAAAGTGAGCATTTTTGTTTTGCCGTTGTGGCAGAAGATTTTGTAGAAATATTCTAGACATCAAGAATGTTTGGTTCATAACAGGAAAAATCGGGTGATACCAATTTAATTGCATTCAACGTTAAAATCACACCTCGTTGAGACTAAGCAAACTATTTTGAGGCTGATTGATTAACTAATATATAATATATATGCTTATATAAAACCTGGTATCACCCGAAGAGAGGAACTTATGTACAATATAAGCTATAAAATGAAAAATCCATCAGTCGTCCTCTTTTTCGTCAAATTTTGGCATTAGTGTATGCCATTGGACGACCGGCCGTTTCGACTGCATCATTTCGGCCCATTGAGCATGACATGACGCTGTCACATTTGGAACATCAAGATGTCGAGCAGCGAGGACCACCTATGAAATTCGATTTAATGTTTCTAATCGCAAATCCTTCACCTCTCCAATAAAATCGTTTTTGCTCATTTTATCGTAGTCCCAGACACTAACAACCAAGTGCACCCTCTGAATTTGCATAATTTTCTTGGTTTCTATAGACTTACATCCATCATCACCGGTTCCACCTTAAACTGAAAGCTTTCGTTGTAGTAGGGATTTAGTGTTTTATATTTCTTTGACGTCTTCTTCTTCCCCAACAATTTGGCTCCATGGAATAAGTAGATTTTGACGTATGGATCTAAACAAGCTTTGAAAACGTAGAAATAATCTACCGGAAGAGCCACCGACATCCATTTTCTTTAAATTTCTGGCTTCCATTACAGTTATTGTTAATGTTCCAGTGGCCGGACGGTACCTAGTCGAAAAGCAAATATCACCAAGTCGGGATTCCTGAATGCAAAAATTGTAATAAATCCGAGTGCAGCTACCGCATCATTGTCACTCTCTGGTTTGTTTAAATTCCTGGTAAGTTCTGAGGTCTGGCCCCAATCCACACTCTCCAGCGGAATTGAAATTTGCCCTACAAAAGCCGATTTAAATATGTGCCTAGAAGCTTACCTATTCGGTCGTCCTTTGAGAGTCGATCATAATCATACATCACAATTTGCAACGATTTACTTTGCAGTTCATTAAATGGGATCTAAACTTATATAAAGAAATGGCCGAGTCGGTCACTCACTGGAAAATAGAACACCTCATTATAGACTGGGTTCAGGGTGTTCCGGATAAATTTCGTTTGGAATTTTTGCTTCTTCTCAGGCATCAGATAGAGTTTGACGTAGGGGTCTGACATTCCATTACTGTCCATGGCGGGAAGATCTCGAGCTTCGATGACGGTGACGGCCAGCTGAAAGTGTATCGCTATGTTTCGGTACCTAACAAGTCAAAAACGCGTTTATATCAGCTCACCGCGCTTCTGGTACCTTCTAACAGAGATTTTCATCAACAACCTAATTTTAATAGCAAAAATGATTTTTCTGTAAAAATCCCCACCCCGTTCTACACCTAATGGCTTATCTTCCTAATTCAAGAAAGCTTTTCTGAGGCTCTGGATGCGGTAAAGCTCGGGGAAGTGTACCTGCAATCCAACACAGACAAACACTATTATCGAAATATATACCCTAGATTCTTGTAATGACCCTGATTCTGCGAAGAAGAAGCAAACACTTCATCCACACCTTTTACGCTCTATTCCCTGGCGATTTTTGACCTCCAAAACAACTTGTAGGAACTTTTGTTGATTCATTCGGAGGGAAGCCATGTCTTTCTTCCGGAAATGCTCGTGTCGAAGGGGAAAGAGGGTCGCTAATTTAACTAGGGCCCGTATTTCGCCGGACTGGAAGGGGAGCACATCCATTGCATGTTGGAAAGGGCGTGACGTATTCTGGAGAGGGGGGCAGGAAGGGATGTTGCGAGGAGAAGGCCATCGGCTCACAATGTTGAGAGCCGTCCAACCATGGCTACGTTGACGGGGTGAAGATGCGTGAAATAGCATTTCCGCGTGTGTGGTCTGCCCTCTGTTTTTTTTCTATGAAGAGGGCCGAATGGCAGCGGATCTTTTCGAGAAAACCGGGTGTTTTGGGTTGTGCGAAAATCTATCTGCCCTTCTTGTGTGGGCGCCGCAAAACAGCATTATTAGGGGGAGGCGCCATTTAATCTGAATATTATTGACGATTAATTTTTGTGTTTCGTTCTGACATCAGGGACCAAGTGCAATATGCCGCACATACACTTCCTGCTAAGGATCTCCGTGATTTCATCTTATCCCCCGATAATGCCAAAGAACCCGAGTTGAAACGGTTTTTAGGGCATAAATTGTGTCCCTCCTACTGTAGTTTTATGCTGTTTCCAGGCGGAGCCGAATGAGATGGATATCGTTTAAATCCATCCATCAACCCTAATACGTAGCTATCTGCAATATTCCGCACGCCTAGATTGTGGGTCTGCCCGGGGGAACGCGCTTCTATGAATTCAAAATTTTATGCCGTTCCTACGGGTGTGATGGGCCCCGGGCCGCGACATGTGTAAGATTGTTTTCAGAGCGGCCCCTCTCATGTTCTGGGTGCCCAATTTACATCCAAATATGGGTCTGATGCTGCTCGTTTGATGGCAAATCGGCGGCTGCTCAAACAAGGGGCTTGCAACGCATAGTGAAAACCTAGCGTCGACAAAAAATCCCGGCTTTTTCAACAACTAAGTATCATGGAGAAGAGTTGGGCCTCAATGGATCCCTTAGGCCTTTCATTTAATCCATAAATTCATCAAAAAAATTTTGAAAGAAGGCACACTAGCGAAGCGAAAATGAGAGCATCACCACATCACACGGAGAGCGTGACTACTGTCCATTGCCATGCTACCCCCCCCCCAAATGGCCCGTCTTTTTCGCCACTTCTCGCCTTTCAAACAGCTATCCGACCCTGTTCCCCTCCTAAAAACAGCCCATATTTTTGCGGTAACTTCCCGGCGGAAATTGTAGTTGAACGGCTTCCGCGGGCCTTTCTCCCAGGCTCTTTCGGGACCCCCCGACAGACCCCCGCCACCAATATGGCTTCAGAAATTAGAAGCAAGATTGGAAGAATGACGTTGGTTGACCGGGGAAGGGAGCCTCGACTCCGTCAAAGAATAGTCATCAAATCCGACATTATCGAAGAAGAGGGATGGAGGGGCAATGAAGAGAATGAAAGGCCGATTAGGAAGAGCAGCTCTTCGGGCTCCCCCCCGCACTCCTCCCAATCAAATCTCATTCAAAACTCTTGGTGGATAGCCCCGGGGGCTTACATTGGAATTAGCCGTGTCCTCCGCATCCCAGATGCTCTCATCCACCCCCTGCCTCTCCTTACTACTCTAGAGAAGAAAAACGGGGGACGAACATGCAGAAAGCGCATGGCAACCGCGGGGGATTTTCCTGTAAATACACGAAATGACATTTCCTCCGCCTTTTTGCGTAGAGCATTTTGGCTTTGTTTAGAGAAGCGGGTGTAGTCCTTTCTTGCGACGCACCCCGGCCGCCCATCTTATCTTAAGCGTATTTTAAGGGGCTCTAACCGTGTCCAGGGACGCCCAATCGATGTTTATCGCGCCGGACGCGATTGTTCCGGCGGGTAAAATAAAATTCTCGAATTTCAGTTCGCACACCGTTTGCCCTGGGGCCGTGTCCGGTATAACGGGGAAAAGGGGTATTGGTGGCAAATCCTCCCTAATCCGAATTTCTTTCAATAAAATGGCGCCTTCGCTGAATTAGGGTGGTCCGGCCCGGTCAACCGGAGGCAGCTTATCCTAATACCCTCCACGGTTCGAGAAAGGCGCCTTATTTCGTTCGCATTTCAGGTTTGGGGGAAATGGGAATCGATGGATTTTGGGAGGGAAGAGGGCGAACGTGACTCCCGATAAAAAGATGGCATATATTCTCCCAGCCATAGACGGAATGTTGTTTGGGGTTAGAGGAAAGTGTGGGAAAAGCGCCCCGACTGCTCTTCCAATGTGCCAAATCGGCGCGATAATCGAGAGCATCGGGCCAACAGCCCTTTGCCCCTCGCCGCAGAGGGTGAGTGGAGCTCTCCGGGGAAAACGCGCTACATAATTCAGCTAGATTTTGTGCATAGGCATTCGGAACCAACACCAACTGCCCCCCTTTCCAACATATTGACTTTTTTTGCGGGGTGCTGCGAAAAAAGCGGCTGAATGCCTGATCCAGAGATGGGATGTCAATACGGAACGGTGTCGGCGTCGTGCAGTTCCGGAAAATCAATCGACATGTGTTCCTCTTTTCCTCCCCAGCAAAAACTACTCCTTTCCCGCTCACAAATTACGCGATTCGGGTTTTTGGGGCAAAGGGCCCAGGCGGCTGAGTCGGGTCTCCAATTCTCCCAGATACCAGGCGGGCCCTCCGTCGTCCACCAGGGGCCCTAATGCCCCTTCCGGCAAAGGAGAAAAAGAGTGAGGGACAGAACGAAAGGCAAAAGGATTTGTTGGACTCTTGAATTTTTAGGGTAAAAACAACTGAAGTATATTTAGGAAAGACTGACCTGGCCGTGTTCAAAGTTATAATCGAGCTTGAATCGGATCTCCCCGTAGTTTTTGGTTTCCACCTCCAGTTCACAGCTCGCAGGTTGGACGGTTAGGGGTTTTGCGTATGTCGGTATTCCTCCACGTCCCAGTTCCAATCTGGCTTGTGGTGTTGGCTAAAAAAAATACCATATTTTCGGTGTTTAAACAGTTAAGACTTTTTTGGTCTCGCAATTACGAGCGCTTGGCGGATAAAATTTCCGAAAAGTACTAATTACAGAATGTCATTTTCTGGTTCTTTAGCAAACGTCAGGTTTGCAAGGCACTCCTTGGATGGATACTGTAGGTTGATCAGGAAACAACCGGAAATGAGTTTCGGAATAGGCAATACCGGAAATATCTTGTTATTCCTAAATAATTACCCGGGAAGGTGCCTTTCGGATCGGGCAGCAGGTTGAAAAAATTTTATAGACTGGCGAGCAGACGACAGCTCCGGTGGCCCACATCGCTCAGATTGGGTGCGTGGTGTGTTATCACGACAACAGCTCACATGGAATGAATTGAGACTTTGTATTGAAATGAGTGAAAGGAGGTAGAGGGGTAGATGATCCGGGTGAAGAGGAGGAGGAGCACTGGACGTCGCCGGCTTGTCAAGTGCCGCACAATGACGCGGTGGCCGTGGGCCTGGGCAATAAAGAAGACCGCGTCTCCTCCCAGTCCCGCCCTTCACCCCGCCCCTTTGCCATGTTATCCCATGCCCCCAACACACCGTACCGCCGCCACCAAATAATTTGAGCTGCTGCAAATCAGCGGCTCCGATGATGGCAAGCACCGCGGAAAGTTCGAATGAAGCCGCGTGCTCATAGGGAGACGGTTTTATTTTTCTGGGAGTTTTCGATGTGAATTGATGTGAATTTTCAAAAACCGCTGAATGACAACGGCCTCCGAGTGAAATCACCAAGGTCTGCACTTCGTTATAGGCGAGCCAAAAATAAGCATGAGCTTTATGAGGGCTCCTTTTTCCGTGCTCATAGTCATTCACCCGGCCTGCATCATGGACAGACCACACGTGTATTTCACTGATAATTAGATATTACAATATATTACAATATATTACCACATATTATATTACAATATATAAAACAATAATGTTAATACCTCTCTCACTCTCGCTCTCACCCCTCTCTCTCTATCGCTGTCTCTCCGCTCTCTTTCTACCTCTACATGCATCTTTCTCGTTCTAAATCTCCCTCTATCACCGCTCGTGTTAATTGAGCAGCAGCGAGCAAAGCTATCCTTGCCGACAAAGACAATTGGCTCATGGTACAGCAGGCAAACAGTACATTTTAATAGCGGTGTTCTGGAAACGATGTGCTTCTGTGATCTTCCAGAATTTGGTCACATGGTGATTTATACAACTGATAAGATGGAGTACGCGTCCAATCTTACTTGTTCCAAGCCTTCATAAAAAATAGATTGTTGACAGCCGACGTAAATAGTCTAACAAGGAGTGCTTTTTTGAGTCATCGGCAAACCCTTACGTGACCTGCTCATTCGATAGAGAATTCGATTCTGAACAAAACCCCGTTGTTCTTTTTTGCCGTATGGCTATCCCTGATTTTATAAAATTTTAAAACTGCACCGAAAAGCCTCTCTTTTGGCTCGAAAGGCACTCATGGTAAGAGACGGTCACCAGTATTTTAAAGGGCTGCTGACGGCATGTGTCGAACCCCCCTCATCAACAAATTGGCAAGTAGCCAACAGGGGAGAGAGCGCGCCCAGGGGAGAGGCGCAGAGACATTTTCTTTTCCGCGCGTAACCGATTGACTATGCCGTCGGCATCCCTTTAATTTTATAGCCATTCTGCAAAAAAGAACAACGGGGTTTTGTTCAGATTTGAACTCTCCATCGAATGAGCTAGGTCTCGTAAGGTTTTGCCGGTGACTCAAAAAAGCACTCCTTGTAAGGCCTATTTCTTCTTCTGATCGTAAAAAATTTCGAAGTCGTTTGCATTAATGGGTTTATCGATTGTCGCGAGTTTCTCAGTGACAGATGTCTTTATGCGAAAAATCGGATCGAGCTGAATATCAATGTTGCATCGCCGATTACTGATTGCTGATAACAAAACCAGCCATGTTCAATTCGTCCATCTATCCTATTTCATCGTAGTACTGCCAGTAATGCTGTTTGCAATAGCACCATATCAAACACGCGGCGTTATTTTTCAAATAGAATCTGTGCCCGCTCTCGCCACAGGTGTACTCCGTAGCTCAACGTCTCTCCCTTTCTATTGCCATCTTTTGATGTCGTTTACATGTTCGGGAATCCGTTAAATTTATCAAAATACTGAAAATAAGTTAAATTAACGGATTTTTAAAAAGTGTCGGGTTTGGATACTGGTGGCTTGCCGGTGATTTACCCATGCATGACTAGCGGATTTGAAATCTGCAACGAAGGGGAATCCTTTATATTTTCGCATACTTTACGCACTTTCCTGTTGCTTAATTTGACTTCAAATTCAATATTATGTATTTTCAGGCACTCGAATAAATGGAGCCCGCACAATTGGGGGAGTTAACAAATCGTCCGCGGCCGCTCATCCTTTTTACCGGTAAGTCATCCTAAGCTCGGTCAATATGTATACCATCAAGGTCTCGATCTCTCAAATCGCCCTATTCACTTCAATCTGGTGAATGAATTTCGGCAACGAGCCTCTGAACTGCCACCCTTTAATATTCGAGCCCTGGTTAGCGGCGAAGAACTGCCGCATCATCAAAAAAGATCAAACAAGGGCAAAGGATATTTGAGTAGAGAATGGCTGGAGAAGTACAGAAATGAGGTCGGTTATTCCGGTTGCCAATAACAAGTAGCGAATACGTTTAGGTGCCTGCACTTGTCGTACTGTACCTCGATTTGGATTGGGATCATCCGAGTTGGAGGGAAAAGCTTTTGGAAGCGAAGGGGAAGGTGGAGAGCCTTCGAAGTTTCCAGGAACACTATAAGAGCAATCTGATTGTGGTTTTACTTCAAGAAAAGTAGGAACAATTTGTTGGTGAGTAAGATTTGAACTTCAGGATTGCCACCTACCCGGCAGAGGCTCAGCATCGTTCCGATGAATTTTGTTTAGAATGTCGTTTGACTCCTAAGCAGTTGTTTGTAATTCGAACTGGTTAGTACACATAAAACACCTATGAGAATTGTAACTTTTAGGTTCCGAGTTAGTGACTTACGTCCATAAACTCGGGAATGTTTTTCACGAGATGACTCCCACTTTCTATCAATCGAGACAAAAAGTTGTACGAGCTCGGGTGATCCCGCACAATTCTGTGCCGCTCCTGATACGTCAGCATTTCAAACTAGGATTTCTTGCTGAATTCCGGCAAGATACACATACAGCTCTGAGGTATGTTAATTGTAACCGCTTTTGATATTGTTTAGATATTACAAAAGTGCATACGATCACTGCTTGAGCGAAAGGTTTTCCGCCGAAAATAGGGATCAATATGAGCTGCGGAATGTTGCGTCCTTACTTACATATAAGGTAGCGTATACAAAAAAATTTGTCATGTCTTTCAGATATTTGATCTCAACTTTGCTCACAACGCGCCAAGGGAGGCGATCAACTTTTTCAACAAGCATATGGTAAAAAACGCGTTTTAAAGGGTGTAAAATATGGGTTCTGTAGGTCGACTTTTTCCACAATGACCCTGGTGCCATACCTACTAGATCACTGGCTCAAGTTGAATATGATTGGTGGCGGAGCGCACAGGTAAGACGACAATTGAAAATACGCTTACGTTTCTTTAGGCAATGAACTTTGCAAACCTCTTTGATCGGGCAGTGGCTAACGGGTTGACAGCCGTTGCTGGTGTTAATCCAGGTGCTATTCGCGCCTATTGTAAAGAAAAGCCTTTAGGAACTTTCATCGAAATTGCTGCCCACTACTACGGTTCGGCGAATCGGACAATTTCTGAAATCAAAATAAACCGCCCACATGTCGCATACCCGCAACCGGACCCGCTAATCGCTGCCAAGTCGGTATGAAAGCTAAAAAAATCCTAGTCACGAAAATTAAAGGAATTCTTTGGTCAGCGCGCACCAGCACTGACAGGCTCCGTCCCTGATCCACAACTCGTTGTTCGCGCTCTGGAGGTATCGACCCATCAAAACTCCTAAATTCTTTTTAGCTAAAAGCAAATGAAAACTATGCTGCGCATATTGAACTGCTCGAATCGGCCGGAACCCATTTCAAAAAATACGACTGTACCCGGCTGCAGCAAAAGCTGGCTATAGAGGTGTTTTTTGTTGTAAAAACTGTGGAAACAATGACATGTCAGATTGCGGAAGTTTATGCAGCAAGTGGACGCACTAAGGATACGATTAATCAACTCGCTGTCGTTTTGAAGGAAGGGATGCTACCTGCAGAACTTCAAGTGGTGCTTTTGAAAAAGTGGGTTCTAAATTATTTTATAAGCGTTATAAACACTGTATAAATTCTGAATATACATGAAATAACGATGGATTTAGGGTATTGTGGTATGCATACAATGACGTGGCTGTTCCCGAAACATTTCTTGCAGCATTACAATTGGCTAGGGTAAGTTCTTAACAACCCATTGCTTTACTACAAATCATTTATTATTTAGCTTGAACCTCTGAATGATGAAAGAACGCAATACGAAGCTATCGCCGCCGATATATTAAATGGCAAGGCGGCGATCAACCCTTATTCAGCTGATATGGCTGAGGAGAGAGTATGTCTCTATAATTAATACAAATACTTTTTAGAAAAATCAACTTGCACACTTTTGGGAGAACGCAATGTCTCAATTAACCGCGACTGGCCTTAAAGTGAACTGCTCCAAACTGACGACCCTTATCGAAGTAAGCTCAGTGTCATGATTATGATCAAACAATCCCTAATTTAGGTTGCCGCCTCGTTTCCAAATAACAAGACCAAAGTCGACGTGGAAACAGTACCCTGTTGCTTAAAAGTTACCAACTATGGAAACAAAGTGTTAAACTTTAAAGGTATGTATAATCAATTAATTAATGAATCTCAACTTTTAGGCTTCTCAATCTTTTGCGAAATTTACGAGCCATCCGAAAAGCCGATAAAAGGCGTCAAAGGGAAGCAATATCCATTTGCTATCAAAAAGTTTGCCGATTTTTGTTCAAGCAGAGAGATTAAATTAGGGAGGAGATCGTTGTTCCGCCAAATTCAACCAAAAAAGTTGATGTCCGGACTGCTATCAAAGAAAACGAATTGCTCGGCGAGCTATGGAGGGAGAACACACGAATCAAGGTAATGACTGTTGAGTAGATCGTATATGAAAGGATATTTTAAGTTATCGAGCGTTTGGCTAGAAGCCCGCAGTGAATCTGGGATCCCAGTTATGTTAACCTGGGATGACAGTTGCATTTCCGAGAGTCTCGACGATTTTGCTGCAGATGAATTACAAACTCTGAGGTATAAAGTTCTAGACAATGTTTTATAAAGGTTTCAGCATCACGGCTCCATCCGGTGGGATTGTGAATGCGGGTGAGAAGGTGGTGAATTGTTTGCTGGGTGAAGTCTATTCCAAGGAGCTGATTATCCGAAATGATTCGAATATCATCTGCAGTAATGTCAGGTATTGTCAATTTCGGAAGAATAACGGATTACTTCTTTTAGGCTTGAATATATCCCCGGCACACAGCCATCAATCAATTCGCTGCCTGTATTATTTGCTGATGACCAAAACCATTTGGGAGGAGAATTATCGGTCTTCATCACGAATACCCTCAATCCAGGAGAACAGGTATGAATCTATCATCCTGCTAAAGGGATGTATTTTGTAGATGTCCCACAAAGGATTCCGCTTTTCGCCTCAACTCAACGGCAGCATGATTTTGAACCTGAAGGTATATTGGAGTTGCTTAATTAGATGATGTACATTTTAGATGACATATATAACCCCAAAAGGCCAGAAAAAGACCGAAGATTTCCCGATAACAATCATCGCCGATGAGCCTTTTTCAGTTCGGAGCCAGATTTTGACGCCAAGTGTAGGTGCTAAATCGACGAATCATCTTATTTTTAAGGGAATCGGCGTGACGAATGTTTTGAACACCAGCCCCCATCTTCTGAAAGTCGATCTAAAGACCAATGCCACAATACAGATCAAGGATGTTCAGTGGCTAATGGTGAGGTTGAAATAGTTAAATTAACTGTCTCCAAGGCTGACATCGTCGACGATTCGGCCCCCAGGTTGTCGACGCCGGAAGAACATGAAGGTAGAAATGTACCAGGACACACCAAACATAATTTATAGCAATTTTCCGAAAGGATATGGTCGTATCGTACTGTACATCGTTAGTTACAAACGTGAAAAATTACGAGGGAGATGAGACACCTCTGGGTCGGATTGTTGTTTATTGGAAGAGGGCGGATAAGGAAAGGTATGCCTTCAAAAATCATGGTTCAATGGCAGAAAATTTAGCGAAGCGTATGTACGATCGGTTATTCCACTTTGCCGCACCTTCATCGCCAAGTGTCCAATTTCAATCCGTGCTGTTGTCTATTCGAAGACAGCCGAGATGAAGCGACCATTGGATGTGACATATTTCTTATGCAATAACACTAATTCGGTAAGTATTTATAGGCTATTGTATAGATATTTTTATCTTAGCCAATCGACGTCAGCGTGTCATTTGATGTAGCCAATACGTTCTTACTGTACGGACGGTTGACGGTATCTTTGAATGCGCAGTTTTGTATAAGATGACTTAGGAAAATTTGACGTTACTTCCAAACGCTCCCCAGCGAGTAAATATCGCGGTGATGGGACTCTCGGCGGGGCGGTTTTCATTTCCGCGTATTCAACTACGGTAAGGACAAAACAAGATCTAAAGAATGAGTTTCAGAAGCCCCACCATCACCGATAGTGTCATGGTCGACTGTCAACGAAATATCCCGTCGACAATTCATATTGTGGTAAATTTTAAGCACATCTTAACAAGTTTTTGCCTTTATGATATTTTCTGGGTTAGAAACAATTTTTAGTATCCCGACAAACGACAACCGGTCCGCGAAACCTCTCCGAAGATCGCAAATTAGATCAACGATCGAAAACTATTTTTTTTAAATTTAAACTTGCCATATTTATTCTCCATTTATGCCGGACATACGTCCCGATTCCTGCATGGCTTCAGAATATGTGATTTTCGACCGTAGTCAGCACCTCGACATATCTTTTTCCGCCAATATTTATTGTTGTTAAGAAGACTTTGAATCATTTTCGGGTCATATACACTTGTAATTTTTTTCATGGTTTACAGAATATATAATATATAGATCCATTTATGCTAAAAAGGCGAGCATGAAAAATGCATACTAAATTAGGAAAGTGGGAGAAGCGAGAAGAAAAATTGAGTAAATATACTGTCTGAAAAAAACTCGGAAAATGCAAAGGCTTAAATTTGTGTTTTTCCGTATCATATAAAATCAGGATCGCCGAAATTTTGCATCGTCAATTTGCAACCACGTAAAACCCAGATGCCAAAGGTTTTCAAACGTCCGGGCACTATGGTTACCATGACGATCCCCGGCGCCACGATGCAAACCTGCTAATTTGGTGTCCCACATTCATTTTCAAAGTTTCTCTAAAGCAATCGTCCAACCATGCTGGAAATAAATCTAAATCGAACTGATTTTGCGCAAGTCGGGACGACGAGTCGGAATTGTATGCGGGTAATTCCCGTTGACAAGGCTGAATTGCGGAAAAAGGGCCGTGGCTTGGACAAGGCGAGTTTGTGCATCGTATGTGTCACCCTCGAATTATTGATATAAATTTTTAAGTTGTTTGTTCAGATAGTTGTCGGCAGCCAAAATGGATGCATAATTTGCATATGCCGAAAGCATAATGACACTCAAATTGTGTATAAAACTCTTCCTGGCCCACCAATCGAGGCTGTATGCCTAGGAGGAGCGTTAGGGACGGTACAAGACAAGGTAAAGCTTATTTTTAAGTTCTGAAATAGTATGTACCCAGGTTTTCGTAGCTGCCGAAAATGCCGTCCGCGGCATCAGCAAGAAGGGCAAACAGTTTTTCAATTTTGAAACAAATATGGCCGAGCATGCCAAGAAAATGTTTATCTATGGCGTTGATTTGGTATTGTGTGGAAAGAAGAGTTATAATCACTATCATGATTGTGTCGATACAAACGTAGGCTTAATTTAAATTTAGTAAATGTTACAAATTTCCAGTACGTATTATGCAATGAGGAAATTCACGATGTGGTAGTGCTTACAACGGAAGGCGCATGGGGTAGTAGAGGGTTCAGTGCTGTTCTTGCTTGCAATGACAGTACGATTAAGGTATCCTTTCGTTATGGTAGCCATATAATATTTTCGAGGTGGTCGAGGGCTCGAAGGTTGATTACGAAATTCCGATTAATGACATCCCTTATACACTATATTTATTTAATGGTGATGGAGGTAAGTATTGTGTTCGGTTGAAGGTCAAGACTAATGGAATGAGCTAGTGAGTTTAGGATACAATCATCAAATGGTACTTTATGGGACCAAAGGAGGTCGGCTTGGACTTGTCGAAGTTCCGGCTGGCTCTGGGAATGTTCTCTGGGAGATTGAAACTAGTTCAGCGTCTCGTAAGAATGGCTTTTTTGAAGTTGGACCGATCTAACTTTAGCAATTACTTGTATGACGTCATATGCATTGTCCGGGAATACGGTACCCGATGTGATTATAGGGAAAGAGGATGGATTTGTAGAGGTAAGAATTTGGGACTAAAACCCTTAATTACTTTGAGATATTTACTATCGATGACCTCAGCCGGGCAAACTTTCGACAAAATTATGTAGGTTCAGGGCCACCGGCATAAAGAACGATTCTAGCAATGTGATGAGAGCATTACTGGACTGAGTTGCGGTCGAGTTTCAAATGAAGATGTAGATGAAATTATCGGTAATTATAGACATTTAACCCTCGGATGTTTATAGTGTGTACCTTTACCGGTTGGCTGTTCTCCCTGAGTCGTCAAGCCTTTGGCGCGCCAGCCGCGCCTAATGAAAAGGGCAAGGTATGAAAAATCAGTTCTCTCTAATTTCATATTGTATTTTAGCTTCCACCAACCCAGCCCATCCATGTGAAAGTGCAACAACTAAAGTAAGGTTTTCATCAACAAACAATTATAATAATCTTGCTAGGAATGAGCTAGATGAGCTCGAAGCAAAAGTAACTGAAGAACGGAACCGCTATGAAGAGCTAACAAGGAAGGGTGGCAAAACGACAGCTTTTGTTCCACATTTTCAGGTAATTCTCGGATAAGATGTCATCAATTTGTCAGGTTCACGACAGCTTCGCGTTCAACAATCATTATGGCTGCTACGTGCTTTGCCTGGAACTTGTCATCCCAATCGACTATGTAGTCATACAGGTTAAATCAGCTTAGGAACTTTGTTAACCAAGAATTTAGAGCGAAGTTCCCCTAAAACTTATCGAGGCCGATAAAAATACAGCCGTAATTTCCCACACCGACCCTGAAGGTGTAAGTTTAGGTTTTGCTAAGGAAATGCCCCGCGTTTTAGAGTGGCGGCTGGAAAATAATGGCAACCTATCGGTGCCAGGCCAACACTACACGAATCGAGCTGCGTATTCGCGTGGGCGACGGTCTTTCCGGAGATTTGCGTGTGTTCGTCTGCCCGAAAATCCACCCAAAGATGTGCCAGGTTGGCCCCAAATCACAATTGGTTTATTTGAAAGCAGTGTGCTAAGCGTAGTATCACTTTGTTCGACAGCAGGGCGGATACGGCGTTAGAAACGGTTCCTAGAGTATAGAGATGTTTTTGCCCTGTTTAGCCATACCGTATTCCTTGGGGGGACTAGAGAGCGAGTGCACAGCATGAGACACATTCACGGGCTGAGGAATAAAAGCAGCCGAGATTGCATCCGCAGCCATCTCTTCCTCGTTTTGACAGCTCGCCCAGCTAAAAAGGTGTTATGTCGTTTGGGCGTGGAATGCACGTCACTTCACTTGGTTGAGTTTGCAAACCGTGGAAATCCGAAAACCCTTTTTTTGTCGAGCCGTATGTGCGGTATCCTAGCATAAAAAGTGCGAAACTACTACTGTGACCATTAGCAACCAAATCTCTAGGTAAAAGTCGTTTGAGGCTCATTGGTTAGTAGTTTTTGAGTATTACTTTGGAAGGCTCTAGAATCTCTAGATTTCTTAGTCAAGCCCCAAAACACACGTCGCCCTTGGGTTGAATTTGCCGCTTGACTGGACATCCGAAAGGATTTCGGTTATACATAGGCAGCTGTAAGGTCTTTGGAAAAAAAAGCCAGGTTTGATCTTTTCCATAGCCTTCCTTCAGGCTTTTTAAGACTTGAGGTGTTTGTTATCATCTTAGAGTCCAAGATTACAATAAACTAATAAAATAATACGTAATATAAACTAAATCAACCCTTTGAAAACCCCTACCATTTTGAAGGATGAGGGCAAGAAGTAGGGGTTAGCCTCGCTGATGGCAATGAAGGCAATGATGAGGAGGAGTAGAGAGATAACGGGCCCAGACAAAGCGGTCATTGGACCGGCTCGACGCCTTCTAGGAGAATGACTTCTGCCACGACGTCTACCAGATACACCACCACGTAACCCCACACAATGCCCCGCCCATTCCCCCCCCCCCCCGACTCCAGTTAGTAGCCACGTCCACCACTCCCTTCCAAAAATGAAACAGAAATAGATCCCCAGAAAGGGCTAGCTTTCAAAAGCCGAAGAAGCGGAAGGTCATGGTCCTAATGTCATAGATTTTAAAATCACGTAATTTTGAGTTTTAGTCCCGTCTCTACGAGATAAAGCCACTCGCCACCTATGGAAGGGTTCATTCATTTGATATCAGTCGACCAAGGAATACTTTAACATTCACAGGTATATAATTCAATTGTACGTCACGTTTTTAGGAACATTCTCGTTGGCCGAAGCGCATGCTTGGCTTCTTCAAAGTCTCCCATCATTACCCCCTAAGCCACCACCACAGGATAGCGTGCAGTTCAATTTTCAGTCGGTTGTTAATGGGGGGACTCAACTTCAAGTTGTATACAGGTAGATATTTAGCCATCACGGCGCTAACGAATCCTAATAGTAAACCTGAGCGTTCGAATAAGCTTAATCCTAAGCCTCAGGATAAGCCTAAGTCTAAGCCTAATTCTAAGCGAAGCCTAAGCGAAGCCTAAGCCTAAGCCTAAGCCTAAGCTTAAGCTTAACCCTAAGTCTGAGCCTAAACCTAAGCCTAAGCCTAAGCCTAAGCCTAAGCTTAAGCTTAACCCTAAGTCTGAGCCTAAACCTAAGCCTAAGCCTAAGCCTAAGCCTAAGCTTAAGCTTAATCCTAAGTCTGAGCCTAAACCTAACCCTAAGCCTAAGCCTAAGTTTAATTAACCCTAAGTCTGAGCCTAAACATAAGCCTAAGCCTAAGCCTAAGCCTAAGCCTAAGCTTAAGCTTAATCCTAAGTCTGAGCCTAAACCTAAGCCTAAGCCTAAGCCTTAGCCTAAGTTTAAGCTTAACCCTAAGTCTGAGCCTAAACCTAAGCCTAAGCCTAAGCCTAGCCTCCTGCTTTCGCAAAGCCTAAAATTCAGCCGCGGTTCCATCGAATTCCTCTCGGACTCGATGTCGGCAATTGCCATCATTCGCGAAAATATCAGCGAAGAGTTGACGCGGCGTCAGATTAAAGCCGCAACACGATGTCGTACGTTGTTTCGCTTTTAATTGTTACCTTTTTCTTCAGAATTGGACGAAAAGAGCGTCAACCATTGTCTGCAACTCTTGCACCCAAAAATCGCCGAACTACACGAAATTGAGCGGCGCCAAAAGTTTATCATGGCTCTGAAGGTAGTGATCAAACAAGTTCTTGATTTTTGTCTTCTGAAATATCTTTGCGATACTATTTTTCGTAGAGGAGCTATTTCGACTTGCGAGAAACTTGGTAGTGGGTGGCTCGACAAGGTTCTGGCTACAAAGCGAGGCGGGCAGTCGGAGAAGCCATACTTAGCCTGGGTGGTTTTGGTTACAGAACACTTAGGGCAGCACACGAGCACTGCGTCATTAGGAGTCGAAACATGAACCCATGGGTCCAAAACGGCTGCTTGGAGTTGCGGACAATTTATGGAGGGGTGGTGGGATACAAATCCGTATTTTTTTGAAAGTACAGAATATGTTGAAGAAAGATTTCATTAAATCGCAAGTTCAGGAAGTTCAACGTATACCTTGAACCTCCTTGCATCGCTTTCTGCATAAATAGGTGTCTAATTAGTAATATCCGAATGTGTGCTTTAAAACATGCATATCTTATAGGAACTTGAAGCAAACAACGAGCAAATCAACGAATGGCTTTGTGATGAATACAAAGCTATGCTCAAAACCCAAGGAGCCATCCTGGAGCAAGCCCGAGATGAGCCAATTGAAGATAATTATATCATCGGCGTTTACGAGGTAAGCAAAAACTCGAATAAAATGTAGCGGTGCAACTTTCGTGTATAATCAATAATAAAATAATAACTATGCGAGTCTAGGATCTACTGATCTACCGCGGTGTTCTAAATGGCTACAATGCGCGTGGCCGAATCCCGGCTTTGCATGAGCTTTTGCTGCGGGATTATACCCTGGAGAATGTCAAGGTGACCTTTAAGAAATCTTTTTTAGTTTCGACGTTCCCTAACCGAACTTTTTCAGGAATTCTTCAGCATCGACAAGCCGTAATATTCAGCAGCGATGTGCGACGAAGAAATTATTGTGAATGTGATTGATAAAATGATTCACGCCGAGAATTTGCGGCAATAAGGGCCTAAGCAACGCGAAGCTCTATTCGTCAAAAAAATCTATGGGGCCAAAACTTCGTAGCCTTATAACTTTAAAACTAAATGGAATCGTAACAAAAGCAATTTCCAACTTTGTAGAATGGGAAAAGGCGATTGCAATGATACCAAACACTAAGGAAACTAAATTCAAAAAGTATCGAAACGAAGGCGGTTTTCGTTGACGACTTTGTGAAAGTGGTATTTCGGAGGGCTAACCCGCTGTCTTTGGTATCATTCGAACCGTAAAATTCTACTCTGCAATAATTGATATTGGGGTTTCAATATTAACTCGGTTTGAAAAAGTTATAAGAGCCTAAACTTTTTGGCGCCCGCTACGTTCCGTTCCTATCGACGCTTTTGCCCCTCCCCGCACATGGCCGTTTTTGGCCGGTTTGATTGGCCGTGGAATTGTTAAGCTACTCGAATAACTGGTTCCATGGATTGAGAGATTTCAAGCCGTTTTCGTTTTGAAAACGGTATTCCCGCTTCCGCCGAACCCTGAAAATTTGTGTAATCCCCCTCGAGGTCGCGAAGGCATTCCTCAATCCATCACGAATGTTTTTGATGGACAGATCTCTCCCCCGGATTTTCTGCATAGTTTAATGGTTAAGCTATTAGTACGTCTATTGCGTGGGTGTTTCTTATTGGGCGTGTGTTTTGTGCGTATGTGTTGTGCGCGAAGGGATGGCGCTGACAATCGACTGTTGGGGGAGAGGGTGGGTTGTGCCCTGTTCTGAATGAGGGGTCATCCGTGGTGGGACCTCCGAGCAGCTGTCCCCAGTTGTGTCCCACACGATTTCTCTCTCGGCCTTTCCAGTCGAAAGCCTAGATTTTACGTGAAAGCGTGACTTTTTTAGAATTACGGCTAGTTAGATCCAAAAGGTCGAAGTCCTCAAGGCCGACTCGTGCCAAGAATAGAACATAAAAAATAGAAGCTTAAAGTTCATCCAATTGCTATGGCTTTGTTTGGTTTTATGAATTTTTATTTTAAGTGATACGAGGCACAGAGTTCACATTCTGAGACAATCCAGAACCTAGCGCCAACGATTTTTTCGGATTCAAATTCAGCACGCACAAAACACATAAAACTTCGATCAAATTTCGGAAGCTGGATAAGCAGCCAAAAGACAATATGCGTTTTATTAATTGCCAATGCACTTTTAAAAAGCAATCGAACGGATTCCGTTCCCATAGATATACCGCCTTTTTTAGTCCATTTTGCCATCTGTGCCTGTTTGCTCTCTGCCTCTCTCCCCTCTTTTTGCCCGCTATTTGCCAATCTTGCTGTCTTTCCGCGTCTTTCCCTCTTTCTCTTCTCTTTCTCTTCTCTTTCTTTCACCTTGCTTCTCTCTCTCTCTCTCTCTCTCTCTCTCTCTCTCTCTCTCTCTCTCTCTCTCTCTCCCTTTTTAGCGCGCAGCCCCCTTTCGACCCGAAGACCCCCCTTTACTCACCACCCAAGCCATCAGGGCCGTTTTTAGAGGGAGTGAAGACTACTCCCCAAGATACCTTCAAATTTCCTTAAGGAATTCACTGATGAAAGTTCTTTACAAATTGTCCGAGCCTTCCATTAATGCGTGAACTTATGTGTTTCATGCAGCAACAATAGTTCACGATGTCTTTTCGATGCAATTGCGAACCTCAAAAATTGAATTTTCCCATGCGGCAATTGGAAGAAAACATTCTTATCAATGTTCCCCAAGAGGAACCCACAACCAGCCCCCCCCCCCCATCCCCCTTATCTTTACACAAATATTCAATCATTTTTTTTCGGCAGCCCTGCATTATCGACATGCCGTCAGTAAAATAGCAGGGATTAATTAATAAGTGTCTCTTAAGCAATTTCATAAAGTCCTTATTATCGTATTATCGTTTTGCAGAATAAGGGGCCTGCAGGGCGGCCGGCTATTTTTAACGTCCATGTATCGAGTAATTGCCGCCGATTATGAGAGTGTGAAAAAGTCGGGTCGCCCTTTCCGCCTTTTCCAGCCTCTGCCCCTAGGGGATTTCCCCTGAATTCCTCTTTTCAGCTGCTTTTGGGCGTGTTTGACTGATGACATACCTTCAATTATTATCTGGGGGGATTACGCGAATTGGGGTCGGGATTTTGAAGGGATTGTGTTAAAAGGGTTGTGATTAGTTATATGTATCGTAGTGTTTTTTATTGTTCGGGATTAGTATTATTTTCAGTAAAAAAGTTTGTGAAATGGTTGATTATATATATTGTGTGTGCCAAAATAGTTTGAAATATGGTTAATTTGTTGATAATATGAGATTATTTTCTAATGTTAATTTGAATAGTTAGTATTTCTTTTCAATTACTTATTTGTAAAGGGTTTGGGGAGGTAGAGAAATGGCTGGGGACAGCCCTAGAGCCCTTATTCGGGCTGTGGGGGTTCGTGTGTGTCTGTCTGTGTGTGCTGTATGTCTGTCTGTCTGTCGATCGATGGCCTTGCTTGTCTGCCCCTTCCACTCTCTCCCGTTCCTTCCTCTCCCCGAATTCATAGCACCCCCCTCGACCCAACACTAAATCCTATACGACACAACTCTTCCCCATGCACACTTCCCCCCGTCATCCCGCTCCAATAATCCCCTAAAATATTTTGTGCAGATGTTTTTACTATCCTGTCATCACATTCACAGCTGAAATTTAGGCCCGAAATTGGGAAATTTTAATTATCGTCCATTTTTTTAAATTCAGACGTCAATCGCAATGCGAGCCTGTCAGTCTTAAACAGTTTACTTGTTCGTCAAAAATCGCCGATCTTTCTGTCATTATCCGAGTCCATATTGCCAATTGTAACCCAATCCAAAAGCTCGCGCTCATCACCTCACGCTCATAATTTTTTATGAACATTGCCAGATTCATGGTGGGGGGTCCAGAGCTTTATGTGGGAAATTGCTCCATATTGGGGGGAACGGGTCCGCTTTCGATTCGGGTGCACCCCACCAATTATCGGCTTGGCTAAATTGGTCCCAAGGAGGCCCCGTTGGATTAGCCCTCGAAAATGAAAGCCGTAGTAATTTTAATTTGAATATCGACACTTTAACTTTTTTTGGCGTCGGCTGCTGGTGGCGTAGAAGAAAAAAAAATGATTTTTGAGCATCGAGTCTCGACACTTTCCGTTTTTGATGAGAAGGCTTAGTATACATTTCTATTTGGATTTTATGCGTCAAATCCCCCCAGATATAACCTGTTAATCCGCAAAACAATAGCGGAAATATTTCGGGGCCGATTGCTCGTTACCCTTCGGTAGAGCGGCCTTCAATTCACTGGCCGAGTGGTCATTCCAAAGAGCTCTTTCCCCCTCTTCCACCTTTTCCCCTATTCTCTCCTCTCCTTGGCGCTTACTCAAACGTTGGCGCCGCTTTTTAGCGATCAATAATTGGTGGTTTCAATTTCCTCTCAATCTTTCTATAAGTTTGATGTGAAAATTGGGCTTTTTAAAAAGCCGCGCCGGATGTGCTTTCGTTCTCTCCAATCTCTTTTTGTTGCTTCTTTTTGTTTTGGCCAATGCTAATGAGCCTAAGAGATTTGTTCTTCTATCTGAATTTTTAATTTCGCTTTACAAAAAAAGCTTTGTCTAGGTTTTAGTTTTATTTATTTCTTAATTTTCTCATTTTCTCAGCAAAAAAAACCCCATAAATTTTCACGGCAATTTTACACACAAGTAGATTTTTTAAATCTTATGTGATATAAATTTAAATCTAAATCATTGCAATCAACATTTGCAACCGCGTTGTCGGCTGGATTGAAGCGCGAGTGAATAAATTTGCCCTTGTGGCATCAAGAATATCTTATTGATTTTGTGGGCTTTAGGAGAAATGTGATGCCCTAGGGTTATGGTGGAGAATAGTAACGTATCTAGGCCAGGCTTTTGGGGCTATCAAACAGAAATGCCGCCCAGATGTTCCCACGTCCCAAGTGCCAATATTGTCCGCCTCGATACACATGGCACCCTTATTCGGTCGAACCCATAGTCATTTTTATGATCCTCCCAGCTTCTTTTATGCTAATCCTTATTTTTTACCTTTGCAACTCGATAATATGTTTTTCAGTCTGGTTGATGTTTGAGTCAGACGGGGAAACGGCGATAGCCGGACCGAGCGTTCGCCTCGGCACCCCTGACCATTGTCCAGCGGTAAGTAAATGAAACGAATACTTGCCATTTTAAAACTATTTAAAAATGCGAAATAAACACTTATTCGGATGTATGAAAGATACGCCTTATAAATCTAATCTTAAGACATATGAATGGCATAATAATACAATAATTTCAGATGGCCGAAGCGCTATCGGATGACCACGAGGTCGAGCCCGAAACCCACGACGAGCCTACAGATAGATGCGAAGACAATTCTATCGAAAAGGCAAATGAAGATGCTATTCAAAAAGAAAATCAACACGCCGTCCAGAAATGCCTGGAAAAGTGCATCGAAACAGCCACCGAAAAGTGTGCTGAAGAGGCGCTGGAGAAGTACAATGAGGACGCCATTTTCAAAATGCCTTCGATACCTTTGAGGTGGGAATACAGTTTCTTATTATTTGTTATTAAGGAGCTGTCTCTAAAATGGGTCTTCATTTGCAGGAAACCATCAATTAGAGGGCGAGGTCGCGGGGCTGGACCAGGAAGACCACCGAACGGCAGTCTCCCAAGGACAAATGAGGATTCACCAACTGGCGCTCATGTCCCTGGGAGACCTGGTAGAAAACCTGGACGTGGACGGGCTGCAAAGGTGCGCAGAACCCAGTTCTCGACATTAATAATTTGTTTTAGATCCCCAGTCCATTCGTACCAATCCGGATGCCGGTCAAAAAAGAAAGAGCACCATCTGAAGAACCAGAATCTTTCAACCACGGCTTTTACTGCTCCCGAAGTCGAGAATATTTTGACTCTTTCGAAATCCCGCACCGAGCATCGCGGGTAATTATAAGAATAATAATGCTAAATATAAGAAATTGGATTCAGGTGCCGGAACCCGACGAGCTTTTGCCACCAATCTCCGGATATAGCACGTTGGAGAAGCGGAAGTACAAGAAACGGAGACCGGTATTGAACTGTCCTGATTCTCTATTTCAAATTGCAGAAAATCGAGATGATCCCAATCAAAATGGAAGCATCAGATGTTCCGAGTCTACTTCCGGACGGCACAATATTAGAGGCCGGAGAGGTGCCACCAATTATGAATGGTTATCCAAATGGGATGATGGTGAGTTTTAGACCAATGCTCCGAGAAAAAGGATCATACCACAAATCATTATTTTATTTACAGATGGATGATTCCGATGACGATTCTATGAGTCCCAGCCCACCAATGTTGTTGGATCCGGAACCGTGTTGTTCCAAGAGCTCGGATTCTGGAATTGACGTCAAAGAGGAGCAAGATCTTGAAACGAAAGATACGACAGGTCGACATGGAGGTCATGGTAAGCTTTATCTTCCTTACCTGCCTTCCCGCAAATCGTCAAATGTTTTCAAAATTTGAATTTTTCAGACGATCCAGCCCATCAAGCCTTTGTTCATGAAATAATCATCGATGAATTCTCCTTGATGCTTTTCACTTGCAAAGAAGACGAACGGGTATTTTTATTTTTTGAAGCGCAACAAATCCCTGTATCTCAGACCTTCAACGACGAATTTGAGCGGCTGAAAGAAGTGGCTCTCGAGGAAAAGAGGAAAAGAGCCGAGGAGATTAAGGAATATGTCGCGGGGATTAAGCAGAAAATGGCAAAGAAAAAGGTAAGTCCCTCCACTCGAATGGACCACATCAATCTTCGACATTCAGCAACTAATGGATAAAGCCATGCTGGTGACGGAGCGACTAGAGAAAAAAGAAACGCTCGCCAAAAAAGCTGTTGAAATGGCGCGGAATAAATCGGAGCTCAAGCGGATAATACGAGACGTGAAGGTTTGCGGGACGGAAGTGGCGATTAATTCCGTTTAGAAAAACAAGCTGCCGATCAGCAAGGAGCTGAAAATTCAGTGGAAACATTTACTGTACGACGAACGGCTGTTGGAGATTGAAATTGTTAGTTTATAGGACCTATCATTACAACTCGGAAAACCTTTAGAAAAGATACAAACATCAGCAAGAGAAGAGGCGGTTCGAAAAAAGAAAGTTGTGTGGAAAGAAGCCAAGAAAGTCGAAGAAGAGAAAGGAACGGGAAAAGCGCGAGAAGATGGAGCGCCGGTTCCGGGAGGTCAGCCTTTCCCCATGCGTTTTTTTTGCTCGAGCAGACCCCTTTTCTTTCTACCCAGTTCGCGTGCGAATTTCCTTTCTCCACAAGCCCATATTTCCTATGTCGGATTAGACCGCTGACCGGTACTCGGGTTTTGTGATTTCCTAATAGACTTTGGCCGACATCTAGCGACCTCTTTTTGAGACAGGTGTTTTCTTTTTTCAATCCCCGGCCTCGATTTCCGAAAAAACAAGGGGCAAGATGTATGTGTTTAGAGGAAAGGAGGGGAAGGCAATGTTCCAGTAGGTCCCGAGAGGGAATGCATCCGGTGCCATTGTGATTGGCAATTAGCAGCTTAGGCTAGACTATCGGCCGGCTCTGCGCTCGTTGCCAGCTGCTTATTCCCCCGCGTGAAACACCTGCGCTTTGGGGCGTACCGTCCAGTCGGCTGGCCCATTTCCCACATTTACTCTCGCCGTTGGCAACCACACCACCCTCCCAAGGGGCCCCTACCGTACCGCTTTCCTTCAAATCCAAAAACCTCCGCGCCTCTTTCAATCCCCCAAAATAAGCAATTTCCGCGTTATCCGGCCTTGATTGGCGCCTAAAAAGAGGGGTCGGGAGATTTAGGGCCAAATCCAATCTCCACCCGGGCTTTACTTTAGATGGGTTTGAGCTTCGGCCAAACCATCCATCCGCCCGAGCCTCCATTATTAGCGCATCATTGTCTAGGGGGAAGGCCTTCCGGATGGGCATTTCAAAGATTCCCGCCTCCGCTTCCCCAATCACAATGGACGGCTTCTGGGCGTTGCCCAGCCGCATTTAGAACGGGGAGGCATTTTTGGACCGAAGCGCTATTCCATGCTATCGTCCTTTGACCCCCTTTAAGAATATTCCGATTTCTTGTAAATGCGTAGCGCAACATATTGCGGGCAAAAACCACCGCGTCGAGACGTGCGGCACAGCTGCATTTCTGGGCGGGGAGAATTCCCATGGCAAGAGCCAGGTGGCCACGTCCATGGTGCGCTCGACGGATATGGCCTGGCACCGCTCTAGGCAACCTCCCAGCAATCTGAAATGGCCGCCACGGTGACGTCCCCGCATCTTGCCACAGCCAAAAGCCCCTCCAGCCATCCCCCCTTTCCACCAAACAACGTTCATTTTTATTTTTGGCCTCCTGCCCTCTTCCATTCCTTTTTCACAACACTCCCCTGGCTTAATATTTGCATAAGCAGTAGTGGGCGCCGGTTCTTTCCATCATCCCGCGCCTCACCGGCCAAACTTTGCATTTTGAATGAACACATGCCAAAATGATGATCCTTATTTTGGCCGAGCTCGCCCGACGGAGGCTCTTTGAAACCATATTAATTTCCGTTCCCCGGCGTCCCGATCCGGGTTTTTCTCAGGCTAGAATCACTTTTTGCCGCACCGGAAATTCGAACTGGATTCCCAAAGTTTTTGCGCTGACCAAATTGGAGGGCTGGGCGCGGCAAAACGGAAATGTATACCAAATAGGCTCTCAGTGTCGCCGGGGGCACAGCGATTAATAAACCAGCGTCAATTTACGAGTTAGCCAATCAGCGCCCCGTAAACAGTCAACCCCGAGCGGCCGGGCAGCCGGACGGATTTCATTAATTTGCGCTAAAATTGGGGGGGATAAATTGTGTTCCCATGGGTAATACGGTTAAGGGAGCACGTCCAAAGCTCGGCCACACCAAAGGTGGCTATTTGGCTAATCACGAACATTGTAGCCTGGTGGGAATCACGTGATAATCGGGGCGCACGGGAAGCATTGCTGATCTATGTTAATTAGGAGCAGTTGTGAAACTGGTGTTGACAGGTTGTTCCTCCTGAGAATGGCTTTGTAGATATATGTATTGGTGCTGGGGGAAGTGGGGCAGATAGAGCATGTCCACTGGTGCATAAGGGGGGTGGGGTCGTAGTGAAAACGTGGTCCCGCCGCGCGCGGCGCTACTCAGCCAAATCCCCGCCCTCTTCTGGGCTTTAGACACGCACGTGAACGGCCAGCCCCCCGTGGAACTCTCAGCGATTATTAACCTGCCCCCTTTCTGCACATTCAAGGCCGACCCTGAAGCGGCAACATTGCCTATTCACGGGTTCCCTCGCCGGAAGGCCCTTGTTGACATTTCCCACTCCCCCCCCTGCTTCAATCCCCCCCATCTAGCCGCAACCCTCTTCTGCTCCCCCAAAAATGTTGTCCCTTACACCCCCCATTTATCGGCAGACAACGCATTTTTGCTGTTGGGCCATCAGCCCAAAGTGCCCTCTTCCATCAACACCGGATGTCGTGTCTGGAACACCACGAAATTAGCACACTTCCCACATTTCTGGGATGACAAGGCATCCGGGTGGCTAGCCATCGCTCTGAATACACCTTCTTTTGATTTTCATGTTTTCTGATCGAGCTCTATGCAAATCCAATGCAAATCGCTTGGCGGCTTCCCCCCCTTGATTGCCTTGATCTGCATATATTCATGAGTTACAAAATTCGACATCAAAGGGGCCCGTCCCGCTACGCATTTACTTTACACACCGGTGCCGTTTGAATCCTAAAAATTGGCTGTGATGCTTTTAAGGACAGGGAAGAGGCAAGGGTACGTTTAGTTACTGTAGCTGGCTCACGGGAAGAAAGGCAAGGGGGGGTGGGTGGGTGAGAGCCCTTTTTATTTTAAAAAGCAATCCCCGGTGCGGCCCCACCCCCTTGCGATTTGCTATATAGATGATCTGTAGGCATCGAGCAATCCTCTCGGCAGATATATTCTATCCTATTGGCATTCGGGTCGACAGGGTCTTCGGGTTCACATGACTAACATGAACCCCCAGCCTTCCGAACCCCCAATCGAAGAGGAACCGGTGAGCGCCTATTTTTCCACTTTCGGCATATCAGTCTGTGCGCTCTTATCTTGATCGGGGGCAAATACGGGAATGGGGTGGAGGGCTACCCCCCATCAACTGAGACCACAAATTCGTTTTCCGTGAAATTTCATTTCTCCCCCTCTTTCACGGTTTCCACCCCCTTCCACTAATTTTTGCGCTCGCCCCCTCCTCGTGGTTTCTCCATCTCCCATTTTCTTTCCTCAAAGCCCCCCCCCGCTATAGTTCCTCAAACAAAATTACGTTCTGACCTCCAGTCCCTCCCCTCCAATTATATTGGCCGTCTTTTCCCGCACTAATTACCGGTGTCGGCGCGCCAGCTTACCCGCGACATCAAATTATTTTCACCCCTCAAGCATTTGACACAGACATTTTCGTCGACAGCCCCCTTCCCTGACTCCAAGGGATATGGATAATTATTGCCTGCGCGCAAAATGGGCACCTTGTTGTGCGCATCTATACGTGTGTGTCGACAAAGGAATGTAGTAGCGTGTCCATTCGGTCCCACTGCATGGCCGGAATTTGTGGTGCTGCCAAAGACACACACATCCCATCCGTTCTTTATACTAATCTCTCACGCTTTTCCCCCCGACCGTGCGTCCAAAATCAGAAAACGCGTTGGAAATTGATAAGTCTTTCCCTCGGCGTTTCCGTTTTCTGCAGCCAGGGGGGGGGGTGTCCTCTTGTTTGATTACTCCTTTCCCGTCCCATTTTCTCCTCCTGGCCACAGACCCCGGGGCAGAGATTCGATTTAGAAAATGCGATCGTCGTTGTGTGGGGGATTTAGGGGGTGGAAGTGATGGGCCTTTGGACGTCCCCGGGTCCTACGGGAAGTTTTGCACTAGCCAGCGGCCCCCGATGCAATCGAATGGTGCCGAAAGGGGAGGGTAGGCCTGAAGAGGGCCAGGGAGCAACTCGATTCTCGGAGGGCACACGAGCGAAATTCGATTTGCACGCGAGAGCCCCCCGAATTGCCTGCTCCATGCGCCGCATATAGCGTCACCCGCGCTCTTTCATCCCGCGTCTGTCTCCCGTGTTCCACCTTCATCTCCTTTGCGTCGTCGTCCTCATCCTCCCTGCTAGCGTTCGTTGCAGCTTCTCATCAACACCGAGGGCCCCTCCTTCTCAGCTCCAATTAGAAAGCATTTCTTGCCCTTGCTCCCCACACAGCATCTTCTTCATTTTTCCGAAAGGTTGCGTTTTCGCTTCTGCACACAATGCACCGGTTTGTGTATTTATCTTTTGAAGGGTCCGCTCCCGTTCTTTTTACATCTCGGCTTTAGTAATGAAATCGACACTTTAGTTCCGTTGTTTACAATCCTTATTCTGAGTCATTTGTGCGCGCATTCTCCCGTCGATAACAAAAAAAAATACTCTATTGCTTTATTTGTCCAGACAGGCGGTGCGTTGGTGCCCTGCAATAACCCTCGGGATTTCCCCCGATCCCTTCTCATTCCACTTTTTAACGCGCTTACACCGGTCACTCCATAGTCATACAATGTCGAGTGTGTGCTCATAAACCCGAGCCCAGGGTAGCCCTGATCCGCCCCGCGATGCCACTTTGGCATTATCTCTCCGATATCCGGGGCTCCGGTAATCCGGGTCTCTCCAACCCCATACCAATTCGGACCCGCTCATTGCCACACCCCGCCAAGCCACGCCTTTAATCCTTCAGTTTCCGGGGGGTAAATCCGTGTGTATGTGTGTGCAAAGCGCCTTTTACCAGACGCACGCGCCAAACGCCCCGGGGCGGGCATAAACACGGCTGGTCGAACCAGCGCGGCCCGGGGGGCGAAGACCAGAAGGACGAGGGGAGGCCCAGTGTCAATGTTTGAGGGCCTCCCCCCACCCCCTATCCACCCCGCGATCGCGCAAATATTTGGCAAGTACAAGTGGTTAGTGCGTGTCGCCATCCCCACACACAGCCGAGGGTCAGCGCTTGGTCTCCGTTTGCTCAACTGCAGCCGCCCGCCCAGTATGGACCGTGGAAACCCAGGGGCCGGCTATTGATTGGGATTGCCGATTTCTATGGCCCCGAGCAAGCCGATTCAAAGGCGGCCCCCACGGCCGATCCATCCAGTATTCCCGAGGTGGCCACGTAAGCTCTCCCGGCCGCTCCGCGCCCCCCCCCCTTCCCCCTCCACCTCCTTTGCATTTCCATATGGCAGCCGCCGATACGACTTTTTCCCACCCTGACGCCCGGGACGGCCCCACCAGCCGCCCTCCGGACTTTCGGCATATCCAAATCATATTCCATGCTTTGTCCCTGCCAGCCGCCCCGCACAACCTTTTCATCCAGCCGCCTCCCCCGCCAAAACCCTTGCCCTATTGGATTTGTTCTACAAACTCTGATCTGGTCGCACTGCACGTGCCATTCGCACATTTCCCCGCCTCATTTAGCCCTACATTTAGGATTCATTCGCGGGAAATTGCGCCAAATATCCCCATTTTTGGCCCCAGAACCTGTGCAAAAAATAATTGCTGCCTTCCGGTCATCTCCCCCTGCTCGCTCGAATTGTGGGATTGGGGAACGTATTCGCGTGACCGGATCTCGAACTTTTTCCGCCCCCCGGATTTGCGGCCAATCCTAGAAATGGAGGGCCGTTGGCTTTTTGGTAGATGACGATGGCCCCGGAAGGGCAATGGGGTAGAAGACAATGAAAATTTTGGGCATCAGCGGGAACGGGGTGGGGGGGGGGGGCGGGTTTCACATTGCTGGGCTTATCATCTTTTGGTGGGAGATGGGATGGTTGGCGGAGTGCCAGCCTGTTCCTTGCTTTCCCTCTTCCCTCTCATCCAGAAGGACGGCTGCAATTCTGTGGTGTCTCCTGGACACACGTCCGCGTCGCCCATGAATCTTTCATCTCCTCCCGGAGGGCCCCTCATCCTCGCAGGACCCAACTATTCTCCCCTCATTACGCTTTTCGAACGCCTCACCCTCCCCCGTTCGTTCCCAAAGGCCGCTCCAGTTTTCTTCGCACTCTCTCTCTCTCTCTCTCTCTCTCTCTCTCGGGCCATTTCCCGACCCGCTTTCGTGGGCCCAAATATCCGTTCAGCATCATCCTACTCATCCACATTTTTCCGGCTTGCCCCCCCGGTCGAGCCCTGTATTTTTCCCTGGCACTGCCGCCAGCACCGTATCTCATAATCCCTTATCTACCCTCTCCGTTTTTACTCTCTGCCGCCCGGGTTTGCGCACCTGTCTGCGATTTATCGCCTCCCCCAAATTACCGACCAATCCGGGAACTACCGACTGTTTTTGGCATCTTTCCATCTTCATCCATATTTGATCCATTAGATTCCATCGGTTTTTCGGGACTAGGGCTATTTTACCTCATCATATCTATCATACTATCATATCTTATCTATCATATTATCAGTTTTATTTCAATAATTTTCAGAAGGCAGCCCAAGCGGCGTTGCTGTCAGGAGGGCTGGCGTCTGCAGTGGCCACGGGTGGTGTGGGCCCAGTCCCAGGGCCTTTACCGCTCGGTTCGCCGCTCGACAAGGGCTCACCCATCCAGACATGCTCATCTACCACATCACCGCACTCAAAACGGGCACCATCCGTTCCGTTATGTGCTTCTCCGCTTGCCAAAACACCGCGGCTCGACGACTCGTTACGGTAGGTCCCTCACCCCCAAAAATACCTACAAATTCCGTCACCAATGATTAGAAACCCAAAGCTGCCCTATATTGCGATATTCGCGTGCTTCATTTTGTAGCCGAAAAGCCATACCCGCGTCTTTCCCAAAAATAAATGCACGCCATGGGTTTTATCGGTGCGAAAAAGCAGCCGCCGTCTCCTATGGTCTGAGATTTTCCCAACGACGCGGTGCCACTACAAAAGCGCTCTCGCTCGCCATCCCCGTTAATTATGGGAAATCCCAGGGTCTTGCAAAGGGGGAAGAGAATATTGTAAAAAGGCCCGAAAAACGGTATCTTTGTATTTAGCAATCACGCGGGCCTGATGACGAATGGAGGGTTGAATGTACCCATGGCCCCGGTGGCTTCTCCATTCCTTTCAGTACCACCAGGAACAGCAATGGCTCAACAGCAACCCGTCATCCAAGGTGGGTAACCCGTTTTGGTTTTCGATCCCGAAAAACGAAACAGCCGGCCTTTGTCCTCGATTATGCCGTAGGCCCCTGCATTGAAATTCACCGTGAATCAAAAGGGGTTCGAATTGAATTCCTGAGCCGAGCATAAATTTCCGTTGAATCCGAAATGGGGTGACCGCTAGACCGGCGTGTCTGAAGCCCATTGAATTCCAATGAGCTGCAAATTCTTGCATTAATTTTGGTTACGGTATACTTTGAAGTTTTTTTGGGGTTAAAAGCCGTTATTGTCGAAACCTAAAGGGAAGGGATAGAGAAAGAGAATAGGGTAGGGATAAAGACGATGCGCGCGCCAGGGGTCAATGGTGTAAAGTTTCGCAGGTGTCGATGTCCGGGGCTCGTACCCCTCAAACAATAAGTGTAAGAGGCGCTGTAACGTCCGCGTGGCCCCCCTTTCGCGTTCGCGCATCTTTTTCGCTGGGAGCCCCCGGTCGCTTCAGCGAAGTCTTCAAGGGCGAGACAAGCGGGGGAATGAGGGCGAACTTTGTTGCAGACCAAAAGGGTGAGCGCCATTTGGAATGCTGGCGACAGCCGCCCCCCGGGCCCGCCTCAATAATTATGGACGAAGCCCAGCGGGGCTCGCGAATAATTCCGGCCGTTTTGCGTAAATAATACATTAGCCGAGCGGCACACACGCGAATATTCCATGAATGTATGTGGTAATGCGGAAGTGGGCGCACGGTTTTATCGGGCTGGGCCCGCATTTTTTGGGAACGGAACCGATTTGGGAAATGTCCATGGGCTTAATTGGGCCAAATCCTTTTTGGGCGCCTTTCCGTGCTAACCTAATTGGGTTTCGGGCGTCCGAAACGCGTTAGGCTAGATGCCTGGAGAAGATCGGATTACCGTCTCGGATTACCCCGGGTGTACAGTTTATTTTGCAACAAAGCCAAGCGTAGGCCGAGGGTGGGAAAAGCGTAATTTATGCGAATTTTTTATAATTCTAGGTTCACATCTGGCGTCCGATGCTGCGCGTGCTGGTCCTTCCGGTACTGGCCCGTCAAGTCTCTTCGTTCATACATCTACTCCTGGCCCATCGCTACTACCTGGGAACCTATTAGCTGCAGGTACGGATACTTTGCAAAGTCCAAAGAACCATAAAAGTGCATTCGTATGAAGCATTACAAAGTCGCAATATATATAATTATTTTTCCAGCAAGCGGACTTCCCGAACATATGCGGTCGATGCTGGGATTTGGTCTTGGACCCTACGGGATGCCAATCATGCCCGGTTTCTTGCAACAGCAGAATAACCAACAGGTACCTTTTCGCTTTCTATAAAAACTCATTTTTTTTCAGCACCCTGCCTTCCAACCCGGAGCACCACAGGCCCAGTCACAAGCCCAATCTTTATCGCAAGCCCACGCCCATGCCCAAGCACAGGCAGCCCAGGCACAGGCTCATCAACAAGCCGCTGCCCAAGCCCAACATGCGCAACAAGTGCAAGCCGCCCAAGCGCAAGCTCAGGCTCAGGCCATGCAGGCGGCCTTGGCGCAAAATCCAGGACTCATCCAGAACCCGATGGCGCTCGCCCAAATCGCCAACCAGTTGATGGCAGCTAGTATGGCGAAGCCTCTACACCCACCAGCGGCAAAGGTAACTTTTTCTCGATTATAGTGCTTGAAATGCAGGGACCGTATATATTAGATCAATTCTATACCCTAGTCTTTTCAGAAACCGGGACGCTGGTGCGGGATGCACGTCAAAATCGCAAACGACATCAGTGCCTACCGACGGCAGCAGGCTGCTCTGCAAACTGCTCAAAAGACCTCGATGCAACAAATGGGCCTCCCAGGAAGCATGCCAGGATCTTCCCACGTTCCTCAACAAAGTAATCCCAGCACACCTCATCTGCCGCAACGCAGCGCCCCGCCAACTCCTCATCAGAGTATGCCGAGCACTCCTCGAGCCGGCCAGACCCCACAGACTCCCACCGAACATCAGCCAATGCCCAGCCTCCAGCCACAAATTGTAGGCAAACCTCAGGAATTGCCCATGACACCCAAACGCCCACAGGCCCCCGCAATGCTCCCCAACAAGCTACCCCAATATCCAATGGGCGCCAATCAGCAAACCCCCGTCATTAGCAAGACTCCACAACCAGCCAAGCAACAGCAGCAGCAACAACAACAGCAGCAGCTTCATCCCTCACAGGTCCAGATCCAGAACATCTACCGTGGACTCCCAGGGAACGACGATGCAGCTGTCAGGCAGGCCAATCAAGCTACCGCTGCAATGCAAATGGCCCAGATGCAGGCACAGAACTTTGCCAAGGCACAAGCTGCTGCTCAGCTGGCCGTGCAAAAGAACCAAGGCCAACCACAGCAGGCGACTCTACAACCCAACTTTGGGCAACCATTTGGACAATATCCGGGAATGCTCGGGGCGAACGGGCCGCAGATGATGGCGATGCGGGGGAATCCACCCCCACAGAAGCCTCCACAACAGCCGAATATGCAACAACCGCAGAGAGCTCCTTCAACGCTACCTAATCGAGGCCAACCTGGACCTTCTGGCATGCAGCTTCCCCTGAACTTCCCTGGAGGACTACCGATGATGCCGCCAGCCTTTGGAGGGGCTTCCTTGACCAACGGCACTTCCGATCAGGTATTTCCATTGAAAAATTTTTACTAGGTCTAGATTAGCAAAAAGTTCGTAAGCGATCACATTAAATTTTTTTAGGCGGCCCTCTTCGCGGCCCTGAACCAGCAGAACGCTCAACAGAACATGTTCAACCCGGCCTATCTGCTGCAAGCGCAACAACAACTGCAAGCCCAAGCCCTTCAAGCTCAGATGCAAGCCCAACAACAAGCTCAAGCTCAACAGGCCGCCCAGGCCCAAGTAGGACAGGCGCAAGCCGCCCAGCAAGCCGCTGCTCTTGCTGCTCAAGCCCAACAAAGCGCTTCTCAAGCACAACTCGCACAGCAAACCTCCAACGCTCATCCGTCTGTGCCTCAAAATCAGCCCGTCATCCAAAATGTGGCTCAACAAGCTGCGCTGGCTCAGGCTCAAGCTCAGGCTCAACAACAAGCTCAGGCTAAAGCCCATGCCCAGGCTCAAGCTGCTCTGATTCAGGTAAGGATTTGTTTTTCCAGCTTAGCGATTTTAATTCGATACTAATAATCTGCTTTAGCAACAACAACATCAGCAGCAACAACAACAACAACAACAACAACAACAACAACAACAACAACAACAGCAGCAGCAACAGCAGCAACAACAAGCCGTCCAAGTCTCACAGGCCAATCAACTACACGCCCGACTTCTAGCCGAACAACAAAGCCAGCTGATTCAGATGCACTTGGTTAGTCGAAGATTTTGATTTATCTCAAAACCACCAATTTCAGCTTGGTGCCTCGATGCAGCAACATCAACAACAACAGCAACAGCAGCAGCAGCAGCAACAACAACAACAGCAACAGCAGCAACAACAAAACGCAGCCTCCGGGGCATCGGTTCTGATGGGCGGCGTACCCACTTCTGCTTCTGACTCTAACTCTGGCCCACAAGGAGATTTGATTCGTGTTCTGGCTGCCCAACGCAGTGAGCAAGGTACAATTCCCCGTTTGGTCCAAATAACCCTTATAAATTTCAGAGCGCCAGCAGCAGTTGATGAGCCTGTTAATGGCCCAGAATCCGGGCATGGCCAATGGGATGCTGGCCCAGCAAGCCGCAATGTCACAACAATCCGCCCAAGTCGCTGCCGCTCAACACGCTGCTGTGCAACAACATCAACAACAACAACAACAGCAGCAGCAGCAACATCAGCAGCAGCAACAACAGCAACAACAGCAATTTGCTGCGGCGGCTGCTAGAAGTCAGGCGGACTTGACGGCGCTGCTCGCCCAGGCCCAGCGACCTCCACTCCCTCCATATCCTATGCCTTCCCAGTATGATGGTCAAGCATCTAGCATTACACAACTCCAACAGCAGACCGGACTTCCAGGTAAGCTTGGCAAATTTTATCCAAGGATCTCACCTCGCAACTAATTTGGGGATTTAATTCATCATTGGCATGGAAACTTTATAAAAAGAACATCAATTTCAGGCCTTCTGCCGACGTCAATGCTTCCCGGTCAGATGATGCCAAATCTTGGGCTGATGGGCCTGAAGGCGCCTTTCCCACCCGGATTCCCGACTTCACTCATCCCAAATGGAGCCCCACTCCAAAACGGCGCTCCTCAGCAAAACGGCAACTCCAATGACCATGTGGAGACCCCTTCCAGCAGTCATCAGTAATATAGCATACAAATTTTTCACTCCCTTCCCAAAAAACTCAATTCGGGGTATGGCAATGGCAACGTCATTCCCAAAAATTATGCAGTTTTAAAACTTAAACTTAGCAGATACCATCAGCCGTTGCCATGCTCGCTCAATCCTCTTGATACCTGCATCTCACGGGTCATTTTACAATTTTACCATTTGCTCCTGGCAGGCATCCCTGTGCATTTCAAACCATCCCTCGATACTTCTTCTTGTGATACGATAACCGCATATTCATTGTGGACTAACATGTTCGTCCTCTTCTCGATGCATTCTGTGCCATTTTTTTTCTACTTTGGGGGCTTTTGGTGTTTTTTGTTGTTGTCATGGGTATGCCAAGCTTGTCCATCTTGGGTCGAGTTTACTTCAAAAACGCAATCTCGGACCCAAAAAACTTTCCAAAAAAATCTCGCCACATCCACGCCATCCCCTCATCCCAATCCAAACACAAAAAAGGTTGTGGGAACAATTTCTCCTCTCGCGGGCTTCCTAACATCTCAATTTTTTTTACTATTTTGCCTCCCCTTATATATTTTTTATCGTCAACAAATTTGTCAAGGTTCATTTTTGAGATTGGCTTTTCATTTATATATATAATATTTATTCTGGTATGCGCAAATAAATGTCTTTATAGTTTTTGCGAACCTAAAAGCTCAACTACACGTCTAAGAAATTGCGGGAAACAAATATACATCGAGGTAGCGTTGATTCAATTGATTGGCAAGGTGGAAAAGGCTCAGGCCAATTTGTGGATGCGAAGCCTTTGCACAAGCATTAGGGCCAGGACTGTATTGATCAGGCTGGCTACCTAGAAACCAAACATAATGTTTCGAATTATAATTGCGGACTTACGGCGACGCACAATACTCGGTTGACCCATCCAGCGGCTCCAATGTTCCTCTAAGAAATTTAAGTGCAATTTCTAAAAGTTGTAATACCGGTGGAGTAGCAGAATGATGAGACCAGCGGTTTCCACGAATCTCCCACCAATCATAAGTCAGGATACCAAACGCAATAAGATACGACAGGGCAAGGATGCTGTTCCAAGCAAGCTCCTGTATTCAATATTTTATTTCTTGAACTAATTTTTGCATACCACTGACAACCATGGGACCGCGTTGTTCGTTCTTACGACGTCGAAATAGTGCAGGGCAAGCAGTACTACATTTACTACCTGGAATCACTATGGATGGTACGGTAAGGCTAGAACATACCACAGTGATCACGGCTATCAGGAAAATCAGGGTGTAGGGAGACCACTGCTGCCTACCATCCATGAAAAATAGGATCACGACTAGGGCGCAGACCTAACAAAACAGGAACTATTAATTATACCCAAATGTTTCTCTCACGATCTGCAGAAATTTGATGATGGGCAACGGCGTGCAGAACCAATTAGGTTGGCGCGCCATTTCCTGAAAATCAAAAGATAAAGATTTAAACAGCCATGCTTATGATTGCAGTTTTCACAGCCCAACCCAAAGAATGATCGATTAGGAAAGACGGAAAAACTGGGCCTAAAACAGAATGTGAGGGGACTGGCCAAGCGGGCGAACGTGAGGTGCTGGCTCGGGGCCCACGAAAAAGCCCAATCTAAGCATCAGCTGCCTCCAGCCCCTCCTGCTCGCTGTAACAGACTCCGCCTGAACACGTGGCTCAATCATCATCCGTAAATAACCGCAACATAAACAGCAACGCAAAGCGCAATTTTGCATCTGGCGATCGGATTTTGGACGGTTTTTACAAAAAGACGAATATATACGGCCTCGGAAGCTTCAGTGTTGGCAGCTTTTGCATATAGCGGTCAGGCAGACTAGAATTTCTACATGTAATTTGCAAATTAGTAGCAAGTATCGCTAAGTTTAACTTCCTATACCTTAAAGAGCAGCAATTTTTTGCTTTACTCGCCGATAAAGTTCTTCAAGCTTCAGTCGCAAATCCTGGCAGACTTTTCTCAATTCCCCCAAAGACTTTTGGCCTCATCGCGCCCATCTCTTTCACCTCACTGCAAATTGTTCACTTTTCATTTTTCATCGTAATTTTGGTGCAAAATCGGCGACAGAGTCCGATCGGAGAAGCGGCCATGACGATCACCCATCGATCACTCAAAGTGTATGTCGCCGAGAGGGCTTTAGTTCGGGCTTCCTCGACCAACTTGTTTGTGTGCCCGCCTGAGGCCGACAGCAGCCACTCCGAGAGATACTTTGCACTTGCTTTCGTTTTTACCGGAAGTGCAGGGCAGGGGGACGGCAAGTGTTAAGGTTGATCTGGGTTTTCAAGACCAAACTTTTCCTTAAGAAAGAAGAGGCCACGATTTTTAGAAAAACCTAAGTTAAAATCGAAGATATCAATATTCAAAACATCTGATATGTCAGCAATCACCCTGAAGCCATTACGTACCAAATGACGTAGCATACATACCTTAAAATAATTCATTATTTTCCTTCTATATCTTCCGGATCGACTTTGGAGATTTAGATGCAGATGCACACCACTGAGCCTCCTTTTCTGCATTAAAAATTTGGTGATTTGCTAATGATGATTAGGCGAAACCGCAGCAGTCCGTCAAACCATTGAATTTTTGCCACCATTGCACCATACACCATCGCACCTGATATCACTTTGTATCGTTATCAACAATGCCAAACATGCCCCCGGCAAAAATATTTGCAGCCGAATGTAGGGCATCTTGCAGGAGACGGGCGTTCTTTGATTGGCTGCCCGTCGGCGGCACGTTCAAAGGCTCGCCGCGATCACTTCGCATTAGGTATCGAGGGACTCTTCGTGCGCATAGCTCCTCATCATCAGCGTCGTGATCAACCAACTTCCGTTCCTCCCTCGCCCCCAATCCATCATCACCTCGTTTTGGAGGACGAATTTAAGGTGGAGGCTGGGAATGTGGCTAGCTAACGGATAGAAGCTAGCTGAGCCTAGGGAGAGGCAATACGTCCGTTATTACGTACGCGCGGGCCGTTTGCAAAAAGTAAATACTTTGATAAACCCGGAACAGTAGTGATGGTATTGACCTTGAGCTGGAAAATATCTATCAAATCCGAACATCCACCCGCATATCTTCGACATCACAGCCCCATGTGCGGAAGCGCTTCAGGGTTGTTTGACCAGCGAGTTTGCATGAGCGATTCGTTGACATCGTCCTCCCCCTCCACTCATCTTGAGTCGGAAATCATTGCTCAAAAGTGGCAGACGGAGCGGCGGGAGCTGCGCGCGAGGCTGGGGAGAAGCTGCGGGCTAGGCGCAAAAATGATGGATCGAAAGGTCGCCAGGCTCGCGGGGCGATGCGGCTTGGTTTTATCACCCCCCGAGAGCCCGGGGCTTTTGATCGATGGGGGCATACGGAGACGATATCCACTATTTTCCCAGGCTGATGCTTTTCAACGCCGCCGAAGAGTTGGTTGGAGATTCTATGGAACTTGAGCAAAGTCCAGACCCCTGCGGGGGGGGTGATGTGCACCTTCCCTCTCTTCATAACGTTTAAAAGCCATGCCTATTCATTGGCGGATCAGAATTTGTTAAAGCAATGTGTGCATAGATGGCTCCTATAGTCTAGACTCTATCACCCGATCTCTCCTTTTGCAGACGGATGTGCGAGAGAAAGATCACCCCCCCTTCAGGGACATCCGCCCATTTCCGGAAGCGCGCAACCCGTCCGTTTACAAAATAATTTATTCGTGAAGATCATGGAGCAGGAAGCACCGTTTGTCGTGGGATTTCAAAATTGGGGGGACATTACAAAACACAAATCACTTGGAGGGGCGGACCCGCATTGGATACGACTTTGCTTTTCAAAGAAATTCAGGATATAAAGCTGGGAAGGGAAGGGGAATACAAATAGAGCATACTTACATACTTCGTGTAAATCGCAGATCATTGAACACGTGACAACTCGATATTATTTGGTAGCTGGACATTGCAACGTAGGTGTGTGTGGATGGTTGGAGTGGTTGTACACAAAGAAAGGGAAAGAATGAAATGACTGTGGAGGAAAGATATCTCGATGAGTGCGAGATTAGTAGTCTCCAAAACTGTTCTCTTCTAGGGATGAAGAAGTCGTCGTTGTCGTCGTTGTTGTGGTTGTTGTATTTTGAGGGCCGCCTTCAGTCGGCATATAACAGAGTCCCTAAAATTAAAATTTAATAATCCTAAAGTTACAAGAAATACCTGATAACAAGCTGGTGCCGATTCAGGACATTCTGAGCAGCGTCCCTTATCTCCAGTTGCCCATTTGAAAGCCGGTACCTGGAAATTCTCGTATGAGTTTAGTGGTTACATCAATTATCTAACGAAGTGCTCCTATCTCCCTGGATTTAGTAAGAGTAGTTTTGATGCAAGACACACTTTGTGGAATGAAATAACTGAAGATAAAGTGCATCGCTAATTTGACGCCATTTGGCTGGTTGTGACATTTCTCAGTAGGGACCAAGGGGGTTACTGTAGTGGTGAGTGAAACTATACACACGAACCGCATAAAGCTGGCCATTTCCCGTGACGTATACCGTGTTGCCCTGGGGGTTGTAGTGGCAGACGAAGACGTTGCGATGGCCACGACCCCATACGCCTTGGACATCTCGGCAGGTAGCGAAGCCGCAGCCGACGAGTGATGTCTTTGCCCAGACCACCTGTAAATCGAATAATTTTCCTTGCTATAGCGATGGGCTCAAATTTGTCATCCCTCGACTCGTTTTCTTGCTCTACACACCGAACCCGGAAACTGATTCAGCACACTAACCCAGCTACCATATAGCCCCCCGGATCGAACGCAACACTCCTATGGACATGCCCTTTGGGGTGAGACTGCCTGGCGGTGATGGTGGCTATGGCCAGCACATCGTCCCCCAAATGATGTGATTAGAGAGCCAGTCGGTCGGCTGGACGGACACGAGCCTTCCCGCCTAGCCAGTCCAAATAGGGGCAGCCGATTTTTCTCCCCCCTTTTCCTTCACAAGGGCGACGACAGTCCCTACCGGATGTGACACTTACAAGTGCATCATGCTCATCTTCCCCGCATCTACCCCATCAAAAAAAGCTTTGGTGACACCCAGCCGTTCGGGTTGTCATCGTCTTCCCCTGGGGGCGCATCCCATCCCTCGTTTCCGTTGCACCGGTTTGGTGTTCGATCACGTAGTGGGCGCGGGGGGAACTGATAGAAAAAACGCGCGGGTCAACCGAGAAGGATGCTGAGCGGATGTGTTTGTGGACAATGAATGGACGGGGGGTGTGGACCGAGGGTGATAGTTGTTTATGAGCCGGATATGGTGGGGGAAGCCCTGGAGCTACCATTGAAAGGAGACGAGCAGACCTTGGAAATGGCATTATATAGACTAGCCAGATAAAATGATACGATCTGGTTGGAATGATTGCTGGAGTACCGGCAAAAGAATATTGGAGAAGATTTGTAACATACAGTAAATGCTCACCTGAATGTAGTGACCGCAGCAATGTTTGTACGCATGATTACATTGGCACCATGGGTTGTGAACCTGGAATATTAAACTATGCTTAAAAGGGCTATTTCGTAATACCCCTCGAAAAAAACCCGATGAATCAGGGCTAATGGTCCAAAATTGGGACAGCAGGCGCGCCACCGCAGGGGGAAACCCGGCCTATTTGACTATGCGCTGTCAGTGCGACAAGAGAAGAAAAGGCATTTCCGGTGCCAGTTCAAGGACGGATCCGCCATCTTGCCCGCCCGCGGACTTATTTATGCGAAATAAAAAGACCACCCCGCGGGTTTGAGGGGGTGGGGACAGGGTGACCTCGCCGCTGTCGTGGGCGAACCCCTGGAAAACAAACCTCGTTAAACCAGATGGAGATCGCATCCGAATAATTGGAGTAGGGGGCAGCCCAAATGTTCTCGCCCACGTTGACCCGACCTCGGGAGTGCCGGAAGTCGCAGGTGTCCGCGTGACTGGAAAACGTTTTATTAGGGAATTGAGGGGGGCAGTACCGTTGTGCTGATGCGGCAAGTTCTTCAGACCAGTAGAGCATGTTCATGTCGCTTGAGGGCACCTGGATATAAAAAATTTTCGAGAATTCAGAATCTACATCCGTGCTCGATGAAAATACGGAGCTTTAGATTCTAATTTTTAAGAGTGTGAGTTTGGTACGTGGAAATTTGACTGGTTGCTGATACCGTAATGCACGATCGAAACTGCAAAATTTTCAGGCAAAGCGTTGCTTAATTAAAGGAGCTAGGGAAAAATAGTGCTATTCAGATTCTATTCTTTCTTGTTCAGATCGAGATAACAAAATGCCTTTTCTTCATTTTTCGCAAATTCGATGATTTTTTGCAGCCCTGAAGCCTATCCCTTGAAGGCACAAACCCCAGAACATCCCCTCCTAATCATCGCTGGTCAGGCTGGAATTTCCGGCCCAACGGGCGAGATACCGGGCCGACTCATCAAAAGACCTTGGGTGTTGATTTCGGGCCTAATTACCAGCCTGTACTGCCCACCCATCTCAATCGGGTCGTCAGTTTTTTGCACGACCATGATTTGCGAGCCGGAGGAGCCAGTGGCAAAGTTTCCCGAGAGGGGTCGCCCAAAAAAAGCGAGCCAAAAAGAAACACTGACCATCCGGCGATACCGGTTGTGCTCGTAGGTGATCCACTTTTTCAGGTAAGGGCTCGGCGGATTTCGGCGAACCAGAAGCCCACCACCACCATTCCAATCGTTGTAGTAATTATTGAAGCGGTAGTTGTAGGCTCGCTTCTGGCGGTGATGATCGGAGTCGTCGATCGGAACGGCGCCTTCAGGGAGTTGCTAAGAAGAAGGTTTTGGACTACGCTGCTGACCAACCCCATCTATTGCCACCTCGGTGGGACCGGAGTGTGAATATTCGGCTTGTCCAAAGAGATGAGGAATTCCGGCGGCTAATGCCAACGGGAAGAACACTGCTGCGAGTGATGTGCGTAGTAGAGACATCGTCTGGAAAATTAAGAATGTTTTTCTAAAGAGTAACTGGCAACAAGGAGGGTACCAACGTGCTTCAAGACAAGAGCCAAGTGGGGGGAACGCCGTTGGATATATAAGGGCTCGAGCCACGCCCCACCAGGTTGCTGAAGGGGGTGGGGGGGGGGAGATCGAGCCGCGGGCCTGGGAAACGACCCCGTAGAGATAGTAGTGCTCGATGAGCAGGTGCGAAGCAGGAGGAGCAACTGGAGAACGAGGTAGCCCCTTCTCTCACCCAGACAGCCAGGCGCCCGAGCCGGGCCAGAACGAACGTCTCTCAGCCATTCTCTCGCCTTTGCCACCCAGCCCCCAGCCGACGATCATCGTGTTCGACATGGCGGGCTATGGGTTGCTAGAAAGTGAACAGTGAAAAGTGCACGCAACCTCTCAAGCTCCGTTTTGCAGGCCGGAATCCGGAAATTCGCCGTTTTTCGGATCGTGGGAAATGGAACCGAGTGATTGGGGCAGCTGGAAGAAAGGATCATAAATTTCGGTGGCGTGTTGCGAAGGGAATGTGGAAGGTCGCAGGGTACGGTAAAAATCTCAAAAGGAGATACCTGTAGCTGCCTCATTTGCATCTTCTTAAGCCATGGTGTTGCTGGCCTTTATTAAAAACGGGGTCGAAAACCCGCTATGCATTTGGCAAGTAGGTTCCCCCACTTCCGGCGTATGCTATTGTTTGTCGCAAAAGGTAACTGAAGCTATTTTATTAGCATCTTCCTAAGCTATGGTTTTACCGAAAGTCCTGAAAAATCAACGTAAAGACTTTGAAAGACTGATTGTCTATGGCCGGAAAGGTACACCCGCATCGACCTCTTGATAATGTATTTGACCATTAGGGGCAGCGCAATTTGCACATCCCCAAAAGCTCCTCCATTTCCGGAATTTTATTGAATTAGTAATAGCAAAGCGCTCGACATTCCTCGCATGCCGACCACCCGAAGGCGAATCGACAATAAATCCCGCGCGGAAAGAACGGGATGGTTGCAGGTGGGCTTCCGGTCTACCGGGTAGCCGCCGGCGGGAATTTTCCCCACATCCATCAGTCTTATTTCAGCCTCAGAAGCGAGCCGCCTGTTCTCAGAAGGCAATTAAATGAACAGGTGAATCATGGCGGGCCGGTAAATTCATTGCGAAACTACACACACAGACAGACAACCCCATAGGTGGTTTCGTGGCGCTCCGAGATCTGCTCCTCATGGGATACATAATTATTCGCCTCCTCACTACACCAGAACTCGCCAGCCCTCGAAAGGATCCTTGAAAGAAGCCGTGCTTCCGTCATCGCTCAGGCAAACGTTGTATGAACACTAAGCTATAGCCTAGCTAGTCTGGTTGGAAAAACATGACACGTCATTCAACTCACAACATAAAGTTACACTCCAAAAAGCCAAGACCTCCCACGCTTCTAGGGTATTGGTGACCGCGTTGGCCGGATCAGCTCGCCAATCCAACGTAAAGAACACATCGGTGTGGTTGGGTTTACGAGCGTGGGTGGGCGGAAATTTGCATCCGAATCAAAGCGTAGGCGCCCTTTTGCGGCCGTGACATGAGTCAGACGGACCAAGGATCTCGAGGGAACGGACTCACCATTCGAATCAGGGAACCGGATCCCGTTCAAAAGTTGTTGATGAATGGTTACCGAGCCTGAAACTTTTTGCTTAGGGTGGGGCAGGTGTTCCGACGGCAGGTTCAAGGTTCTTTTAAAAAATCGAAAAGCTATTTTTGCTTTTTTTTTGTATTCATCTAGAGCATTTGATCCCACTCTACCACCAAAAATTTTGCACTTTCAAAAACGTCAAGTTCAACTCGATAGGCTTGTCATATCCGCTAAAATGAGAGATCTTGACCTCGCGGTCATTCTTGTAACTTGGAACGCTTGTCGCACACCTAGAGAATGCCCCTCTCCCCCATTTGACGAGCAAAAATTAATGGGGAGGGCAGTTGAAATGGAACCCCCATTCAATGATCAGTACTAGTAGCACAGCGATGGCTACCCTCCTAGCATCCGCTCTCACCTCAAATCAAATCCGAAAGCCTCGGACTCGATACAGGCTGTATTGTCCAGCATTTTCGATCCTATGCGCGCTTGGAGTCGCGGGGAGAAGAGGGCGCGCACGCGACAACCACTTCCGGTGGGGGGGGGGCAACGCTTGCAAAAACCACGGTGACTTGTCCCTCATCATCATCATCGTTTGTTATCTGCCCTTACCGTATCCGAGTTGCTTTTTCGGAGCTGGTAATGCATTACTCAGCCTCCGGAGAAGTGGTGAGGGAGAGGGTCGGAGATCGGGTTTGTGATAAAATAAATCAAAGGTTGGAATGTTGCCAAATGGAATCTAAAAAGCTATCGGAGTGGGTGATGAACACCGGAAGTTGGGCCGGACGGGGAACTTTCGCGGGTCTTGAAATGTGTTTGTAGTGCAAAAAAACATGTGAAACTCGGAATCCATATCTGTAAACGCGTTTTTCGATCCTCAGAATTACCGAAAATTGACTATCTCTACCGCGATTAATCAACCTACTATTAAACTTCCGTCGGGACATGCACAGCCGTTTATTCTGTAATTTGCCCATTTCAAAAAGAAAAATTTTAAGAGTATGAAGCCAAGGATCTTTACTGTACATATCATTCGTTAGGTAGCTAAAGCAAAAGTTAATAAGCCGTCCCAGATGTCGAAAGGTCAAAACCTACCAACCGACTGAATCACCCCCACTTTCCTCTCTTACAATAACATTAATAACCATCTCCCATTGATGCTCTCCTTTTGTTGTTTCCCGCAAATTCAGAGACCCTTTCTTCCATTAGTCGCGCGAGAGTCGACCATATGGCTGGCTATCTCCGGTTCACTACAACGTACACCCAGGCATTGTGGATTCCCCTCAATGAATATATACCCTTTAATGGCTCTACATCATTTGCATGTTCTACGGGCGGGTTTTCAGCCCTCAAACACACTGATTCGCGGGGGCGCGCAATAAAAGTGACAGCCTTTTAGGTCGCGTAATGCAATTGATTACTCGATGTTTTGTTGCAGGAAAAACTATTCAAAGTGTAACAAAATATATTGCTTTGAACATTAGTTTATTTTATAGACAATATTAATGTACAAACTTTCGCAAGGGCTCATTGTATATATGCCCAGGTTGACGCTTTACAAGCTAAATCCTTCCTTGCTTGTACGTATAAAATCAAATAATTTGGAAAGAACATCTGCTGGGAGACAATATCAAATATATTTCGTCGAGTTTTCTAGCTTCTCGGCTTGACAGCACGGGTGCAATCAACGGAAACAATTTTGGGCCAAAATCATGGCTATGTTTGCTTCGCGCAAAATTCGACCGATATCTTTCCGGACTCGACGATCACTGAAGAAAGTATTGATGCGAGTCAAAGCATGCTCTGTGGAAACCGAGCCAAGATAGTCCTGCTGTTCAGAATTTTCAGCTGCTGTCGGATAGCGTAAGAGCGCCGCTAAAACTATGCTTACAGGAAGTTCGCCTTAGGAAGAAGGCAGCAGCTTTAGTTTTGGATGGTTTTCGTCTATATGTTGAAAACCTCCCAGTTTCTCAGCACAACCTTGTTCGCTTCATAATTGTGCTTTCTAAACCTATGAGTACATAGGAAGACCTAGGGTTTTTCATCGTGTATCGCTTGGAAGTGTGGCCTGAGAAGCTTCTTGAGCGGATACCCCAAAGTCATAATTCATCACCGATTTTAGAATCCCTCTGTCAATCCTGATCACCCTCGTGTGATGCGCCTTGCTTTTTTCAAAATATTTGATTTTATACGTACAAGCAAGGAAGGATTTAGCTTGTAAAGCGTCAACCTGGGCATATATACAATGAGCCCTTGCGAACGTTTGTACATTAATATTGTCTATAAAATAAACTAATGTTCAAAGCAATATATTTTGTTACACTTTGAATAGTTTTTCCTGCAACAAAACATCGAGTAATCAATTGCATTACGCGACCTAAAAGGCTGTCACTTTTATTGCGCGCCCCCGCGAATCAGTGTGTTTGAGGGCTAAAAAACCCGCCCGTGCATGTTCTGCATACAAGGCTCCCTCCCGGATCAGTTTGACCAACTGACAAACAACAATATATGACCTGATACTCAATTTCACATTTCAGGAATGCCAAGCACTCTCTAGAATTAATGGCTGCAGCTCCGATTCGCAGAATTGATCGCGGAAGTCGCCGAAAAAGTGACCCGGGGACTTTATCATTACGGGCTGGTGGCGCACTGGATCGAATTACGTAAGAACAGCAAAATTTAACCTTATTGTTAGTATCACTCAAACCAATAAAATGAATTTTCCTTCAACGTAATGGCTTTGCCGAAGCGGTTGAAGTTAGAAAGTATTATATTAAACACCTTCCTAATTCTAGCAAAAATTTAGTGTCGTAGCTGGCGAGTTGCCATGGGGTGGGCCAAAGCTGGTTCCGGCCACATCGCTGGATGCACAAATGAATCCAGGTAAAATTCCGGTAGCTTCCGGTATACTAAAAATCTTTATCAGGCGTTTTTGCTTCCCAATCGATACTCCTTGATCTTTTTGCGCTGCTTGAACGAAAGCTAAACATTGTCAGCGAAGAGGAGCCATTGGTAAAAATTGAACTTATGAGTTAAGACTAGTAATTATTTATACACAAACATGCTCTTCAGGAAAAACTGATCAACAAAAGTTTGCAACGAGGCGAAGATCCGTTGTTTGATAATTTGTGTCGCACATTGAATGGAATTAGGTCAGTTATTTACACGAATTTTGCAAGGTGTTTTTTTAGCGAGCTATGCCTCCCTGCGGTGCTCAAATCTCTGCTGTCGTGGACGGAACGAATGGAGAAATTAGTGAACGACAAGATCAACCCTGCGTTGGTTTCTGAACCACAACGAAAACCAAGGATTTCAGAAGCGAAAGTCGATTTCGACTCGGAAAGCGGCTACTTGCAGTGAATTATCTATTTTGCCTGGTGCTCATAGAAGTTCTGCCACAGGTTGAAAAAATGGAATTTAGAAATCTTAATATCTTTAGCTTGAACTGCATTTGAGAGAAAGCGAGCAACAAATCGACTACATTATGCGACTCGCTTTCAAACAAGTGGCGTATCGAGATCCGTGAGTATAAATGACGATATCCAAACTATAATTCTAGATCGACTCTCGGGGTGAATCACACAAATTCACTAATCGTCGCAGAAATGTATGCAGAAGTTATTGGCGCCCTGTCAAACACCCATTTCCAGGTATTTAACCTCTTTTTGCCAATGTAAAAAGATTAAATTTCAGACGATCCACAAAACATTTTTTGCCATGCTAAACGAATACAAAAAGGAAACATCTCCAGCCAATGCGCAAAATATTATTGCCTTATTGATGGCGATGAAATTCGTAAAGATTAAGGTGATTATAAAAATTCTCAAGGACACATTAGTGTTTAGACAAACCAAGTCCTTGATTTTGAGATGGGGATTCGATTTTTGGATGAGCTGGGCACATATTTCCTTGAGGTATGAATTCGCCAAATGCAAATGCAACTGAAAATTTTAAAGGTAAAGGATCGCGAAGTGAAGCATGCTGCCGCCGGTCTACTCGTGGAAATATTACTACCTGTCGCAGCGGTAATAATAAAATGAAATCATATCTCTCTTTTTAGCAAATCAAACGAGAAACCAACATCCCGGCCCTGATCGCATTTGTCCAAAAGCTATATGGGCCGACGAATGATCTGGTCAGCAAGAAGCAACATAAATTGGTTGGTTGTGTTTACAAAAGCTGAATTTTTATTAATTGCTAGGCTGCATATCCATTGCTGACCTGTCTGCTCTGCGTATCGCAGCGCCAGTTCTTCCTCTCAAATTGGGTTTCATTCCTAAACGCTTGTCTCGCCTCACTTCGAAATAAGGATTCACGAATCTCGCGTGTCGCATTGGAATCTCTTTATCGATTGCTATGGTAAGCGTCTCCAAGTTGTTTAATACCTGCACCTGAATTAGGGTATACATAATCCGATACAACTGTGATGGCAATTCGGCAACAAGAACCCGTTTGGAAAGCATCTGTGCCAGTCTCTTCCCAAAAGGAAACCGAAACATCACCCCACGTGAAGCACCGCTCAACATATTTGTCAAAATCATCCATTTCATCGCACAGCAAAAATTGGACTTTGCATTCAAGGTTTGTAGAAAGCACAAACTTGAATATTAGATGTTCAGGAAGTTATTTTCGATTTGCTGGGTTGTTCCCGATCTAACCGATCACTTTGCCCGGAAAGGATGAATATCGGCATCCGAGCCGTTATGGTAATTGCCGATGGGCTACAGCAAAATGATGAGCCACCCGCTATGCCAAAGAGCATTGGTCAGTTTTATTAGCAAAACTGAAGCCACTTTTTAGGCCCTCTGGTATCTGGAACTATGATGAGGATCAAGAAAAAGACATACATAACCCGGCCGCTGACTGTGGATATTGCGCGGACAATTGGTATGGAGGATATGAATTTCTCCCTTAACAAAATATGTTTTCAGGTTTGGAACAATATTACAATCCATGTCGGAAGGCTTTTGACAATATCCTGAGAATCTTGGATGCACAAGTCGGGAAGCCGTTGATGCTGACCGCAATTCAAGGGCGCGGAAAGGAGCCTGAGGAGCTACTGGCGTAAGGTCAACGGCAACTAAGCTAAATACAACTATTTTAGCGGAGATGTAAAGCCGAAACTCGACCTTTTCCGTACTTGCGTGGCGGCAATGCCGAGATTACTACCAGATCCGATGTCCCACGTTGAATTAATCGACATTTTGACGCGAATTACGGTGCATGTTGATGACGAATTGAGAACGATGGCCGGGCAGACGCTACAGGTCTTTAGAAAAATAAAAAAAATTGAGCACAAAGTTTTTCAGAATATGGTGACGGAATTTCCGGATTGGAGGGAGAATATAATCTTGGCTACGTTGAATCTGCTCATCAATCAGCTTACGGTGAAAATTTTTATTTCGTTTAAAAGCTATAAATATTTCTAGGATACTTATCCATCCATCCTGGACCTATCACTTCGGATGCTCTTGCAATTAGTGACGGCATGGCGAGTTGCTGCCTCAAACGAGCGGAGAGTTTTGGAGGATAGCGGGAAGGTACGGAAGCGTGCTTTCACATTAAGCCTTTGCCAGGAGATCCCGGTCTCAACACCTCAACCCACTCATCTTGGTATGATGGCCACAACTCCACAAAGTTCGGCACATCCATCTCTACATTCCACATCTCCGTCCAATGCCTCTACACAAACAGCCACTACCTGTAAGAGCATACAACAATTTATATTACACCAATTTCAGTACATTCGGTGACCCCATCTACCGGGTCTTCACCAAAGGGTCCAGCCACCGGCTCGAACAATTCGATTGCCCTTCATGCCGTTGAAGGTTTCGCGCTGGTGATGCTTTGCCAAATTCGGCAACAACCGAGAAAAATATCCCTCTCCCTTTTGCGAGAAGTCAAATCGATACTGTTCCTGATCAACCCGGAGGTAAGGATTTTATAACCTGTCTAAAGAATCTTTCAGCAACATGATGCCCCAATGCTTACGGTACTTGATGAAGCCACCCCATACGTCATTCAAAAATATATCCAGCACGTGCCAAGTCATGAGAAGGTACGGAGACACTATATACAGGGTGTCCCAAAAAAAATCGACCCCCCTCTAGCGGACCGCAGAAAGCTCGGATCGGAATGATTTTCACACCATTCGAAAGCCCTTCAAACGGTGAGAAAACAAGCGCCTTTGGTTTTCCAAAAAATTTTAGCCTTCGCTCGATATTCAATGACTTCTGTAAAAAGCGTAAAACCAGCATCGTCCTGTTTGCTTTAGCAAGCAATTAACATGCCGATTTTGCATAAAATCTGCAGTTTTCATCGATTTTGGCCCTAAATTTAATGAATTAAAATTCCCATATTGAAAAACGAAAAGTGCTTGTTTTCTCGCCTTTTCGAGTGCTTTCGATAGATACCTAAATCGTCAAAATCGGACATGACTGCGGCCCGCTAGAGGGGGGTCGATTTTTTTGGGACATCCTGTATAATAGCATTTACCATTCTTAGCAAAATTGGAACCTGGACTTTGGAGGAGCCTGCGAAAAATTGCTTGGAGTGGAGACGGATAACTGCTTGGTCAATTGCGATAAGGTAGCAATGTCAGCAAACGGCGTATTCCAATTTTTCAGGGTAATGAATACATCCAATGGGACCCCTGGGCCTGTGCACTTGCCGGATTCGCCGAGCATCGGTAGCTACCGAACTGTGAAGTATTGTGTATTTTTAGTTTCCTACTCTCACGATGCCCGACGGCCGTGCTGTCGGCTTGGCCGGCGTTGTTCATCCGGCTGAACGCAGTTAATGGTTTTGTAGATCCAAAGTATGGAGCTCACACTCTTTCTTTAAATAAGTAACTCTTCAGCAATCCCCAAAATGAATCTCGAGCCTCGTTGCTACGCTCATCAAAAAGCAAGGGAACATTGTCTGTTTGTGGTGAACAGCTCAGCCAAGACGGTACTCATTCCTCAAATTCCCAAATATTTTTTGCTAGGTTGCCTATCACTGTGGCAAAAGTATGTGGTGCTGGTTATGGCTTTATGCCCGCCCTTGCCCACTCATCATACCTTGGTTTCCCGCAGCTTCTCCCCGACAAGCAGGTGTGTTGTCTCTTATCATTCCATATCACCATCATCATTACAGTGTCGACACTGACATCTTCCGCGGCGTCTCCTCGACCTTTAGGGCTCGATTCATCCCGGCTTCACTGAACACACAGCAACTATTTCAGGTGAAGAACTAACCATTAATGCTTTGCCGAGACAACATAGCTCATCGGCATGCAAAAGAATGCTTCTAAACTTCTAGCGAACGAATTGTCAATATTAAAGGGTAGCCCCTTATAACTATTATTTTTCTATCTGAAAGTCCAACGTCTCAGCAACACCGTAATAAAACAAAATTTATTCTGCCCTCGCCCCGGTTTATTTTCGAGCGCCCTATTGAAGTCGGGGCGCATGGGCACACCTGGGAACAAGCTAACATTTATTTCTGAAAAGAAAAGTTTCTCTAGCCCATCTCCTGTTTCCAGATAATTTTGTATTTAGAAAGCATTGGCAATGATTCGGTGGGAGAATATGACGGACATTCGAGACAGCGTTGCGCTTGGGGTCGGTTCCCTAAACCCGGCAGCTTTCGATTCATTCCTCGATGAGCTCGGGCAGCGTGGAGTTCTTCGTGAAGCCCAGGAAAAGAAGGTATAGCTTCTAGCTCTTAAAAAATTAATGAATTCCCGCTTAGTGGGAATCAAACGTACGCCGGAGAAAGCGGAAGGACCTGCTGCGGCTGCAATTGTTGCGCATCATCGAAGTAGCCGTGTTCCGGTATGGAATAACCAAGAAAAAAAAGCTTATATCCCGATTCAGTGGTTACCTTGAATCGAACATCCATGCCGATGGTGGGCCGGTGTTGAATCAGACAATCCTCGACTTCATCGACTCGATGCGGGTCAATCTTGAATCAGATCAAGACCGAGATGCGGTCATTGTTACCAGTATGCGTCTCCACTTTGCCAAGCTCATCACCCTAATTATTGGTAAGGTATCCTAGACTGCATTTCAATTGCAATCAGATTCGGTCCCACACGAGCTCCGAGGAGGGCTATTCCCGGAGGAGAAACGGCTAAACCTGTTCCATTTGTTCTACAGCTGGTCGAATCGGGGTGTTTCGATCGACAGGAGGACTCGAGAAGTTGAGGTAAACAATGCAGTCCTTCTTTTTTCTATTTTTAGGTCGGTCCGTTTGTCGAACAAAAGGCAATAGTTGCTATGTGTCGGGTGCTTTGTTGCGGTCCTATTTTTGAGGTAAGATATTTTATCGAGAAAATATACACAATCTCAGCCGCAAAAATCACTGTGTGCCGATGGATACCTGTATGGACCTCTGGAAAAATTCGTGGCCAGCTCGAATTTGACAGTAAGAAGGGAAAGGGTGGCGAACAAAGTTTTTAGATGCATGGTGAGGTGGAAGAATTATTGTCATGGATGGTACAACTTAACGAAAGCAACGATCTTTTGGAATGGATTGTTTATCAATGCTATGCACAACCTCAGGCGGTTTGTTTGCTTTTCTCAATTAAAAAAATCACGCCTGTAATTTAGATACCATTCTATTTTGTTTTAGGTATCCTCTCGCTGCGTCAAGGCGCTTGTTCGAGCATTTTCGCGTCGCGAGCTGCCTTGTGAATTCGTGTCTCTGTTCGTACTCTGTCAAGCTACAGCTGCGGATCGCCAGGTAGGACTGGAACCTCACAAGAAGGTTACGTTTTAGGTTGCTGACTCGGTTCTACTGATGTTGGAGATCTTGAAGAAACAGTTTTTGGACACGTAAGGCTTTCACTTTTGCTAATTAAAGGTGTTTAGCTCGTCTGCAATGGCCTCTCCACTCCTTGTGACGACATCACCCTCGAACGCGAATATTCCGTTAAGGTCGGCCAAATATTTTTGTTTTACTTTTGATAGCTAAGCAAAGATAATCTTAAGGATAAAATGTATTTTTCTAGAAGAAGTGGAGGCGGGAATCTTGTAATGCCTTCCCCAATTCCATGCCATCCTCTTCCGGTCCAACAACTGACCGTCTGCAAGCAATTAGCCAAGGGTTATCCCCATCTGACTCTAATCGTTTTCTCAGGTAAAAATCTGCAGATGCTTACTTCTCGAATAGTTCTAGAATAAAAGATTGCCTTTTATTTCAGAAGTCTGTGCTCGACTCGAAGCGGCCAAACCTGAGCATCGCTCGTCACTCCTTTCCGCATTACTCCCATGGATGGACAACTTGGAGCTCGTCGATCCGGCTGCTGGCGAAGATCTTTGCGAAGGCCCACGTGGTTGCGGATCTGAAGAAGCAACACAGCTTCTCTTGAACAACCTTATCTACCTCACCTTTAACTACCCCGAACAGAAGAAAGAAATCTGCGAGCTATGGAAAGCACTTTCCCTTGCTTTCCCCGCTAATATCCCGGTGGTGCTTCATTTCTTGTACACCATGATCAACTTGGGGCCGGAAAAACTGTTGATTCATGTAAGATAAAATATGATGGGAAGTAACAGAATTTCTAGGCGAAACGGGTTGTTGTGATGATTGCGGGAGTGGCAGGCACGAGAATAGCCTCATTACTTCTGGATCAACTCCAGAGGGTTGCTTATGAGGGGAATCGGATCATTTTAGAAAGGTAAATAAGCTTACAAGCATACCACGCCAAATTTAGGGCCGAGCTGCCCCCATTTTATAAATGGAGAGAAGAGGTAGATCCTCGCCGAAAGGAGTCTATGGAAGATCAGGCTGGGCTTGATCTAAAGAAAAGTGATATGGAGCGAGAAGAAGAGACCGCAACGGAAGGGATCAGGTTTTTGAATGGGCTTAGTATCTTAGCATCAAAAAAAATTAAGGGAGTTGCCTATGCCCGCATATGGAGGTCATTATTGTCCGCTCAATCGTTATCTGCCTCTCGTCACGCAAGCCGTTCAATACTATTCAAAGTGGGTTCAAACACCTTAAAATCTATGAATTCTGGAACCATTAATCCTACTATATATAAAAAAATAGTGTCTGTGTGTGTGTGCCACTTTGCATCCACTTCCGTATCGTTGTTCCAGTCGTATCTCTATAGGGGAAGAAGTTAGGGGTGGGTACGATACGTCATTAGGTGCGTAATGGTCTAGGGATGACTGCCCACATATCAGATTTATAAAAATCGGCCATTTTCGATATTAAATTTAAGTTTTTGTAAAACCCTCTTCGCTAGGAAAAATTAGCATTGACCGGAAGTAGGAAGTCGCCTATATAAAGGGTCAGAAGCGAATCATTTTCATTTTTTTGGTCATCTGAATTCAGCGCAATTATGCAAAGCGTAGAACAGCATGCGGTCCAAGACGGGGCCAGGGTTGAAAAGTCGCGAAGCGGCTTTTCAACCCTGGTTGACTACTTAATTCAGGAGCCAAGTTGCATTGCTGCTTCTTTGTGACGTCATCCGATCATCATGTGATGTGGATTGGGCTGAAGCAACCCCACGCCTCCTACATGCCTCGGTTTTACATCTCGACTCCCTCCGACCACTACTCTGTTCACATGCTCGACAGACGATCATCAACCTCTGCCTCCTCAAAGCAGCCCCCACTGAAATCTTCCAGATATCACAAGTGCTTCTTGAGAATAAGGTTAGACAAATCTTAAAAATTCAATTCTTTAATGCAGGGCATCTACTAATTTATGGATTTTCAGATCGCTGCCGAGTATTCGGCACCCTCTTATACCTTGGAACCCTTCAACATGGATCAATTCACCGCTCCGAATCTCCGCTCACCACGATCCTGGCGCCAAGGAGCTGAATCTCCTTCGTTTAAAAAGGCTACCCATGAAGAGCACAGGTATGTTACCAAGTATGCATACATACAATATGTACTTTAGAAAAATGCTACTCGATAACAACGCCGTCTTCTCCTCACGGTCCGACCTCATTTTGGCTATTGTGTTCTGTCTGTCTGAAGAGTAAGTAGTGCAAATCTTTCTTAAATCCAGTTCAGCATGGATTCGCCGCTATGGGCTAACGAGGATGCATCCCCTCGAAGCTGGAGAGTACCTTCAGCAACACAACTAACGTCCCTGGTCCGCCATATTACAACTCTGATGCTCCCCACGATGCAAACGCTTCGAGGTGTCTGGACGCAGATCGCCATCCGCATGGCTCTCTCTTTCCCCAATCGTCATATTGCTGGGCGGTGCTTCCAGGTATTCACAGCATAAGAGAATGATAAAATGATTCAGATTGTATCGGCGCTCAGTCTCCAACCGGATGCCTGGATCCCTTCCTTATTATCTCGGCTCATCGAAACTGCTGGCGACACGTAAGCGAATGCTTAATTTTCAAAACGAATTGCGTCTAGGAGCGAGGATATCCAGGCGTACATCACGGATTTGATGCTGTGTCTCAACTCAAATGTCCCATATCTTTCGTCTCAACCCGAACCGGGGCCAATCGTTGTCGGGGCGACGTCCGTATCCCCAACACACGCCAGATCCACCTCATATACACCGGCACTTATGCGACAAGGCGCCGGCTTCAAGCAAAATTTCCATGAGCGTAAAGGTACGGAATTTCCGGGAGATTTTGGCTGAGGCAGAGTATATAGCATATCTGATCTATTAGATGCGCGTCTATCACTTCTCGTGGCCGAGGAAGAACCTTGGGTTTGGACTCCCATCGTCAGGAGCAAGAGTGCCGAGCAACTGAAGACGGATAGCGAGGAGGATGAAGCGACAACTCGAGTCCAAATCCTCTCAATTGCTGTTGCCCTGTTGGAAAGTGGAATTGACAACGAGTTTTTGCTGGCTCTACATTTGTTGGACAAGGTAGATTCCACATACAATCACTTCTCAATTTTATAGGTCTTGAATACGACTGATCTTCAACGTCAGAAAACGTTAGAAAAATTGGAGAAAACGGTCAAGCAGCTCGACTGGAAGAACTTTAGTGGAATTGTTGGCTTGGTGTCGAAGGGTACTTGCCAGGGAACCTCAATAAGGCTTTTTCAGGATTTGTAATGGCTGGTGCTTACGAACAAACAGTCGAGGTTCTCCTAAATATGGTTGATGTAAGACAATGAAAAAGACTTTGATATTTAATTGAATTTCAGCTGGTAGAGCACGGAGTAATGGGCGGTCGCTCTGCCCTATGCCTTATAATTTGCGGTACACTACCTCATCTTCTTTGCCATTTCGATGTCCCCAACGCACTATGTATGAAGGCTGCTGAAATCATGAAGAAGGTATAGAAAGATATTTTTCATATTTGTTTCCACAGTTTTGCGAAACGATCGCTGCAAAGACGGAGGAGAATGCCGCTGGAGATTCACCTTTGGAACATTTGGCGATGGTTTGATGAATTTTTAGGGAAATTACAGCTAATTTAGATGTTCGCCGCATATGCTCAGCGCAGCTTTTCGAAGGATCGTTTCCAGTGGGCAAAGTGCGTTGTGCAATATATGTGCGATGGGCTGTCTCCAAATTCCACCCATTTGGTGATGCTCTTAGCTGAGGTAGAGCAAGCCCATACAGCGGAACAAAAAATATTTCAGATGCTGGATCGGGGCTTTGTCAGCCAACACCTGTATGCGCTTCACATGTTGTATCTGCTGGTGATGCATCGGGAATGCACACCAACTTCAGTGGCGATAAATGCCCAGGTGGGGTAATAATGAGTCAAAAAATTTGGTATCTTAGGTACTTCGTGCGGTTTCTCGTCATGTTGGTGGCCCTAACTGGCGTGAAGCAGCTCGAGTATTCAGGGCCATTGTTGAACAAGCACAGAAAAGAGATGCCGATAAGGTACTGATCTAATTCTAGCTTCCTGTAGCTTCCTAGGACACCGCCTCCTTGACGTCATTCTCGTTGGATCCGGAATTGATCACCACCAATGCTGGTCAAAATGCTGAAAGTCCGTCAACCCCAAGGAAAAATACCGAAGCAAACATTTCGAAACGACAACCACCACAGGTATAATTTCCAAACGAATTTGGAAAAATGATTCTTTAGGTGCGAGTTCGCGAGCGTCTTGTCGGATTATTGACCGCCTATTTCCATACCGGACTTCCAGTTAGCATTCCGAATGCCCCATCGGTCTTGTTTTCGAACTCGGAGCTTGGCAGTCCCGCTAGCTCTACTGAACACATTTGTTCAAGCCGGTATCTGTCTATGAAATGTATCTAATTCCTTCTTTAGTGATATTGACAGCACAGCTTCTCTTCCTCCTGATGCATCAGTTACTGACTCGTTCCCTCGTGTCTTCAAGGTGTCGATGAAAAAATTAAAAAATTACTCTAAATTTAGGAATTCGATTTCCTAGAAGCTGAACATGATTCGGTGTCGGAGACGGCGGAGAGTTGCTTTGGATGGCTGAGCACGATGCGACCGACTAGCATCGCCGATAGGTTGGAATCGCTGACGAGGGAAAATACGGAAATTTAGGGAACGTTCCTCTTCTTCTGTTGTATCTGATGATGCAGATGATGATGGAGATGAGGAAAGCGAAGAAAGTGGGGATGGGTCGAGAAAGGGAATTCTCAGTCCTGATACCGAAACCGCATCAATTCCGCGCGAAGCCGATAGTCCTACTGTCAATTCACGTCACTCGACGGTTGAGGGCAGCGACGAAAGGACTCCGTGTCCAAGCGAGGCAGGTTATTTGTAAATTCAAATATACAAAAAAGGGTGGGTCAAGCTAAACTTTGGATTTTCAGGCCGATGATGAGGAAACCAAAGAAGAGATAACTTTTGAGAAGGAAGAGAAGGATAGCCAGATTGCGAAATGGACCCAGGAAATCGAGAGGCCAACTCAATGGAGGCGCGACACGGAGAGGAGTGAAGTCGATAGCGAATACAGCCAGGTATGCAAAACTATAGAATTTCCATGAAAGATGCAGGTCGGAACGAGGACTGCTGATGATGGGAGGAGTCTAGCGGATCGTAGCTTTACGGATGGTCGTGGGGGAGAGACATTGAGCATTGGTTGGTTTTATTGAATATTAAACGAAAGTCAAACCCATTTAGCCGGCTCTTCACTTTTCTGCCGCTCCGCCTCCTCAATCGATACGAGCACGAGATTGCCTCAGCTTTTAGTGCTGTGTCCGCATCATACAAATAGTCTCCAGGTATCTTCGGCTTCATAACCCAGTGAGACATTTTTTAGCACGCTGAAACGATTTGGATGAGGACTATCGCCGAGATGGCGTCTGATGATTCAGATGGAGAAGTGGTCGCTCAGTCGGTTTTGGCGGCTACTCAATTGTTTAAAGTAAGTTCAACGCCGAAGCCCTAATTAGCATCTATTCCAGTCCTGCTGTTGGCGCATCTGCTCGCTGCTACGCGACGCTTTGGCCAGTCTATCCAGCACTCGTTCTTTCACACGACCATTTGTCGCCGCACAAGATGTTCTAGCCAAAGTGGCTGATTGCCCTTTCATCTTTGTCACCGATTCATTTGTGAGTCATACCCTCTTATCGAAATATTTCTTTTTAGTTGGTGCGTGGGAATTGCCTTCAGCGCCTCAAATTTTCATTGGCGGAAATGCGAGAACATCTGGAAACTTTTAACGAGAGACGAGAACAGGCTATGCGAGTATGTCGTTGATATTGTCCGTGAAATCTCCCTTCAGGCCTTGGCTTCACTCAAATCGGCTCAAAAGCTGAATGCCTTGGGAATTTCTGCGTCCCACCAATCTTCCACTCTACCGCAGAGGCATATGGTAAGCTAGTTTTTAACGCCAAAATAATTTCATTTTAGGAGCAAGAAGTCTGCAAGCTATTGCACAAGATCTTCTTCCAATTAATGTTAATCAACGACTCGCTTTCTGACATGGCCCGCATTATCCAGGAAAGCCCATCGGCACAAGTAGGAAAAAGATAAAAGCGTCAAAACAAAAATCTCAGGAATTCTCACTCTCACCGGCTGTTCTGAATCTTCAGAGGGAATTGTTGCATTGCGCTGCGGATCTGCCGGTTGAAACCGGGAGAGTATCCCGGTAAATACAATTACAATATGCAGAAACCTTTTTTCAGGGAATCATTTGCGGACTCGTTATTGTTGTTGATCGCCAATAAGCAATACGCACTGGCTCTTGGGGCCCTGCGTCAGTTACGGTAAGAGTCACCGTTCGTAGGAAAAATCCATTTTTTTCTAGAAATACAACCCCTAGCCAAGAATGGGGGTGTTGCGAGGTGGTTGATGTGGATGTGCTGCTCCTTCTTTTCTGTCAATCTCATACGATGAGAGCTTGGGCAGTGGTTGGCGCAGAAGAGAGTGCATTTGGGCTACAGGTCAGTTTTCTCCTGTCTGAAACTGAAACGGGTATCTTTAGGGCCAACTCCTCCGCGAGGCCAACGCCGATCTTTCATCGGCTGTCCGTCGTCTGACTTCTGAGGGTTCTCTAGGTTCTCTCAGCTCTATATCTGGGGTCCCATTAATGCACTCCTCTGTTTCACGTGCCCCAACAGTCTCTTCTGTCACTGAATCTTTTACCAAGATCACTCTTCCCCCTCCAGACAGTCCATCAAGCAAAAGTAGCTTCTATGAAAACTGATTTTGTATTTACATGTTTACAATATTGTATTTAATTCCCCTAAGCTTCCCTTATTGCCATTCCTTACCAACTATGTACTACGGTATACTCTTAGTCCAAGCTTTAAGAAACAACTTGATGTTACGTGTAGAAATCGAGCTAATACCAACCCGTCATTGGGTTTTCCACGCATAAATGAATACCAATTGACTGACCAGTTTATTTGAACAACCGGATTGGAAGCGGTTATCACAATTGAAGCAAGCAACACAGCAAAGCTTATAAAAATCTATTCAAGTAGGAATGGCCCTAAAAGACGACTAGCCATGATACCATGTAGAAAAAGGCACTGTACAGATCAGAAGGCAATCAAAAAGTGGATCTCTCAAGCTCATACATGCAGATATATCCATCAGAAAGAAGTCGAGTAGCCATCGGATCGTTTTCCACGTTCTAAATTATTTATTATTTTTGAAAATATAAATACCTTATAACCAGCATTCAGACTCTCTTCCATAAAAGCCACCCGGTTCCACCCTTCACGGCTTAGCCATTCTTTAGCCATCGGGCAATCTTTTACCTAGAATATTTTTTTGAAGATATGACTTTCCCCTTTCACTAACCTCCGGAATATTATACCCATTATTATACCCTTGTCGATCTGCCATCGAGTCAAAGAAAACAAAGTCATCCTCAGATCTATATATTATTAATAGAATTTAAACTGATGGTCAGACCTGACAAAGGAGACATAATGTGAACTTTCAATAGAAATTATCGAGGCGAGCCGGAGAACGATTCGATCCGGTCGCTAAAAATGATATTAAAACCAGGCAAGGTGTAACTCTTACCAATGGTTGTTTTCCGGATGGTGGATGATAATGTCTGGGCGAATGGTCCATAAGCTCATCAGAAAGATGAGTCTTTAAACCAACATAAATACCTCATGCTCCTTGATAATTACCTCATGGAAACATCCTTGGCAATATGAGACATCAGTTAAAAATACACGCCTGGTCAAATAGCAAGTGGGGCAGAATACTTCAGCTACTGTAGTCTTGCAATGACCACATGAAATTACCGCTAAATTCAAGCGCAATTAAAAAGCGCTATTTTCCTTACCATTAGTGACAAGTGGTGTGATATCTATATATTCCAATGGTACGATCCGCTTGTAGAGCTTTGTCTTTCCATAACGAGGCAGAGTCATGCATAGCAGTTTTGGTGGCTTCCCAAATCGAACATTGGCTTCTTTCATGGATCTAGAAAACGTTAAAATTAAACCAATTGATAACAACCGCTCCAATAAATGTTGCGTCGTCGTCACACCTCCCGTCATTGCATTCTCAATGACGATCGGGCAGAAATAGGTTTTATCGCAAACATTATCTTTTGAACTAAACTCCAAACTATCAAAAACTTTTGATTGACTAACATCAGCTCAATGAAGGGATCGATTTTGAAGATGCGTGTGAATAGGCAAGTAAGGATTTCCTCGGGATCTTGCTCCTGAAACAGTTTTTCAGATAAATTAGCTTGAGTAAATACAAATAATTTAATTAAAAATACCTCAGTCGTTAAGCCGGGAATATCGGGCAACAATTTTGCCAAGAGTTCCCGAACCTTCATAACATGATCAGATCGCACAAAACCATGCCTAAATAATTATTCTCGTAGGATGAAAAGATCGTACCTCCGTAGCGGAGCGGAAATCTCTGTTAATAGCAATTCGAGTAGCTGCTTGGCGTCATCTGTTCTAGGCTTGTGATTTCGCAGAATCCTGAAAACAGCTATTGTCGTTTTTATTGATTACTTACTCATCAAAAACTTTAGTCTGTGCAAACATTGCAAACATTGTAGCGTCCAGGTAGCAGCTGTTTTTATTACCCTGAATATTATCGTATCATTATCATAATACGTAATAGGCGTTGAATACCTGTATTCCCCTCATCTTCCCTATTAATGCCTGTTTTTCTGGCAGTGCTGGGCAGTAAGTGGAAACCCCGCTGTCTGCGCAGGCATTATCTGGAAATTTGTTTTTTATTCGTTCCCGTTTTTAAATGTGTTTTTACCTGATAGATAGTGAATATAAGACGGGCCTCGCGGTAATGGTTTTTTCGGTCTGAATTCTCTAAGTACAAGATTTACGTTTTCTCCTACTTTTCAACGACTTCCATGTCAGAAACGTGCACCAGGTAGGTTCGGAACGGGTCACCCAGTACATGTTCGAGATAATCACGCACAAGAAAGAGACCGGTAATTGCGGGGCTCTAAAATTATTATAGAAACGTTTCGATACAGCATTACCAGTTCTACTTGTGAAGCGACTCGACTCTGCGACGAGCTATCTGCTCGGCAATAACCAGTCCATTTGACTTCCCCAAAATATTTCTTCCCCGCATCATTCACTGCGACACGGGTACCTGCATTGAATTTAGTATAGTAAAAATAAAAATACACAAACCCGGTACAAAAATATCGATTAAAGAAGAACCATCCTTCGCATCTGCATTTCTTTCGCTATCCCATGGCGGCCTTACGGTACTTGGCATCGGTTCAAAGATGGTATTTTGTCCCTAAATTCCAATTTGGTGACGAACACGAGACCCACTTGTGAGCCGATATCAATATTTGAGATGCTTCGTGCCACTTTATCCACGTCTTTGCCAGCTTCAAACAAATCCAGAACTTTCAGTAGAAGAAACCCAGCGTATCTGAACAATTTTTCATCACTTTTTCTTAAAAATTACCCAGGTTTCGCATTAAACAAAGCTGTGCCACGATAGGTTCCCGTTCCTTGTCCAATTTTATTATCCTAAAATGATTTTTGCCATTTGCTTTTGCGACTTACAAATTCGACACCGGCATACTCGCTGGTATGGCCTTCCAAATATCCAATCCATCTTATGTATGCCTTTTCATTATTTCGCCCAGTCCAGATCACCCTATCACCCACTTTCAGGGGTGGCTTTCCCATTCTAAACAGGTTTTGAAGGCTTTTGTGCGCGTCCATCTACCTTGCTGTTTGCTTCAAAGAACGGCTGGAGCTCGATTCTTTTAGTGATATGAGAGGTGCATCGTCGGAAGTGGAAACGCTAAATATTTAGATGTGATTTGAAAAGTAGATTTTTTATTTTGTTTTTCTGAAATTGATAGGTGCCAGACAAACCTGGGCGGAAAAGCAGGATCATCGATTAACAAATTTCCTCGACTTCCATTCTGTCGAAGCTCATCTGTATTTTTAATGGGAGGGTATAGCCGCGAGATATCGACAGCTATCTTTTGTTTTTGGCCGTCGACCTAGAACGGTTTGGTATGTAATTGGGAAAATAGGGAGAACGATAGAGCGCTTCGGTCCAACCCGTTTTGAGCAAGACCCATGCTGGGAGATCGGAGGCGGATAAAGAGATAAAAGATTACAGAATGAGCTAGCAGATGAATGTGAAAAGGCACCGATCATGGTGAAGAATAGTCTATTACTTGAATTACACAATTAATTATCAAGTTATCAAAAGAGGAAGATCAAATCGTAACACCTTCAAAAGAAGTTAAAAATAATACCTTGATGATGTAAAAACACGTATCATCACGTATGTCCTTGCTCTTGAGTGTCGCATCCAACATCTCTCCTGCCTAAATAAGGCATCCCTTTGATCCTGCAATTCATACCGAATTCTTATAAATCACTCGTGCTCCAACATCCAACTCCAACAATGCATCCCAACGATCATCGTCTTCAGCATAAAGCTGGTACCGTTCTTCACATGACAAGATTCGGAGCGCCAGATAGGTCTCTCTATAAATGGATTAAGATAAAAAGCAAGTAGCACCTTGTCAAGAATGTTGTAGATGACATTGGGACTGTTATATACGTATCCATCAGGTCAGCCACTTTCCCAACAAAGCTTTCCTCGTCGTTCAGTGCCTTAAGATATCCAAGGATATCTCGATTGTCAAGATCGGTCACTTTTGTCAGCCGGTGTCCAGGTTCAAGCTGAAATAGGTCGATTTTATTTTCATTCGCAGTTATGACGATAAAACGTGGAATTTTTAGTGTCAGAATTAGTAACTTACCTCTATCGGTGTGGGTTCTGGCTTTCTATTAACGCGAAACCTGAATCTATGCGCAACAGCTGGTTGCACAAGCATCCGGAAAGCATTCCGTTCATCAGGCGGATTTCTAAAGTAGCCAACGTTTCAGAAAAATAACAGCACCCCCACCTGCGCGCTACTGATGGTGATACATCTATTAGCTGCTCTACGGGAATAACACGAGTTCGTTGGCTCTGGTGACGCAGCTGAAACTGCTCATATGACAAATGTGAAATGCATAAATACCTGTTGATCTAATGAATTGAGTTCCTGCTGAACTTGCTCCCATATGTCCAGGTCGGGCTCGAAATCTCGCAAAGTCCCGGCAGGATATACGCCGGGGTTTGACATGCGGCCTTAAACAACAGATAATCTTTTTGCTAGGTTTGTGGTGGGCATATTGATAAATAAACATTTGGAAATAGCGATCAGTGATAAAATATTACGCGAGGAAAGTGCATTAATCATGAGGGACAATGGTTCATCACTGGAACCGGCCGGGGACGAGGGGAAACAAACAACATCGCTTTGGCGAGGCCACATAACCCCCCCATCGGCTCGCATTGAAATATTTTGCATGCTGATTCATAAGCTTGTAATTATCGTGCAATTTCGAGGTCGATTCGGCGTACGGATGATTTCTTCTGATGCGTTGTTTTATAGCCTATTATTAAAACCTTGCGTGATCCTAGGGGCTTCCCGTAGAAAGCCATTCAGTGAAATTCCGCGGTTTTTGCAGCCTCTCTTTCAATACGCTGTATAAGTTGGAAGCTTTAACTTAACATTGTTATTAGGTATTACAAAAAGATTCAGATATTTTTCCAGGAATACGCTTCTTACAAGGGTAATAATCGAAGGAAGATGTGCATACCACCATTCCCCGCAGGTAATTAAATTTTTTTGCAAAAAAAATTAGGAGTACACGAAATTCCCAGAGCACCAAAAATTAAGTATTTTGTTGAATTTATACTGCAAAAAACTGCAACTTTCCCAGCACACTTAAAAGTGCGCTGGCTGACAAAAAATTCACTTTAGGTCTCCGGGCTGAAATTACAATATAACATGCAACACGAACAATGCTCATTTAATGCTGTTCGGGAATTGGCCTTAACTTTAAAATTCAGCCTCCGCCAGCCTTGAGTATGCTGATGAATTTGTTGATGTCGGTGCACCGGACATCCCTCCTGACGTCCTGGATGAGCTTGATATTGACCTGGAGGAGCTCGAGGAATTAATACGCAGAGAAGAGATGCGTGAGGAGCAGCATCTTCGTATGGTAGTATCAAATTCAATATATAATTTCAACTATGTTTAGGATCGCGATTTCCTCGTTGATCTCAATGCCGCTGGCCCGCCATGGGACAACTTTGATCGAAACGCCGCATTCAAATTTGAAGGTGATGGTTTTACTATGAATGTTATGGATGTTTAGACACCCCGGCGGAACCGCTTTTTGGTGAGGAGTTCTTCACCGATCCTGAAATGCCTTTCTCCGAATTAGTGGAATATTTCTCGTACAGTTTGGAGCGCACCTATCACATTATGAACCAGTTGGAAGAGGTAAACCTAAAGATCGCACGTTTCCAAAATTTTGGATGCTTTTAGGGAATGGATCGGGTGACCAACGAATTGGATAGGTTGATAGATACCTAAAATTCTATTTGCCGCGGAAGCCAGTGCCGGTGTAATCAACTACGAGGTCGTGAAGCAGTACAAGACTTGTTATTTATTCAAATTACATATCGTTGTAAATAAAGCGGCGCAATTTACCGAGCTCACGCGGTAATCTTTTGCTGTTGGCCGGCCTTGACTTCACCGGTGATCGGGTTACGCTCTAAACCAGTTGAAATTAATGAAATAGGATTGTAAAGTGTTACCAATCGTGCGGATCACTTTTTTCGGGGTTCGTTGGGGTGATGCTGGAGGTTGTTGTCCATCAAAAATGGTTGACTTGAAGGTTGGTGTCATCTGGAATAAAGAAATAGCTTTAAAAAGCATTTTTGTCTCAATTTCAATGGCTAGTCTCCATTCAACCCACCCGTTTTGGGGTAGTCGGGGCGTTTCCGCCAAAAAGGCGTTCCTGGGTGTTCAGCGTTTTCTGAAATATGTTCTATGAGTTTTTTCGCTGTCCCTTTCTGGGCAATGGGGACGTGTGGGCATGGGCAAGCTGTTTTTGAGAAAGCCCCTTCCGGCAGCCCAATGATCCGGAAGAATAAATGTCGACCCGCGGCAGCCATTTGCTGCAACGAAGGGTAGGAGAAGGAGCACGAGAAGGAGGGGGCCTTTTTGAGGTCCGAATTTGGCGGTAACGAGGGACACAACGTGCAGCTAATTTCGGGCAAGGGTCCTGGGCCACCGGGGAATTTTATGAGGTTTATAATTGAGGGGAAGGCAGCATCCTTGGTGACCAATTTTCCGATGCTGTGGGGTTAGTAGCGCAGACATGGGCTGTTATTTGAGGCGCTTCTAGACTAGGTAGGTAAGCCACCCAAGTAACAACAAATCTAAGCGTGTGTTGGCTGAGGCAATGCGTTGAAAACTCAGGGTTAAAGCTGTTCGCTTACCAATGCATAAATTCGCATAGGCTAGAGGGTTATGAACGGTGTTTATGGCTTTCGCTCTAATAGTATTAACATTTTTGGATTACCAAACAGCTAGCGTGCATCCTATGCTTCAGATCTGATGTCCTTTTGGATAGCTGCTGTATAGGGAAGAGCTCGAAAGGCCACACGCCATCCACCTCATAATGGGTTCTTCCGCTGCCCCGCATCTCATTCGAGGGCCGATTTTCAGAATCTCATTTCAGGGGGCAAATTCCCTCTAGGAGCACCACTGGAATGAATCACGGCAGGCCGGGCCCATGATTCAGCGGGGGCTTCCGAATTTTACGAAAATTGCACTACTAGTTTCGACAGACCCGAGAGCTTGTGTGCTAAAACTAGGTACCTCGGAAATTTAGCCCTTTCAAAGTATTCGTCATTTCCCCTTTCGCGGCTCTCCATTTTCGAACGTTTTGTCAAAATGTTCGTCCCTTGCCTGGTGATGTAAGAAGAGTTCAAAAAAAAGCATTTGTCAGTGGAGGGGAAGTGTGCGGGGCCGACTTCTCCCCGGCTTCTCCTATCCAAACCGGGAATCCTGGGGGGATTCATGGAAGTGGCCCTTCGAGATTCGACTCTGCCCTTGCCCCCTTTTCCAAACAGACACATCCCCACACATACACACACTTCAATGGATTTCCGTTAGGTCTGTCGCCCAAAAACCTAATTATGGAGACCCTGAAAGCCGAGATGGGAAGGGGGGTCTGTTTTTTTCGGGAAGGCTAAGTGACCAGAAAATTGCGGATGTTGCTTCATTTTCGGGCACCGAGGGACGAAATTGGAAAAAGGACTCACTTGTGGGGTGGACGGTGTCTGGGTGGTGCCATTTTCTTGAGTGGACATGTCTGGAATGAGAATTTTTTGAGTAAAACTGGCAACTAAAAATAGGCGAGGTGAAAACAAGAACAGGCGTAAATCCACCAATCGATGGTTGAGTGGTTAGAGAAGAACTTAGGAAAACGGCAAAATCGTAACCTTCCAGGTTTTTGAGGATGAGCAGAATTGTGGGTTACTTAGCTCACGTTATTAAACTCTATTATACTAGAATAAAGACAGCTATTAGTCAGTTATCAAGAATAGGCCAGGCAGAGCAGAAAAGTTTCGAATGTTGGTAAGCTTCCGAGGCAGACTAGGCAAGAGCTTGACGCTCAAATGAAGACGTTCTGGGAAGGACATGGTGGCTGGTGCAGTAGATGTAGAGGTGACCTGAAGCCCCGCCCATCACGAAAACAATAGCAGGGTTGCTGCTGTTGGATATGAGGCTCGATTATCCCAGGGGCCATCTGCTGAGAACATGCCGTGTCGGACTAGTTTCCGCGGCCGTCATGGAGCCGCGACGTCGTGGTAAATGCTAGGTGTTCCCAGGGCCGCCACCCAACCAGTGTTTCTTTTCGTCTACCATGATGTGTCGAGAACAGATGGGCTACGGGGGTGTGGGGTGGAAGCGCCCTCCATTCGGCTATGAATTCCTGAGGTCAAGTCGCGGTCCTGATGTTTTCTTTCAACAATCACGGCTTCTCGTGGGATGATCCCCCACGTGGAACAAACGCTATGCATTGGAAAGTAATGTTTTTCTAAGCGCTTTGAATCACTGGTTTTTTGGAAATGTGAGGAGCGGTTGTGAAACTTTATCTAAAGACATAGTTCCAAAGTAATCTGGAGCTTTTTCACCCCTCGAAAATCCCCCGGAAGCGGCGCAGAGGCGAGCAAAATTCAAAGCAGTGCGGATTGGACCTGCCGGGGTGAGGAGGTGAAAGCTTAGGCCATCGAAGTGCCCAAAAAGCGCCGCGGAGTGCAAATTGGAGGAGCCACCCGAGGCGTTGGGGAAATGGCCGAAATGGGGCGGAGTGGGGCTCCTCGCCATTCCGGAAATGGATACCCGGGCCTCGCCTGTCTCTACTCTTTTCCGAATCACGCCCCTTAGGGTCCTAAATTTCGACGAAATGGTCACTACATACTATGCGTACTACTATGCTGCTTAGAATGCCAAGAATATGCCATACGTGAAAAATGCGAATTCTATTTCCGGAATCGGTGAGAATATCGGCATGCAACAAAAATTCGCCGAACCTAAACTAGCCATTGGACAAGCTTATTTTCAAAAAGCCTTGTATGGACTTGGCCTTAATTCGGCTGCATTCCAGAGTTAGGGGAAGATCTAGGCCGCGATATACGACTAGGCAAAAGTCGGATTATGCCCCGGATAAGGGAAGCAAGGTTACTGTGCCGTCTTAGTTCGATAATTTATTGCGATTCATTCAACCGGGTTCAAATCAACCGAATGGGGTCTGATCAATGAAGGGCTTCAGCTCACACTCGAAAGTCACTGGATCGGGAGTGTAGGGATGGCAACAGCAGCGACAGACCGGTCCATTTGCTCTGAGTTTAAGGTATATAGAAATTCCTATAAATCATACCTCTGCTCTGGAACGCACGTCAAATAGTCCAAATTGTCGATAATCTGCTGCATCGAATAGGTGACGTTAGGCAGTTGGATATTGGCATTCGGCCAAAGTTTGCAATTTGGCATATATCTAATTAATATATTTCCGGAATTTGCAAGCTATTACTTGCTAACACACGCAGAACGCTGATCTACATCCATGCAGCGACGTTCGGCAACGAATAACGGATTAATCATTCCCACATCACCTCTAAAAGTCTTGATCCCAACCCATCACAATTCCTAACCGCCTATGGCACGAGCGACCGCAGCTCTGCTGGTATGAGCATTGTCCGCATTGTTCTTCAGATTGTGTCATCTCCCTCAGATAGTTGTAGAAGTTTTCAAAGGCCTGAAATATTTACGAGGATGCTCTCTTAGACGTACGACTCCCCAGCGATCCCGGAGGAGCCGGAAGAAGACGTGATTACGGCAACCTTGCCGACCAGGCAGCAGCTGGTCAAAGTAGCCCCGGTTCCAGCGTGATCTAGGTTACCTCTATGAAACTCTTAGCTACCTTACTTGCGCTCCTTGCCTTTCAGCCAAACACATGGACCCCACGAACTCCAGGTTTCACAATTTGGAGCTTGGATGGGATTCCCAAACATTGCGGATAGCTGACCATCTAAAAAAATAATCTTTTGCATATAATTCTAGCTTTCAAAAAAAATACTCGAAAAGTGACGTACCAGTTGTCTGTACAAAATAAAGTGGAAGCAACAGCAAAAGTCGCATGTCGATTCGGCTATCCGGGATGATAGGCGAGGAAATGCGAGACGGGAACTTCCTTCAGCCAGCCCCCTAGGAGGATTCAGGAAAATGAGAACTGGATTTGTAGTTGACCCGGCTGCCTCTCCCCCCAAGGGGGACGGACCGATCAGCGCGGAAAAACGGCTATTTACATGCAAATCCAGCGACGACAAGACGTGTAAAATGTAGCTACCGGTTCTGTTGAGATGCCAGCTGCGAAATCTGGAAAAGTTGCAAAAAGTTATACTTATATTTTCAGCAACAGTAAAATAATATTTAAAATTATGAACCAACTTCTTGGACTCCGGGGGATAATGCTATGCTATAAGTGCCGCGAAAACCTTCTAGGAAAGATGATGCTGATAAGCATTTTGCTTTGCATTGAATTGAATTTGCCGCGTTTTTTTGTTTCGATCAGCACATGGTATCGACAGCGCATTTTTGCTTAGAAATACGTTGAGCGTACCAGATATTTTATCTATGGGTTTCTGACGTTCGAGGACTTTTGACTTAGGAATTTAGGCTTTTGGATTTGCAAGCTGTTTATTGAAGTTTTTAGGTAAATGTATTTGAATGTTTTCGTACTAACGTTGTCTTTTTCGAACATACAGAACATCCAACGTCCCTGATACCAAACTCCACAAAAATAAATATTTTATTATTCGAAAATAAGCAATTTGTTTGAGGTTCACCGTATATTTTCAACTAGTATGCAACGAGTCGGGGGAGGGTCATTAAAATGCAATGAAAGGCACACGAATCAGCAGAAAGGCATATGGGGAGAAGCAACAATATAACGAGAATAAAGGCAGAGTCAATGGAGGGCAAGATGTGTGAGCAATGGGGGTGGCCCTTTATCACAGAAGCGCCAAAAAAGGACGTCGTACCGGCTTCTTGGATATGCGAACAGGTTACACACAATAGCACTCAAAAAAAAATATTTTTTAGCACCAGTAGAAAACAAGGTTATTTGGAATAGAGCGTCAAAAGCGGGTAACGAAAATGAATTAGTGCTTGGTGGTTGAGGTCGAGGTCTTCGTGGTGGTCACTTCCGTACGGAATCTGAATCGAAGCGTATGCTATTTTTTCACTTTTATATGTTTGTCTTTATCGATCTAGCTTTCGCATCCTGGCCTACCGTTCTCTATCACCGCCAGGCAGCGGCTCAAACGAGTGTTGTCGTTCTACTCTGGTCTTCTTGTCACCCTTCTCGTGTTCAACCTCTTCTTCTTCAGACGAGTACATTGAGGCCTCATCCTATAAATACCATATAACCCTTTGAATCCTCAAACCGTGTATTCCGAAATTTCCCGGTTTTCCGAAAAGTGATGATGCTGTCCAGCTGACCGTCGTCCTTCAGCCCGGCCAATCGAGAACTCGGCAATGCTCTCACCACGTTCCTAGTTTTTTACAGTATTCTTGAGACTAGCACGGTTTACCTGTTCATCAGCCAGTCGGGCTGCATGGTTCACATAAGCTCCACGGGAAGTCGTTCCACCAGCGGCAAAACGAGAAGCTGATGAAGCAAGAGCCGATGCTGATTCGGATTGGGCCATCGAAGAAGAGTGAAGAGCCGAGGAGCTAGCCGAAGATTCGTGTGCGGCAGCGTAGTGCGATGAGGATTCAGCTCCATATGAGGACCGCTGATGAGAAAATTTATAAAAAAACCCTTGCAACCCTACCGCTCCTGCAGTGCTTGTCACATGGGTTGATCCATCACCCTGTGGATGATAGTATTCAGCTGTGGTGGTTACTGTATTCCCATCGGCATCGGTGGTTGTCGTCGTCTTGATCTCCTTGACGTTGACGTCAGTGATCACCTAACCAACATTATTCAAAGGAAACACAACGGCGTTACCCTTCGCTCCACTTCTTCCTTGATTGTGTACTCGCTGCCAGTGGATGAGGCGCTGTCGAAGCTTTCATTAAGCCCTCCAGCGGCTCCCGCACCCGCTAAACGAGCCCGAGGGATGTGCATGGCACCTAAAATAGATTGGCAAATGAGAATGCTAAAAAAACGTACTAGAATCCAGATATTCATCCAATCTGGCCACTTCCGTGCTCTTATGAGCAGCCGCCGATGTGGCGTAACCTTCGGCACCCTTCGCTAGTTTAGCCCTCGGGATTCCAATGTCCGGATAATATTCTTGGGCATGGACAGAAGAATGAGAGTGTTCACCTAAGAATAGATTAGATTGACGCGTGTTGATTACCAGATTCCGAGCTAGATGAACCGTCGAGCGTTGCCCATGGCCAAGCACTATTTCTGTAGCCGAAAGCTCCGGCACCCATTGCGCGACCGCCCTTGAAGCAGTGGCATCTGGTGCACATGTACAGCAGACAACTAAAAACAGTTTAACCAGCTAATTAGGCGCTACCATAGTGCGAGGAGCAGGAAGAGCAGCGCGAGAATAATCAGGAGCACCAAGTTGGCGTTAGAGGGTGCAGCCTCGCAGAATTCACCGCTCCAACCGTCCGTGCAGACGCAGGTGATGTTGTTGGTTTGAGCGTTGTGTACGCAATCTCCATGCGAATTGCAAAGATCGCAAAGGAGAGCTCCGCAGACCTGAAGGATCGCAGATTAGCATGAAATAAGAATCCCACCCGTCCAGGCTCATCGAGGTTGCCATCGATATATCCATCTGGGCATCGACAGGTATAGCCAATTGGTCGATCGGTACACTCGGCCACGCCTACAGCGGGATTTGCAGGATACGATAATTAACTAACCAGAGCAATTTGTCAATCCCAAAGCACACTCATTGACATCGCGGGTGTGCATACAAAGCGATTCAGGCATGCCGAGTTGTGCTCGCTTCTCGGATCGTCGGATATCCATGTAGCCTGCGTCACAGGTGCACTCGGCTTGGAGCTCCATGTTTTTGCAGGTAGAATTTTGAGGGCAATAGTCGACGTCTGAGCAATAGTCCAGGTTGCAGATGGATCCAGGGATGGCGCCTAAGGTATTTTATACAGCGGTCCTCCACTATAATACCTGGTGGAGACGCATCAGCATATGATGGAAGGCATTCACACTTGTAGAGATGAGGCAAATCGATGCAGCGTGCATTTACCGAGCATTCATTCGTCTCCTTAAGCAAGTATTCAAGGAATTGGATGTTCACTCACCTCCCGCTCACATTCGTTGAAGCCAGTGGTCGGCAGACATTTATGGCCGGGGTTCGTTGGCTCCATGTCACGGAATCCAGGTCCACACTCGCAACGGTATTGATGTGGGCCCACGTCAATGCATTTTCCGGAAGAATGGCAAGTGTTCTGCAAAAAGCTATTGAGTGCGAGGGATATTATCGAACCTTGTAGCATGCCTTGAAGGGATCGGGCTGGTAGGGTGTCAGATAGAGTTCCGAATCTCCAATTTCTCCACCATTCTTTTCTTGAATGTACTTGATCAAAGAGTAGTAGACATCGCTGGGTTCACGGACAGCCCCACGACGGAAGTGCATGGTCGCGTTAAATAGAAGACCGGAGTCCCAGGTCGCGTTGACAGCTGATGGTTCGACAATGTCATTGACTTCTGCGGAGACGAATGCCGATCGGACTTCGGTATGGGGGTAGCAATCAGACACGCCTTCTTCGAAGCGGTGTACAAGTTCCTAAAAAAAATGATTAGCGTGATGGCTGCCGTCACTCTATTTCCTACCTTATGGATTGGTGCCTGTGGGTTCGAGTGCACCCTGGCATCAAAGACGAGATTTTTGGTACCTTGGCGGGCCACGAGAATTGGGACCGACCAAGACTCGACTGCTCGGCAAGCGCTTTCTTTGTTCGCCCTCTTCATTCCCGGTGGGCATCCGCAGACGTGTCCAGCAATACAAATTTCACCATATTCTTCTTTACACTTCTAAATATATGTTGGCACAAAGCTTATATGACCCTACTACCTCTCCTCCGCACGTGGCAACATCCAACTCTTCAACACGGCATGGATTTAGCAATTCGCTGTCTGATGCAACGCGAAGTGACCCTCCTCCGATGGCTCCGTTGCTTCTGAAAATCCCAAGTAAAATTTTTAGCGATAAGTACCTCTGGAGACTGCCTTGCATCTGCTTCCACAGTTCACAGTTATCGATTGGTTCGCCAACAGCCGTGGTTTGGACCTCGAACTTGAAAAGCAAGCCATCCGGCCATGATGAGTTGACTGTCCTTGGGTGTGTGATGTAGTTCACCTGAATTCATCTTACGGTATATACAACCACCACTTACATGAGTGTTGACAAAGCGGGGGGCATATGCGGTGCCGCCGAATGTCCTGGCAACATCCTTCTGGAAGCGATCGACGATTTCGATGTAGGTGGGCGAATCAGTGTTTCCTGTGACACCATTATATTAAAAACTTGTATTTAAATACCGTATTCTGACGAATACATTAGTGGACGATTGTCGCGGGAAACGACTCTAATTTGGAACGGGATCACTTCCACCTAAAAATATATAATTATAAAACTGTAGAATAATTATCCTATAGCAAAGTCAAAAGGAAAATAGAAAAATAGCCACTTTGTCAGTCGCAAGCAGTTCGACAATCGTTATTTTACCGGATCGGGAGTGATGTTTGTGATGCTATTGGGGGAAATGATGGTTGATTTTGCTATTCCACAAACTCAGATAAAATCACTACCTTTTGGCACCGAGCAGTCGGAGACGAACGGCTTTCGCCTGGGCGGCAGCCACATTCTACGCCGCCAATGCAAACCTCATTGCTGGAAATTCATTTTCATGGTACGCAAATGCTAGATACCGTTCGATAGAGCATTCGTAGCGGCCGCATTGGAGTCCTGTAAGTTTCCTTGGCGCGTCTTCAACAATCTCAATGCGCCGTGTCTGTTCTTGTTGGAAGGCGACGCAGATTCGGCCCGGTTCCCTCGGGTTTGGTGAATCGTCGTAGAATCCAGTGCGGCAGACGCAGTAATAGCCCTCATCGGTATCGTGGCACTCAGCATTCTTATCGCAGTTATTCAAAGCGGGATTCGTGCACTCATTCAGACGGCACAGTCTTCCGGGCTGACCACGTGGACTCTCGTCCCTAAAAAGTTTAAGTTGTTATTTGATTTAATTTGATTTCAAACCTGTATGGGTTTTTGCATCGACACTCATAGCCTCCGGGTGTATCAATGCATTCCGCATTACGATCGCAGTCATTCAGGTTGCTAGACTCGCACTCGTTGATGACTAAAGTTAGAGTTGATAATTCGTGCATCAGGGTGGTTATGATTCTTTATAGGGTTGGAAAATGATTACTGTATGTGCACCGGGTGCCGGGATGTGCGACGTCATCATCATGGTAACCATCCTTGCATTGGCAATTGAAACCGTCTTCTCGATCTTCGCAGTCCGCAAATCGGGAGCAGTTATTTAGAAGCGGGCTTCGGCATTCATTCACCTAAACGCCGTTATTACTTCCCTATTTACAGATTCATCAAACCGTCTTGTAGCATTTGCGACCAGGGCGAGACGGGTCCGGGCTGCGATCCTGCGTACCAACAGGGCATCGGCAGGTGAAGCCTGATTTTTATGCATTACTGATTTCTTAAACTTGATACCTTCAGGCATATTTTCGCAGATAGCACTGGGATCACAGTCATTCAGCGATCTGTCCAGGCATTCATTGACCTGCTCGACGCAAAGTCTGCCAGGGTGCGACCGAGATGGGCTTTGATCGGTGTATCCATCACGGCATCGGCAAGTGTATTTTTCCGGGCCACTCACCTAAAGTGTTAGACGGTTAAGAGACAATAAACGAAAAACTACCTCGCTACAAATAGCTGCCGGATGACAGTCATTTTGAGTCGGATCGAGGCAGGCGGGCTGGGTGAGAACACATAGGCGACCAGGCTTGTTGGCACGATCCGGGGAACGGTCGGCATATCCCTGCAAGCACTCGCAAGTGTAGCTCGTTGCTCCTGTAGTTCGGCAAGTTCCAGCAGGGTGACAGTCGTTCAGCTCGGGGTCTTGGCAGGGATGACCTAAATGATACGGTTAACCAGTTTCAAGTGATTCCATACCGCCGAAGGGATTAAGTCTATTATTCTATATTGCGCTATTTACCATCTCCCCCGAAGGTCTCGAAGGCTCGATACATGACCGGGAAACAGGTGAGTGTGTTATGCATAGCAAACAGCGTGTTAACAGAGCACATGCAACGAGGACCGCGGTTAGAAGACACTCCAAAAAAGCGTACGCGGTTGCGGAGCAGGTGGAGCAGGAGACCAGTTGAACGGCTCAAGCTTGTCGCCGTGGAATGGAGGTGCTGGCGGTTCGTGACGGATGACGACGTCCGGCTGTGCTGGCGGGGCAGCATGGCTTCGGAAATTGATCCTTTCTTCATGAATGTGCACAATACGTCGTGGTGGTGGTGGAGCAGGCTCTTGCTCGTAACGATGTCGTTCTTCATGTATGTGAACGATTCGCTGGGTTGGTGGTGGAGGTGGCAGAGGGTTCTCAAACCGACGTTCTTCGTGAATGTGGATAACCCTTGGAGGCGGAGGTGGTGGACTTGGTGGCGGGGTCGGGAATATATGGATCTGCTGATCGACATCCTGATATCTCTCCTCAACCTTGCGAGTTCTTGGGAATGGGAAGTTGTCGTCTACCCTAAGCACCTGGGTGGCTGGGATTTTGTGTTGTTGTGTCGGTATCTCTTGATAGTGCCGTGTCTCTTCAATCACCCTTCTTGTGTTCACCGGGACGTCTTCAAACTGTACTCGGCTTTGCTCCACTCTTTCGTGGATGTGAAATACCTGTGGAGGCGTCCTTGGCGTCGTTGGGAACTCCCGATAATCAATTTGAACGCCGTGATACCTTGGTGAGGGGACTTCGTGGTAACGTATCCTGGGCGTCGAATCAAAGTGCGTGAATACTTGGGTGCGGGTGGACCTCTGTGAAGGCCACGGTTCCGGCTGGTCGAAGATAAATTCTAAACGCCTTAATAAAAAGAGGCCGTGCTAGCATGCAAAACGAAATCAGGCGGCGGGCACGGGCTGCGAAGCCAAATCAAAGAAAAAAATGGAGCATGGGCTAGAATTTAAGAGAAGCGCATTGAAGGTCTTTGCGTACGTCGTTGAGGGGGTGGTGGAGCAGGGGCTTCACAGATTCGGCCGGGCTCAGATGGATTTGGGGAATGGTCGATGTATCCTCGGGCGCATTCGCAACGGTAGCCACGCAGTTCATCGTAGCAAATGGCGTTCCTAGAGAATTATTTTTTTGGCAAAGGATTGTATTACTTTGAGCATTGGTTGAGGGTCGGATCCCGGCACGCATTGTTTCTAATGCAAATTCGGCCGGCTTGTCCTGGTGGTGACTGGTCAACGTATCCCTGAATTTTTGTCAATACAGTTAAGGTCAAGCTACCTGAATGCATGTGCATTTATATTTGTTACCACCTAGTGGCTCACAAACGGCCGCCGATGAGCATTCGTGATTTGGCGGGCAAACGTCTAAAACACATGTTTGATTATGATGGTTTTTTTACCCGGAGTTCCACAGACTCTTCCAGGCTGGAGTTGGATGTTTGGTGATCGGTCGATGTATCCTTCTTTGCATTCACAAGTATATCCCTCTTCTAGATCACGGCAATCAGCTTGAGCTGAGCATGTGTGACGGTTCTCACGGCATTCATCAACTAATCGAATACATACTCGGCCCGATCTTGTTAGCTAAAACGGGCTTTGTATTTAACATCTAGGTCAAACGTACCTTGTTCGGGCTCCTATCAACGAAGCCACGTGGACACTCGCAGGTGAAGGATTGTTCGTTATCGTGGCAGATGGCATTGGCATCGCAGTCGTGCTTACCGCTCTCACATTCGTTTTCGACTATAAGCTTTGGTTCAATCAAGGATTTAAACATACAAAGAAGACAGACACGTCCCGGGAAGGCTGGTGAGGGGGAGATGTCTCGTGACTGTGGAGGGCATTCACACTCATATGAATCCAGAGTATCCGTGCAGCGTGCATTTCGGTCGCAGTCGTTAAGTTTCCCGTCGATGCATTCGTTGACAACTAGAGGAGGTTAATATTAAGATAACTGAACTTACTGGCTCTGCAGGCACGTCCCTTGAGTGCTGGGGATGGAGAGACATCATAGAAGTCAGCCCGGCATTGGCATCTGTACCCATCCTCTTCGTCGATACACTCGGCATTTTTGTCACAGCTGTTGAGCTTCGAGTCGAGACACTCGTTGACCATGCGCTTGCAGATCCTTCCTGGCCTTCCGATTGACCTACAAGCGCATATTAAGCTTGCTTGGCGGAACCCACTTGTCTCTGAAGCCTTGATGACACTTGCAGTCGTAGCCTTCCTCCAAGTCAATACATTGCGCGTTCTGATGACAATCGTTGAGATGCGGGTATTCGCATTCGTTCACCACTAAAAATTTTTGAAGTAACAACGATGACATACTCGGAGCGCAAATGCGGCCTGGCTTGTCGCGTGAGCTGATATCCTTGAAGCCCGCCTTGCAGCGACAGGTGTACCCAACAAGCTGAACCCAAATTGTTATATATAGTTTTGTTGCATACCTGATCAATGCATTCAGCCGATGTATGACAGTCATTCAGTTGCGGGACAAGGCATTCGTTGACTACAGTGCAGGCACCGGAAGCGTCCCTCGTGAAATCGTCGGCGCATGTGCATTTCGGGATGCCGTTGACGAGACGGCAAACTTCACGTCGTTCTTGGCTGCAGTCGCGCAGGCTGTCAATTCGGCACTCATCTGGTGGTGGGGTAGGTCGAGGTCTGCACAAACGTCCTGGATGAGTGGTTCTTCGAGGTGATTCGTCCAAGAATTCGGGGCGGCATTGGCAGTTGAAGCCTTGAGGCAGATCCTAAGACGACCGCTTTTATTTGGTAATCTGTTATGCGGAATTTAAGAGCAATCCTAGGTGAAGTGTAAAACCTACATGGCAGACCGCATCTTGGTGACAATCGTGTTGACCAAGTCGGCATTCATCAACCAAAGCCGGTCGACAGATCCGTCCGGGTCGGTGGGTCCTAAAATTAAATGCGTCAATGCCAATTTCCTCTCTTTCTTCCTTTAATTCTGTGAAACTAACCTATCCGGGCTTTCATCAACAAAGTCATCGCGACAACGACAGCTGTAGGATTCGGGTGTATCAACACAATCCGCATTTGGAGAGCAGTCGTGGCGGGATGTAGTACACTCGTTGAGACCTGTTTTTGGGTACGATTAACCAAATAACCCCTTACGAAGCAAGCAGCGTCGGCCAGGACGATTCTGGGTGTCGGGAGAAACGTCAATATGCGTAGCTGGGCAGGCACAAATGTAAGAATCTTCAGTGTCAGTGCAGAGAGCCTCGGAGGAACAATCATTCTGACCAGTGGCACATTCATCAACGACTAAAAACAAATATTGACCGGGAATCGCATAGATAAAAATGTGGTTATGTGGTTATTGAAAACCTACGTCGCTTGCACTTTCGTCCAGGCCGGTTTTGGCGATCGAAAGAGACATCCAAATAATTCATGGCGCAACGGCATGTGTAGCTATCTGGAGTATCCTCACAGATCGCTCCATCACGCGCACAGTCATCAATTCCGAGCGCGCATTCGTTTTGGACTAAAATACGAATTATTACGGATCAGAACATTGTCCCTACGTGGCTTGCATAAGCGTCCTGGCTTCACAGCAATACTTGGCGAAATGTCCAAGAATCCTTGTCGACATCTACATAGGAAGCCCTCATCCGTGTCTGTGCAAATTGCACGATCAGGTGAATCGCAGTCATTCAAGGCCGGATTATCACATTCAGGGATCACTGGGATACACACACGACCCGGTTGGGCTGATGGGCTAGGGCTCTAAAACACATTCACTTTGTTTGAAATAAAGCCGAACTATACAACCTTGTCTTTGAATCCAGGCGGGCAAGAGCACGAGTAGTCATTTTCACCGATCTGCGAGCAAATAGCGTTCCGGTCGCAGCTATTTTTCCCAGCCGAACACCGGTCGTTTTGCGGGTCTGAAATCCAAATACAAAGTCGAATTTTGAATGCTACTTGGCTTGCAGAGTCTTCCGGGGTTTCGGAACTCGTCCATGTCTTGGAATCCTGCTTTGCACAGACAGGTGTAGGACTCTTGGGTGTCGATGCAGATCGCGTTCCTATCGCAGTTGTTCAAGGAAGGCGAAGAACATTCGTTGACGAGTTCTTTGCAGATCAGACCGGGGAAACTAGAAAAAGCAGTAGATTTTCTCAGCAAAGTCGGATAATAATATATCATAATTCCATGCAAGGGATAGGATACGTTTTCTCTCCTACCGTACCTGTGAATATTTGGCGAGTAGTCGACGAATCCAGGCTTACAGCGGCAGATGTACCCCTCCTCAGTATCAGTACAGAGGGCATTTGGTGAGCATCGGTTTGAGCCATCAGTGCACTCGTTTTGTTCAGCGACGCAAAGCCTTCCGGGCTTGTTGACGACATCCGGTGAGCGGTCAATGAATCCATTCGGACAGGCACAGAAGTAGCCATCGCCCTCGTCCGTGTCCACGCACCTTGCGCTGCGGTCACAATCATTTTCGCCCGTTTGGCATTCGTTCTTCACTAAACGAGGGGATAAGGCGTGCCCGCGGCTCATGAGCACTTACAGCAAATTCCGGTGATGGCATGTCGCTTCTCTCCATGAGCACACTGGCAGCTGAATCGGGCCCCGTTGTTCAAGCACACCTCCCGCTTACGCACGTCGCACGAGTAGTTGTCCTGAATCGCATGTGAAATATATTAATCAAAGATACCAATGGATTGCATTCGCCGGGGTAGACACACTTCCGGGTATGTGGGCTGCGCTCGTAGCCGGTCTCGCACTCACAATAGTAGTGATTGGTTCTAAATCCTCATTTCAAGCTGACGACAGCACCCTACCGGTCGCGCGTACACACTTCATGTTGACCACATGGTTCACCGCCATTATGGCAGTCCGCATCGTTTGCGAAGAGTCGAATTTCTTGGATGGACACTATAGCAATTCAGAACAATAAGATGGCTGATTGCTTCTTACCGCAGAATCCGGACCGGAAGTCACGACGATAGCCAACAGGGCAGCGGCAGCGATGGTTGTGATAAGGAGTGATCTCACACTGCTCCGGGAAGACACAAGATGTCGTCAACTGGGGGTTGCACAACGAGCCACCACACATCTGGAAAAGATGGTTATTTGTTGATTTTGATGATTTTCTTACCTTGGTAACGGGGTGGCGTTCAAAGCCTTCGGGACATTCGCAGCTGGTGACAGAGCCATGTTGCACGCACAGCTCATTCAGAGAACGATCGCAACCCGTTTGGGTCCTGGGGTTGCAGGGTCCAGGGTTGGCGCCGCGAGTTGGTAGCTGCACAGATGGACAAGCGACTTTTTGGATGAGACTGCGCAGTCGTGTGTCAAGGTCCTTGAATCGGTTGACGTAGAACCAGCGTTGTGGAGAGCCAGCAATCGATTCAAGCTCAGAAGCAAGCACGTGGTCCGTCACACCGATGGCGAAGGTGTTGATCTATAGAACGGATGGATGCGGAACTTATTATTTAAACGTTACCTTGAGGTCCCGAGCCTCAATGGCAGGGCGGGTGACATTATCCTGGGAGCGACCATCCGTCAGAACTAAAACATTAAGATCAAAATGTGTTTCTTGTGACCTACTGATAGCAACACGGCTAATATCATCCGCTTGCCTCCTTGCACCGCGTCTCTCACTGAAGCCTTCACGAACCATGTGCTGGATGGCAGCACCAGTTCTCGTCAATCCCGTCAAGTATCTAGAATTTTTACTTTCAATGATTTAAGGAATGATATCATCAAATCAGGTCCGAGCTTATCCTCGCCAAAATTACAACAAAATGAAGCAAAATCATTTTACACTTCACACGCTTGATAAAGTATATTTTGTAGCCACTCAGGGTCCCCCTTACACTTCTCTCATCACGCCCTGCTGCTCAAATATGTATCTGGAGTAAAATAGGGGTTTTGGAAACATTTTACGGTTTATGGGAGCAGATCAGCCAATATCTTCAAACATACTGTGTCTCTCCGATAGCGCGTAGTAGCGAGACCTTATCCGGATACTGGTTCAGGTCGAATTCATGGCGGATCTAAAAACCGATTAAGCAAATCCTTCTGGCATTCATACCTGATCCGAATATTGAATGAGCCCGACACGTGTGCGGTCCGGTGCGATCTCGAAGAGGTCGACAAACTCCTTGACGAAGCGCAGCACTTCATTCTTGAAAACGTAGCTGCCGATTGAGCCCGAACCGTCGATCAAGAAAATGAGATCGGTCTTCTGCTTGGGACAGGTCGTCTGGACCGTGCAAACCCTTTAAATTTACGTGAATGCTTTTTGAACTTCTCCTACCGTCCTGGGGGCAAGCTGGCACTGCTCGACACGTCAACGAATCCGGAAAAACATTGACAGGTGTATCCGTCGGGGGTATCCACGCAGTCAGCATTTTCATCACAAGAATTCAGCTTGATATCTTGACATTCGTTGATTGCTATTTATAAGTTTTGAAAAGTGAGGTACTGTTTCTTACTGTTAGTGCATTTCCTTCCAGGGGCGAACCCGTACTTGCTGGAAACGTCGACGTAGCCGTCCTAGGAAAGTGTTAGCGAGGAAGGCTAGGTTACCAAGCATTGGCACTCATATCCATGCGCGGTGTCGATACATTTTGCATAAACGGAGCATTCGTTATCAGAAGTCGCACACTCGTTGATCACTGAATTTAAATTTGATTTTCTTTCGAGATATTTGCGGTTTCGATTTTTTTAAGAAAACATGGCTAGTTGCTGTTTCCTCCCATTCAATTCGTTGGGAAAAGGGGACCGGCGGCCTTTGAAGAGCCCCCATTGAGCCGTTTATAGCCTAAGGATGGGGGGAGCCCTCCTTCCCAGGGGTTTTGCTGGTTAGCATCGTCTCGACTTGAGCACTCACATTCCTGGCACTTCTTTCCTGGATTGTTGTCAGCGTCGGGCGAGACGTCCAAGTATCCCGGTCGACATTGGCATCGGAAAAACAGCCGATGAAAGTCTAATGAATTCCAGAACTTACTTGTACGAGTCAAAGACGTTTAGGCAAACTGCATTCGAGTCACAGTCGTTTTGTCGTGAGCAAGCCGAGTACACTAAAAGTCTCTATTTTCTAGAATTTAGCTACTGAACCCACATTTGCAAGTGCCATCCGAATAACGGAAGGCATTATCCATGCACTCGCATACGTGATGTCCCTTTCGGGAGCGGTCGGTGCAGATTTCATTGTTCTGACAATTCGGCGCCTTCGGGTCACAACCATCGAGTTGCAGACCTGTATCCGCAGTCATCTTCTTGACCTAAATGGACTAAAGTAGGAGAATTAGATGCAATTCCTTACATGGATCCTGTCAATGGGTTTCATGCATACGCGCCCGGGATATATTTTCGGGCTTGGCGAGGCATCAACGTAACCTGCACGACAGGTACAGATGTAGCTCTCCTTGGCATCTTCGCAAATTGCATTTTTCGAGCAGTCATTGAGGGTCGGATCCATGCATTCGTTGATGGCTTCAATACACCGGCGACCTGGGAGTCGATTGTATGATGCGGAAACATCGGCGAATCCGGGGCGGCATTGGCATGAGTAGCCGTCTTCTCGGTCCACGCAGATCGCGTTTTCGGAACAGTCGACCTCGTAGCGTTGCTGAAAACAAAGGCCGGTTATTAAATCTGTTTAAGTTGTATTCCCATACTTTTATGTCCCTTACCTTATTAGCGCATTCATTAATCCTGGCTTTGCATACTCGTCCAGTGAGACCTGCTGGCGAAGCATCAGCGTATCCAGATCGGCATTGGCAGGTAAATCCCTCAGCCTAGAAATATCAAGCCTTAGCTTTTTCCCAATAATCTTCTTATCACTACCTTCCGCTCTCCCTCCCCGATCCCCTTTCATTAGATTCGCGCTGCCATCAGCACGGCCCCTTTTTCATCAGAATGAGTCCGGGCATGAAGTACGCGGTGGCCACTTTTTGCCCCCTTTGCTAGCCTGTTTTGCGCCCGAAGCGAATGGATGGCAGCACTTTCACCATCCCCTTGCCCCAGGCACCAAATCCTTAACCAGAACGTGTCGCGGGGGATGTTTTTGGGTAGGTGAGATTCACTTTCCTACCTGATCGATGCATTCCGAGTTCTTTCCGCAATCATTCAATCGAGGGTCGGCGCACTCGTTGATGACCAGACAACGACCGTCGGGTAGTCGACTAAAAATAACGTTAAATTCTTTGCAAAAACTCGGGGTGACCTTCTTCCAGCTGCGCAACGACATTTATAGGTGCTGTTGACAAACACGCAGACTTCCTGCTTGTGTTGGTCACACGACATCGGGTCGGCCACTTCGCACTCCGGTGGTTCAGGAGTATAAGCTAAATTGTTTCGATTACTCGGGTATCTATCTTTCCACTCACCTCGGACACAAACACGTCCCGGCCGAGATGAAGCAGATGGGGATTCATCACGGAAACCTTCATTACATCTGAAAACAAGATATTTTGGTGTGGAAACGGCCGGTTACCTGCAAGTGAAGCTTTCTGCGGTATCGATACATGTTGCATGGGAAGAACAATCATGTTGGCGTGTGGCGCACTCGTTGACGACAGCTCGGCAAACCCTTCCGGTTGGTCGTCCGTGCTATAGAAAGTAAGGATATTTTTGATAGCCCCTACTTGTCGACTGATATCAACATATCCGCTGACACATTGGCAGACGGGTCCCGATGGGGATTCACGGCATTCAGCTTCCGGCGCACAGTCGGCATGTGAACATTGAGATCTTTGCGCTGAAATTGGGGCCTAAAATTTTGTTTTTCATCTTACAGGGTCGGCAGGAGCGTCCGGGGCTTCTGAGCGGGTCGGGGCTAGATTCTTGATAGCCGGCCCTGCATCTGCATGTGTAGCCCTCATTTGTATCAATGCAATCGGCATGAGCGTCACAATTGTGTGTGCCCAGGGAGCACTCGTCGATGGCTAAACGTTAGATTTATTGCGGTAGATTAGAATTCACCACCCAATACCGTTAACTGTACGTCTATTTTGTCTATTAGTCTGTTTGCTAGACTATATATATATTTTCAGGATCAGGTCAGTCACAAAATTGGCTTTCGACTCAGAGGTCCACCGCCTTGACCTGCTTGCATCGCCCTGATCTGCTCCCAAAATCATTAATTTGAATATCAGTTATCAATTATGTTTTTTACCTCTAACACCCTCCCAACGATTTGTTATTATCATATCTCACACCAACCAATCCAAACAGTCCGCCTATTGGCAGCAGCCTAAGGGAAATGTGTGTGTATGTTCAAGCTGCTTGGGGAGGATGGCTCGGACACAATGGCTACGTGTTGCCGTTGGAAAGCCGGCCAGTGTTACAGACAGAAGGAGCGACAGACAGAGAGAGCAGCTACAGAAACTGGTCCACAAAAGGACCCCTCCTAGCCAAAGCATCCGAGCGCCTCGGGAGCACCTCGCCTTCCTCACACACGCTAATCACCGGGCTGCTGTCGCTCAAGTTACGGCATGGAAAGGATGGGTGCTGGAGATGGTCCGTCTGGCTTTCGAAACCATCAGCCCTTGTCTAATGGGTTTCTACGTCTGGTTCGGCTAGGGTGATGTTTTACAAGGCGGATTTGCCACGGGAGGAAAGATAAAGGCATTTTTCTAGATTTTTAGTTGAATTTGTCTTTAAAGTGTCTTAAATTAAGCAAGAGCTTAAGGTCTTATTCCCCTTCCCAACCCCTTTAAACACCTGGGAATGAGCTGATGTGCTTTGGCACGATGCGTGACTCTTCATAATGACTCCTGCGTCGCACGATCTGCCCCCTCTCCTCTTCGACACGCGCTAAACCCAAGGATACTGCCTTCTTTTAGGTGAGGCTCGGGAACGAGCGCACGCATCTTTTTGGTTGTCGTGTTATGTTAGAGACCGGTTATGTTCCAGCACCCGGTTAGGCCGACACAATCGACAAGGCTCGACCGGCCGCAGGGGTTAGAATACAGAAGCGAGGAAAAAACGCTTTCCGGGTATCACCCCGGGGCGGATCAATGGTCCCAACCTGAATTGGTCAGCACGCCGAACGAGCGCCGATCGTCTGAACAAGCAAAGGATGCAAAAAGGTGTTGCAGCAATGTTGCTAGCTTTTCAGGGCGTAAATGTTGAAAAATGTTAGCGTTCCGGAAAGATGGCTGTCAGTAGAAGAGAAACCCTTAGCCAGAACCGGAAGCTACCTCGAGTTGAACTGATTCGTCTAGAATCGCGATGATAGGAGACATGGGTATCGTATGTTTCTAAAATTGATGAGTTTTCGAGTGGATAGTGCCGGGTAATTATATATAGTTTTGAATAGCATTTTTCCGATCCTTTGATATTATTTTCCCATGACAGCTGTGCGCTGTGATTTTCAGGGGCGCGAAATTTCCAGGCTCAATCCCCTTGACTCATCCAAAATCTTGTCTGTATTCCCACATTTCTCAATTCAGCCTTGCGAGAAAGAGTCGGTGATCCGATGTGAAAGGTATACAAACAGGAGCCGAGGGGGTGACGGCGGTAATGGTGTTGGTGCCTGGCTATCGTGTCCGCCCTCCTCCCTACATCTACATCTCCAAGGTCGGCACTCCTTCTTCGCCCCCCGGTGAGCACGCGACCAACGGAGCCTAATCGCCATCCACAATTACGGACGCCGCCGAGAGGACGGACACTACTGACCCCCTAACAATCCTTTCCGATCCACCCTCACCCCCAAACGAGACACAAATATGATCAATCGCTCTGGTTGATTGGGATGGGTCGCCAAAAAAATTTGAAAAAGATTACTCGAGATGAATTTCATTTGAGAAATGCAGCTGGAAATGCTCTGGGCTATCAAAAACTGTGCCAAGGCCGAAGCAAAATTTTTGAAACGCTCTATCGGGGGATGTCTCCGAATTTCAAAAAGTTATGCAACGAGCTGGTTCTAAGAAACAGGTCCGAACGTTTCCGACGGATTCCGCAAATTTTGCTAAAATCTCAATACGATCTTAAGAAATCACGTAATACTTAAGCTATTTTTACCAAAAACCCGTTTTTAGGGATTCTAAGAACTAAATTCGATAAATTTATGTAAATCCCAACACTACTACCCCCTAACATGCAACTCAACCCTCGGAACATACAGCTAGTCACCGTCTCAGGGTATTTCGCAGACCAAAACAGGCCCGAATTGCATGCGAGCCTGGATTTTCGCGTAGCCCTCAAAAACAGCTGGATACCGACCAAGCGCTGGGCGGGGGATGTTAGATGGAGGGAGACCATCGAATGCACAATTTGCCAATTCCGACCACAGTCCGGGCCCGCAGAAATAAATGAGGGGCACCTGGAGGGGGATCGGGTTGAGGTTGTATTGTGTTGTCAGCCGTTTTTCGAAAGCCTCTAAAATAGCCGAGGTCACAGCGGGTTGCGAGCCATAGCTCTCCCCCCCCCCTGGAATCGGATCATTTTGAAAGGGGAGGAAGAAGAGGATTTTTAGGGCAGGGTCACCGGGCGATGGATTCGGGCAAATTTGTGAGGATCAAGAGGCTCAGGGTTTGGAAAAAGAGATGGCTATTGAAAATGAGCAATTTTTGTTATCCGGCTAAATAAAAATTGTTCATTTGCATGCACGCCTCCGTGACGCCTGTACCTAGAACCTCAGGCACGGTTTTTTGTCTTGGGAAAGCGTCGTTAGGTTAAGGTTGGGCCCGAATAGACATCCGACATTGGTTTTTACAAAAATATTCCTTCGCGATCCAAAATAATAATTTTTGGGAAATTTGTGCCACTCTATTAGTTGGGATTGCGAGTTTTGACTATTAGAAGGATCATGTTCTTTCCATTTTTTCATTCCCGCATTCAAATTACCGATTGTGATCCTCCCGGACGGGCAAGTTTAAATTATTTTCAAGTTTACGAGCCAATTTTTGCATGGATTTCGCCGGGAAGAATGTCGGACCGGCGGGCTATCGTCGATCGGATCATGTCCGGATGGCCGTGAGGCATGGATGGAGGCAACGGGCATTGTGTTGCAATCGCTCCTTGGAATCCCGAATGATGCCGTGGTGAGGAGGTGTGAACCCGGGTGCCGATCCGAGGCTCTCGGCCGATCTATTGCTTAGATTAGAGGCCCGAAAAACAGGGTGCTAATTTGGCACGAGCTGCCATGAGGTTAAATGTATCTAGGAAAGCTTCCGCTGTACGCGATTATAACAAGGTCCTATTTCCGCCTATCTGCCTAACTTCCCCAAGATAAGCCCGCCTAGCTTCAATCAAAATCCAAGCACCAACTTTTAGCGGAAAACTTTTTATGATCCAGAAGCTACATCAGCTCGCCCCAAGTGTTGCAGACAATCATCCATTGTCACGTCCTTCCGGGCTTCGATTGAAGATTTCTGCTCGAGAAGCATGGGGGTCAACCCGTTAGGTGAAACACATTCATGGATTCCGATTTTCCTTTTCCCTGGCGGTCACCAAATTAGGCCAAAAGCGGCTGGGGGCTAGGAAGTGGGGGGAGGAAGGGATCGAGCTCCCGGCGGGCAGTCATTTCTGCCCGTATCGAAAAACGGGGGAAAAACTGGAGGTGAATCCCGGTCTTCAATGATCGAGAGCCAAGAGGGGGTAGATGGAGGATGAAGGTGTTCGCCGTTATGCAAAATTGGAACATGGGTCCCGGATAGTCATTGACCGTGATCGGCGATGACGGTTGGTTTCCCTTTTTGGGGGACGCCACCGAACACTTGACTGATTTCTGAGGTGTGCGAGTGGGAATTGGGGGAGAAGGAAAGTTGACATGGCTAAATAACTAGGGCAGCCTTGAGAGGAAGGGAAAATCTAGAACACTTTGGATGATCAGTTGTTCAAAAAAATGGGGGGGGCTAAGAAACGCAGATGAAGAGATCAGGAAAAACTACGTGCTTGGTTTAAGGCCATTCAAGATTGAAACAGTATAAAAAAATGTAGAAATTGTAGTTCCTTCACCTAGGCGCATTGTAATTCTTAAACATTCATTTTGAACCTGGAAACTTTTTAGTCTCTCCCCTCGTACAATACCATACAAACGTTTTTCGTTATCAAAAAGGCAAAGGAGGGTTGAGTTTAAACATTGTCTCGGTACTTTCCACAATCTCCCCCCTTCGGCCCATTCAAGAGCGCTGAAGCGTGCGTGTCCGACTGGGTGGTGCCTATGGCAGCCCATCTCAACTGGCTACTCGGCCAGATCCGCTCTACTCCGAAAAGCGACACCCCCAACAGTCACTTTCACCTTTAGTAGCTCCCCCGCCATCCCTTTCAACACAGAAGTGCCACCAATTCAACGAGTCAATCGAAGACGAGAGAAAAACGAAAGGGCAGACAATTAATGGCAAGCACCCACCTCGGACACATTTGCGACCCGGATACCGCTTGTCGGGGCTCGCATCAAAATAGCCGCGGGGGCAATGGCATTGAAAATAGCCGGGTTGTTCGGAAACGCATTCTGCAACGGCGTCGCAGTCATGGAGTGAGTAGTCTTGGCAGGGGTTTGCGCCTGAAATAGGGGTGATTTGAGACCCAGGAGCGAAATGGATATTTGACGGTTTCATGGTCTTAAGGGGATAATAAAGACCAGTGCTGCTTTGATGTGCCATTGACAAAAAAAAATAAATTAGAAGCGTTATGTAAAACGGAGGGTACCCGAATTATGCTAATTTTCAAAGTAAACCTTAATTGGCATGGACCTTCCCGAACCCTTTAAAGTAAATCTAACATGCCATTGCAATAGTTAAGTCGTACATGAAACCAACCCTTTGATATGGCCACTATACATGCCAATAGCCCGAGGACTAGCCTGACCGGATTGAGCATGTTGAATGGATGGCCCTAGCGGCCTCGGGGCCCAGAATCGCTGCCAAAGGGACCTCGATTCAGGGGGATATCCGAGCCGCGAACGAAACAAGGCGTAGCCTACAACCAAAAGCGGAATAGAGCGAAGGCGAGCCTAAGTGGCTAAGGAGCTGGCGGCCAGAGTCCGGGGGAATCCGCCTGACGGCTGCACCGCGCACCCTGGACACGGCTCCGCCCCCGGCGCGCTAGGCTCTTCATCACCCACCCCCCCCCCTTCCCGTACCTTTAATCCAACCACAAATACATTCTCTTTGTGGATGTGGACAAAAACAGAAACCAACTAGTAAGAGACGAAGAAACTATGAGGAAAATGGGAAAATTAGATTACGGTAGACCCGTCAAATTTTGCTTATATAATTTTTAGTTTCAGAGCTATTACGAGCGTATGACGATGAAAACCTCACTTTTGTCTGTCGTCAGCTTTGCGCAGTTGCGGCCTGGGTTTTGCTTGTCAGTGTCTTGATATCCACTAGCACACGAGCACTTTGTCGAGTTGCCAAAATTCAGGCAGATAGAGCCTTCCTTCGTCTCATCGGAGCTGACTGAAAAAGAGTTTTTTTGGTATTTCTTGTCATTAAAGTGGAAATGGGTACATAATTAGCCAAAACTAGCTACAGCTAATTCAAGCAATAGATTAAAAAAGTTCATTTATTAACTTCATTGTCACCGATGATGCGACGTGTTTCCGTTATTTAAACCCAACCCGAAGTCTAAAAATTTGAAGCCTTGCTCCAGATCTCACTCGTACTTCATATGTCTCATTTCTCCATGCTTTGCCCTACTGATGACCGAACGCCCAGCCCATCCCGGCGTGCTCGAGAAAATTTTGGGGAGCCGGAACAGGACATGTTGAGCGGATTTTTGCACTTTCTCTTCGAAGGGCTAAGCCTCGAGGGCAGGGCGGTGGCTCTTTTGTTTCGTAATGAAAGGTGGGTTGGGTTGGAGAAGGAGATGACTGACCGGTGCGGGGCGTTGTCAGTCGTTCGCCGTAACTGGGTCAGTCTTCTTCGTCTCCAACCCACCCGAAAAGGGCTCGACCACAAAACGTCCCCATCACAGTGATAGCAATGCCTTCTTGCCCCCCTCCTGAGCACAAAGTGGTTACCACGGATGGGACGGACGATAAAGGGGAAGGACATTGAGGGGAATTAAAGATTCTGGAGCAGACTGACGGATTGAGGGTCAATTTTGGGCGAGGTACACGAATGTACGGCAAAATCGAATGTACGGTATTCTTTTCCCTTTCAACAAACGTTCAACAAACTTTTTGAAGCTTTTATGGCTCGATGTTTAAAGCTGGAGTGGGGTCGGTTCCTACATAAACACTACATTTAGATCGAACCTAACTCCGACTTCAAATCTGAATAAACACGTATTTGAGTATTCTCTTTACAGCGAATTCCATTTTTGCAGGTCGTCAATCTGAACAATCGAATAATTTGAGCCTGCGCCTCATTTGCATACCAAACACCATGTTCTAAAAATGCTTCAGATTATTCAGTTATCCAGATTATTAGATTTAAATTAGAAGTATGATGTATTATGTAGTAGATAGTAGTTAGTAGAAGTATGGCCTACGTATTGCGCAATCTTGTTTACGAATCTGAGTGGGCTATCTGATTTGCATAAGAACAGCTTTACCCAGCCCTTCCTAGCAATTTATCAACGTCATTAACGCTTTCAACAGCCCCCGGATAGAAGGTCGAGGGTGCGGCTCCTTTTTTTTGGGGAGTATGAGGGAATGGAGAGGTAGTGAAGGGGGGATGAAGCATAACTTTCCTTCTTCATCTAGGAGGACGGGGGGTGTTTACGGACTGGCCTGTCGAGGCAGCGCCAGCCGTCTCTAGTAAAAAGCCCCCCCATGGCTGGCGGTTCGGATTGTGGAAAAAGCGTGAAGTCGTCACGCAAGTCTCTTGCTAGGCCTTTGAAGGGTTGCCGGAAGGGATTGAGGGCATGAAAATGGGGTTGCGTTTTAGTTTTTAAGGGTTAATCATCTTAATTGTCTGGCTAGCAAATTATGGGCCTTATGTAAACTAGAATTGAGGAAAATGGAACGCCCAGGGTTTTCGCCGTCGTCAATTAATAATTTTGAATCGCTATGCTAATTAAAGTTCAGAACCTGCGATTTTCCGCCTATTGTTAGTAACTCTTGGAAATCTATCCAAAAACTTCCACATATTTAATTAATCTATCAACTCCTCTCAGATACCGATACCATATTCAAAACCCAATAAGTTGCACATAGAGCATCTCCGCCAGCCACTGATTAGTCATCGCGCCGTGCGGGACACGAACAGCCAAAAAACGAGAATGAGGCGCCTAATGGCCCGCAAAAAGCTGCCCCGCTAACGCGATCCTCCCTCCAGAAAAAGGGTAGTAGCAGCGAAAGCTGACCACCGTTTCGCAGCCGCATGATTAAGTCATAAAACATAAGGGCATGCGGTGAAACCCCTAAGCAGGAGAAGGATCGTCAGCAGATCGAAAATTAGATCCGATACGTCTGACTGAACGGCTAAAATGGACTTACATTGCGTGCAGAATCGCCCCGGCTTCTGATTATCGGTAGATGCATCGACGAAGCCGTCCTGTAATGTGGGCCGGGTTACTGTACAAAAACCCGGGATAGGTACCTTGCATCGACACGAATATCCTTGAGGTAGATCAGCACAGATGGCATTTTTGTCGCAATCATGGGCCCGACTCGCGCATTCATCAACTACTACACCCGCAAATATAATAATCAAAAACCCTACATCTTTGGCATTTCTTTCCCGGTTTTCTTGCCCCTTCTGGCGACACATCAATATACCCATAGTTACATCTAAATTCAAATTTCTTAATTTCAATCGAAACTTCCTGTTTTTCGAAAGAACTTGGGTCCTACCTGCAAGTAAATCCGTTCGGTTTATCTATACATTTCGAATTTCTGTCACAATCGTTGAGCTTCGGGTCCGAACACTCGTTAAGCACTAAAATGGCATAGTTATTTATAGGAAATACTTACATCGCCTACAACGTCGGCCGGGTCGTGATGTGGGCCGATCCGAGACATCTAGGTAACCCTCTCGACACAGGCATTCAAAGCTTGATTTATAAGTTCAACTATTTAGACATAAGCTTTACCCATGATCGTTATCCATGCATATGGCGTTTGGGTCGCAGTCACTTAATCCTTGCGAACATTCATCAACGAGCACTAAACAACTTATATAACTTGCATTTTTTTAATCTTACCAACGCATTGTTCATCGACAAGCGTCGCTTCCTGCACACATCCGCAATAATAAAAGCCTTGAAGGTCCAAGATACAGGCAGTGTTGTTGCCTTAATTTCAAAACCTTAATCAAAATTTACTTTTGTAACTACCCGGGCATTGATCAGCCGGACCGGTTGGTTGGCAGCTGCCCTCGGATTTAAGCATACGGTATAGCTCCTCATCCGGAAGCATTGTTTCAAGGTCCTGCATCTCATTGTCGACTGTTCGTTTCTAGAAAAACCGCGATATAAAAATCATTTCTGAATTACCGTAACATCAGATTGAGCCCCATCTTTCGTCGTTCCCATCACCATTTGTGCATCTTTGCTAACAGTTGTTGGAGGCACATCTTCAGCCAGTTCTAGTGAGCTGTCAAGTATCGATGCAGGCTAGGTTGAATATTTTCGATAAAGATCGTTTTGCTTACCTGGTGCGTCGGTTGTTCGAATTGTAATGCTGCCATTAGATGGGTATTCTAAAGAATATATTTATTTCCTAGTTTCCCCTTACCTTCAATCTCCCAATCTGTAGTCGCACATCTTTTTGATAATCCGTGCAATTGGCTGCTGGATTTGCAAGGTAAGCCGGGAGGAGTGATGGTGGAATGCATCTGATTTGCATAAAAGTGCAGTTTTTAAACTGAATTACCTGGTCGACCCCACTGGTCGCACCAATCCAATCTTACAGACACATCGCCATGCACCACCAACTAGCTGCAATGGATTTTTTTGGCTTTGTTTTACTAAACAAGTAACTTACTATGCAGACTTGGCCCAATTCTTCAGGACACGGATTTGGCTTTGAGCAAAGGGCAGTTTCTTTCGAAAACGTAGCGACAGAAGCCATTCTCCCAGGGGTACCATCGTCACATGATGTTGTTCGAGTCCTAATCGATTAAGATGTTTTAAAAGTAGATCGACAACCCCTTACCCATTCCCCTCATCGGATCCATCGGAACAGTCACGATATTGATTATTTACAAGAGTTGCTCCAATACATCGTGGGGTCCCGCAGGTACATTCAAATTGGGAGGCAGTGCATTCTTATGGAAGTTGATTTGTGAAATTGCAAATCCTATTACCTTCATCACTTCCATCCTTACAATCATCGTGGCCATTTTGAAAAAGTTCAGCAGCTATACAGCCACCGTTTCGACAGGAGAATTGGGTGGGGTTGCAGGCTTAAAAGTTAGTTTGGTAATTCTTAACCCAAAATATAATTGTTAAAAAACACCAACGTTCATCGCTTCCATCTTTACAATGTTTCACGCCATCCTGGAACTTTGTTGGCTCGATGCATGCCGATCTGTCGCTGCATACAAAGTAGTGAGGTGGACAGCCTCAAATATTGTTATGTGCTTACTCTTTTCTTTCTATAGTTTGTATCTTTCTTGCACAGCAATCACTCTTATTTCTACACCACACCTTCATCGGCTCCAGATTGACAATTGATTGTCCCGTCATTCACCCGATTTGTCTCCACGCACCGCGGATTCCCGAACTTGCAATCGAACTGCCAGGGGAGACACACTGGAATTTGAGGATTCTTTTCAAACGCACAATACCGAGTGTCCAGAGGACCTTCTTTTAGAAAGTGGGTCGGTACTCGCTGTCCCAACAGCCTCAAGGTCGGCTCAAGTGCAGCAAATAAGCTAATCATCTGCACTTGGCCTATATTTTGTACTTTTAGGCATTAGAAAAGCTTTGAATGACGTTTGCAGCTTACTTAGCTTGCCGTAATACTGTTAAGGTACTTTCTACAACTAGGAGTCACTGGTTTTGTGATTTTCATACGTGTTTTGTGAAAAACGGCAGTTTTTAAAAAATTCCCGGTAGTCATGAATAGGAAACGGTCATACGGGGCAAAGGTCACACCATTTTTGAAACTGCTTGCAAAATGTTACTTTATTTTTTCAGACAATCCCCAATGGGTAAATGCTTTTTTCGAGTCACAATTCTATTTTATGCGATTACCCTTACTTCCCTTTCAAGCGGAATTTTAAAAGCCTCACACCACCCCGGCTGTCAGCTATGAACACCCAGCTGGAGATCCCAAGGTCCCAACCCATCATCGAGAGCTACGACAATGAACCTCGACACCCCCATGTGAGGGTTCGTGACTGTCCACAATATAAGACCTTGAGCTGTCTTTCCGCCTTGCTCCTTTTCGGCCCCTTTTAGGACGCTTCTGACTTTGGTAAATCGTATTTCAACAAAATCCAGCTCTTCCTTCAAACCGCGTAATCAAAAACCGTATCCAACGGAACGCTACGCAAAATAACCTTACGCGCCACAAAAACACTTGAAGCTACCCGCCACCATTCCCGGAGGGTGGTCGTCGAGGCGAGACCATGAAAATTACTCTCCCATGGCATCAACTACCGTATTATGTTCGCTTCGTGGGGAGTCAATGGCACACAAAAATGGTGGAGCTGCTATTGTGTCTTGAGGGTCGATGATTCAAGTATGCCAGATTTAATCAGTAGCTTTTATTTTAGTATAATAACAATAGTTATTTTACTTCATTTAGGTATTGTTTCAAATAAAGCCGCTTTATTAATATTACAGTTAATAGGCCTACCCTAGCATCTCTCTCCCCATCTACAACTCCTTCAAGGCTAAATCCATTTTGTAAGTATGGGACATAAGCGTGCCACACGCAGGGTCCCCCATTGTGCCTTTATGGACTTTTACGGTCTCCTGGAGGTCATCCTCCCCTCAATCCCTGTTCACATCCCCCCTCTTCTCCATCTCCTCTCGTCACAGTCTTTTCATTCCATTTGGAGAAAGACCGGTGAGAAGTGGAGTGGAAACGGATCTCCCCCACCTGGCTCGAGAACGGACTGTGGAATCTCCTACTCACACAAAAAGTGGCAAGTAGTTTAAGTAGGTTCTTGAATATACTTGGGAAGACAGTGATACTTTCAAGGAACCCGTCTTAAAAGGGTTTGCCCACCTTCGTCACTGGCATCCACGCAATCCTCAATCCCATCCTGCCACTGCACCAGCGAAATACATTGGTCACCGAGGGTACATGAAAATTCGTCCTTCGAACATTTCGAGGCGGTTGCTGCTCGGAGTAGTAGAATATGAAGGAGAAAAGGGAAAAAGCGAATCAAGGCTATCGCTGGCACCATCGCAGCATCATCCAATTTTTGTGATGTTACGTCGGCGGTATGGGGTCTGGAAAAACAGAATTAAATCCAAATGATGTTGGAAAACCGGATATGTGAAAAACAATTAGCCTGGACGGTGTAGAGTATTCAGAGGAAAAATACGAAAAAAGAGTTTGTCAAATTTTGAGCGTGATACCTAGGCTTAGGTTAGGCCTAAACTTGTCCGCATAAATTAACTTACTTTTTCAATAAATCTAAAAATTTCAAAGCTAAATAAATATATGCAAATCTCCATTAAACGTACTGGAATTGGGATAAGTAATGTACTGAGGGGGACAATGGCATGCGATGCCCCAGTACGGATGCTACAAACTGGTCTCCGGATGGCTCGCGCATTCACTCGGAAATTGCTGGGAACTTGGCTGCACCGGCACCGCTATCCCTTAGGCTATATACTAGGTGGCAGGCAGAAAACAACCGCCAGGTATTTGGGGCAAATCAGAGCTTATAAAAAAAAGAAATAAAATTAAACGAGAATTGTGGAAAAGCAGAATGACTCTCTTTAGTTACATTATGAAAAGATATCAAAATAACCAAGCAAATTCAACAAAAACTGCGTCCGCTAAAGAGCACAAACTGGTGGCAGCCGCGCAAAAAAGACCTCATCGCCGAAGGGTTTTGAGACATCGGCTGGAGGAGGAAGGCCGTGAGGGAGTGCGAGCCATTCAGTTCGGAGTGGGCACGGTGCGATACATGGTGCAAATTATAGCTTTGTGGCCGGGCCGGCGTGGGTGTCAACTTTTGGCGGACAGGGCTCCTCAAGTGGCTCTCCCTTGCCCGGCGGACCTCTCCCGCTAATTTTTGCTGGTTGGGATGGAATGGGTGAGGGGTAGGTGGAGGTGGAGGTGGGTTGGTTTGACTGGCTGAAGCTGGATCGCTTATGGCTGTCAGGGAGAGTTTGAGAATGAGGATCTCGGGTTGCGAGGTTGGGTAAGTTTGGAGGGGATAGAGGTCGTTTCTAATGGTCCTATGGTGAAATAAAAGTGTTTTACGACCCATAGCTATTAGATGATTTATTTACAAGGACTGTATGAGCATCTTGGGTCACTATATGGTCCGTTTGGGCCATTTTTATTCATTACCCAGAATTTTCAGAGAAGACATAAAAAAGCGACAACAAAAATCCTTTCCAAAAAATTGCAATGCGGGGACCCCGCAAACAGTGCCAACTGCTAAAAGAGAGAGAACTGTCGCTCTGGTGGCCGACAGAGTGGGAGGCGCATGCAAAAATTAGCCCCCCCCACCCGACCGAACGAGTACCGTCTAGAGCCAATGGACTCCGATCTGTCAGCAATGGAAGGGCCAGCCCAAGTCGATTGCAAGAGGATAAAATGGATCTGTTGGGCGAGTATCGAGCGTACTACGTATAAGCCAAAGCCAAATCCCGGGGACGATCCCCAAACAATGGATGTGGTTATGAAGACTCGACCGGTGAGGAGGGCGGATCGACCCGTTTAGGTTTCACGCCATGTTTACGGGTGTCCATATGGGAGGAGGTGTCCGTGGCCTGTTCCGACGGATGTTTGTATGTCGTAATACACGGGGTATTGTCTGCAGATCGAAAGGGGCAACGGGGGGAAGAAGGAAAGGCTCGAAGGGTACTACTAGGGTACAGACCCTTCGAGCCAGCCTCTTCCACAAGTCTACATCCACTTTACATCCACTTCAATGAATCCAGGGCAGCATGAAATTCGTTTCTTATAATCTGAAGAAGGACAGGGATAAAGGGGATTGCTGGATTGGTGGGGAATGGTTGTGGGGTTCAATAAACATTTTCAGGAATGAAATGGGAGTGACTATTGAACTAAGAGTCCAGATCCAATATGGGCCAAAAGTTATCGCCACTAGGTATGTCAGGGAGGGCACGAGTGTGGCGAAGACAAAACCAAGTGGCTCAAGGAGGTGTTCTGGGATGTTGAGGTGAGACCATGTCAGGTCTACGACAATAGAGGCTCCTCATCAATTAGGTGGCCTGCATGCCACTCCCCCGGCATGTTCTCAATAAGGCCACCGCCCCCGGAGCATCGGCTATTAGGGGGCCCGAAAGTCAATGCCGTTCGGGTGGGCAAAACGAAAAAGGCTGCACCGCAGGCGAGAATCAGTGGTACAAGAATCGTGGCAGTTACAACTATAAATATCATAACTAAGGAAATACAAAACTGGGACATGCAGCCAAAAGTCGTCGTTTCGAAAATGAGGGGCGCATTACCTGGAAGGCGGTAGCATTCTTTTCATGAATACCCTCCTTTACCCGTTTGTCCACCATGCATAGAGTCAGGGTCAAGGTGCCCACTTTTTACCTGACCGAGAATCCGAAAAGCACCGATTATGCGCGGGGGCCGTTTTGTGGGCGGAGGCTTTGTGAAACGGGCGGGTAGCCGCAGGGATTGACACTTATGGGAAACTGGAGACTTTTTCGATTCGGGTACTGTAGCGTGATATGTACGGTCGAATACATTCGGCCCTTTTGTGGTCAGTGTGGGTGTTTTAAATTTGAACATGCATAAATTCCACTCTCTTTCTCACCTTAAAGGGATCGGGAAGGCCGAGGTGAAAGAGCATAAAACGGGTTTTAGTTCTAAAATTAGCATAAATCTTCTAAGCTCCCTCCTGCCTCGCCCCACTCTTTGCTCATTTTTTTCATTGTCATGGCCGGGTGGCTCGCTGCCAATTATAGATGAGCCCTGAACTACTGTGCCTTCCTGATCGCTTTAACAACTTCCTTCGCGATCATTAAAACACCGCTAGGTTTGGCTTTTTGATGTAGAGCAATGAGCTCATGTAACCTTTTGGACGAATTGCTTCCGTTTCCAGCTCACAAGCTTCATTTGAACCCATTTTTGGTGGAGGCGCGCAGTGGATGGCCCTCCAAAGAGTTGTCAAAAGGTGACTAGTGCGGCTGTTCCCAAAAATGGCCTGGATGGGATGGCCGGGTGATCGGTCACAGACTTGAATCGGTCCTTTCAGGCGAGATGTGGCGTGCCGTGACATGTCTATTCGCCCCTCCGGCTCACATCATTAGCTCATCCCGACTGCGCAAAAACCCTATTTACAGACTGAACCTAGGGTCTCCATTACCGCAGCAATGTGGTGAATTTTGGGGCACTTTTGAGAGATGCTCTAGAATGATGTCCGAGCATCAAAAAAGTACAAACGAAGAGCAGGGAACGGTGGACCGCATCCTGAATTGGATACCAGGGTAGAAAGACCTGTTTTTGGACCTTCGCGCTTGATCTGAATCTATGACAAACTTAATAAACTTGCAAGTCTTTGTACCATTTTTCCGGATCGTATTTTGAGAAAATAGAAAACACCCACTTTTGCCCCATCATGTGTGTTGCTCCGCTTCCGATGTATGCTAATTATTTTCTAACAAGGACAGCGCGTGAATTTCCAACACAATCTTATCTATAATCGCAAAAATCGCCGTTTTTAGAAATTTTATCGGAGTGAAATCATCTCAAACGCATTACGTGCCTAATAACGTATCATCCAAACTTTGAAAAACTTGTTGTGTTAGGATATGGCCGAAAAACCAGACGGAACACAGTAACTATTTTTATATAAATATTTACGTATAATATGACACCCTTGGGCGACGACAACAAGCAGTGTTTCTTTGAAAACATTTCGTTGCATGCTTACTTCCTGCTGGAAACCCACAGCCCTTGAAAAACGCAGCGATGCCAACCGTGGACTCCCATGAGGATGATAATTTGTGAGGAAAGTCGAGTTGAATCGTGTTGTTGATTGGGCAATCAGGTGCCACGGGGGACGTTTGGGTGGTCCCTAATCAACATCTTTTCTTGAACATCCTACTGCTCGGTGGGTGGGCCAGTGTGAGGGCTGGGAAAACGTCACTGAAGGTGGTCCAGAGTTTGGGAGAGATGATAGGCAGGGGGTAATGATCCCCCGGGTGTGTCTTGCCTTTGTAGCCAATATGAACGGGCCCCGGAATTGCTGTGAGGTGGGTACTAACGCCGTTCGTATGGGGAACGAGCGTACATGCTAATAGGTTGAAAAAGGAAATGTTGTTGAGTTGTTTATCAAATTTTTTAGATGTTTTTGGCATTAGGCGCTTTGCAGGTGCTAGTTGATTGTGCTAGTGCTAAGTGTTTTCCTTTGGTATTGTGAAAAACTGTTCTTAAATCGCACTTAAATTTATACAAGGATACACATCACTGAATTTTACTAGATGTATGCTTTTTGAAATTGAATCTAGGATTAGATTTTGGTCGGTGTTGCGGTATTCTGGTACCACCCGATACATTTTCCTGCCTAGACAACTATCAATCCTAAAACTTACCCTTCGTCAACGAGATAACGGTATTTTCAGGGGGACAAGGTGAAAGAGGTAGCCTTGGGGCCCGTAAAAGGGGCGTGTCCGGTAGGGGCCCACCCCCAGATGAGCCGAGGCCCTGGTGGGCCCCCGGTTCGTCACTGATCGCGATGCGTGGCATGCCTTCCGGTGCCCTCCTCCTCGCCCTCCTTGGAGCTCTGCTCCCCTACTGCTTCGCAGAGACCAGGACATGTACTCAGGTTTGTATGGTTTACACCTTAGAAGCACCTTGGGCCTTTACACCTTGGGCCTTAGAAGACAGCAGTGAGCTCGACTTACAAAGGGTTTTTGGCTTTGGATTCAAGTTGATACTTAAACGTAGCGCCAGTCCTGGACGGCTTAATTTTCTAGAGGAGTCTTCAAAAAGATACAGACATAGCGCTTTCAAGCACCAGGCGGAGCTTTTAGTAAGCTTTGCGGGCCTCTGGGTTACTGTACTCTGGACTTCTGAGTAGGACCGGTAGTATTTTTCTTGTTAGATCTCCCACGCGCTTGTTGAAACTCCAAACCAGGTTTTCAAACTTGCTGGTTGACTTAAAATACAAACCTTTCTCAGTGGTACCTTGAAGGGGGTAAAGGAACCTCCTGTAGATCAAGCCTCATCCACAATTTGGAAAAAGCCAGCTCAAAACTCTATTCAACGGCCGATAAAGCTGGCCTTTAAAACGATACTGTTTTAAGCTAATTAAGTCTTCCTGATCCCTTTAAAATCCCCCTCATTCATTTCGCAAGATCCTGAAATAAAACCCGGCCATTGTTGCCCTCCCCAAGAAAAGTGGCCGATTTGGGGAGGAGGGGCTGAGGCCAATGTTTGTCAGGCGGATGTGCAATGTCGAACGTGGGCCCGGGTTGGCCCCCGAATTGACGCCTCATCAAAGGCGTTGACGTGCATTCTGCCCACGGGGTCAGATTGTAGCCGAAGGCGGGCGCTATCACGACGCCAGCATTTTTAAAAAAGGCCGCTCAAAGTGATCTATAGTAGCGCGCGGCGGCGGCATTCAAACAAAAAAAGGGATAAACGGCCTCAATTAAGTAGGTGGGGGGCGGGGGTATAATGACTCTAAAAGGCCTTAAACTCGGTATTCGTAACACACCACCAACGCCATTTCCAAGCGTAATTAAGGGCAATAGCCACCGGGTGAAAGGGAGCCGTATATTTGCGTGGGTATGGCGATGGCCATGTGGAGGGTTCTGCTGTTTTCCGAAGGTCTGTCAAACGTGTGTGTCGAGACGGGCTCGATGATAGACAATGCACTGCTTCCTGAATCTAAATGAGATCCGCCTTCGGCCAGGGGAGCCACTGTTTTCACATTGCCCCACACCGGCCACCACCACCATCCGCCGCCACCACCAACTCCAAACCCAAATTCTCATTATTTGTGTCAGTGTGTGCGTGTGTGGGTGGTTTTCTAATCCGCCATTTTGTAGATGAACTCGCGGCCCGGAAAACAGGAACTCCCCAAACAGTTGTTGGTCAGGCTCAATGCATAGAACGGGGCTCGATTTTTCATGTCCCGGCATGTAAGGAAATTAAGGGAGACCTTTTTAAATATCACTTTGCGTCTAAGTATCGGAAGCCATGAAAGCAAATCCATATTTTGCCTAAGTGCCCAAAATTTAGTTTTAATTCCAGATCCTTGCCGCGGGACCTGGGGATGAAGCTCAACAGCAAGCGCTTCTCCTCTGCCAACTCAGCGAATCATCGACCCTCCTTGCCCAGCTTGGAGGCCTTGTTGCTGAGGGACTTGACCGACTCATGATTGCCCACGGTATCTATGATTCCATTTTTTGTAGAATATTTATCAATTTACAAAAAAATACACTGCTTCCAGGAATTGCCGACGACAGCGAGGAGCAACAAAGCGGTGACATGGAGAAGCGCAAGCACGAATACCTGCGATTCGGAAAGAGAAAGCACGAGTACTTGCGGTAAGGAAAATACGAATTGGGAAGATCTACTTGAATTTCTAGATTCGGCAAGAGGAAGCACGAGTACTTGCGGTTCGGCAAGAGGAAGCACGAGTATTTGCGCTTCGGCCGCAAGTAAGCGTGTCGCATTAAAAATGGTCAGTTTTTTGTTGGCCAAATCATAACAATTAAGTTAAAATAGGCCTATGAAAACCAAAATTTTTCAGTTGACGCCGCGCCGCTCGCTCACCGCATTGTGGCCCCCGCAAATCCGCCCACCATTTCCTCACTTTTAGCCCAATGACTATAGTTTATTGTTGTGTGCCATTGGCGAATATCGTGCAGTCCATCCATCGAATTTCCCCATTATCCCGCTCCCCTCGATTCGCTCTGTTTTCGGGACCATTTTCTGGTGAGAGAGAGAATCATTCGCACAATTTTGTATACTTGTTTGATTTCGCTAGAGGGGGAATAAAGCCTTTGAATGTGAAGTGGATCCGGACGTTCGCACAGCACACAGTTGAACCCAAGAAAGATATTTATTCATGAAGAACTGAAACACCGAAAAGAACATATATTAGGTAGTGGCGTGGTATTGTTAAGACTTGGTGCGCATTGAGAATCGAGGATAAGTGGTTGTTGCTGGGAGATAAAGCTTTGTAAGGGGTCACATTGGTTAGAATAATATCACAAATGAAGATCGCAGACTAGGGATGGCGGTGAGAATGGAATTCGCGGGGATGGTAGATGGTTTATTGGAAGCCATCGTTGACGGTGCGTTGATATTTGTTGTCGGCACGTCGGCGGACAATCTTGTCGTTGATAATGTTGAGGAGGAAGAGGGCCATAATACCAAGGAAGCATGCGCCGATGATTCCAGCGATAGCCTGTAATATATTTTTAAATCTCCATTTCCGGTCCTTACTCCAATCCATCCAAAACGCTCTCCAGTCTCGATGATCGTCCTCTGCGAGATATTACCACCAATACCAATCACGAGAATCCAGGCCATTAACCCAGCCGTGCCACAGACAAGCTCCTGGAAACATAGTGGAGTTAGATGAGGGCCAGAAAAGACATAGAAGCTCTCCGGGGACCAGTCCTTGTTTTTTCCCCAGCCACCTAGGGACGGCCCAGACCCCTTGCCTTCCAAATTGGACCTTCCATTAGCGCTCGTCCACTTCCCCTAACTTGTACGAGGAGGAAGGAAAATCTTCCCACGCGCATCAGCTGATGGCCGGGGGATTCGCAACATGGTTAGGGGAGGTACCACCTTTCTGTAGGCCCAGTCCCCTCTGCGTCAGACTTTTCAAAAAGTTCAAGCGGATCCCAGTGACCAAAAGCAAGTGAATTTTTAAGGTGGCCCGGAAAGTATTGCGAAATGTGCTTCTCCAGTAAGACCCCCCATTGATTTCTGATTCAATTTGTTTTTGCAGCTGAACTCAACTAGAACTTAGGCTTGCTTTTTCCGCGCCGCGCCACTAAAGACAGCTATTAAGTATGCGCAAAAAATAACACGAAAAACAATTACCGCCCACTCAGCCATTCAAGAGGACTTTGTGCGCGCAGCTATTCCACTTACCGCCAGTCCGACGTTGGTCAGCCGAACATCTTCAACGGCTGTGCCACGGGTCATCAAGACGTACATAATAATTGACACGACGCAATAGAGGAGGGTCAACGCTGAGAAGATGTAGATCATGACAATCTGAAAAAGAATGGATGTTAGGTTCTTACCATTTCAGGATGATACGATCAACTTTAAAAACGCAAAAAATTTTTGTATAAGTAATCTAGGTCCTCAGTTAACTCTGGTTGCCTTTTATCTGGGATCAGAAAATCCTCTCGCTTCTGGATATTGGTAATCCTGTTTTGCTTAGCTGCAAGTTCACATTATTTTTCAATACCGAAAGTATTGAAAAATTACGTATTGTAACTCACCTCATAATTCAAATTAATATACGCAGTCACATAGGTCGGGTCGAGTAGGATTAAGACGGCGATCGTCAGCAACTAAAAAAAACGTGCTTTTTCGTCAAGTTTCAAACATCCTCCGCCGTCCACCCGGGTTGCAACGAAGAATAATTGCTCTTTGAGGCCCTAATTGGTTGGGGTGGCTTATTGCGCGTGTCCCCTCCGCGGGCCGCTTTTCCTTCCTTTCTCCACCATATCCTGGTGCTGTACATTAGTAAAAAGGGCCACCCCGCAACCATGATGGTTGGTGTTATCGTAGTGAGTGTGTGGCGACGCGCGCACCACTTGTTTGTCTAGGGCCTCAGCCGGTGGCGCCCTCCCGCTTCTACCTCCCTTTTAGTTTCTCCCGTTGCACAACCCGCTCAATATATTGAATAAAAGCATGGAAGCTGAGAATGGACGGGGAGGGCTTCTCATGTTTTCCGGGGAGCTACTATCGATTAGTGCGATCGGGGGACGTGGGGGTTTCTAACACGTGAGTTTCCGAAACCAGTTTCTGACAAGCGAGTCGTTTTCAAGTGAATATAGGTTTTTGGTCTAACAACCTCATTCGACAAAGCTAAATTTTGAACAGATCGGAACCTACAAAAACTGCCGTAAGATCGGTATCTACAGGAAAATTGGCTCTGCGTCCACCAATTTTGTCCATTTTTAGCCTCCGCTTAAGAAACTGTGAACTCTGAGGAACTTTTCTTGGAGACGAATATCGTTCCGCAGTATTTTTTTAAATTTGGATCTTATTCACGATTTCAAACTCTATCGAATCAGCTATTTCACATCGCAAATCCTATAAAGCACCTAAAACCATCCCTCGAACGACAATCCACCTACCACAATCAAAACTTTCACAAGGGAACAGATGACGAGCTGCTGGGGCATCGCCATCTTGCAAAAATTGATGAAGCTGTTGGGATGAGAAAGATTCTGCAAAAAAAGACGGTCAAAATCAACAACAATGCTAGGTTTCGTTTTCGAAAATACATGAGCTAGAGCAGATAAAATCAATGTGGAGGGATCGCAGCTCCAAACTTAGTCACAGGTGATAAGCCGGGAAGAAGCCGAGAGGATTGGTAGTATTGGGGGCGCTTCGAATTCAGGAAATGACTCAGCCCCCCATCGACATATGAGTCAGAAGGCCGTGTGGCACACGTTTGGCCGGACGCCCATACTGCTAGGAGGGCGGGTTGGGTTTCAGGAATCGAGTCAGCATGGAATTGATTCTTGGAAAGGTATAGGTGTTGCACGAAGGAGGTTGCAGAAGAGAGGAGGGAGACTAGTACAAAATACTAAATGAATTTTGCAGTATGCTGTAGAAAGTTGATGCTCACGCATTGGACTGATAGCAAGGCGTATGCAAATTAGTTTTATGTTATAAAGATATTCCTGATTTCTCTTTAAATAGGTGCATATCCTTATCGACATCGTTAATTTTGGGTCTTGTCTCGTCGTTACCGTTTAAGCTATAGGTATCGGAACCAAAAAGATAGATTCTATTAAGCCTTAAAATGAGACGAGAAAAACAAGTTCATAAGTTAGAAGTGTCAGAAAATCGTTAGTACGCTGGGCTGCTCGAGAAAAACGTTATGTTATACCCTGTAACGCTGCGGAATTTTGGTGCAAAATGGAAAGAGAATCATTAGCATAGAAAAATTAAATCATGGTTAATATAAAGCCAGCCCTAATTTAAGAGTTTCGAATGAGGACCGTCAAACCATAAAATTATACAATACGTCCCAGAAATTCAAGATAAGGGGAAGCTAGGGGGAATACGTACTAACCAGGGAAGAGCCTCATGCAATAATGGTGTTCCAGGGTTTCAGTGGGACCCCGAAGCGAGGTTGGAATGGTGCTTGTGTGCCGGTCGGTGAGGACGGGCCCGCAAAGCAAAGAGGGCTCCGGCTGGAAAGTCAAACAAGCCCGGGGATCCCGTGTTCCCCCCCCCCTCCCCCACCGTTGCGCCATGGGTCTCCGCCCCTCTATCAGAATTTCACAAGGCGCCTTCTCCTTGGGCTGAGCCTTCGGCTGGCCGGTGCAAATATACAGCGCATGCATCACGGGGGGCCGACCGCGCCTGCCTTGCCTGGCCATCGATCCGCGTCCGGAGAGCCGCTCGTATCACCGATTTTCCCATCGCCACCCCCTTGGCGCCCCGCTTCGAATTTACGGAATTCGTAATCGAGCCTTTACAGCGGTACCTCGTGTGCCTTTGTACGAATGAAGAAGCGCTCGATTAAATGGATCAAGTGGAGAAAAGTAGCGCTGCGAGCACAACTTTCGCCACTTACTGTAAAGTGTTTTTACTCAAGTTGGAGTTTCGATTCGGGACCAAGTGCATCTTATGCAGAATTTTTTGCTGATCCCGAATTCGTTTTCCAAATTTGCTGCGGACTTTTATTTAAAAAGTCATTTTTGGTGCAAATTAAGCTTGAAAAAGCCAAAAATATGGATCCTGGTCCACTATTCGGGAAAATTTAAGTATACGGTCACCTAGCCAAACCCAACTTATTTATATATAGAAATGTTCAGCTCGACGAGCTGGTTCAGGATCAGTTGAAAAAACTATTGGGAAACACTTCTGGAGCGAGATATAGGGGTCCAAATTTAGCTAGTTAGGTATACGGTCACCTATCCAAACAGGCTTGTTTTATGCATAGAAATGTGCAGCTCGTCGAGCAGAGCCGATATCTGTTCAAAGAATCATTGGGAAAAATGTATAAAGAAAGTTATGAAGGTTTGAAACTCAGTTTTCGGAAACTCCCGGCTACGCGACACTCCTTTGTACGGAGCGGTGCAGTCTGTATTCGTACGTACCTCTGCAATAATACATGTTTGTAATTTTTAGGCGTTTTTAACGCTATTAATGTAAAATAAAGGTAACGGTGAGGCTTTTCACATTGTCAGGCAAGGTGGGCCGTCGCTTCGGATGGGCTGCCGCTCCACTCTTCCGAAATGGGGGCGCCCCCGGCCGCTTCGCCGGCCTTGGCGCCCCCATTTCGAAACCCTGTACGAGCTCGCGCCCATCCGAAGCGACTAGGCCCCGGGTGGCACGAAGCCTTATTTTTAGGTAAAGTTTGAGTGTATTAGAGCGAAGTATCCAAAGGAAAGGGGTCTTTTTGGCCCTTCTGGATTTCAAACTTTGGACCCCTATATCTCGCTCCAGAAGTGTTTCCCAATCGTTTTTTCAACTGATCCTGAACCAGTTCGTCGAGCTGAACATTTCTACATATAAAAAGTTTGGGTTTGGCTAGGTGACCGTATACTTGAATTTAGCCCACTATTCCCTCCATGTTTCTGCCTCTCCCAAGGGTCCTGAAGTACTCCGTCACAGCTCGCCTCCCGGTTGGCCCCATGGTGCATTGGCAAAGTACTCGCTTGCCAAGCGCAGGGCGGCGGTTCGGATCCGCGCCCTGCACCTTTCTTTTGCTTTTTGCATAAAAAAAATTAATTTTTTATAAAAAGCTTGTTTTGACTTTTAAGATGCTTGTCTAGCCAATCTCTAGCCAATTTTGAAAGTTGAAATTGATCAGGAAATTCGAAATTTTGACGGTTCCTTGATTTTGGTGAAAAACACTACCATAATTGCTGTATAACTTTCAAAATAAAAGTCCGCAGCAAATTTGGAAAGCGGATCCGGAATCAGCGAAAAATTCTGCACAAGATGCACTTGGACCCGAATCGAAACTCCAACTTGAGTAAAAACACTTTACAGTTAGCGAACGTCGCCCGGCTTGCAGATTCTGTGATTCACATCACTTTAAATATTAAACGTATAAAGCCATTTGTTATACCTTCCTGTAAGCGATGTTACCTTGGATTACTAATTACGATGTATCATTACGTAGTTTACTCAATATTTCGAACACAACGTTGACTGAGCAACTGCTAAAACTGAAATTGCTGAAGTTTACATGAGCCCCCGCCCCTCAACACTTACCCGGCAGGGTGCAATCCTCAATCCGTTTTTTCTTTAATATCAAACTCGCTTCTTTTTGATAAAAGAGTTATAAATTTCGTATAACCTTAATTATTTATCAACGAACGCAAGAACCATAAACGGTTATAATCAATTGCAAGGAATAGATAGAGGAAGCTCAATATTAAAATTAGAAGAGATTGGGCTGAAAGAGAGTGATAAAACATAAAACCTAAACAACCATTTTTGGGGAGGAGAAAACCAAAAAAGTGAACCGCTCAACGATGAAGACTGGAGATGAATGAGATCGATTTATAGATGAAGGTACGCACGAGGCCCGGGCACGATGGATTGGCCGCAACTTGGTCGAGAGATACGCGCATTTGGTAGAAGGCTTGGCTATACAAAGGGGCATTATTTTTGAGAATCATGCACAAACCGTGTGTAGGGATTGCGCTGAGATCCATATCGCATGACGAGGAAGCGATAGTAGCCGATCGGTGTAACAAGACTCGTCTGGCCCCTAAACGTACCATTAGTAGCTGGGCGGCAAATGCAAATAAAATTAAACAAAAACCTACATCAAGACCGATGCGAACAAAGCTGGCGCCAGAAAAATTTCCGCACAAGCAACGATTCCAAGGCTGTAAAAGACAACTTAACTGGACTTAATAAAAACATACCAATTTGGCGTCTGGTTCTGGATGAGCCGAGTGAGAGGCGGGACAACCGGGCTGTTGTTTTGTCCAATAGCGGTCATGAGCGTAACAAAGAAGTTCGTCGCTTGCAGGGCAGCAAATATCATAATCGGTAGCAGCGCCATCGTGATCGGCTCGGATAGCACGAAGAGGATACTGTACAGGAGATAATGGCACGAGTCCTGCAAAAAAATAAAATCTTTTGTGGTTTTCTTCAGAAATTACGGAGAAGATAAACTAAATTCGGGTACGAACCTCGGTAAAGAGACGCTGCATGAATTCCATGTTCAAACGAACAGGCCCGATGCGTTGTTGAAGACGGAGGGCGTTAGTGGCCATGGCTAAACAGTGTTTACAGGTTTAAAACGAGTCTCATACCTGCAGCGAAAGCCTTGAAGTACGCCTTCCTCTGTACTGGTGCTGAGGCCAAGGGCAGCAAATAACTTAACGCGAAGAAGATCGTCACTATTCGCAGGGCAAAGTTGATGCTGTCGAGCGTGCGGTCTTTTAGGAAGTCCTGAAAAATTTCGAAATTATACCAATTTTTCTAAACAGTTAGAATGAATCTTTCATGAAGTAACAACAAAAGCAAACCATTAGAGTATTGCGCGGCTGTGGTGGTGGGGGCTGACGAGAGGTCGAAGGCCCGCTAGATGTCGGACTCGAACCCGCCGGCTCCGTACTTTCTTCGCGTATCTCCACCATATCACAGTTTCATACGGGGTTCCGTAGACAAACCTGCAAAAGGAAGTGTAATGATAAATCCGAAAGAAAAGTACACGAGAAAAGCAATAATCGAGATACTACAAGAAATTGTGAATCTTGAGCAACCAATAAGCATAATAATTCTCAAATCGGAGGAGGAGCAAAGGGGATTAAGGAAGATCGGTACGGCCAATACCCTGGGGAGACAAACCCGCGATGCTCTAATGAACCTATTCTTGAAAACATACCGGTTCTAAAAAGATAATAAATCGTTGCCCGGCAACAGAAATCAACCAATAGTCTCTGTCTATGGCCCGTTGAAATGTATAGCGTAAAAGAGGGAGCCGTTCAGAGCACGAAAGGCCTGTGTCCATTGGACCCACGCGTAGCCCATTTCTTACTAGATCGTCTAACTGTTTCTAAAGTTGTAAACAAACACAAAACTTTTTGTATGAACTGTACGCCAACTATCCTTCGGTATCATATTTGTCTAAATGTTTTTAGATAATTTTTTTGGGTCTCAATTAAGGCAATAACTAAATTTTTGAGTTTTTCCTCTTTCAGGATGTTGATCCCGGTAAACATTCGGGATAAGAAGACGGGGAAGCGTCGAAATATAACTATAGAGATTGCCGAAGCAGCTACTACAGCTCAGTTGGCAGATTTGGTAAGTCAGATCAAAAAAACAACAGCTTGAATTATAAAGGTAGAACTGCCGTTTTAAAGGAACTAGCTAGTTACCATCTTTCAGATCAGCACAGAAGCACAGTTGCCTCGGGAAAATTTGAAAATCATTTTCGCTGGAAGAGCGCTAGATGAAGCAACGTCTTTAGATTCCCTTTTGATCGGACCTTCCACGTAATTGCCAAGCAAACTATCCTTTATTTTTAAGCCAGTTCGATCCTGGCCATGGTGGTAGAAACAACTGATTCTCTTCCTTCCTCCAAGCCGCCAGAAAAGCGCCAGAACGTTGGTGGCTTCTACGTATACTGTAAAAACTGTGAAGATGTGACTAGGGTATGGAAATTCTGATTCAAAAATTAATCATCCTAGGGAAAACTACGTTTATATTGTAACCAATGTGGGACCGATGAAATATTGTTGAAGAGAGAGCCAAGTGGATGGGCTGATGTCCTCAAAAAGTCTGTCACGATAAAATTTGTAGGCTAAAAGTGCTTCTAGCAATCGCATCCCAGTCTCATGTGAGTGCTGCGTGGATGCGTACGCCCGATTTGCATTTAAATGTGTGCCATGCGGAGAGGCAAGTCAAATTGAACTTATTATGTGGTTATTAGGTGAGCGCGGCTCTTTCACAGACCCGCGGTAATTGGGAGTCTGCGGAATGTGTCGTCTGCGGAGATGCTCCTCAATTCGTTTTCGATTTTGGATGCAATCATCCCTGCTGTAAAGTGAGTTCCCAAATTGCGTTGGCTTTATGTTAATCAGGATTGTTTCGCGACATACTCGGCCACACAACTTCGGGAGGCACAATTTCGTTTTCGAGCGCCTTTCGGGTATACGGTAGCCTGTCCGTCTAGCGGTTGCGATTGTAAGGAACATAGTCTTTAAATAAAAGAATTTGATTTAGTTTGTATCACCGACGTTCATCATTTTCGCGTTCTTGGTACGAAGCTGTATCATGACTATCAAAAATTGGCGACAGAGAAACTAATAGCATTAGGTACATCTCGAAATAACCCTCTTTTCAAAATCAAATCCAGATAACAGCGGCTATTTCTGCCCATACCCGAAATGCGGGGCTTCATTTTTTCTGGAAGATGATGATCTATTTGGTAACTTACTTTATTAGTGACGATACGGCTTTTTAGAACCGCCTACCGTAAGCACGTACGCGAGAATCAGATGTGTCGAATGTCGCGGGTTTTTCTGTCGAAATTGCCGGGTTAGAAGAGAAAGAAGTTGTAGCAGGTGTACCCCTATTTCAGGAAATTGAATGCACCTGTCACAATGAGGAGCTGACAAAAACTACAATAAATTTAACTACGAAGTAAATATTCACTCAACGACGTTCACTTTCTCTAGAAAATGTCCCGGCTGCCAAGTGTCGACGGAGAAAAATGGGGGCTGTTCGCATATGAGTTGTGGAAATTGTCATTTGGATTGGTAGCTTCGAAAAAAAAAGAATTTTTGATGATGGAAATTTAGGTGCTGGATATGCGGAACGGCTTGGAAAGAAGATTGTCAATGGGACCATTGGTTCGGTTAGTCAATATCGACATTATTAGGAGTTGAAATTTGCGATAATGGTTAGCCTTTACCATTGCTCAATTGGTGCACAAAATATGTGTATTTTTAGATAAAGATCTATTACGATATTGACAACACACTATGAAATTAGGTGTTTGTTACCTACCATTGTGGACTTTAAGCTATATTTTTCCACCCCCATCCAAAAATATGACACGAACATCTGTTTGAATCTCACTGAAACGCTCATCTGGCATATGTGTAGACTCTGTGATTGGTTAGCAACTCGCAGTTGATGTTTTTGGTGTGCGGACTCACATGGCCAAGGCGACTGGGCGAGAGCGAGTGTAATCCACACGAGCCCTCCCGAGGCCACACTTTTGGCTTTCTCTACAGAAACGTGTACCTTTTTTCGTTACCGGTTGGTTTATGGTTACCACAAAAGACGGATGTAAATATTTTTAAGCCCAGTTAATAACGTTGAGATTAAACGGACATGCAAAAGATTTACGTGGCCGAACTTTTGCTACTCATAGAAAAAATATTATATTTCTGAACGCATTGTAAGCCCGGATGTTCAGAAGTCCTCTATAAAAACAAGGAAACGCCCCCCGATTCGCGTGGGGGCCACCCATCCGGCGGCGGTCGACCGCACTCGCGGATCCGGTTGTCCCTTTCACCAAACAGAGAATTTCCTCCACAATCCCCCACTCCCACCCTCAATAATGCCAATAGGCCCATCGCTAAATACCCAAATTACAGTGTTTACCTCCGCCTAGGGATGAGCCCTTGTCTAAAACAAAGCCTAAGCCTACGCCGAAGTCTAAGCCTTAACACCAATTTTCTTAGATAGAAAAGTAAATCAATGAAAAAATAACTCTAAAGCTTTTGCTAAAAAGAATGTTTTTCTATAATTCCCTTATCACCTCGGCTCAGCTAGATAAGAATTTTTCTACATATGAGTTGAGCCCGCGTTTTTCGAATTCACAATCCCTGCCTTACCCTGAGCCACCCAATTTTGATTCAAATAATCATCATTTACTGGACTCCTCAAAGGCTCGTGAAAATGCCAGAGTTTGTCTAGCTGCCAGACCGTCGGGCGACCCCTGATTGCCCCGTTAGCATGCGAGAATTGATTTGGAAGTGGGGGGCATTGGCTGAGAGTGCCTCACCCCCCTTTTCCTACCGTCTGATAATTCAGCACACCCACCTCGACCGCCCTCATTTTGAGGGTCATCGCTTTGTGTTCGCCGGGGCTTTGTAGTTTGTAGTTTTCTATTTTCTCCTCTGACGGGATGCAGTAATAAAAATGCCGATTGCATGTAAATATCCAGTCCAACGTTATTGACATCTACGATTAACTCTCGTGCAATTAAGCTCTCCAAGCGCCCTCACACCCGCAAAATAATGTTCCTTATCAGTCGTGTGACCAATCGTAACACGCGCAACTTGAAAGTGTTTGGGGCCGGTTTGGAAGCGGGGACTGTTTGCCATCGGCACCAGCTTTTTCGCGGCATTTCGAGCGGCGCGAGGTGGCCAGGGCCCGCACTCGACCAGTGCGCTCCTCCCCAACCCATCAGTCAATACTTTCTACAGACTCGTGTGGCTGAACAATCGGTTCATTTCCATCCGGTTATCCTCCTACTCGCTAAACCAATCATTACGAAACTAATACGGTCGATTGTGGTGATAAGACTAAGCCTAAGCCTAAGCCTAAGCCTAAACCTAAACTTAAGCCTAAGCCTAAGCCTAAAGGACACAACACGCCTAAAATTCGTAATCTAAGCCCAAGTTTCTACTTCATTTCATATTTTTTTTGGACATTTCGAGTGCAAGAGAAATTGCCAACCCCCTCCACACCCCTTTTCATCCCGTGATACTTTGTGTCTTCTGAGTTAACGAGTTTAAGGGGTCATCAATTATCCTAACTCTAGCATATCACACTTTTTCAAAAAAATCAAGCCTTAAATAATAGTAGCAGAATCCGAACCATCCCCCTTCCACCAATGCGCCAACGGTTTCTATGAACCTTTGCCCTGCTCTTTTGAAATGTTGCGATACCCCATGCCCGTCTACGCTTTCCAACCCATGATTTCTTTTAGACCTTTTGCCAAAATTTTCCGCTTCCGGCTTCATTTTAATATGCTAATTGCGTGATGATGGCGCTGACATTTATCTGGTGTGGTGCACGAGGGTAGTGCAGCTAGCAATTTCACTTATTGATTGGTGCCTTGAGGGGTAGAGTGTGGGAGGATAGAGAGATGGCAGAGAGTGGGACAATGGCCGCCGCGAGTCCGAACATCAGCTGTCATAGCGAATTATGACCCACCTGCTACTGAATCGACAATTTCGACTATTTTACGTTCCATCAAACCTTTTCGAGTAATCGGAACGGTTTTTTTTCGGTTTCCAACGGACCATTTGGCCGATTGCAATTTTTTGAGAGTTTTTTGCGTTTTGGTTTTATGGCTGTTTTTCGGAGCTCGTGATCAATATGCTGCTCCTGAGTAAATTAATTTTGTTAGTTTTCAAGCTTGAGTATTCTATTTTTAAGGGCTTCTGTTCCTATATAATTTTTACGTTATTACAGGCAAGCAAAATCTCAATTCTAGGTCTTGGATACGATGTTTTCCAAATCTTTTCCTAAGCGCGTGATTATGATCCAGGTCCTAACAAAGTTGATTTTTTTTGTTTGGAAGCCTATATCTTTGATTTTCATATATTTATCTGCCGATAAAATTTTTTCGCGATTTCACAAAGCAAAAGTACAATTCTCCATTTGGCCAATTTCTATATTTCTCGCATAATATTTCTTCAAATTGTTTTTCTGGGCTCGTAATCAATATTCTGCTCCTTAAGAAGTAATGTAATCATATTGAGGATTTGTAATTTTTAAGCATTTGCTGTTGTTTTCATTTTTTGCGAAATTCTCATTAGCAACGGCTCAATTCTAATTTCCAGGGTATTCACCGGTTGCCGTGCCGATAGTTCGGCAGGCAGCAAAGCCGGGTGGCAATGGGGGAGGATGAGCCACCCGTATTGCGGGCGGCTTCATCATGGAAACAACCATTGAAGGGCTGGATTCTAACCACCATCCTGTTCTTCTCCTCCCTCTACGGCGTTTTCTACGTGTTGCTACCGTTATGGCCAATTCTGTTATTCCGCCCGTCCACCTATCGATTATTAGCTGACCGTATGATAGGGCTTTGGTTGATACTGCCCGGTGGTCTACTCAAATTCCTATTTGGCATCAAAGTCTCGGTGGTTGGGGATTTTATTGAACATGCTGAGCCGGCGGTGATCATTATGAACCATCGCACAAGGTAGGCATCCTCTATATTTTTATGATAGCCGAGGCGCAGCTATAAACCCCCATGCATTTCAGATTGGATTGGCTCTTCTTTTGGACGGCCCTCTATCAACAAGACCCATGGCTGCTCACTTCCGAAAAAATCAGCATGAAAAGCATCCTAAAATATGTACCTGGCGCTGGCTGGGCAATGCAAGTCGCCTCCTACATATTCCTCGATCGAACCTTCGAAAAAGATCAACCAATATTACGTCGAATTTTGAACTACTACTCGCACATAGGCAATAATTATCAGGTATCGTGTTTTTTTGCATCGGTTGACCTTGACGAATTAGGTGCTCCTCTTCCCAGAAGGGACTGATAAATGTCACCGTGCAACGGCTAGGGGAAAGATTTTTTGCGAGAAAAAGGGAATTGCCGAATACGAGGTTAGTTGGTTGTTTCGTAATGGTTTATTTTAATTTAGTATTTGCTACATCCTCGCATCACTGGCTTTGTTTTTATGATCCAGGAGATGCGAAAAAACAATTATATCAAGTGGGTCAAGTTCCTAAAAAGTATATATTGTCTTCAGATACCTTTACGATGTCACGATCGGGTTCAAAGATGCCATTGCTCAGTCAGAAGCTGATATGTGCTTCAAGGGGCTCGTACCGACAGATATTCACTACCAAATTCGCAAAATTCCGATCACCGAATTGCCGGAAGATGATGAGGGGCTGAAGGATTGGCTAACCAAGCTTTGGGCAGAGAAAAACGAGAAGCTCAGAGAGTTCGTGATTTGTTCATGCGTCCAATATTGTTGTTAGCTTTTACACGCGGCGGCGGAAGAGCGCTGAGACATTTGAAAACACCCCGAATGGCCGAAGTTGGCCTATGACTGCTGAAGCGGGTCGATTCCAAGATGCAATTGTTATTGCCTGGTTAACAGGTCCGGTTTCTTAGCCAAAAATCTCATTATGAAAAGTTTAGTATCTTCTGTGTGGGCAATCGGATATCTCTTCCTACCTCTACAATGGTTCTATTCGTTTGGTTGTTGTTTAGCGATAGCGATTGTTTCTTATCGGTAGGTACACTAAAAAAAATCAAAATACATACATAGTTTTTTTCAGATTCGGCGGACTTGAATGGCTCTCTGTTACAATCCTAGAGAACGGTCAAAAAACGAAAATCGCCTAAATCGTTGTTGTTGATTTTCGCCTTAATTTATTTATTTATTGATGGATTTATTTATTTATTTATTCACTTGTTGCCATCCCCTTAATATCCCCGCGCCTCCATTTTACCTGTGATTGTTTGCTTCAATGATCTCAGCCAGCACCCTATCGTATCGATAGATCGTCTCATACCCTAGCTTATAAATTAACCTCCGGTAGCCATATTCAAACATCTCGTTGTGTAATTATGGGCTTCCTAGAATTTTTGAATTAAATATATATTGAACAAGATTTTGATGATATTCAGAAGGGTTATGTGGACCCAGAAATATTTTGATTGATTGATTTTTATATCTATTAAGATATATCAATCTGACCTTACATATTTTTAACGGAATTTCAGGCTGGAAGAAGAAGAGGATGGTATCGGTGGCGCTGTCGCGCTTCGTTGTATTGACATGTGGAACCCTTTACCCAGCCTATAGAAGTTTTAAGGCAAGCTTAATGGGTTCCAAACATTTGGTTATGACGTTTAGGCAGTGAGAACCAAAGATGTGCGAGAATATGTAAAATGGATGATGTACTGGATCGTATTCGCGCTTTTTATCTTTATCGAGTCGATCGCCGATCTGTTCGTTTCGTTCTGGTATGGAAATCATGTGTTTTGAAGGTCGAATTCTTCAGGTTCCCATTCTACTATGAAGCAAAGATCCTATTCGTCTTGTGGCTGCTGAGCCCTTGGACAAAGGGTGCATCGATTTTGTATAGAAAATGGATTCATCCGGCCCTCACAAAACGCGAAAAAGAAATCGATGCGTTGCTTGATCAGGCAAAGTCGGAAAGCTATAATCAGGTTAGTCTTTTTTGCAAAAGCAATATTCTTTTAAAACTTAAGCTGGTGAAGATTGGCTCTCAATCGCTGGTTGCGGCAAGGGATATTGTTGCCCAGGCAGCAATTCGAGGCCAAGCTCAAATTGTACAACAACTGCAAAGGAGCGTCAGCGCTCAGGATGTAAATATGGAAATTTCTGAGCGACGAAGAGGAAAGGTTGACATCCAAGAGGTAATTTGCATCTGGGTATCAAATATTTCGCTAGATTGTCGAGGAAGTGGACTCAGATCACGAGCGGGATGATAGACATCATCGTAATGACGACGAGGTATGTTAATCCGCATCTCCATATTAGAAGTTTTAGGATGCCTTGTCCCTGAATAATGAGAATTAAGCGTAAGGTGGTGTAACTAGTCCATTTGCATGTGCTGTTTTTCAAAATCGCTTTGATTCCCAATTGTTGAGACTATCTTACCCTCATCACTATCTAGATTTAATCAAAACAATTTGAGTTTTTAGGGTGTGCAGGTTCGCCGCCGCTCTTCACGTTCCCGGTCCAGAAATCGTCAGGTATTAAAAGTATTGACATAATTGGTTGACTCTTCAGTAGGGTGCTGGGTCGTCTTTTGAACCACCAGAAGACTACCCGGCGACGATCCCTCGACGCAATCCACGTCGCTATTAAATGTTCGGGTATACGCGTGCTTAGCCTTTATTTCCTGTTGCTCTCAAACTCCAAAAAACCGCCCCCGATACACAAACATCCCCACCCCTTCCACCTAATGAGCATTACGCTGCTGGGTATCCATTACGCACTCTGGTCTAAATTATTCAATTATTATTGCTGGTTTCTCGCGAAATTCTGGTAGGCGTGAAAATCTAGGGCAACGTTGGCATACAGGATTTGCGAGGAACCAGTAAAAATTGCCCAAGTCGCCACCCGATTCGTATAATAGCATAATAGCCCCCCGCAACGAACGCCAAGCCCTCAAAGAGGTTCACTTGATTGATTGGATCAAGCCCTTCCTTCGAGTCGCGTCTAAATATTCCCCCATAGGCAGCTCCTATTCCCCGTTTATGCAACTCTCAGCTGACAATTTGCCTTCAACCGCATGTCAACAATACTTCCCTTAAAATCAATATTTCCATCTATTATCTGTCCCTTGCCTCATTTCCATGCCTCTCCCCTTCGTGTGCTCATCACCATTTTTTTGTGCCCACCAATAAACAATTAAATATTTCTTTATCATAACGACGACCGCACAAAGAATCATGATGACAGATGGAAAGAAAGAATATTAAGCGTACCAGCAAACAAGATTATACCGTATTTCTATTTAAATGTCCGCTTAGACTATCTGAAGAGCTCCTCGGGGGATGGAGCGGCGGCGTTTAGAATCTTTTCCGAAAATGTGCATTTCCCAAGTGGTGAGCGGCGAGAATTCTGGTATTCTCAATACGTGTCGGACAGAGTGGAACACACCGGTCAAAATACCAGATATATGACGAGGAGAACGTGGTTTTTTGCAAAACTGATGGGTACAGTAATTTCTGATGTACAGCCCCCAACCATTATAATGACGACGACAAGAAGAGATGGATTAGAAATTTGAAGAGTTGTATTCACAAGTAAATATACATTCCGGTAAGGCTCCGGTGGAGATGGCGAGGGGAGGTGGGGGAAGGGGGTTTAGAACACCTCATTGTCTTCTAAGATATCTCCGATGTCACCGTCAACATCCATATCGCGCAAACCGGGTTGTAGGGCACGTCGGAATAGGCTTTGTTTCCTGAAATATTTATGTTTTTATACTATAGATGCATGTCAAGACAGTTAGATTAGATAAAATTCCTCCACCCACCAGTTGTCAACAATCTTCAACACAATTTCTACAAGCTTCTTAATTTCCGGATGGGTTCGCCTGTCCAACTGAAGATCCACAAGCAACTCGACACCTCCCTCGTTGATCACGTATTGGCAGTATCTAAATATTGTTTTATAAACGATACATTCCCATTGCTTACTTTGCAGGATCAGTCGTGGTCAAATTGGCAAGTGCCCAGACAGCCCAATGCTGGCTGGCAAACGCATGCCATTGGGGCAACAATCGCAAAATCGGCTTGAAAGAGCGATAGTTGATGAAGCGGCGTGTATCCAGCTTCCACCCCTTGGTAGCCTGAATTATTATGATAAATATGTGCGAATTAGATCCCACCTCAACAATCTGCTCCATAACATCCTGGCGACTGATACCAACATGCTCCCAGGCTTCATCCCCATCCGAGACCATATGGGCCAACACCCCAGCGCTGTTGTAGGAGATCTCAATCGATTCTTCAACCGTTTTGAGTAGATCGCTAAAAAAATATTTTCAAATAACTAGTATCGATAAAATTAAATTATAAAAGAAATTCCCTAAAGGAAGTACTCGCAGAAGCGAGCGCACCGCCCCCGAAAAACTATCGAATGCTTACCAAAAGATGCTAATGTAGTTATTCTGCATGAGATGTGGTCGCAGTTCGTTCACCTCCGCGATATTTCCGATCAATCCCATCATATTGCGCACCAGTTCGCGTTCGCTCCTGCAATTATAATCATAAATGTCACTAAAATTGGACCCACTTGAAGGCGTCGTAGCACTTCTGGAAGAGCTCAAGTCCGCATGCCACCAAGAACTTCTCGCAGTTGACTGGCGTTTCATCGGTGATGTTCCAAAGGAAACTCCATCCAACTTCCATCACGTCATCGCAGATGGCGGCTTGATGTTTCTTACGGATTTGGTTGAGGATCATCTAGAAAAACAATGGAATCACGAATGAATGACATACCTCAATAGCTCCCAACGATCCGACTTGCACTTTCTGATCTCCCTCAACATGGCAGGCCATCGAATTCAGAAGGAAGACGACGATGCGTTGCGTCAGGTTGTCCGAATTGTGGTGTTCCAACACCTTCACCAGCAATAACGCCAGGCGACTGGAAATAATTCACTAAATTTACTAAATTTACTACTCACCTATAATCAAACAAAATCTCCTGTGGAATCTCAAATTGGCAAAGGGAGAGGCAACAGTTACGCACCATCACTTGTTCCTCGATGTGTCGCTCCATGCCTGAGACTCATTTTTGAGATTTGGGTTGTCTTTACCGCTTAGCAGAGCAGACACAACGCTTTTCTTCGTATCCCAATTCATTTTGACCCGTCGAATTATGTAGAAGAGGGAGGCGGACCCGGCTGAACAAGAAAATTGACATGAAAAGTGGTCCAAATTACCGATTTGTAGTGTGCTATCTCCAAGATGTTTTCGCATAGCATCGAGCACGAGGTGCAGTGCTTCTGTGTGGCGCGTCTAAAGATACCGCGTAATTGTTGTCGTACGTTTCTTTTATCTGATTTTCTTAAATTGGTTAAGACATACCAATGGACTGGCCATTCCGAATCTATACAGTTGATAGCTCTCATTCAAGACAGCTTGAAGCAGCCCAGAGCGATCGCTGTACATTTTGAGGGCTGTGATCACTTGATCCTCATTAGCATCTCCGGCCACCATCTCGGCTGGTATCTCAGCAACATGAGAAGCATTGTCGCAATTGAAAAGCCCCAAATATTCGAGGGGCCGCTTTAGGGTGCTCAGCCCGGCGATGTCGGACCGCATTCGCACGTCCCTAAATCTAAGCTTAATTTTTTTAAGATAAACTTACGTAGGCGCTCGATCGGACCGTGTCGGTTGAGCAGCTAAATTGGTCCCGGAAATATCAAGGTGGGTCAGCTTCGTGAGCTTGGAGATAATCTAAAGCAGGATTGAAGATTTACTTCATTCACATACCGCACAGAGCGTAGCGACAGGATTCGGATAGGTGCCCGTCTCACGCGCAGCTTGGGACAAGTCCAGGTAGCTGTAAAAATAAGCATGAAAATTAGATGGCCCTTACCGTAGCTCTGTCATAGAGTAAATCGATTCCAATGCCCGGTAGAGATCGGGGACATCGTAAAGGATCAACGTCGTCAACTTGCATGGGTAAATACAGCGCAAGTTTTCGACCTAAAACCTTTCATTCATTTTGGCATTTTTGGACGTACCCGATGCCAATATGATAGGTCGAGATATTCGAGTTTTCCCAACGGCATCAACACCCGGCACAGAATATCGTTCGCGTGTACATCTTCCTCTTCTGTGCTTTTGCGAGTCTAGAGCATTTCATAATTGATTTGTTTTTGCATACTTACCCTAGGCAATGCCAAAAATCGAAGATTCGGGCAGCGAGAAGTAATAGGAAGGGGCTGATGGGCTTCTTGGAAGTCATCAGAAGACACTGAGGGCGACATGTTCAGTGGCGAAGTGGAGGAGGAGGGGCGGCTGAAAACAGAGTTGAATATCATTGAGAATTGTGTTACCTGATTTCCTGATCATAAGGATGATTGGGTGTCGGTCTGAGCAAGGGTCCTTTTGATTCGATATGCTGTGACAATTCTTCTTCGCCGAGCATTGGCACTGTCCTCCGATCGATACCCGCAGTACCATGTTTCCGCTTTGGGGGTGGGGGAGCAAGAAGTTCAAAGTTGTTGAGGGTCAAGCTGCTGAGGCCCGGAAGAGTGATGTCGTCTTTTTCCAAGATTGAATTCAGGTCACCGGTGATTCCCTATAAAATCAATTGAGGCTATTTTGATCTGCGAATGTGCTTACCTCAGTATCAATGATGTCAAGAGAGATGATACGATCAGAATGGGCCTGTAGAAGATCAGCAAGGAGTCGGTCGTCCAATCGAGCACCCGTCAGGTCCAATTCAGCCAATGGCCATTTCTCGCCATGTGCCCATCGGTGCAACTTTGCGCATTCTTTCGAACGAGCCTCTGGGTCCTGAATTTAATTGGTAATTAGAATTTGCTTGCGTTTTTTCCTACCTTGCACTGATTCCAGGCAAATCGAATTTGCCGTAGAAGTGCTTGGCTGGCGGGGAGGGATATGGTAGGACAATTTGTCCCTGAAAACATTCCCTCATCGCCCCGACTGATCAGCACTCGGGCTGCAATTTCAGATAATCGGGGCGATTCTAATGGCACATCTGACGCTTCCTCTTTCATTAATCTGTAAAAGAAGGATTAGTTTGTTCTAATGAACGGGGAATAATTACATAGAAGACGCACATGAAAAAGAACTGAATCTACTTTGCTAGGTGGATCAAAGAAATATCGATTAGCATATGACCTCATGAAAAGACGAGATACATCACTTTAGTGCGCACCTCGGCAGGATGATACGAGGCAGATGCAAAAAAGGGGAATTATTGCGATGCAGTGATCTGCGAACTCCATATGCAAAGAATTATGCAAAAATCTCAATTACTTAAATTACAAAATGAAAAATTGGGCGCTATATGGATAAACACGCGTGGAAAAAATTGTGGCACTAACGATAGCGTGTATTGTTCACAAAATAGCAGGTTATAAGTACTTCTTGACGAAATTTTGAGAAAACAGCGGCGATCCACCCTTTTCGGGATGGGGATCGGCGATAACGGGCCGGGGCGCTTGAGGAACGACAGTACTCGTGTTTTTCACGGCCCCAGGATCGATTTGATTGTCGCGACCGCGAATCGCAAAACAGTGAAGACCTGCGGGTTTTGCGGGGCGACCGGGATAGGGGGGAAGGGCACGCTGACGTAAACACGTTTCGCAACGGAAAATCGCGATATGGCACTAGAGGATTGTGGGGGAGATCGAGGAAATGGTGCGTATGTACTTTAGCAAGACATCTAGCGAGAAGAATACAGTAATTTTATAAGCATCCCCCATCTAGAACCTTCGCAGTAAAGCGCTGAAAAAACAGTGTTCACGTTAAATGAATAGATAAGGGAGCCCCCAAGGTGACCAATCAATACATCCACTGTATAGAAATTGGCGGAAGGTGGCGGTGGGGGGGCAAAATGTGGTCGCGTGCTTGCCCGGTGCGTGAGTAATTGATTCGAGTGTTTTTGAAAGGAAGCCAAACGTAGTAGAGTGAGGAAGTGAGGGGGAGACGAAGAGGCAAACAGACAAACACGTCGATCTGGTTGGGGGCTTATATCATCGGCTTCTAGGGGGGGAGGGCTTCGCCGTCAACAGCTCAAGCCCCAAATGGGTATCCGCGCGTTTTAGAAAAGCCTTGTTAGATAATGATACTTTAGGATCTGGCTTTTGAGAAAGATTAAACAAAAAAAAGGCAGAACCGGAAGTGGACAGCAAAATAATTCTAAACTATTAGAAATTATTACTAAATGAAAAATGAATATCACGGTTGAGAAAAATTGGTTGGCTATCGTCAAGAGCAACCATGTCAGAAAGGGAAAATGTGCCCGGAATCCTCGAACAAGGAAGGGGGGCATCCCGCAAAAGAGAGGAGAAGACGCCTCTCCCACCCGGCGCGGGAAGGGGCCAAAAGTGCGAAAATACCAATGAGTCGATGCCCCCCTTCTTTGGCTTCACTGGGACTAGAGAGGGGCATTCCCGCCAAACAACAAAAAGTACAATCTGTTTTGGGAAATGAGGAAGGATTACCCTTAGGGGATCCCCCTAATACAGTCGGAAATACCCTCCAGATTGTTTAGCTATTTCAATTTTCCCTCCCCCAGGGGTTGGCAGCTCTATAAACAAGGCGATAAATCGATTGGGATGTGGTGTGTGCATAAACTGGAAACCTAGGTGTACATGAGATGGTATGTTCTACAAGAGGCAAGGGTTGGACAGAGACAAAGACGGGCACGATCCGCCCCATCGTGCGCCCCCTCCGAAGCGGAACCTCTCGCAGCCAGCGCTCGCCCCTCTTCGGACACTTCCGCCACACAACAAACAACATCCTGGGCGCGACGGTAACCACCATGGCAAACCCCGCAATTTGCCGGGGATGGGCCCAATTCCCCCCTTTTTCGCCCCACTAATCCCCATGCTTGGGCGAGGAGGTGGAGGGTCGAAGCAGCCTGCGAAACCGCTGGTTTGGAGAGATCCACCTTTTTCATGGTAGAATCATAGTTCAAAATCACAACCAATGTGATTACTTTCAGTTATAGTATATTTTAAGCTTTAAATACGACCGAAACAAAAAAGAGACCCGAGTTTTTGCCCTCCCCTTCCGTCAGGGACAGGTGAAAATCTCAGGCTAAGAAAGGCAACATTGCCTGAAAAAGAAATTCTGGCATTGAATGAGAGGGGGTACCTTATTGAAGCATACGGTATCCGATGCCCTCTAATCGTGTTTTCCGCCCATGGATGCAGCATGTGGTGGAAACATGCGACAGGAATGGAAACAAACGGCACCGGGATAAATATTTCAGCTGATTCGCCAGAAAAATGGCTGCCCATATTTTATGGTAAACAAGGGAAGGGGAAAACAAGCGGCGGTCAGACGAATGTCTATGGGAAATCGATATATGGTAATGAATCATTGAGAAGCCACGTCTTGGGAAAGAATGGATTGGCTACTGCAAGTTTCAAAATAAAAGGAAGTGGTTCAAGTCAACTTTTAAAAAGCTAGGATTAAAACTAAATTTTTTAAACTATGATTCATCGACTAATTTTTCCTTTGAAGCCACGTTTCGAAAAATTGATTGACCATGGAATTGAATTTCAGAGACGGGCATAAGTAAATTTTTTTAAATTTAGTGGCCAAAGGTTACAAAGTAAAATTATAGGCGGTAATTCATCGACTATCGATTCCGGGTTTGGGAAGGAAAAATTCTACTGACGTCATTAAATGCCAAAAATAGTGACGGGTCTTGCAGTGAAAAGACACACGATGGGAAACTGGCCAAAGAGGGTTTTATGATGGCAAATCTGCGGGAATGTGAGATGGAGCTCGGTGTTGGAGCTGTGGAAGGCGAGGGCAGTCAGCCGTCTGGATAAGATGGAAAAGAGACAGAGAGACAGACGAAGAGACAGACAGACAAGTGGGGAAAACGGGAGGAAAGGGAGGGCTGAGAGATGTGGGAACGAGAGAGGGCCGTCTGTCTGTCCACTCCACAATTACCCGCTCCCTTCAAACAATCGATTGGCACAGGAAAAATGAGCTGTCTCTCTCTTGCTCCTCTCCGTCTATCGTCCGCTCTCTCATCGACATCCACCAAATATGCGCACACGGCTCCGGCCATCCACAATTGCGCCCCCCCCTTCAGCCACCTAAAAACTTGCCGCCAAACGAGGCATGCACTCCTGTTTAACGGTCAGCCGAATTACATTGGATCTAGAAAAATACTAAAAAATCATTATTAAATCTTGATTTAATTTTAATAAAATAAAAAAATCAAGGAGCAATAATTGAGAATCTCTAGATACTATTTATCAGGGAATAAAATATTTTGGCTTCATTTCCCTGACGCAAGAAAGGGGTGGTGGCTGATTGGAATGTACGGATTAGAGCGTGTGAATCATTCGGCCCCTAACTGGTCTAGGACACTGGCAAACACGCTTATGCAATCTCATATGGTAATGATTTTTTTATACTTAGCGAAAAAATTTACAAAATCAATTTCTGAAGAAATTATAAATGGCTCGTGGGGGAAAAGTTGTTTCCTTTTATGCCGATTCGAGGTCGCATTCCCACCGGAAATTGAGTTCTTCAGTGTGGGACAGGAAATTCGGGTGCCCTGGAAGGCGTTATCAAAGCAGTTTTGCGCCCAAGGTCTGGCGCTATGCACGCGATAGTTCATTTAGAAGCACGTGTGTGAATGCGGAAATTCCAAAGAAATTAATGCGTATCGATGACGCGTTAGATGAGTACAGATAAATTGAGATTGAGGAGTTAATTATTTGATCTCACCTAGACACTAGAATTAATTATTTCAGCTCGACAATCGGATCGAAAAACTCTGATAATTTGGTAAAATGATAGAGGCGGAAGCAATTCAAGAGCATCGGGGCTAAAACGCAAGAAATACCAATGAGAGGGTCTAATGCACGATCGCGGAACAATAACGATAATTATAGGCATTCGAAGCGGGCAGACTAAACGTCCAATTAGGCTGGGTGTGGAAATGCGATTTGAACCTGTTGTCATTGCATAATGGGAAATAGCTGCGGGATACTCGGAAAAGTGTCAGTATGATGAGGATGACTGGTCATGGGGGATGGAGAGGGGTATAGGGCGCCATGGCGGGGGGATCAATAGGCATCGGATTATTGTTTTCCACGTTCCAGGGACAGTCGCTTCGAGTTGGGGGGCGAAGGGAACGAGGGGGAAGCGAATGACAGTAAAAGTGGAAGCTAGTTGAAGCCTATTGTCTCGTGAGGGGGGGGAGATGGATAAGGGGATAAGATACGGCAAGCCAAAGCACGGCCCTTGTGCTCCAGTCACATGTCGCCAGCGTTTTTTATTTTCCATTTTTTGCTAGACCAGTTAAGATTGTCAAAATTCAAGAAGAACGACTGCAAAACGTCCAACTTAAAGCTTCAAAGAAATTAGTTTAAAATCAGAAGGCTACGGTAGCATGTTTTTTAGGTAATTTTTTCGAGGATTTAGAGTAATCTTAAGTCAATTAACATGTTATGGCTGCATGACCTGCACTTTTTATCGCAGCGACGAAGCGATCAAGTGGGACAAAGGGCGCCCGGGGGCGATCACGTGTTGTTTTTAAAGGAAACGGAAAGATTAATGGTTCGAAAGGTTCTTGAATTTTTGGCATACAGCCCACACCGGATACGGTAAGCGGAAAAGGCAATACAAAACCCGGAATACTGTAATATAAGAATAGCTTTCATCCAATTAACCACAACGTTGAATTAAGATTTACTGTATTTTGTTAAGCCACAGCTTAAAGTATAACAATCATGTGGTGGAGGACCTACCGATGCCGGGCGAAAGCTGATCATACCCTTAAAAAAAACAGTTTTACCGACTTGTTAGGCTGTATGGGCAATGTGCCAGAGGGTAAAGAGGTGGAGTCACGTGTCCAGACGACAGCTGAGCCAGGTCAGCTCTCCTTTTCTTTCTCTTGCGCAACCGATGCCCTTATCACTATCCCCCCTCATTTCGGTCGAATCAATGGATTGGACTGCCTCGTATGTCTATCCTTGACCGGAAATTCTAATAACCTCGGATCCCCATGTCCGCAGGTCGACATTCAATTTCCTCCCCCAGCATCCGTAATAATTGCAGGCCAAGGGCACTGATTTGATTTTTGTTTTGTCTGGAAATGTCCACTTTGAAGGTCGAGCAGAAAAATTCGTGGAGAATAGAGACCTGCCATCCCACAACTAAAAAACAATAAAAAAAGCAAAGTTTATTCATTAATGCAAATTCATAAAAGTAACCGGGATAGGAAAATAAGAACTGCTCGAATAGCCTAGGAAAAAGAAGACCACGGCAGCTAAATGCAAAACAACCAAGCGTGTTAACCGGGAAATGGGGAAACTGTCATCAGGAAAGCGAAAAAGTAGCTAAAGTTTGTGAAGGCAAGAGAGATTCAGCAGATCGGTGTTATTTGGTCGCTTATTTGCCTTTAGCATATTTCATGTACACATCGACCATGACGAGAAAGACGCAGAGGATGATTGGCCCGACGATAGCACCCTATATCACCGAGTTTCAATTAAAGTAAAAGCTCTACCTGTAGACTCAACCAATACATGCCACCGATGATTGAGAGGCCTGTGACGTATGGATGAGCATACCTGAAAAATATTGAAATTAATAGCAATAACTAAGAGAGCATAGGAGAACACAAATCCTTACTTCACTTCCTTGTAAAATGCGGCATCTACAAACATAATTGGCGAGATGCTCATCAGAATAAATACAATTGCGGCAGTGAACTGAAAGTTGACAATTATTTTTGTATCGAATAGATTAATACCTCTCCGCGAACGATGTAAAGTTCAACGAAGCCAAAAATGCACACGATGTAGGGCGGCATAATCGGGATGGCAGCAAAGATCGAGGCGACAACTAAAGGAACATACTGAGATTGTACTCGGAACCTACGTGAAGGCAAGAATACTATATTCAGTCCGAAAAGCGAGTGCACGAAGTATGTGTAGAGGCCGTAGAACACGGACATCTTAATCGATAGCACAAAGACACCCCTAAAAACGTGGTTAAAAATTTGCACAAAAAACTTACGAAATGGCCTGTTCTACAGCGACGGTCACTTCATTCACGGCCGATGTTCTACCATCACCAGCGCTGTACATACCTAGATTTTTAAAAGAAAATAAGCCGCGGTTTTCGAAACGGACCCGTCAATTGCGTAGCCCATTCCATAGGGAGCCACTGGCTGCGTGAACTGGCTAGCAGGTAGTAGAGCATTGTAAGGAAGACGACCTAAAAAATTCACGTACGTTTAAATTGTCCGCCTTCCTAGTCCTTTTAAACGCAATCTGATTTTTCCAATTTTCAAAAACTATGACAAAACACAACACCCACCCACGCAATCACCAAATTGATGATATCCATTCCAAAATCGAAAATTATCGTAGCGAGAGCAGCCAATAGTCCGGTCAGGAAGTAGAGGTTCGTCGCCAGCAGCCCCCACACAGACTGGGCCACCTAAGAAACATTTGCATCCCCAGCCAGCTCTTCCCCACTACCTCGAACATCGTGTCGAAGTTCTCCTTGATAATCAGCGTCAGCTCGTTCTTGATCGCCTCGAGGTTAGTGGCCGATTTAATTTGGCCCCACCAGTCCTTTTGGGCGGCTAATAGAGATATATTTTACAATTTTTTTTGGAATATTACCGCCAGTCGCGATCGCCGCGGTTCCATTGACATGCCGCTCTTCCCAAAGTTTATAGATGCTATCCGTTATCTGAAGATTCAAATAAACAGGAAATTCATAAAACAGAAAGCTAAATCTTAAACCCAACCTTTTTCACTTGTTCTTCCAACATATCGGCACGAGCATTGTCTTTTGGGTCAGCAAGACCACGAACTTTGGTCGAAAGCCATTCACGGCCTTGCTGGTAAGCCTAAACCACTGTCATCACGAAATTGCAAGTATCTAAACCTCCTCCACATAATTCTCCAGGTTTATGTCGTTGTTCTCCAATTGTTCGCCGGTGTAGTTATAAACACTAGCGACCCATTCCGGGCGCGAACTGATGACATTTGAGGAAAGGCGCAGCAGATGTATCTAAAAAACGCGCTCTCGGCATAAATCGAGTGGAGGAGCCACTACCGTTTCTCCATGAAGCTGAAATCCTATCCAGAGGAATGAAGTTAGCATTCCAAGCGCAAGTAGTACCATCAACACGACGGTCGAAAGGAAATCCATGTTTCGATGGAGGGACGTCGTCAGGAATTGATCGGATGTGAAGAGCACCTGAAAAAATTATTATGGTGATTTCATCTGACTACCGCAGGCTACCGTATTTTCCATATTTTGTTTTATTCATTACATTGTAGCTTGAATTTCAAACGCCCTTTTCTTTTTTATCTCTTGTTTTTGACATTGTTCATTTCGCAGTTTCGAAAAACGTGAGGTTCAGATGAGTTGATGCGAATCCGCGAGACAGCGAAAACGATTTCACAGCTGAATGCGCTGGCCCGGCGCATTGTTCTCTTATTGTCGAGGTTTCCGAGGCAGAGCCAGTAGGGGCCCAGGAGGGCCATGCCGAATGGAGGCCCTCTCTCTACCCCTACCCCCTTCTGAGCCCGTGACCCAACCGCAAAAATAGCGATTATGTTCCCAAATGTTCCGCATTCTCTCTTTCTCGATAGCCATTGGGATATCTCGATGCAGAGCGAGGTTTCGCCCCTGAGTATAGATTAGGAACTCGAGGTTGCGACGTGCTAAGTTCTTGAATTAATTTCCCGCATATCCGGATTCAGCTCCATTCGGCTTTTCCCCCTACCGACCCATTGAATCTCATCCCGGTGTTAATGAGGGATATTATTCTTTCGGTGGCTCTTTGCTCTTTCCCGATTAATGCACTTCCTCTACCGCAAGGCAAAAGAAGAAGAAATCCCCGGATTCGGAATTTGGTAGCTTTGCAACGCCCTGATGACTTCAATTAAATGTGGTCGCTACCAGAACAGCTTCCAACCCATGTGGAAAGCGCGGGTGGGCCGGGCCCGAGTTGACCCGTTTAGAGACTCTGATTTGCCTTTTCTGGCGCCTGGTCCCTAAAGAAGGGAGCACCTGAGCAGGCGCCGCCCTTTCCCTGAACTCACTACACGCCATCCGAAAAGTTATGCGTCACAATCTTCTTTTTGGCGACATTCAAGTTGGACATCGTCCAAATGTATCATTTGAAGGTTCTTAAGGTTTTTAAGGTGCTGTTTTTTTTCGCATATTGTAACCTGTCTGCCGCCAGGCCGACTGACTCTAGGTTCTCGGTCTTTAATAGGATAAAAAACCGCCCCAACTATAGCAACATTAAAAAATTTTCTTGAATTTTCTCTAAATTTTCTAAGCGAAACTACTAATTTTCTAAAATACGAAGCAAAAAATGGTCCTTTCAATAGCTATCATAACACCTTTAGAGGTGCGCCATTTCGTGCCATTCAATTTCAACATAAAAGAGCTTTGCTAGCCATATCCCTCCACTGACGCGTCCCCCACTCAATGCCATGGCCTTCCGCCAATTTGCCCCTACCATGTATTCGTCGGGCAAAGAGGCCAAATTTTTTGGGGGACCCATCATAAAGTCAATCGGCCCTTTCCCGACATCAATCATCAGTAGTGCAGCAGACGGGAGTCCGCGGATTGTTTGGCGCGAGCCATAGCGGGCGCAATGGCACTTTAACGATTATCCTAATCTAGGATTCTCCACCTATTGCATCTCTGGCTCGCCGGCTCTTGGAGGGGTAAGTATTGCCCCGAGGGGTGGCCGGGGCGAAATGCACATTCTTTATCATGGCCACTGAATAAACAGCTTCCTCCCTTAGCCCTATTGCTTATTGCGCGGGGGGGTTATTGCCAATTCTATCGAGTGGATTTCCTGGGCTGCGCGTTCTTTCCTTACTTCCGCTCATACATTATGCCGGTTGCTGAAACTTTCCGAGCGTTCGGTATTGCGTCTCGATAACACAAAGATCGGGACTAGTTTTACACTTATTTTGCTTGTACCAAAAGTATGCTTGTGCATTGTTTTCCGAAGTGATACCTTACTTCCGGTCGCCGATTTTGAAATCGGATCAATGACTGGCTTTGCCCATTTTGCTGCTTTTTCACGCCTTCCGAAATTTCAGTGTCAAACTGATGGTGGCGGGGGCCTAAGAGGAGATGTTGGAGTGCGTATTCACGGCGTGAAAATGCGATTACCAGCGTTGGCACTGCTCGCCGGCAGCCTGTGTTGCCGGGTCGGGTGGTGCTGGGAAGAGGAACAACCGGACCATCACTTCGTCCATGCTGACTGTAATCCGGATGCGCCGGGCAGTCGACCGGCCATGCTCATCGAGCGCATAATGCAAAATTATAGCCGGTACCGACTTTTTAATGGCTCGTCAGATAAATTCTGATTTTAGAAATGAAATCCCAGAACCACTGCCAGTCCCTGTACAAGTCGAAGCTACGATACAAGACATGACAGAGCTATCGGTGCTAAGTAATAGCTTAACAGCGGATATATGGTTCAGGTAATCATTTCCTTTATTTTCACTATGTAAATTCTAGCGCAATATGGCATGATCCGAGGTTGGCCTATCGACATTTGGATCCATGCCGCGCCAATCTATCTTTCGATGATAATTTTGAGAGGGTAAGTCAGGCTTGTGCAAAAAAAAACGCATTCTGCAGTTATTATGGTCGCCTAACGTCTGCTTGGTGAATACGAAAAACACCCGGGTCCATAGTTCACCAAAAGCCAACGTCTTGTTGATGCTGATGCCAAATGGGACGGTGTGGTTAAATTATCGAGTGGGTCTATTTGCGAGTTCGAGAGAAAAACCAGTAAAAAAAGAATTTAGCCTTTTAAAGTTGAATTTGCGTTCAATATATTTTACACTACGCCAAGAATAGTAGCAATTTTCATAGCAAAAAAAAACGTAATTTCAGGTTCGAGTGTCAGCCCCGTGTGATATGGATCTTACGCTCTACCCATTTGACAGCGCTACATGTCAACTTGTTTTTGAAAGTTATTCCTATAACACGGCCACCGTCAAAGTCGATTGGATGCCGAATCCAGTAACCATTGTGCCCGGTGTCGAGTTGTCGGATTTTCATATCCTTGAATCACATGCTTTCAAACATACAGAGGTTTGTTTCCCTACCTTACTTACACCATTTTAGGTGTACAAAGCCGGGGAGTGGTATCGGTTATCTATCGAATTAAAGTTTAAAAGGGAGTACAGCTACTACATCCTTCAGGTAATGGAAAAACTCAAGATCAGAGTAAAACGAATATTTTTAGATGTATGCCCCAACATACATCAGTGTTTTTATCTCTTGGATAGCTTTCTGCATCGACAGTAAAGCCCTTCCTGCGAGAATTGTTCTTGGGGTTAATTCACTTATGTCGCTGACTTTTCAAGTAACCCTATACTAATAATTTTTACGTATTTTGTAGTTTGGTAATATTATACGATCATTGCCGCCCGTCTCGTACATCAAGGTAAGTTAGTCCGAAATGTCAAAAATAATAATTTAGGCGATCGACATTTGGATGTTTACTTGCGTGGCTTTTATCTTTGCGTCTTTGCTTGAGCTCTCATTTGTTGCATATCAAGTTGGCCTGTTTTTTGCTACGTTTACCATTTTACAGGACAAAAAGCTGATACTCAAATCGATGAAGAACAATATTAATTTGAACACCTTGGTGGCTTTCATAAAATCACTTGATCCATTCAGGGCACCGGCCCATATAAACAATGAAGATGCGGTAGGGTCAAATTAACATAAATAATTCCATTTTAGGAGCGCCCCAGAAGAGACTCGGAAATGACAGAAAACACCGGGATGCTAAGAGAAGAATTGTTGAAGAAACGGGAAATTTATTCCCGAAAGAAAATACAGATCCATGATTTTGGAACCAAAGTGGATCGGTTTTCATTTTTTGCTTTTCCTATGGTGGGTGGCTTTTCGGACATTTTACAGCTTATTTTAGAGTTTTTTCGCTTTCAATGTGTGGTACTGGACCTACTACCTGACACGTTAATCGCCAAATTTTTCAGGGTTATTTCGGGTTTTTGGATTGTGATCAAAGTTTAATAAATTATTGCAAGAGACATACCTTGAAAAATTGCCGCAGAGGAGAGGCCACAGTGATGTCGACGATACGCTGGACCTTTGGAAGTACCGCATCAGAGAACGAGTTCCAGGCGCATGAGATGAATTGGAAAATGCCGAGTGCTGTGCCTAAGATTCAGGTGTTAAAAGTTGTAAATTTTTAATTACCTGCCCGCCGGAGGAGTGCGAACAGAAATAGACAAGCAACGAGGAATATGGCTGAATCATGACGCACCACCCAACTAAAATGAGGTTTTTGAAGCGAGGTGTAGCTTACAGCAATGTGCACAGGTGCCTAAAATTCCGGAAATATACGCTAAAAGAAAAAACCCGACCTGCTTGTTGAGTGGGCGCGGGTGGTTTTGCGACAGCGGGAGCGGTTTCTAACGAAAACATTGAAAAAATTAAAAATAGTGGCTACCTGTAGTGGCCTCAGTTTCTCCGCCTTCTTCGCTTTCGGTTTCAGTCTTGATATCACTTTCATTGTCGACGCGAACAATTCCAGCAGCCAGAATTGAAAGCATTACAGCAGTCGCGCCGAAAACCAAGACGCGCAACGGGCCGAAGTAAGTCGATATTTTGGCCAGAATAAATAGCCTAAAACACGTACGATCATCGAAAAGAAATGCGATACCAGATTGGGACAGAAAGGGCACGAGCCAGCTTCTTGGACACGGTTTCTTGTATGTAGATCCAGGTAGCATAAATAATGAAGTACAAGGCAAGCAGGTTAAAAACCTAAAAAGAAGGTCAGCAACCCGAGATATGACATACCAAGGGCCTTGTGAACTTCAGCAAGAAAGAATCCACATAACCGTAGGTGGTGCCAAACATTCCAATGGCATCGACGAATATCCGATCATAGGTTAGAAATTTCAGGAGGATGTAGGTCAACACAATTGCTCCTCCACGATAGCTGTTCGTAATTTATATAATTGCAATCAAGGAAATAAATACCCCATCGAATTTCTGTAGATGCATTCGGAAGCATGGGTGACCATTTTGTAGGGAGAGACGACCAAACCGATCACCAACGGCGTATCAGTTTCTTGCAGCTTCAGAAGCCAATCTGTTGAAAGTAAAAAGTTGAATAACTACAGTTTCAGCATTAAAACCTTGTGTCACTTCCGTAACTCTTCTCTTCAGCGGAAAAAGCACGGTTCCAGCGAGGACAGCCCAGAGCATTGGCGTGAGAAACATGTACAACATGTTGTAGAGCGCGACCAATGATGCCACAACAACGCCCAACTAAAAAAGATACTAAATCAACCACAATAACATTACGATAATTATCATTCCAGCATTGTAAAGGGCTTGTTGTAGAGCCACGCGCTGCTCCTGGTTCGAGCTGAAGCGATTTATCAGGGCTGCGCCCCGATCTGACATCGCTGCCTGAAAATTGGTAGTTAATAAAAAGCGAACGTAGAATCAGAGCAGCCACATACCATATGAAAGCCCAAAAAGTTTGTTATTTAGTAAAACGGACGCCGAATAAGCATAAATTACACAAAGGACAGTTGTTAATTGACAAAACCATTAAACGGTAGTTTTTTAAAGGTAAATAAAATATAAGCTCTAATTATTTGTTTTATCTTCAACAAGCTTTTTAATCCTTTTGCAAAACCAAATCCGTCAAATCAAAAGCGGCTGAACGACTGAATGTTAGCAAAAAAGCGGTCGACCGGAAGGCATAAACATTCTTTTGCAGCTATTCGTCACCGAAGATAAGAATCGGAACGGGCCATGACATGGCTCAACTTTTAATATCATGTGTAGACTTGGATAAACAGCATGGATCCCAGAGCTCAAACAGTTAGCCCAAAATTAGTAATTTCCTGTGCATTTAAAAGAAAGTAACAGTGCTGACTTTACGTGGTAAAACGGACATAGACATTTATAAACACACCCTGAAACCCGAAAACTAAACCCTACCTGCGCCACGTCTTTAAAAGTAAATCCGCTAGTCATTTCCCCAAATTTTGCCTAGAAAATAAACCTTTTATCATATCAGACAAAGTCAGAAATGAAAGATATCCAGAAAAATCCCTGGAGCAGCTCAAGATACTGTAAACGTAGATCAGTTTGCATGAAATTACTGACAGCCGGCTGCTTATTTGCATGTGCTCATGGGGAAAAACAATATGTTTCGTGTTGTCATTAGGGCGCGGAGCAGTGGCGTGGACAGTGGTGCGTCGTACCATTAATGTTGATAGCGGCGGCAAGGTGCAAAACGAGGCCCGACGGGCTTATTTGATAACCAATCGATGCTGATAAGCATAAATATTACTGGAAAGGCCTCCATTCAGGTCATTATACACAATGTCTTCCCTCCCAAATATCAACCATTTACGGCGCGACTCTTCTAATTCTAATTATTCCGGCGAGCAGACGATCGTCGACGGAATGATTGAAAAGGCTGTTCTAGAGCGGATTGATGGATCGAAACAAGATAAAGTTGACAGGTTTGTAAAGCCTGAAAAAGGGCATGAATCAAATCAAGACGTCATAATATAACTTTTCAGACTTGAACAGCTAAGCATTGCCATTGCTGTCTGCAAGGAGAAGCTGCGCGATCAGTCACTGCAAGCCACTCCAGATGGAACGCCGACCGAGAGTCTGGACCTCAATCTCAAGAAACTTCTCATGGAAAAATTGGTTGAATATGGGCTTGAGAAGCAGAACTTACAGGTTGGTTGGTGTTAGCAACCTTAAGAATTTAATTTTCTTAGGATGCCCAGGAACAGTCAATGGAGTATAAAAAGATTAGAGGGCATGATTTCACAGCCCAATCTGCTAGGGGTAAGTATCTTAATTTTTATAAATTTTAGTAATCTTTTAAGGTAAAAACCCTTGTTGCGAAGTGTGTCTTCACACAATATGGCGGCTCGTCCAATATTGGCGTCGGTGCAGAAGTGAGTTTTAGAAAATGACATCGAATATGGAAAACAATGAGCTTTAAATATAAAACCATAAATGATCATCTTCAGCATGCGGTATGCGAGTACACGAAAAGTGCCTCGACTCTGTGAAGCGTGATTGCGCCTCAATGGTTGGCCTCAGAGTCGATTTTGAATACGATACAACGGTTCGTTTTTTATCGAATTATCTATTTTGTTGTAGATTACTCCTGAACTCGGTCTGCACGTCCAAAAATTCCGATGCGCAGAATGTGAGCAACATATTGTTTTCGGTAGGTGGTTGAAAATAAAAATTTCATGCAAAATACGAACAAAAACTTAATTCCTGAAATGTTTATCTTCTTATTCTTAAGCATTTTAAAATCTGAAAATAAAATAACATCTAACTAAACAATAATTTCAGACAGCTCATCAGCAAAAGAGCCTCGTCTTTGCGGCCTGACCGGACTCTACTATTGTCCGGATTGCCATTGGAATGATGAATGGCCGATTCCCGCACGGTTGATCCATAATATGGACCCTACTCCGCATCCGGTATGCAGATCTACAAAGCAGCTACTCGCCATCACACAAAATAAGGTAGAACAAAGCCAAATTTCTTGCAAAAATGATATTTAGCCTTTGATCTCGCTCCATGATTATAATCCACGACTATTCGCCCTTCACTCTGGCCTAAAGAAGGTCCATCGCTTTAGAAAAGATTTCTTGGTCATGAAGTGCTACTTCGTCAGCTGCAAGGTATGGGTTTTGCATAAATCTATCATCTTCTCCCTAGAATGCCAGAAGCCTACGCATCCTACAGTATCTCCGGAAGCATCAACATTTTGTCGAAGACTCTCGTTTGTATACTCTTAACGAGGCAAGCAAGGCTGCATATTCATCGAAAAACATGCAAATTTAGCTCCGAGACATCTCCACCGGGCGGCTATGCAATGAGCTTGAAGATATCCACACTGTTTTCCGGAAACATATTGAAGAGGAATGTGAAACTTGCAGGGGCAACGGATTTTATTGCGAGCTTTGTGATTCTAACAAGAAGGAGAAAAATCAGGTAGGACTCCAGAGTTTTTTTTTTTAATCAAGAGACTCATTTCAGCTCCTATTCCCATTTTCTGAAGGGGTCTCGATGTGCTCAAAGTGTTGCTTCGTCTTCCACAAAAAATGCTTTGATGCAGCTGAACAGAATTGCCCGAGGTTTCGATTTGTGATTAATTTTGATCTTCATTTAGATGCCAGCGGAGAGACAAGCGAAGACGGCAGCTCAGTTCAGCTGAAATGAATTGAAAGGGTTTCTCTCAGTGATCGACTAATAAAATTTTTGCAGTACTTATTACTACAAACATAATTGCACTAGAAAACTCGGCACGCTCAATATTTTTTTTAAGATCAGTCACCCCTAGACAATAGGGCGCCAAGGTGAGTGAAAGCAATCCGGCAAAGAAATCAAGGCAAATAGAATATCAAGCGATCAGTTTACCCAGGGCCCAGGCCGAGGCGCAGGTGTGAATGTTGTCTTTGCACGTTGATTAAGACTAGTCCTGGTCCCAATTGAACGCCGCCCAACCCCCAAGTATAAAAGCGGGCGATCCGTCGGGAAACTCATCAGCCAGCTTCATCATCATCATCATCATCATGCATTCTCCCATCATCGCTTTCTGTTTTATTGCGCTCGTTTCGGTGAGTTCCAAATAAGGCAAATACCATTTAACAAAATCTAAAAATGGCTTTGGAACCTCCAGTTTTAGCCCAGCGTCAAATCGACAGCAAATAAACCCTGGTAGGGTTGGTACTGGATTGTTAGCAGGGGAAAACTAACTTTCCACAGTAATCCTGAACGGTCATATAACAAAATATGAACCATTTTATAGAATTTTTTACAGTTTTTAGATATGATTTTCAAACTCCAAAAATGTTTAAAATATTTTTTGAAACTTTCTAGCAACCAAAAACTACTACAAGAATTATAAAAATACCAACCCGCCCCGCTAACAGTCCAGTACCACAAGGCTTTGCTATTACCCCTTGTACCTTATTCAAATTAATCGATCGATATCTTCCAGGCCGGCGCAATCCGGGAACAACGTCAATGCGGCTGCAACCAACCAGCTCCTCAACCACAATGCACATGCCAGCCATCATCCATCCAAATCGCCACCACCCAAGCCCCGGTCCAAATCATGCAATGCACTTGCCAAGCCGTCCAGCAACCTCAACAACCTGCCTGCCAGCCCGCCCCGGTCCAGGATTGTGCACAGAGCCAGCCCGTCCAGCAAATCCAGCAGCAGCAGCCTGTTCAGCAACAATGCCAGCCCGTCTGCCAACAGCAGTGCCAAGACCAATGCTCCCCACAATTGGCCCCTCAGCAATGCCAATCTACCTGTGACAACGCTTGCCAATCCGGATGTCAGTCGTACACTCCCTCAATCGGCAATGGAGCACAGCCTTCTTATGGAATCGGCAATGGAGCTCAGCCAACAAACTCGATCGGAGGAGGTGCTCAGCCAAACAACCAGATCGGCGGTGGAGCCCAGCCCAACAACAACATCGGAAATGGTGCCCAGCCAATGTACAGCCCTTCCATCGGCAATGGAGCTCAGCCGACCTGCATGAACTCGTGCCAACAGCAGTGCGGTGACTCGTGTGCCGCTCAGCAACAGCCGGCCACTCAATGCCAGCCCCAATGTCAGACGCAGTGCCAAGACGCGTGTGCCCCGCAGCAGAACTACCAGCCCCAGCAGCAGCAGCAGTACCAACCTCAGCAGCAGCAGCAGAACTACCAGCCCCAACAAGTCAGCATTGGCAACGGAGCGACACCAAGCTGCATGCCCGCCTGTCAGCAGCAGTGCACTTCTTCGTGCAGTGCCCAGCAGCAGCCGGCTACTCAATGCGAGCCTCAATGCCAGACGCAGTGCCAGTCAGCTTGTCAGCCACAGCAACAGCAGCCGATGACGACCATGGCTCCAGTCACCGCCACCGCTGTCATCAACATTGTTCTTGAGGTTGGCTTTTTTTAAGTTTTCGAATCCAAATAATCGATACCCCTCAACCTACCCATTCATTTTCAGGCGAGCGTTGCCCGCTCCTCGGACTGTCAGCCTCAATGCCAGCAACAATGCCAGCAGCAATGCTCTCAACAGACCGTCTCCTCCGGCTGCAGCTCTGCCTGTCAGTCCTCGTGCTCAACCCAATGCCAGCCAGCCGTCACCCCATGCCAGCAGAGCTCGAGCAGCTCATGCGGATGCCAGCAGGGATATTCTCCATGCCAATCCACCCAGGGACAGTGCTGCAAGCGCCGTTAAACAGTTGTTTTTTTTTTGATGCAATATCTGTACATACAGGCCATGAATAAAGGTCTATTTCACTACTGGTACTGATCAAAACACTGAAACACACAGAATCACCTTCAATATTTATTTCACAACCATGGATCATAATCACACTAGTTATATCATGCAAATTATAACACTTGTTGACGGTCACTAGCTTATTTCCGTGGAATCAATCCAAATTGCTTCGGCCTGAGCAGCGTGTCGACCACACCTTGTTCCAGCTGATTCAACTCTTCCAGCACTTCTCCAAGGTCACTAAAATCAAATTAATAAAATAGCTTCATCAAGCCGACCTCTGCTTCTTTCCAGGTGCCGTACGGAGTTCGATGTAGTACTTGATCTTCGGCTCTGTCCCGGAAGCGCGTAGGGTGATCAAACTGCCGTTCGCCAAAGTGAATGTTACCATTTCAGAAGAAGTAGAGATTGGAAGGCGCTATAATCGGATAAAACAGAATATTTTTGCTTGGATTACCGGTTTGTTGCCGGGTTGCGAATTGTCGTAGCCAATAGTTAAATCGCGGATGTGGGCGACGTCTTCCTTTCCGATCTTTGTCGGGTACTGAAATTGAAGCGATTGCTGAAGCTAATAATTTATCAAACCTTCAAGTCTTGGCGCAACGTGGCAAAAAGCTCCTTCGTCACACTCGGATCGGGAACGATCCAATAAGTTGAGCGCACCAGATGGAAGCCATATCTAAATCCATTAAAAGATATGTCCATTTTGTTACTTTTCATATAGCGAAAACAATTGGTCGTGTAGAGATTTCTTGTTTTCGTGCAACCAGGTGGCCATCTCGGCAAAAATCGCGGCCGAACTCACACCATCCTAGGAAAAGTTTCGGCGCATACAATTCCTATACTTTATCAAGTGTATGTCCCGGCATAAATCCGATCGATTCTTCCCAGGCCAAGATGACTTTCTTGCCCTGAGCCTTCAAATCATCGGCAACATTCCCCATCCATTTGAATCCAGTCAGGGTGATGTCATTTTGGAATCCTAGACAAATCAATCACTAAAATTAAATCTATTAACCTTCTTTCTCAGCAATAGTTTTTACAACTTGACTACTGACGGCGGAATTCAGCATGTAAATGTTCTTAAAAAATAGTTGTACAAGAAACAAGGAACCAACCGAAAGATCAGCATCCGGGTTTCGCTCACGCCAGTTCATCCATACCCACCAGGTCATCAGGGTGCCCATCTCGTTACCGGTGAAAATATACCACTCACCGCTAAAATTTCAATATTTTGTTTACTTTCCAATTTCAATTTACTTTGGCTGCTTCTCGGCCATTTGAAGACGATCCGCATCAGGGTCGTTTGCCAAGATTACGGTAGATCCATTTTTGTCGGCAGTCTCAAGAGACAGGGTCAGAACCTGAATTTTTGCATATTTTTAGGAAAAGGGATATCAAACCTTTCTGCCTTCCTCCGGGTTAGGGAAGGGTACGGTAGGGAAATCGGGATTCGGCTCTTGTTGTTCCTAAAAAAATACACGAATAACGAAAGATTTCTTACCTTCACGCTAATCACATTTGCATCCGAGAATCCGAATTCCCTTAGCATTCGAGTCGCATATTGATATCCGATTCCGTGGAAGGCCGAATAGGTAAATTTCAGTGGGGTTTTTGCATTCAGAGCCCTGAAATCAAAATTGTTTTTGATCTAGGGTAAACACCTGTAGAAATTGTTGCTCTTTTCGGCCACAAAGTAAGGGTCAATAGTCACGTCAGCCGAATAGAGAAGCGGACTTTTCTGAAATTCGAATTCGAAATTTTGCTATAACGATTACATCGAACTCGCTGAGATCCCAATATTCAGCCCTAGGCTCCGGTTCCGCCTCTTTGATTCTCACAATCTCCACATCATGCGGGCCAATGATCTAAAAAATGAAAATTAAGATAGCGACTTCAAGGCTAACCTGGGCTCCATTACTCCAATAAGCCTTATATCCATTGTCCTCCTTCGGGTTGTGTGAAGCTGTAATCATCAAGCCGGCCGAACATTTTAGGTGGATGACAGCCCACGACTAAAGACCCTTGAATTTTTAGAACTTACAAAAAAAATGTTTACCACAACTGGGGTCGGAGCTACTTCGCTGAACAAATAGACCTTGATCCCGTTCTTTATAAAGACATTTCCGGCCAATGATGCAAATCTGGGAAAAGTATTTAAAAAAAAGAAAAGTTTTTTACCGCCTGCTGTTGTGACGGCCATCAAAGCCAATCGCCACTCCATTATTTCCATTCGGGAATTGTTGTTTCAAGTATTGGGCGAATCCGTGCGTGGTCTAAAAATAAAATTAAGGGAGTTCGGTCGACTAGATACCTGGATTATTGTCAAATCGTTCAGTCGCGCAAACCCTGCTTGCATTGGAGCACGGATGCCTATACAAGAATGCTTATGCTGGGAGATTATTTTACCAGCCGTTCCGAACAAGAGACGCCCTTCCATACGTGCTTTGAGTTCATCATCTTTGCCATCAGCCACGAGCTTCTCGATTTCGGCTCGAGTTTTGTCATTCTGCAAAGAAAATAGTAATTAAATAATTTTTAATGGTGCACTTACTTTATCCCAGTTGAGCCATTCGGTCACTTTGGCTTTGATGTCGACCGTCATTCTGCAAAAGACTGGCAATAATCAGATATTTGAGTTCTAGGGAATCAGGAAGATATGCAAATTAACCATTGATATGAATGCGTAGCGAATCACAGTCTCGCTACGTTGAATATATGCATTAATGAACTCTTATCAAATCATGGATTAACTTATTAACATCTGCTAAAGATAAGCCATATTCATTCGTCGCAAAATGATAGAGACTTATACTGGGTAGTAGTGACTGACCTATAAAGGCTACTCAAATGGAAGATGACCCCGAAAGAAACAGATAGGCCGTCAAGGTCACCCTGTTCAGAGCTGAAACCTTATTAATTGGAGTATCGCCCTTCTCAATGGCGAGTGGAAGAGAAAGGGGAAAGACAAATAGATAAGGACCGTTGACCCCCACGCATCAAATCTTATCCAGGATTAAAAAATAGGCCCTTTGAATTTCCAAATGGATCCTCTGGCCATCAAGGTAATCGATTTACGACAGTCCGCTAAGAAAATGGACGCTGCTGATCGCCCGGAAAGATAAGACCGCACTTTCAGCCTCACCAAAAAATAAGTGGAGGATGTCAACCCTCGAACCAAGATAAACTGAAAAATGAAGCTGGTTAGTTTTTGGGCTTCAGAAATGATAATAAACTTTTTATTTGCATAGTCATATATAATTTACAAAGAAATATTCCTGGCTCAGCCGTCTCTTTTCGACTTTCCTTTCCGTTCGTCTTTGCTCTCTTCTCTGGCGTCTAATTTCGGAAAATCTAGATAATCGCGTAGTTGTAGGGCTCGTAGTGGAACAAAGCGGTTGCCATGGCTTGCTAAAAATTTCAAACTTTTGATTTGATATGTTCTTACAAATCCAGTATCTCAAAGTTCCGTTGCTACTAATTCCGGTGAGGACGGTTCCAGTCAGATCCCAGTTCAATCGCCAGATCTGAAATATTAAATGAAATTTAACGATTAGAATACCTTGAATAGATCACTGTTGAAGGAGGCTCGGATTGTTGCGTAGCTGTTAAGGGTTTCCGTTCCTTGAGGCGAGTCATCGACTAAGAATGCCGCCTCCGGAATCTGAAGCCGAGTGGGATTAGCAGACGATCCTTGTCGTTCTTCACCTGTATATTAAGCACATGGACATCTTGTGCAGCTACTGCCAATGTGTGATGGTCGGCAGAAGCACATGGTGAAAAAGCCATATCGTTTACCGGAAGCGCAACCGGAATTTTGATTTGCACAGGAAACCATTTTCTGGAAAACAAAAGTATAATTAAATTTCAGAACAACCTACCCTCCGCTGGCCGTATCAACATATTCATAGAGACGAACACGTTGCTCTTGCAGCCCTTTAATCCTTTCTTCGGGCTTCGGCTCTTTAGTTTTCTCCTCGGCTTCTTCTTCTGGAATCTCCTCATCCGATGCACAGGCAATCAGAGGTCGGAAACATCGCGCTGATGACCAAGCAACGGAGCTACAGCGTAGACCGATACGTGCGAAAGGCTGAAAAAATTTGATAGATTTTCGTATTTTGATATCCTACCTGCAGAGTGTGGATGAGTGTCCATTGGGATAAATCCATCAAATCTCTAGCTTCATGTATCCGGACCTTCCCTTGGACAGAGGCAGCAGCCTATAAATCATTTTTTGCTAAGTTCGTGTTCAGAGCAAACCAATTGGAGTCCCAGATGTCTAGGAGCAAATTTAATATCGACCACATCGGCTCGACTATCTGTCAGCCGTGCCCGTCGCACCCAACTAAACAAATCAGAATGAGCGTTACTCTTTTCCTTTTCTAACCCTGCAGAGCTATATCTTGGGCGAACACCATATTCTTCAAGATCCATCAGCTCTTCCCAGATATGGACGGATCGATCTTTCGATGAGGTGGCGATGACCTGATCGAGGCATTTTGAGCAGCGTTTCTTTCATACCTGTCCAAATTCTGAAGCAGCCCAGCAGACCCTCCACACTGGCCCTCCATGTTCCTTCCAAAATGCACTTCGAATCCAGTCACCATTTTTGCTACGATCCCAGATTGCCACTGTCATATCCGAAGAGCAGGTTGCAAGACGGTGACCATGTTGGTCAAATGCTACCTGAAATCGAAGGTTCTTCGTTTTTACATGTTGCCTTAGCGCGTTCGTACAGTTTCTAGGAGTGACACAAACCTGGAATACAGTGTCTTTATGTGGAGATTCTTCTAAAGGTCGAGGTTCCGAGCCCTCGTGTTGCGCCCGATGGCGATCCTGATGCCTTTGCATCACGCGGCGCGGTGAGAAATCCAGTGCTAAATTTATTTAATAAATATGTATCTACTAATATCTATATATCAAAGCCCAAAACATGTGTATTAGCTTGAATTGGAGGTGTTTGCATACCCATTTCTAATCTATTCGATTATCTCATGCAAAGTGCTACCGGGCGTTGTGAGTATCGCCGTGTAGTCCCAACTGGGGGACCAGCAGATGCGATAATTTCCTTGGAACTGCCTATGTGATTTGTGTTCAATGAGCTTTGTACACAAAGAAATTGAAAAATATATTTATTGTACAACCCGTACATCGAAAATGATGTTAAGTGAAGGAACCGTCATGGGAATAATGAGATGCTTAGAAAAATTATAAGCTAAGAAGCATAACAAAAATGAAGATCAATGGCATAGCAAAAATCAAATGAGGGCTCAAGTTAGCGGAATGTAAAATCATTCTATTTAACACAAAATCATTTCTGCAGGCTTCCCAAAGCGTCCCAAGCGGCAGCGGGTAACCTAAAATTGTTGTTTAGCCTAAATCTTTTCTGTTACCATCAGCTATTCCAGAGCTTGGATTTAGCGTCTTCATCTTATAGACCTGATTGCCGCGGACAAAATAAACATCTAAGATTTCTATTCAAGGGCGGGGAATGAGAAAAACCGTTGTGAAGTGAGAAGGCAGCGTTGGAATCTTGTGGGATTTTACCCCAGGTGCCTGATCGGCTCATTGGGCCGTCGATCACCGCCTAAATTTTGGAGTTTTATGCAAATTAATGCTAATCTACCAAAACGCCATTTTGATGAGGATCAAGCAGCCACCAATATTCATTTCCATGTCGGCCCTTTGTCCATAGAAAGGTTTGATGATCCGCGTCATGAAAGGTCGGATCCGGCATATGGAAAGCCAGATCAACTTTTTCTAAATCAGAATTTATGAGCGTTACTCGAATACTGTACCAATAGGACCGTTCTTCAGATGCTCCTTGATTCTCGAAGCCCCATAAAGTTGATATTTATGCGGATATTGATATATGTAGTATTTGTCGTCTAGAAAAACGGGTTGAAGTTTTGCAATTTGCATACCAACGAAGAAGTATGTATTATTCCCAAAATTAATTGCTGCATCAATGGGTGTTGGTAAGCCCTAAAAATCTAGCAGGAAAACAAGAACAAAATTTACCATGAATCGTTCAGAGACTAAAAGTGGTCCCTCGATGGTTCGGGTATTATTGTAGACTCTCCAATACCAATCGGCCTAAAAGAAACACTTTTTGGATAAATTATACCTAAACCACCTTAAAAAGAAAGATTTCGTCATCAATTGTAAAAATGGCATCAACTGCGGAGGTACATGGGCGTGGTTTAATAGGATCCTCATGTGGTGGCCCATAAGTAGGCTTAAATTTGCATACGAAATTATTTCCTTAAAATTGTTGCTACCGGCTCGGTTGGTGGTCCGGATGGTCTTTCAGTTGGTTGAGGTTTTGGAGCAGCCGGATGTGGGATACGATCACTATTTTTACGCCCTATTTCGAATATGGTATGCAAGTTCATGAAATTACCATAAAGATAGTTTAAGACATAGAGGTCATTAGAATCCAGGTTAATTTCCTCTTTCGCCGGTCTTGGGATGTCGACGGCAAACATCACGCTACGATTGCTAGAAATCGAGATTTTGTGTTATAGTTTTTTTTGGTGTGGTATACTTTGGGTTGTGGTCCAATCCGAGGGCATGCCCGATTTCGTGGACTGCCACTGCATAGAATGATGGGTCTAAAGATTCGCATATCCCAGAGGACGTTCAGGTATACTTTCATAGCTGCTTCTATAGTTTGAACTCCATTGATGGACATCATTGAAGTGGAGATCACTTCCAATTTTGAAGATTGGATTTAGCGGTTGGAAAGCATGGGCTAGAACTCCGCGATTTTCGAATCGATATGGGCAAGTTCCGTGTTGGACCTAAAGCTTTGACTAGCGATATCGGCAAAATCGACAATTCTTGAGTCTTTCCACAATCTCTGTATTTTTACCTCCTTCTCAAACGAAATTTGCATAAGTGCATCCGGGTCCGAGGTTTCCCGAAATGCGAGAGCAGCATTTCGATCGTAGAAATCAAAAACCTCTCTCAGCACCCGTCGCACCGTACCGTAATCCAACGAGTGAGCTCCGTTCACCACTCTAGAATTTATTGGTAGAAGTAAGGGTTTTGAGGCTTGTGCTTATGCTGAAGCCCAGGGGGCCAGCTGGCGCTGTTTTTATAAACAAACGGCCCATGTTCGTCTGCTTGCTATGACTAAAGGGGTCGCGGGGGACGATCGTGTTGTTGAAGTTTTATTTATATAGCCAGCCTTAAACAATATTCGTAAAACTATAGGCTTACAACTAAACTATAAATGATCGCGGTTGAGGGCGAATTGTCAGCCGAAAAATTTACAGGGTTTTACATTTCTCGGTCAATTACAAAATTAAGTATTATATCATAGTTTGGTAATAAAAGAGGATAATTGGGCCCAGCAAAACCATCACTATCAAAGGCCCACTGTCGACCAACTCAATGGAGGTTGTGATGTCCGCGTGTGCATCAGACAACTTCCTGAGTTAGCAGGCAGGGGGCCCAGCCAAAGTATAGGGAGCAGGACCAGGGGAGCTTCAACTTAGCCAAAGTGAGCAAGGATCAGGAAGCGAATATGGTGAGGCCCGGAACGGAATGAGATCGGTGGGTCCGGGTCAGCAACGATGGCCCCAGACCTCGGACTCCGCCCCAGCACATGTGGCCCTCCTATCCCTTCTGTTCGATCCTCTTTGCTCTGTTTTGCCTTTGGCCCCTCCTCTCCAATTTGAGTGTAAACCGAACAGGCACCACCACCTCCAAATGGTCACTCCTCCCCTTCTCTCACTATTCCAATTGGCCGTAGGGCCCCAATCGATATGGGTTTCGCGGGGCAATTTGCTTGTTAAGCGTAGCTAATTTGTGGTAATTCTGGTGGTATTATTGTTTGAGGGAGTAGCTGAAAATTTAAGCAACGTCACGAAGCGCCAGACTCAATCTAAGAAACCTGCGGAAACACCTAAGCCTAATTATGAGTTTTCTAAGCCTAACCTAAGCCCAAACATAAGCGTATTCCTGTCTAATCAGCAAATTTGGGATTCTGCCAAGAGACTGATCTCTGCAAGTACAGTACAGAAACTCACGATTAAAAAAATCGCCCATTTGTCCTAAAATTATTTTTCGGTTCTGGAGGATAACTACAGCGTTCTCACATCAGGTAAAAATCTTAACAATAATGGTACCAAAGGTATGGGTTTCAAAAATCCCCAAGGACCAAAGCAGTATACACAAATCGATTCCTAAATCCAGTCAAACAAAGGGTCGCTTTTGCGTAACATTGCTACAAAATGACAACGAGCTGGCTTCCCTGAAAGCACATCACCTCGCTTACGGGGTGCGCGGACAAAGAGATTTCGGGGAAATCCTGAATGCCTCGCGGACAAATGACACTTCCGGGGCATAAAGGAATGGTTACAGATTCAAATTGGTGTGTACGTAATAGCTTACTATACCACCCTTTCCACTCTCTTTCCAAACACCGACACCCAAAAAGCGGCTGCTTGGCCGGCAAGACACGATCGATGGGCCTACGCTAAACCCGGGGTTCCGGGGTCGCCCAACTTTTTGATGTGGTACGCGTCTGGGGGAACGCAGCTGTTGGCCCTGGGCCCTCTGGTCGACGGAATGGTGTTCTTTTTACACCAGCTACCCCATCGCCTCCGATCGGTGCTATCGGGTACCATTCGACCCTCTAGAGCAATAAGGTCCGTTGCGCCGCCAGGCCATATCTAGGGCACCAGATGCCGACTCGAGAAAAAGTCTTCTTTTTTGCACCTAGCTGCCAATTTCTGGGGGTATGCGCGAAGGGTGCAATGTTTCGCGCGTTTAGGATTTCAGACTTCTGCAACGAGATCAAGGGGGTTTGCGTGCCGCTGCCGTTTTAAGGAACTTACAAATCAACCTTATTCGGGCGAGCTCAAAGACGAATCGATTTTTCGTAAGGGAGGTCTTAGCATGCATTTGCGTATTTAAATAAATTAAAAATGGGGTCATACTATAGAGGCCCAAGCCAGAACCGGAAATGCGTTTCAAAATCTTTTACATATTTCCGAACTTACAAGCCGACCCTTTTAAGTTAAGCTCAAATCGAAAACTGACTCTACTCACCTGTAAGTAATTGGCCGCTGCGTAATTCGATAAACATCAATACCACGCTTCATCCGAACATTCAACTTTCTATAAGGAATTTATTTCCGCATTAATCAAATACCTGTCACCATCCAAATCATACTTAACACCACAGCGTCTCATTTTCATATATTTCAACGAAGTAGGATCTATTTTCCCGGTTTCCGGAAGCCCGAACGAGCGCTAGAAAGGAATCTGAATATGGGGTATTCTTATACCTGCATCGCCATCACACCAGTTTCATATAATTCACTGGAGACTTGTAGGTTCCCTTCCCGGATGCTGTCGGGAAGATAACCAAATGAGGTCAAGTAGTCGAGCTGTAAGCGGTGTTGGCAAAAGTGATTAAGGTCAGAATACCTGATCCAAGTCGGCTAGGATCTTGCGAAAAAGGAGGACGATATAAAGTGCTATTTGCATGTTCTGAAATGATGTTTGTCGTTTAAAAAAATGGAAATGCACAACAAAGGCAAAATACAACATAACGATACATATTTAGAATGGTTGTGTGTACAAAATGGTAGGCCCGCGGGCTGGCCATATTCACGCCGGTCAACGGCCCATTCACCTATGGGAAAATGGTGGGCCGGGGAAAAAGGGTCGCCGGCTGAATCACATATGTATGGACCGCAAAGAACGCGAGCGAATGGAACGCATTTCTCCTAGAGCACATCTTTTTTGGTCTAAAAACCAACAAAACAATATCCTTTTAACAAACGTAGAAATTCAGGCGTAAATTCCCGTTCCCCGGGCCTTGCGGATGGCCCATAAATGCGAAATAGCCCGGGGCTCAACTGAGATACAATGCCCCCTCGGGCCCCATATGGCCGCTCTTGGCCCTTTTCTAGCTCCCAATGCTAGTGAAAAAACAGGAGCATGCTTCTAGCTGCAAAGAAATGGAACCCGCGAGCTGAGGGCTACCTCTTTGCTAAACCATGACTCAAAAGCGTGGTCGTCAATTTCCGGAATTGAGTCTTAAATTTTGGTGCTTTTGGCAGAAGCTATGTGTAACAATCTCAAGCGTAACCGGTCCCTTTACATGGCCGTAAAAATGAGCATTTCTTGACAGCTGATGGACCCGCCGCCGGCGGCTGACTAACCCCCCCCAGGGCCCAATTTCTTCGGGTGGTCCGAAAGAAAAAACAACTGGTGCGACGCTTTTTAACACTGGAACACCCCCAATGGGCGCATCTTGCCGGAAAATTGATGACCTCGGATGTTTAGTGCAGGGGTGTAGCAGGGACTACGATGGCCAATAATTACGATGTGAACTTTCGACAATCTGAATCTGAAGACTATCGGAAAAGGTCCAAAGCAATGTAGAAAGGGCGATTTCCTATGAATTGCCACGCGATGCCCAATTTTTCTTGCTAGCATGAGTAAAAACAGCCGGGGGCCTCTTTGTGCTGCGCGGAACGGCGGAACTTGAAATATCTCGCCCCGGCGTTTCGCAATGCTCCCTGCGGACGCGCCCTTTTAGGTTGAGAACGATGGGAAGCAATTTTGAAAGCAATGGGATGATGCAGGCCCGAATACCCAGGTCCATGCAAGAAATTTAAAATGGAAGCATATCGTAGTCCTTCGAAATGTTTCTGGTGGCCCTGAAAGTAAGAGTTGATTGGAAATTTGTTGCTCCAGGGTAGCTCAGGTTTGTAAGCAACAAGAAAAAAGAAATCGTTATAATTTCCCACTGCTATTTCTCATCATTTGCCGGTAGGGAGTGTGTGTACGCCAAAAGCTTAGACGATCGGAACCCGAAAAACTGACAATAACAAAAACCACAACCCCCCCCCACTCGTCACCCACCTGGCCCACTAGCAGAACACAAAAGAAGGGAAGATACTACCAGGGCGCTGAAGCCTAAGCCTAAGCCTAAGCCTAAGCCTAAGCCTAAGCCTAAGCCTAAGCCTAAGCCTAAGCCTAAGCCTAAGCCTAAGCCTAAGCCTAAGCCTAAGCCTAAGCCTAAGCCTAAGCCTAAGCCTAAGCCTAAGCCTAAGCCTAAGCCTAAGCCTAAGCCTAAGCCTAAGCCTAAGCCTAAGCCTAAGCCTAAGCCTAAGCCTAAGCCTATCGATTTGGTCTATTTCCATGGTCGATCTAGCCAGTTTGAAAATAAATTTCTGAACAAAAAAAAATTTAAAAAGTAGGGAAACTCCCCATCTCTTGACGTTTGAATTAAAACGTATCTTACAATTTGGCTGCCTATAACATCTTTCAATTGAGTTCTGCTTCACGGTTACGCCAGAGCGATGCGCCCTTGCGTACCTAATGGTTGAAACCAGGGTCCGTCGAACGTTGTCTGAATTTCGGCCGGGCTTTTTTAGAGATTTCGGACATTTGGACGGGTAGTCCACCAAAAAACGGCCCCCAAATGCGGCGCTAATGGCATTTTTGGGAGTAAAACTCTAATCCAGTCCCGATTGGGGGTTCATCTCGGCTGGCCCTATAAAAGCGACTTGAAGCTGGGCAATGATCAGTGGCAAACGGTCGGCTATATTGTAGTTGGGGGTTTTGAATTTTCTGCTCTTTTCTGATCTGTTCTGTGTACAAGTTGTTGCTAGTTAGATTGTCAGAAATACATATCTAAATTTTGCAGGGTAATAATGGGTCGTCTGCATGCTGTACTCCTCGCTGTTGGTCTGGCCGTCGTCGCGGCAGATGATCAGAAAATTGTGATGCCCTGCATTGCGCTTCTTGATGTAATCTAACACCATGTTATGTAAATAATGTTTTAAGCCAACTTCGACCGACCCGGAGCCGTGCAAAGCCCAAGATCTTTGGGCGGCTCATCAACAATGGGGCAGTATGCGGAAGAAGGCTTGCGGTGAGCTTCTTCGTCTTGTTATTTTTGATGAAATTCCAGCTGGTTCAAACCCGCTGCTCGAGGCCCCCGTCTGCAATTACATCAACAAGTTGGCCCCGCACGATATGGACTGCTTCGCGACGGTGATTAACGCCTATTACAAGATGGGATACCCGCCGCCCTGCCAGAAGAATTTGCCCGATTCGACTTTCGATCAGCCGCCATCAATCTCAAACGATGAAATCAACCAATGCGTTTCTGTAGGGTTAAGCTAAGTTGGGAATTTTCCGTTGTAGGATGCTTGGGGTATGTTCAAGGACTTGTGCGGTAGCAACCCTAGCTTGATTAACAGGACTAAATCTTTGTATAATCAACAGGTAAGGCAGTTTATACTCTGCTAGTAATTTACATTAAAATGCTTAAAATAGCGTATTTTTTATCCAGATCAAAACCCTCGACGATTGTTGTGCAAAGTACGGAGATGTAGGAGCCACTTGCCGTGCTGAATTCGAACTTGTTAGGATAACAATTAGCATCCATCAATCAATAACTTTTTAGCAACAAGTCGCCTATTTCAATGTATTCCAAAACAAGGAAGACGGGAACCCACGCCGACCCGAAAACCATCCTCGTCCGCGTATGCAAATCACTTTTGGGCTCCTTGATCTTCTTTTTCAGTCCATCAAAACCTTCAAGCTGATGTACGAGGCATTCCTTCAATACCGGGATGTTTGCAAGGACATTTGGCAATGCGGATTCAAGGCCAGTTTCAGTGGACTGAACTGTAATTTTATGCACAAAACTTTATTTAAATCTGTTAAGCTCCTTTCACCGAGTTCGCCTACAACTATTTGACCTCTCAGCTGAAAAACGCTAGCGATACCTCTCAAATCACTGAGGACGCTGTTGTGGCGAAGGTAACCAACTGGAATTATTGAGATTAAGCTAAATAATTTGTAGGTCCTTTTGCACTATCGGGGGAGGAGGTGGTTATGTAAAGGTTACATCGACTTTTTAGCCAAATCGTCGACTTTTAAAATGTTTTAAGGTTTTAGATAGTTTTTCCATTCGAAACCTAGTGAATTTTACGGGCAAACTTTTAGACTAATTGACCGTACGTTACTAGACATTTCGAGAATTCTATTCCCCGCGAAACGCTATTACGCCTAATTACCTAAATTCCAGATGCAAATCTTCGGCAACAACATGTTGAGCATGGCCGGCAACTAGACCACCCCCCCCCCCAAATTTGAATAAAGTATAGTACAGCTACCTACAGCCTTACAGGAAGGTTTTTAAGGTACGTAAGATAATTCATTAGGTACGTAAGGATCCCGAGATGAGTTGCAAAAACACATATAAGACTTAGAAAAATGCACGGCTGTAGGGCAGAAATAAGTTTTTGTAAAGATTCCCAAAAACCCTTTGTTAGGAGGCCATTTGCATGCGCCTCGACTGGGGGGCCTATACAGTTTTTCACTTATTTTTGTCTTGCTAGAAGTTTAGGGACAAGCATACAAATTTAGGACTTTCGCAGGTGGGGGCCTGGAAAGGGCCCAGGGTTGAAAAGCCGCGTGCTGGTTTTAAACGTCTGGTCTCACGGCCTAATTACGGCAATAAAATTCCAGATGCAAATCGCTTCGGCAACAATATGGGTCTGAGCATGGCCGGGATACGAGACTGCAATCCCCAGAATTTGAATAAAGCATAGTATAGCTATTTGGGGGGGGGGAAATTTGGAAAATAAACACCTTAAACAAAGTTCAATCCGCCAGACAAGGTCTTCTCTTAGCTTTTAAATTCATGAAACGGATTGCGAGTGGCGGGAGGGCCAGTACTCTTGCGAAAAAACTCCTTTTTTTTTTCGTAAGCGCCTACACCATCAATAATAAGAGAGAATTTTAAAAATCTAAATTTCGTGCTTCGAAACTTTGAAAAAGACTAAAATTGTTGACTTTGACCAAAAAGCAAAAAGTTTTGCATGGCCGGGGATTCGAACCAGAGACCCTCCGCCCCAGAGGCATACTAGTTAGCCACTACACCACTCGACAGGCGGACACCCATCTTTGGGAGGGGCTCATAAGGGTGAGCGGACAATCTAGTGCAAAACTTAAAATGCTCATAACTATTTTGTATTAAGCGTTTAGCAAATTCTGATTGCAGTTTCGAAATCCCCGTCGCCGACTCTATCAGACCCATATTTTTGCTAAGCGCTTTGCTGGGTTTTTTATTTGCACTTCCCTAGTGAGTGCTTTTGCTCATGAAGTTGTATTTAAAAAATTCCTGAACTTCTTAAGGCTTTAGGTGGCCATATATAACAATTTTTTTTGCTTTACATTTATCGAACTAATCTATAATAATGTCCATTTGTATACCTTCGATAAATCTCGCAAAAAAAAAACCCCGGGATTTTGCGATATCAGAATGTTAGTGATTTGAGGCGTAGATTACTGTACATTAATAAGTTTTTTGAAAAATGTACGCTTTATGGCTTACCGTAGCCGTCTAAAAAGATAGGAAAATTTGCTCATTTGACCATGGCTTTCTCGTGGCGCATTTTAGACCTTGATGCTGGTGAGGACAGTAGTTCCATGTCAGAACTGTAGCTTGTAATTGTGCAAATTTAGCTATATTTTATTTTCCAAATCGTCAATGCTTCCTGCAGAAAGTATAGCGTAATAATTCTTCAACACTAAACCCAGTAAAAATGTTTTTTTTTATTATCAAGGGCCACTTTTTCAGTCCTTCTGTCAGTTATCCCCGTTAATGAGCAGTACAACTATAAAAATGGCGATTTTTATAAACCTAAAAAATCTAGGTTTTCTCATCGTGAATCCACCTGCTTCCCAGGTACCAATCGGTCGCTTCAGGCACCCGTGCGCGAATTGTATAGTCGCCATGTCGGAGGGGGAAGGGGGGGGGCAGGAAGGCTTTCACCTGCCAATTCCCCCCTAGCCAACCCACAAATTGCGCCTACAAAACCAGAGAGCCAGGAAACGAGGCTGCCGGTTCGTGTGCTATGGCATTTAGCTCATTAAAATTATATCCTCGCTGCCGTGAATTCGTAAGATGGGATTATGGTAGTATCGCATTTTGTGTGGCGGAATTTTTAAACGTTGATTCAACGCCTTTTGCGTTTCTGAAAGGACTACTGAACACTGAAAATATAGGGGACACTTCGGTTTTGGCGAAGATGTCGGGTTTGCACATATTATAAAGTTCTAAAGCTCAAAGATCTAACATCCTGATTCCGAGTTGTCGTGTCACCGACCCTTAAAGATTGAGCTGGTGCACACATAACGACGTGATTTTCGGCTCAAATTCCAATTTCATTTTTCATACCGAACTGCCGTTTTGGAACACCCACTCACTCCAAAGATATTTTAGCCTTTGAGTGACCACTAGACGCGGCGGATCCACTTTGGTTGCCATAGGCGAGTGACCGTTAGTGTCTGGACAAAGACGGGCTATACATCTACGTTTGTACTATAGCCGCCCTTTCCCTGCCGCTGGGAACGCTTTTTTTCAGCTGACCTTACCGGCTCTTTTCATAATTTTCCCCTAATTTTGCTATTCATGCCTCAAAATATTTGGTTCAATGGCAGTAGAAAGATAAAGAATCTAAAATAAAGCCTGTCACGCTCCCTTTAAAGGGCCCCTGCTTTACACCCAGATGCTAATTAGCATATTGTTATTTGGAAAGGACCCTTTTCATTATTATTAATTTTTTCATTTTTCCGTATGATCGCTTGCATTGGTATTTTTTAAATTAAAATAACAATTATTCTCGATTGGAAATGCGATTTTCCGATTTAATATAAAAGATGTCTAGACAAGATATATTGCCCTATTTTCGTTCTGCTGTCCTTTGTCAGTCAGAGTCCAGAAGCAATTTTAGCCGTGGCGCCGTTAACTGCTCAATTTTGTCCGCCAGTGGCGGCGACAAGGGCCAGAAGCGTCCACCTGAATCACTTGAGGTCCAAAGCAGAAGGTTGGACATGACAGTAGTATTTAGATGATTCTTGATGATGATAGATGATGATTTTTTATGAAAGCGAAATATATAAAGTGGAGTTTTTGATCTAGATAGTGTTTCATTGGATCGAAGCCATCAAAAACCTCCACTCCTCCCCCGACAACCTCGCCTTGTCCATAGCACCGGCAAGCAAGTCAATGAAGGCTTTATAGAGGTTTTCAATCAAGATATTTAAAACTATTATTAGGGATCTGAAAACATCAAGCTAATTTTGAATCGACATTCCGTGGAAAACCAATACAAAGTAGCGCAGAAAATCGGCACAGGATTTTCTTCTCAGGTTGGAATGTCCTGAATAATGCCGATTGAACAAGAAAATTCAGGTACTCTTTGCAATTCGTCGTCGCGACAAGCAACCGACCGCTATTAAGGTATACTATAGTATCTGAAATCTTACTCAAAGACATTTACAGGTGGTCGATAAAAATAGACTAGGTGCAAAGTGTTTCTTGGTGGAAAACGAGGTGGGATTTCCTTTTTTTATAAATAGACCCATTTAGGTTGAAATATCGATATTAAGTAACCATCGGAACATTTGTCGACTGTTAGAGGCATATCAGACGCCCAATCATTTTTATATTGTTTTTGAATATGCCGAGGTTTGCGAAAAAATGAATTTCGGAGTTCTGTTATTAGAATGGGGATCTATACGAAACGCTGAAAAGTCGGCGCTTGACTGAGCTAGAAACGGCAACTATCTTGAAACAGGTACACCACCAGATCATTAAATTTATTTAGTTTTGAGTAATCACTCAATCCCGATATTTCAGATTGCGGCTGCCTTGACGTATTTGCATAATCTCAAAGTGATACATAGAGATATCAAACCGGAAAATATTCTGCTATTTCCAGACAATACCGCAAAGGCAAATTTATACCTTTGAAAATAACAGCAGTTGTCGATCTTTAGTTATGCGATTTCGGCTTGGCCTGCACTGTATTGGGTCCGCTCTATCGGGTTTGCGGGACACCAGCCTATTGTGCACCGGAAGTGTTCAGGGAAAGTGGTAGGCTGTGGCTGGCTTCAACCAAAAAGAACCCCATCGTTGTAGGATACGATTTCCCAGCTGATATTTGGTCGTTGGGAGTTGTTCTGCACTTGATGCTCGTCGGCTTTGCCCCATTTAGGGCTGCAAGTAGGTGAATTGCAATTATAATTCAATTTAGATTCTATAATTTATCCAATTTCTAGCAAAGCAACGTCTTTTCAACATGATCAAGCGAGCTGCGTATAATTTTAATCATCCCGAATGGCGCCGTGTTAGTCGGCGTGGGTTTTTCCCACAAGAATTAATACTAAACAACACAAAATTAATTTTAAAGGTTACAATACATAAAGTAGTTTTTAGCGGCCCGTGACTTGGTACATCGCATGATGGCCCTTCGCCCTGAGACCCGACCAACAGCATTCGAAGTGGGACTCGATGACTGGGTCTCAGATCAAGTCTCACAAGAGCTCTAATATGAACAAATTTCACCCCGCCTACTTCTCTTGTCTTTCAATTTGAAACAAATCCCGCTTTAATGTCTTTCAAAATCACTCGCTCTTCCACTCTTTTCACTGCTCTGTCATGATTTTTTGTATCTTATATTACACCGTTTACAAATAAAATGATCGAAGTCAACGGATGGGGGGAACGGGGGCTGAAAACTAGGTCTGGCATATCGATCGCACAACTCAATTTCGGTTATATTCATGTTCAATCCAATCGGCTAGCATTTGATGAGTGGAGACACGTAACGTTTTAAAACCACCATTAGTGCTTGTACTTCCAAGAAAAATGTTGAAAAGTTGTAATTTGATATAATTAGTCGGGTGTGGGAGGTGTTACAGTAGGCCAGTTGCGGAACCGTTGATTGCCCAAATGGACTAGGGGCGAGCATTGGCGGGAATGCAACAGTTTCAAGAATTTGTAAATCGTATAATTCGGAATAGCTCGACCTTAGTAAAAATTCCAAATTTAAAATTCACTAGCATACACCCATAAAGCTAAGAAATGCAGTCATTTTGTCGGAAGGGGAATTGGAGGAACAGATGAAGATGGGGCCTTAACAATAAAGAATTGTTTTGATTTTCGGGGCAAGAAGTAATGAAGGGACACCGAATATAACTATTGAATTAGAATTGACAATGGGTTGGACTCGATCTGTTCCTTCAATCGTAGGACAATTCTTGAGATGCTTTGGAAGAAATGACGGACCGGAAGGGGCTCTTCGTTTCGGGGGAGACCATGGCCCATGTAGATGATCGCCGACTGGAGCTCGTCCTAGAATTAATATTGATCTCGGCATTCGCGCTTTTTACATACCTTCGTGTTACAATATGCTCTCGACAAATCGTCGATCATTTCTTGGGCGTTCGGTACGGTCTCGTTCAATGTTTGGCCACATAGCTACAAGAAAATTTTCAAATATTCAGTCCATCCAACCTGAAGCTCCTTATCAACGCGAGGAAGTCCGTTTTGAAATTCCTCACATCGTCTTGCGATTTCCGTGTAATTTACTAAAAATTTCAATAAGGTAACGGTTGAAAAAAATACTTTCAGCAGCCTTCTCCATCAAGTCGAATGTCTGGGCAATCTGCCAAATGCAATCGTTTCGAGATCGAAGCAGCGAAACCAATTCCTCGAGTAGACTCTTTCCGGTTGGCAAAGCCAATTCAAAAAGCTAAATTTAATTTTTTAGTTTCTAATATATATTGTAAAGAAACCTTGTCGAGCTGCGTGGCATCGATCCCCTTTGATGCTGGCCATTGAGCGATCGCCAAGCGACATGTTGAAAAGGACCAACACAATTTGCATCATATCGCGCCAATGCTCCGAAGCTATGGCTTGTCGGGCTTCATGAAGGACTTCCAGCTCCTAAACAATTTTTACCTACAGCTTTATTTTTCTATACCGACCTTCATCAATCTTGGTGCCTCTTCTCTCAATTCGGTCATCCAAGACAATAAATGCAGCTTTTCCTCTAGCCGCTCAATTCGAGACATTTGGACAATAAACTGCTCATCATCGCTTAGATTCTCATTAGGGTATGTGCTTTCGAAAGTGCTAAAAAAAGATCTAAGACAGTAAGAAGTCTCGAACCGGAAAGTCAGTGCATCTACCGGTGAAGGGGCGACCTCAATCAGTCGCTGAACCGATTTATGGGACAGTTTTTCGATTTGCAGATTCCGGAAATTGCTGAAACACTTTGAATCCAAATGCGAATGATTTGATTACCCAGTGATGGCAAGGAAAATATCAATCAAATGATGGCCCAGGTCCTCGCGCATATTTCTGATGGCCAAGCAATGGGTGGGAGAGACTGGGCGTGTTTTTCCGGCGTCAGATAATGAGTCTTTCCATTCAATTTTCTAGATTGGCTTTAGTTTTAAGGATTTCGGCAATAAAAGTTACCTCCAGAAGCTCAGAGAATGGGGGAAGGGTGTTGAAAATGGTCGGTCGAATTTGGTCGTCATTTAGCACGACGCAATCGATACGGATCGGCGTGTATCTATAATTTAGAGCTGGATCATTTGTCAGTTTTTCTTACTTTGGCTGTAAATTTTCACCCGGGCGTGTAAAGGAGCCGTTAGAACCTGGCGATAATGGGGAAGGAGATCGCGCTGTTGCTAAAAATAGACTTTGAACAGTACAATGGTATAATATGGATGCGATCAAAAATTTACCTGTTGAATTCGTTTTATTCAACAACTCCCCGAGTGTTGATGCCAAAGTCACGGCATTTTCGGTAGGGTCAGTCATCATCGGACCGTCATTCTAAAGCACTATTTTTTCTAAACTGTGTATTTTCCAAACCATCGTCGGTTTCCTCATATTATGCGCAATATTGTTGTTGTTCAAGATGCCGAGGGGAAGTGGGAAACCAGGCGGAAAGACGGGGAGGAACGGGTTGAGTCTAGATCATAAAAGGGATGGCATGGGAGGTGGTCGTCTTACGGTGGCAATCCGTAAATAGGAGGCTGATCTCCACAACGTCGAGCTGCTAAGACGGCGGCGAGTTGGGATTGGGCCTGAAAGGATCCGTTAGAGTCGTACGATAAGTATTTACCTGGCTAAAATCAAAAGTCGGGAACGTCGGATTTGGTCTACGATTAGGTGGGGTGGCCTGACTATTCCGCCTCGAAACATTGCCAGAAGATCCCGGGGACGTTGGAGACGTTCGCCCTTGAATTGGCCGTCCGCGTCCGCGCACTGTAATTTTATTTATGAAATGAAGTGCTTAAAAATACCGACCATGAGGGAAGCAGCGCTTCATGAATTCCTCGACCTGCCCGGCGTATTGATCCATATAACTTATTGGATCACCGGCAAGCCCGTGAAGTGACACCATATGACTCTTGACATTATTTTTCGAATAGGTGGATGTAAAATCGCATTGCGGGCACTTAAATAATAAATTCTTCTTTGTAAAATTAAAATTCGAACCTGGAACATTGGCTTTGCAACGTGGCACTGCCTGATATGACACGGCAATTTAGAGGAATGGACTTCTTTTTGGCATAATTCGCACCACTGGAACGTCATCGGGTATGACTGGAATCAGGGGAAAGATGGGCGCGTATCGAAAAGTCTTACGCGTTTCCGCTCGCCATTCTGTGACTGCTGTGGGGCGATGACGACTCGGGTCGGCTGGTTATTCATCTGAAAAGGTTGTATTGGAAGTTGGGGGTGTGATTAGCGTTGGGTCGGGTGTTTTCATGCTTTCTTACAGGGAGTGTTTTTAGCTGCTCATGGAGTTATATGATTCGATAGGGGCTGAAATTCTTAAAAGGGCTCATTTTTTCAAAAATCGACTAATGGCTACTGCTTTCGAGAAAATTTAGAATCCCAATTTTGCTAAGGGCATATTAATCTTTCTTAAAAAGAGCTTTTCTGTTCTTTTCTCGGCTTTACAATTTCGGCAACCTGGAAAATCGTTTTTTTTAGGCTAAAGACGACTGAGGGACTACGGTAGGATCGTCAGATCGGCCGGAGTAAAGAAAAAAGAATTTAGGGAAAATCGGCAAATTTGCTCGAAAAAGAGAACGTGCTCCTTTTGCTCCTTTTGCCATCACCTACCGGCGGTGGCTGCATTTTGGCCATTTGCGCCTGAAAATAGTTCAGCATTGCCTCCGGGTTATTGAACAGCGGCGGAGCGGGAGCCGAGTGCTGGAATTTGCGGGCGGATAAGCTGCCGTTTTGTCTTCGGTCGTGGGTCTAGCCCCTCTCCCTCTATTCCAGGTTGCAACTCGGCACCCACGTCTTATCACACACACGCACAACCTGATGGGCTTCTCCGGGAGGAAAAACCGTTCACTCAGCTACCAGCCGAACGGTGACACGTTCCGGAGTTCGAATTTTTTAGAGTCAAGAGTGAGATGGATTTTTCAGCGATACATAAGAAAATGACAAATTAGATGGTAGCTTAAGCCCCTCTCCTACCAACCTGTTCTCCCTGGTTTTGCATTTGTTGAAAGATGGCAAGCTGTCGTAGTTGGGCCCCAAACATTGACGTGAAATCCTAAAGACAACCTTCAAGTTATGAAGAATAAACTACATTTATTGGGTTGTTGATGGACAGGTTGATGGGGGTGGTCACCTGGGGTTCGGGTTTGATGTTGGGAGGGGAGGTGCTGGATGCCTAGAAGAGGTACGTCAATTTTTCCGTCGATTTTTAGCTACCTCAACATCACCCGGTTGTCCGATTGGCTCGCATTTCAGGTCTTGGCTTGCGAGCATCATACCTGAAAAATTTTATTGGAAGACTGTCGGCGCTTTCATGAACTAGAGAGTAATGGAATTTTGTGACATTTATTCAGGTTTAACGCTTAGGATTAGTTATGGACGTAAGCTAACCTTAAGATGAAGAAAAAGTAATGTAAAGCATCAGAAAATTTTGAGATGTACCTTCGGCTTCAACCTAGACTTAGGTTCTTGTTTAGGTTTATCTGTGTACCTGGGCCACTTACAGTAATCCATTTTACATTCTTCACCTAGATGGTTGATGTTACATTAATGCAACCCTTTCCGGACCACTTCCCCCCCCTCACGCTCTGATCCCGAGGCCTGCCAATCGGAAATGTTCATAGGCCCTCTCCTGCTAAAAGGCGCACAAAGAATGGGGGGAAGGCACGCGTCGGCACCCCAGCTCTCGCCAAAGGCCACCGTACGCGCCCCGATCGCCTTCGATGCGAAGGGGCTAATGGCAGCACACGGGACAACATCTTCCCCCCATCTTCGACGAGCCAAGAAATTGCCCCAACACTCAAATGTCGACCCCGATGACCCATCTCACGGCTAGGCCTCCCCCCTCGACGTTGGCTCTCGACACATTGCAACGTAAAGTATGGGAGCTTTAAATTCAAACCCGCAAACTGGCCGGTATGAGGTGTTTAATGGGATAAGGAAGGCCCAGGAAAAATAAGCATGAAACCGGCTTTAGTTCTAAAATTAGCATAAATCTTCCCCGCTTCCTCCTGCCTCGCCCCAATCCCTGCGGATTTTCGGAATTTTCATTTCCAGTTGGCTCGTTGCCAATTATAGATCTGCCCTGATCCAATGAGCCTTCCGGATCCCTTTAAAGAGACGAGCAGGAGGACTGTCGGTCTATCGAATCTGGATTCCCTATAGGTTAGGCAGAGCCAGTGAGACGCAAAGCGAAAGTCGAAGCCTAAGCCTAGCCTAAGCTTAAATGCTCGTGTCAGGGCGGCGGAAACCTCGATGGGAAGTCCACAAAAGCCATATTTATACCTTTCCCGTCCTTTTAAAGGGGCCAGGAAGTCGACTAGAAGCCTTAACCTCAAGCCCCTTTTCGCCTATTAACGAGTGACAGGAAAATAATATTTCCGATCCACCCCGCTATGCCACGATTTGTGGTGGTGGCTGTAAAAGCCGTGCGTCCCGGGGGCTGCTGGGGGGAGCTTAAGCTGCCACCCGTGAAACGTTTTTTCTCCCGCGCCACCCCGGGTCCCCCCATCCCTTATCAGCCACCGCCCGGTCCAACTTGATTCAGGAGACTTTTAGGGTGGGCAGCCGTTCTCTTTATGGGGCTGCCGTGCCTACCGGTTGTCGCGGCCAAACAGTCCAGAAATGCCAAAAATTCTAGGGGGAAAAATGGGATGGGATTCGGAAACTTTTAAGGCATATTTTTGAACAAAATTTTGTTTAGTCGTAGGTTTTTAAGATATACCACTTCCGGTGTACGCTAATTAGTTCTTAACACAGAAGGTGAAGGAGATTTTCAGAAAAACCTAAGGATACAAGAAATACACCAAAAAGCTGTAGTTGTAACCCTTTCGTATCTTGGCAGCCGATTCCGTTCCATTCTACACCTAATGACACTTCTGCGTCTTACCTCTCCGGTCAGGAACAACGACCCGGAAATGTGGATGCAAGTTCCCAAAATACTATTTTACATAGAGTAGAGCAAAACTTTAAATCTAAAGCATTCAATAAAAATTCAAGCCTACGGTATCAAGAGTAATCGACTGGGTGTGTGAAGGGCCTACCCGTGAATTCATTAGCGCATAAAGCCTAGGGTCTGATGGAATTGGTGAATCCCCCCCCCCCTTCCACACCGACGTCCGCACCCACATACACCTAATCCCCCCACTGAAATTAGGTTCGACGAAGGACTGACTGTCCGAATGTAAAAGAGGATGGGCGAGCAAGGGCATCATCTCGGCGTCGGCCAAAGGCTTTAGCGAATTAATTGGAAACACGGGTTTTGGCGCGCTTAGGAAACGAGGCGCAATGAGGGGTGCAAATTGATGGTGCACTTATTTTGGGTGCAGGCATCCCGGAATTAGATACTATGTTTTATTTCTATATCAAAACAGTGTTTGCATAGACTGAAAAAGATTTTCTGTATATACTGAAAAAGATTTTCTGTATAGAGAAGAAACGTCATTTAGTGTAGAATGGGCCGGAATTGAGTCCAGACATATTAGCTTTTGAAAAATGCTTAAAGCCATAGCCTAGCATCCCCTAAATCTAAGCTTAAGTCTAAAAATTGTGACAATCCCAAAAACAATTAGCATACGCAGGCAGGGACCAATTAGCCTATATAAAGTGACAGGGAAAGTGATGTATCTTCATAAAGATATTAAAAGTACGAAGATATACTAAAAACTAGGCAAAAAAATAAAAATGGAATCTAAAATTCCGGAGTCCATGGAAAATTTCGAGCTCCCAGCCCAAGTGTGGCTTTATAGGGTTGAAAAAGTGTTGTGGGTCATGGCAGGCCAGCCTTCTGGGTGTTCTAGTGGGATATTTCCGGCTGCTTCAACAGTCCCCTGGCCACACCCCGGACAGTTGTTTTCAAAACAGCCACTCCCCCCAAATGACCCAGCTTTTCCCCATTTCATTAGGTTAAAGTTCTAATATGGTTAAGCTAAAGGATTTTAATGACAACGCGTAACATCATCGTCTTGGTGACTTTAATCTTCTCACCAAGCTGCTAAAAACAATGCCCCAACAATTTGTCTGCGCGCCAGACGCCGTCCACTAACTCGAGCGCGCGCGGGGGTTGACTTTGCGCGCTGAAACATGGAAATATTTGCGCAGCAGCTAGGGCTCACCCGAAAATAAGCGCGGGGCCCACCCCAAAATAGTCGCCTGGTCATTGTTAATGGGGGCACAAAACGATGAAATAAAAAGAAGGGAACGATTTGGAAGTGTACATCTAGTACTTTGACTTGGCAGTTAATTTGCATTTTTGTAGAGCTAAGGAAATTTATCGAAAATCAGCTACAATGTAAGTGATACGAAACTCTCTGTACGGTACAGGAGGCAATTTCAGTTAAATTATAAAGTTAGGGGTTCATCCTGGCTACGGTAAATGGTAATAAAATCGTTTTTAGGGAAGTTTAAGCTGAATATATGCATCAACGTTGCAGGTATAGGGTGGTTTTTACTTGATTATCTTTACTATGTCTTTTTGTCTATTCGAGATAAGTGTTACTAAATGTTATGAAGTGTTTTTAACCCAGCTGTGATACGCTAATACAGACAAAATGCTGTTTTTATCTATATGCTTGGGATTAGCGCTTATTCGAATAACACCATAACAAGAAGTCTGGGTCTTGGATACCTTAAGGTCAGCTATAAAACTTAAGCTTAAGGAGGATGCACACTCTCGATCGCAGTCACTTCTTTAAAGGTATGGAACGTGTAAAGCGGTTACAAATTAAGTCCAAACCCATATGCTCCCGGATTCAAATTGCCTGAAGAATGCCGGAGCGTCAGGTGGGATACCCTGGAAACCGGGAGGAACCAATGATGGGCCCAATTGGCACCAATAATAAGCAGGTTGCTAAGCTGGCTGGCCGGGGATTGAGAGTGAAGCCAGGTAGGATGGCAATCGGCGCGCGGATTAGGCGCTTTATAAGGGCGAATGAATTGCTAGGGGGTTAGAGAGGGGAAGGAGGGATGAAGAGATAGAGTGTAACCATCCGGGCAATATTATTAAAAGTGTGGTTGGGAGGATAGGGGAGGAAGGATGAGGGAAGCTGAGGGGTTAGGGGCTGGGGGAGGGACGAGCTCGGCCTGGTTACGGTAGCTGTAGAGGGGGAAAAGGAGATGGGCCTCAGTCTGCGCCTGGCAGAATCGGGGCCACGCCTACTTCAGGTTGATACCGGAAGCTGCGGGTATGGAAATGTTAGTGAAAAAATATATATTGCGAGATACCTAAAAATATATTTGTATAACCAAATTATGTCAGCCTTGATAATGATGAGGGGGAGACAGCAAAAAGAGCCTCGCGAGCGCCAAAAACGCCAGTCTTATGTATCTAAAAACTGTTAACGTCATCGATTTCTTTGGGTGAATAACATGTTCTTCGCATTCGTATTCACTAGATAGGGCACTCATGCGAATTCAAACAACTCGAAGCCCTGCCGGATATCCGTTCAAAATCCCCCGTCAACCCGAAACTGTTGTCATACAACACCATTAATCACGCCAGCCACCATCCAAACCAACCCATAAAATCGTCGCCTCTTTCAAAGGCCCGATGACGCCCCCACTAAGCAGTGTCAAAGAGTCGTTTGCCCCAATGTGTATGCCCAGGCGACGATCATCTTTTTTTTTTGAAGAACGAAACGCATTTGCACCAAGTCTCACGGGTTTGTCGTGATTTTTTGGAGAGTCCAGTAAGGCAAGAGGGTAGCGCCGCTTTTTGGGGGTTGAGCGTGGAGGGGGAATTAAGCGGCGATTAGGTCGGAAATATTTTATGATTTTGACAGGAGAGGAGGGGGCTGATATGGGGGGAAGGGAGAATTTGGATGGACAGGGGGTGCCCAGGTGAATACGGTAGACGGCGAGGCGTCTGGCGTTCCGCCGAGTTCAGGGAAGAGGGGCAGCTTGCAAAATGGATATTGACGGGAGATGGATTACAGGAGCTGCATGGGTTTTAACATTTTTTTTCGAAATGTGAAGATGGAAAGGTAGCAGAAAGGGAAAATAGTTTTTCTTTTTGCGCTATATATCTTCTTATTCAAGTCAACCCACCTGTAAAAAAATTGCAGGAACTGACTGAACTATTCAACCCTTTTCAAAATCTCCATTTTGAATGCAGAAAATCAAAATGTGCATTTATGCTTGCTTCTTTGCCGAAAAAAACTTGGCCATGATTTTTTTGCAAAAAATTTGAATAAGAACCGGAAGCTTAACCAAGTCCGCAGATTTAAGGGTGGATTTAGCGTAACCAAGACCAGTCTTTTGGAGCGACGAGGTTTACAAGT